TTGGTTTCATTACACGAACTTGTACAAATTTTAATAATTTAAATGCCTTTAAAAATATATATTTTGCATTTGTAAGATTCAAATTAAAATATGCATTCCTTATTTGGTTTTCAAATAACATACGAGTAACTCATAATCTTAAATCGTTTTTTTCGTTTTTTTAGCATTTAAATTTAAAGTTGAACGTCCACGCTATTCAGATTATAATGGAGTATTATCTTATTTCAGTATACAATATATAAATACAAGGAGAAGTAACCTTCATCATTAATTTTTGTTAAAACTATTAAATAAGTCTATAGATTGCCTTTTTTTTACTGAAACGATTAAATTTTCGAATTAATACCAAATCCACGAGAAATCAAGAAAGTTTTTTTAATTAATAATATTTCTAAATCATACTTAAAATCTTCATTGCATTGACCAGCATTGACTCAGATTTTTCATTTGATTGTTTTAATTGTTATAGGTGAAAAGTTGGAAATGTAGATATAGAAGAGAATTTAATGTATATCTGTATGCACCAATTAATCTTTGATAACGAACAAAAATTCTGAGAAGAGTTCGATTATACATGTTTTGAAAGGCCGTAATAATTACGATTTGAAAATAATAAATTTCTTACATTTTCCCGGTTTTCCCATTTATTAGAAAAACTCCTGGAAAAATCAAAAAATTATGGTCCCTTAAAGTACCACCCCAGTCGGATTTCCTTTCAGAAAAGTCTATACTTGAAAATCCGAGCAAAATTTCTGGTAGAAAAGTTGTTCATAGAAAAAAAAATAAACATTATTGGAAAATCATTACATTCCTTGCTCCACTCAGAATCTAAAGAGTTAAATTTGTATAGAGCATATTATAATGCTTGAGATGCAAATATTAAAAAACGAAGTTTAATCAGATTTATAGGAAGACATTTTTTTTTAAAGAAAAAAAATAATTACCGAAATCGGACCACTCTATATGAATGTAGTAATGAAAGTTTTTTACATACCCAAGGTATTTTATTGAGCCAAAAAACGCGATAGGACTGGGCCCCTTGACACAACTTTGTTACGTATATTTTATAGAAGGTAAGCAAAATCACATTTTTCCCTCTTCATATTTTATTAGTTAGGTACATGAATTATTACTTTGAGCCTCTCAAATCGCTTTAGTTATTATTTATTATTTTTACCCGTAGTTTTACTAACTCACCCACTGTTTATGGCCACTGTTTACATATTTATTGAAACACGAATGGAAACAATTTAATATGAAAATTATTATTTTAAATTTCGAAAATTACAACAACAATTTTTTGACGATTTAGGTTTAAAGTCTCTCTTTTAGTTATATTTAGTTATTTTTTACAAATTAGGTAACATAACTACCTAAGAGATCACGTTACTATTTACATATTTATTAAGTTAAATTAAAAAAAAAAATTAATTTCAAAAATAAATTTTTTAAATTATAGGATATTAAAAAAAGGAATCATAACATCACAATTTTAGAACAGTAAAATTGGTCATAAAATTAAATGTGAAGTATCTATAAGTACATAGATACTTCACCCAAACTCAATAACTATATGATTAAGTCGTAAAATACACAAAACATTACAAATTAATATATTCATTATTTTATGAACAAAATATGTGCAAATACCGTTAACGTGGGTTGAATACTTAACGGAAATTACGCAATATTTATTTTTACAGAATGAAAAAAATCCCCTCCCCAAAAAAAAAAATTATAACTAAAAAATAAAAATGTTGTCGACTAAAAAACTAGTAGATAACATCCCATTACCTATGTTATCGACTAATTTTGTAATATAACGCACCGCTTATATTCGTCACGTTAAATGATAATTTGTTTACGATAATCAACTGGCTAGTTGGTAAACTGATAATAAATAGTCATTCCTAATTGAAGATTTTGACCTATGAAGATTTTCTATCAACCAGATTGACGGAACCCATGAAACCAATAATAATATTTATTTAATTTTTTCATGGGCATACTACACCCAAACGACATTCTTTTTTGTTAACTGCGCCCAAGTTTTTATACATGTTAAAAAGGTATAACAGGTAGAAAAGAGGGGAAATAGGTAAAACGCGATTAGGTATGTTTATCGATAGATTAAAGAATACTCAAAAAAAAAAAAATTAAATTAACAAAGATTGCGTAAGAATTCGTGAGAAACGTTATCAAATGTATATACCACCTATATAAGTACTCAATAATTATCCAGTACAATAATTTTATCTGAACTGTAGAATATTATTGCTAATAAAATAATTAAATCATAGTTAAAAAATGCATTATTTTAATATTGTAATATAATATGTTATTTAACAAAAATTGTTTTGTTTATTTACTATTTTTGGTATTTATTAGAGGATTTGAATGGTTATAGTATGTATCTATTGATTTTAAAAAGAAATAATCGAAATTAAAATTTAGGTAGATACCTAATAATTTAATATTGGTATTCAAATTTCGATTCTTTCTTTTAAAATTTAAGTTTTTAATAGGTATACATATACATCTATAATCATCAATCCATTTTCTAATATAAATACCCATTACTTGTAATTAATAATTATTATTTTATACTTGTTTTTGGTTTTGGTTAGAGTAATATTACAGGCAATATTCGTTCACAGCTGGAATATATACCTCATTAATACTGAAATAATAATAATATAGGAAATATTAAAGCAATCGAAAGAATCCAAAACGGAGTTATCCGATTTATTTGTTTTTAATTTAAATTGCTAAGGACGCGCTACTCTGGTTATGGTGATATTCTAAATTATTTAAATTTACGATTTTTAAAAGAAATGAGATGTAACTTGTTCGCCTCATTTCTTAATAAATTACTGAATAATAACATTGACGACTTTTTAATTAATTTTAAAATAAACAATCAGATCTTTATTATACCATAGTTCATGTAACAAAGACCTATTTAATATTCCTATTCAAGTTAAACACTATTTGCTATGTTTTCCAATAAATATTTTGATGTCTTTATAGATAATTATAATAGCCTAAATAATTAAATTAAATTTAGTTAAATATTTTGTTTATTATGTATTAATTACGTCATGCCATTTATCATCGTATCTGCATTATTTAACTACCCATATTTAATTTGTTATGCATTTCATTTTTAATATGACATTGTTTATATCTATTTTTAAATAAATACAAATTTGTGTTTAGGTACTTAAATTTTACATATTATTCGGGTGTTTCAAATCGTTTTTTAATATAGATACAAATAAATGAAAATCTTTTTATATAAACATGTAATGCTACATGTAAAAATACACATAAAATTATAAAATTATTCAATAAACCTTGGTTAAAAATAACAAATATAGTATAATACCTACTATAATAGGTTTGTTCCAATATGTGTTCAAACCAGATGTCTTTGAGGGGGGCTAATGGTGGAAATTTATTATGTAATTTTTTTTTTTTTTTATTATAGATACTTCTTTAATTTAGTTTATCGATGTCTTAGGAAATTAAGAGAAAAACAGTTTTAGATTTTATAAATATTAAGATTTTAAGGGGGCGGAGGAATTGCGCATATTGACGTAAGGTATTTTTATCCCCAAGTGTCAAAATCTCTAGTTCTGGCATTATACACATTTAAGACACTATCTTAAAGCAGTAAATTCCTACATATAGTAGTGGTCATCCAGTAGTCGAAATTCAATCGTAATTATTTAAATTTTAGATTTTGGATTTTAGAATTTTAGGATTTTGAGATATTGAATTTGAATATAATTATTTTAACTTGCTGAAAATCTAGGGGGAGTTAACCCTCTGCCACCCTTTCCAGTGAGCGCCCTTGCATAATTTATCGTGTTTTGGTTATCATTTATATATTTATGAGCTCAATCTACATGCAGAATATAATACGAGTGATTTGGCGTCGGAATTGAATGGCTGTTACTATTTGTATTTTTGGTCCCAGGGAAGAATATTTAAGTTAATATTTATAATTTTGTCTTTTTTTAATTGGTTTCCCTAATGTTCTAAATAACATAAGTTACGTATTTGCAAAATCAGTTTATGCAATTTAAAAATGCATTGAAAACTATACACAAAATTGACCTTATCTGGAACCAAAGATATGTATCCCAATTAAAATATTACAACAGTCCATATTAAAATGCGTACCTAATTAATTAACGCATATCATTGTGATGTATTTTTAGTTCTGTTGTGTGAAAATTGAAGTAGGATGTATATTGTTCAAGTACCTACCCATACCTGCATATTGTTATGATTTTTTTTTACAAACTATATTGTTCCGCACGATAATAATATTCGTTGACGAAAACCAAGTGACCAAGTAAGTTAGTACTGGCTAAAATTATTGTAATAGTTTCATTTGTCTATTTTATGTATGAAACGATGCAAAATTATGGAACGTTCCGTTTTTTGTCCTTTTTAGCTTTTTACTGATTTTTGTATTCAACTAAAAAGTACAATACCAAGTTATTTATAAACTGTAATCTCCTTAAGTGTTTTTCATTTTATAAATAACAATAATGAAATGCTAAACACTCAGCTTTGCAATTTACAAATAAAAGACACCGACTTTTAAAACCAGCCCGAGTTTAAAATCTTCAATGTGAGAACACAGTAAATACAAAATGTTGTTAGTATACCAATATAATTATACGTATTTTAAATTTTAATACATTTTAAAATAACAAAATGTTGTATTTAAAGTATTCTTTCTACGTAGTTTTGTGTCATTCAAATCGATTAAAACGAAAAAAAAACCTAAGTGTATTTTAACTACAAACTTTTAAATAAACGTAATTTCGCCCTAAATCTAAATGTTACTTATTTTGTGTATGTTACCAAGTCCGTTTCTGAGCTCGAGACATAAGATAATAAACTTTTTTACCCAATAACAGTCAAAATACACTTAAATATTAAAAACTATTAAATTGCCTAACTTATCATATGTATTATTATAATTATTTTTTTAATAAAGGTCTTCTTTTCGTATGAAGGTATTCAGCCTTCAAGACCTTACCATTCAACAAAATTACCTCCAATTTTCTCTTTCTAATGCTTATAGCTTCCAGTCCTCTCTTGGTCTTATTCTTTCTACGTCCTTTTTTACTCCGTTTTCCTAATCTTGGGCGTCCCAATGGTCTTTTTCCTCGAGGAGCATTTTCTAATATCATTCTTAGTTGTGAACCCTCTTTACGCCATGCATGACCCGCCCATACAAGACGTCCCATGGTGATATCGTCAACTATACTCGAGCTTTGATACAGTTCTCTTAATTTGCTATTTTTACGGATTGTCCGTTCTCCATTGTTCACATCCCTACAGGGATCGTGTATTTCTTCAAGTACTTTTCTTTCAAAAATATCTAGTGAATTTACTTCTGTTTTTTGGAATGCCCATGTTTCCGATCCGGTCGGTTTTATTAGTGTCCAATATACCTGAATTTTTAAATTTGTTGATAATGTTCTGAATCGTAGTAACTTTGCTAGCCCAAAATAGGATTTGTTACCGGATTGAATTCTCGCCTTTACTTCACTATGTATCTTGTTTTGTTGAGTTAATAAAGCACCTAAGTGTTTAAATTGTTGAACTCTTCTGAATCCATAACCTTCAACTTCCAACCAAATGTTCTGAATATTTTGAGGTATTTTTTTGGACTACCATACATTCTGTTTTTTCTGTATTTAGCTCCAATCCTATTAGTTTCACATATTCTATCAATTTCTTGGATTGTCTTTTGAGTTCTTTTTGACTTTCTACCAGCAAAAATAAGTCGTCCGCGTATGCTAAAAGTCCAATTTTTGTCTCTCTTAGCCTGACACCTTGGTCAATATCGAATTCTCTATTTACTTTCTCTAACGCTATGTTGAATAAGATAGGAGACAACGCATCCCTTTGCCTTAGCCCAATTGTTACTTGTACTGTATTTTAAACTAAGGGTCGTAATTTAACCTTAATTTCAGTGTGTTCAATGCTCATTTTTATTAGGTTTATTAGTTTTTGTGGCATTTAGAACTCCTTTAAAACATTAATTAGGAATTCTCTGTGTATTGAGTCGTTAACTATCTTGAAGTCAATAAATAGTATGTGAACATTGCTGTCATACTCCTACATTTTTTGTAGTAGTTGTCGAATGATAAATATCTGGTCAATGGTATAACTGTTTTGTCTGAAGCCGGCTTGGAAATCTCTTAAGATCTCCAGGGCTCAAGGCTTGAAAATATCAAGGAGGCAATACGACACAATTTTATAGGCAGCATTAAGCAGGGCTATTCCTCGGTAATTAATGCAAATTTTCCTATGTCCTTTCTTTGTTATTTTAAATTTCAATCATTAATACCTTTTTGATAGTACTAGATCACAATGAAATATATTATATTATATAGTGTGTGAATAACACTACATCTATATCAATGGAAATTAAAACACAATAAGTATATTTATTTAATAAAATACTAATTATTAATTTATTATGTAAAAATTCAAGAAAATGTACTAAAACCTTAATACAAAATTATAATTTATATTATTATTATTATTAAATCATGATAAAAAAATTTTTTTTATAAAATAATTGCATGTATATATATATATATATAAAAGAATTATAATAAAATATAAACAAGTACTTTTATTTAATCTTCATAAATCATATTTTGTTCAGTATCACTACCATCACTGTCATTGTAATCACTACAATAATTGTTTACTGAATGTAATGGCTGATCAAGAGCTAACATTTTGTACTTGTTTAACATTCTAAGCATTAAATTCCAGTTCATATGTTCATTAATGTGTTCTATATTATAAATCATATATTTGTGTCTCTTAGAGCACTTCATAATTCTAGGCCATTGATATTTAATTTTTAAATTTTTTTCTGCCTTGATTCGTATCCCATCAAAATCTACATGACATGTAACTGAGTTTTCTACTATATATGCATATAACTGAACTGTAAGGCAATAAAACACACTATTTGTTTCAATACTAATTGTAATGTTTTCCATTGTATGCGAGATATTGTAATTTTTTACTGAAAGAATATTTAATTTAATAAACACGTATGTGTTATCTTGATGCCAAAAACACTGAGGGATCACAGGAGTAACATTGCAATCAATACAATATTTGTTCTCAATTTTAACATGTTTTTTTGATTTAATATTTTGTTTCTTATCTACAATTATATTATTTTCACTAATATTGTTTGAATTTGACATAATCTGTTGTTCTTTTTTTTCAATGGACATTTTTAAAAGACTTTCCAATAATTTAATTTCACCATCAAGTTCTTTTTTGTCATCCTCATATACAGATTCATAATTTAATTTTGAAATTTTTTTAATTTGATTATTATCAACATACACATTATATTGTTCAGCCATTTTAACATTCACATTTATATCTTTATTAAATAATACAACTTCATAGCAGTTTCCTCCTGTAAATTTTGCATCCCCAAAAGAAGAAAGAACTTTCAAACAAATAGGAGAACTTGTAATTTCCATAAAATTATCATTAAAGTGATTCAAAATATCACCATCTAAAATATCATTAAAACCACTCAACTTACATTCAATTACTTGAAATGGTAACTTTGATATCAATTTTGATGGTATAGTCAATAAATGTTTAACATCAAGACTGTAAAAGTCACCATAATCTAAATATAATACTTCAGCTGTTTCATTATTTATTTGTTTAATAATGGAACGATTATATTTATTTTCATCTGCATGGGACATAGCTAAACAAATAGTTCCTACAGTAGCATTAGTCAAGTACTCAACACTTTTATTATTAATAGCTTCATCAATGTCTTTTTGAAGAGCATTAACTCTATCATTAAATTGCAAGTTACTTATTAAAATATGTGCTGGATCTTCTATATAATTTACTAATACGTCATATAATATATTCTTGGACAAATGGGCCCATTGTATTTTGACTGTGTCGTTTTCGTCAACTTTTGGTCCTTCACAAGAGAATAATGATATTAAATTATCTGATTTCCGTACTACAACCAAAGGTTTTTCTTCTTTCCATACATGTACATCTTTATTTAAGTATTTTATTTTGTCAATGAGTTTTGAATTAGTTTTAGATGCGAGATTGTGATCAATCAGTTCTCTTGGTAATAAAAGAGGGCTTTTTTTTTTATATAAACTGCATGTAAAATGTGAACATTTAATACAATTTTTAACTATCATCGTATCAATCCATAATGTTATTCCTAATATAAGTTCAACTTTGCAAATACATTCAAGACCTTCCAAAATTACTGGCTCTAATAAGCTACATACAGTATTTGTTGTTGTAGTTTTCCAATTTTTTCCTTCAACTGGTATAATAGAAGATAAAATAATTTCCACAGTTACAGGACAGTATTGCTTTAAATGATTTGGTAATATAAATACATTATTAGAAACAATTTCTTTTACGTATCCATAGTCAATTAGATTCACTTTAACCTTAAATGTGAACCAATTATAAAATGTGTCCAAAACAACAGCTCGAAATAGTTCACAGTTTTCAGTTTCAATCATCACCATTTCACCAATCATGGGATTTTTGTGTGGAATTTTAGTACCGGGAGTTGAACCAACATTTTTTAATTCTTCTTTTATTTTATCAAATGAATCATCAATATTTATCCAATTTTTATCGTTTATGGGATCTTCCATAGTACTGTATTTTGAAATTCTTCCATAAAAACGTTGAGCGCTTAAGACTTTAGTCAACTGAATACTGATAAAACAATAGTGAGGAATATTGAGACATTCTTTATCAAGTATTTTGCATAATGTATGACGCTCTAAACACGGTCCTTCACAAAAACCAAACTGTTTGATTTGATCACAAAGAAATGGACGAACAATTTTTTCTTTTTTTTCCGTGAATGGTAATTTAATAAAGTTAAACATATTTTATTTAAAAGTTGTCAGATTTAAACAGATAATAGCTGAAAAAAAAAATAAAATTTCAAATTAATTAATTAATAACTAATATTGTACAACTTATCAGAATTATATCTATACCCCAGAGGTAAAGAACACTATATCTATTTTTGATGAAATTGAGTTAGCTCCATGTCCTCGTTATAAATTTATTTTGTCCATTTAAAGGTATAGTGCACTATATCCAGTTATTATAAATAATATAAATAAGGAAATGGAAAATAAAGTGCCATGGTTATAAGATATATTATTTTTAAAAATGATCAAAATCTAATATTGAAATTAGTGTTTCTAATTAGTAAATAACACTAATAATGATGGTGTTAAAGTTTCATAAAACTATAATTTGTATTATTCACAAAAAAAAAAAACAAAAATGTATAATTGAAAAACATTAAAAATTTGATCTCCTGTAAAATATGTGCGAGAAGTTGACCCCCTTGACTTTTGAGTTTCAATTTTTGACCAATGCCAATATTTTATAACTCATTTATAACTTAGTTTTCAGAATTTGTAATTTTACACTTTAACAGTTATGAGAGTTTTAGTAATGAAGGGTCAACTTCACTTAACCCCCAGCTTTGAACCAATGCCAATACTTTGTAACTATTTGTAACTCTGAACCTTGGCTGCTATAAGAGTGTTAGTGATTGTAATATTATTTGTATTATCTTATAAAAATGTTTATATAAATCCATATAACATTATCTAACATTAAAATATATAATTTAAATACATAATTTAATATTGTCACATCAATTTTTTTTAATGAGCAATATTTCAGGCAAAATTATTCTTATTTCATAAATTATTATTATTGTTAGTTAATTAAAAAAATTTAAGTTTATAGCTTTATATAAACATTATTAAGTGAGATTAATTTCAGTTTTAAAAAAATGTCTTTCTAATTTGTTGTTCTAAATCGTTATGTATTCCATAAGTTATTTCTTTATTTCTTTTAACATAAGACACATAATGACCATGACTTAATCCTATGACACCAATAAAAGTATATCTGAAAAAAAAAACACATTACCTATTTTATATTTGAATATAATATTTAATTTTTATTATTAACCTGTAATTAATTATATTTTTAAATGTAATAACTTGACTGGGAATAATAATCTGTTTCTATGCATAAATGCTCCAAGAGTTATCTTGAATTGGTTATTACTTCTGCATATTTTGAACAATTGTTTTTTTTTTTTTTTACATATATTTGTTAATCATTGAAATAAATGCCAGACATTAAATTTTTTTTTGGAATTTAATACAATTGTTGCACTATGGAATATTTTAGATGTTGTACATTTGGAACACATAATTGACTCAATATTTTAAATAGGTTGTTTCCTACTATAAAATGTTTATTACATAAAATATTAATTATACTTATATCTGTAATCCTAATCTTTAATATAATTAAATACTTTTTGCAGTGGACTCATTTTTTATAACTGATAAGAATTGACCTTGGTGGAGCTCATAATATTACTTGTGTCATTTGTTCACAGACTCCTGAGGCAATGCCCCACAATCATCTTTACATGATACATATAATAAGCAACTATATATTTCAATTACAGTCTATATAAAAATGTATCACATCTTTTTTAACATTATTTTTTATACATACATATATTGTCTATAGGTTTACTGAATTTTTTCTGTTTATTAATTACGAAATACATGAATAAAATATTTAGTTGATACTATAAAAAACGAAATGGGTATTTTTGGAGCTTATAATTTTAAACATGGGATGCTAAAGACACCCAAGCATCCCTCCCCCCTAATTATACCTATTAAATAAGAATAGGTACATAAATAAAAAATACAAATCAAATATTTAATAATGATTAGTCCAGTGTCCAGATTTATATTCTCTTAAAATAGTCAAACTATTATGTTTATATTATCTTACAAATTTGAAAACCTGCTTGATATGTTATCTTAAAATCAAAATAAAAAATATGTTGCATGTAGATTTCTAGTACCATGAATCCTTATAAATTATTACAATCACTAGAACTTTGATAGCAGCCAAAGTTCAGAGTTAGAAATTATGAAAACTGAGTTAAAAATGGCTACAAAATATTGGCGTTGGTCGAAGATAAAATTTGATGTAGTACCATCTTCACGCACATCTGTAAAATTACTAATTTGTGATATAGTGTCTTTTACCTCCGGGTAAAGATATAATAAATTATAAACTATAAAAATAAAAATATAATTGTAAGTAATTTAATAATTGTTCATATTGCAAACTAAGATAATACATGTATATCTTAGCTTAATTTTTAGAATGTTCTGTAAAGTCTTTGTCAACCAACATTTTGCTGGTTTGTAGAAAATTTAACTGCTGGTTAGAGCAAAATGGACATTGCAAGAATGGGTCTAAGTTTGTGATTTATAATAATAATGTATAATATAGGTTTAAAACTTTTTAATATAAACATTTAAAAAACTTAAATTAGTTATATATTTTAAATTTTAAACAGTACAATTATATATAAATGAGTTAAAAAATCAATACGGCTTCAGAAATAAAAATACTAAAGGACTACTTACCTATACTCTGTCCCACGAGAGAGCATGCCAGATAAGCGCATCGTTCATCAACCAACCAGGCTATCGTATCCTCTCTATGCATTCAAATTTCAATGCAGACGATGGTGGGTATGCATAGAGCCAACCAATTTTTGTTATCGTACAGCATGCTCTCTTGTGGGACAAATTATAGGCTAAAATGTTTTATTTGATATCTTAATCATTATAGTTATAATATTAGATATGATTTGAATAAACTAACATCAATAATGAAATTATAAATTTGCTAATAGGTTATAGAGAAAAAAAATTTAATTTTAAACTGTTTTTTTTTAAATTGGGTAGTCTAAAAATAGTAATTATTCGTATTTTTATAATACTCATTATAAATAATAAATTATACAAAATTAAAAGTTGATTTAAAAAAGGCCCCAAATTTCAGATGTCCTAGACATTGAGAAATTGTTTCGAAAAAATAAAATGTATACTAGGAGTACCTACTTAATAGTAATTAATAAATGCTCATGGGAAAATCGTTAAACCTTAAACTCTTTTAGGTAGGTATTAAAATAATTAAACCATTTGTATACCACTTTAGTAATGTAAATACTTTACACAAATATGATTAGTAAAGTCAATAAAAAAAAATACAAGTATAAAATATTTTATCCAGATCACATTTAGGTACTATAAACAAGCATAAGCAGAAAAATGAATGAAAAATATGTAGATAAATAATTGTTTTAAATATAGGTATACACACACTATTTATAGGTAAAAATCAAGGTTTGTATAATAAGTATAAAAATGACTTGATGGGTTTGTAAAATCATAGAACCTAAACGTTTACTTATTTAATATATTATAACCTTGTATAAATAATTTATTGCATATAATCTGTATCTATTAGTAATTTCATCCGTTTTAGAAGAATTATTTAGTAAAATAAGTAATAATTTCAATACAAAATACTTACTACTTATATTAAATATATAAATTCAAGATTTTTAAAATAATTAGATATTAAAACAACTTAGTGAATTCTTCATCCTATTGATAAATAACCGAACAAAAATCCAATCAATCATCACTATTAAAACATTAATATACAATATAAACTATAATCACTGCAGTTATTTTAAAAAAGTTATTAAACTATACGGTTAATATTATTTATCTATGTTTATAACCACGACAAAATTATAAAGATGTTATGTCTATAACCATAGATAAGTATATAAATAGTATAGTTTTTTGTCGAACGGACTAATGAAATAAAGTGCAAGTGCTACAGGAAAATACTAAAACCGGTTACCATTTTGTTTTGTATAATATAATCACCATTTATGATTAGATATGGGAAATTATCGGTTGCTGCGGAATTATATACCGATCAAAAAAATTGTGTTTATAAGTTATAACAGATTACATTACAGACAATACCATAGATACTAACAATAATACCACAAAGATAATCACAATTTTTTCATTAAAATAAACACACCCAAATAGGTACTACTTTAGATCATAATAATATGGATAGACTGATAGAGCTGCTTCATCATATACGCGTACTACGAGTTGAAGGCATCATTATTAACGAGTGCTAAGACTGATGTCTATTGCGCATGAGTATCAGTACTCGTCGCATATTTATCGTATAATCATTATAATACCACCATGCAGTGATGATAGGTACCAAGGTGGATTATTAAGGTGTAATCACTTTCGCCCGCCCGCCTAAGACAAATTGATTGAAGAAAACATTACTGTAGTTAAAATAGCCGCTAGGTTCGCTACCTAATAAAGGACTAGAAATTGTATTATTTGTATGTATTTTAATAGGAAAATTACTAAAATTATGGACATTTTCTATTTTTTATTGTAAAAGTGTATTTTAAATGATACACCTATGAAGATAAATTATAATATATGTATTAGTGCATATAAATACATAACATAATAGTATAAAATAGTTATTTATGACATTATTCATAAATAATATAATAATATAGGTATCTACCTACCAGGCATGTGTTAATAGGTTAAGTTAGATTATTGGAAGGTAGTACGAGTAATTACTTTTGATGATAGGTAATAATAATTATCTATTATATTAATAATATTAATTAATACTTTTGTTAATATTATAATTACATTATTAAAATATATTTTATTATACTCAGACATTTTTTTTTTTTTTTATTATTATATTTCTACAGCAAAATTCATTTTAGTATATAAATAAAATTGATAATGTATTTGGTAAGTTCTTTCATGATCCATACGGCCAACTTTAAACCTAAACCCAATGCTTTCAAAAATGACTCCATTCATAACTATATATTAAAAATCAGAAAAATAATTCTTTTAAAATAAAAAAAAAATAGAAAATGTCCATAATTTTAGTAATTTTCCTATTAAAATACATAAAAATAATACAATTTATGGTTCTCTATCGGGTAGGCAGCGAACCATTTAACTGCAATTTTAAATGTAGTAATGTTTTCTTCAATCAATTTGTCTTAGGCGGACGGGTGAAAATGATTACTCTTTATTAATACACCTTGGCAGGTACATCACACGTGATTACGTGAATTCGACCAATTACGCGTGATATAAATTTTGGGCATGCGCATTTGTTCCAACTTCCCTTAGTTATGTTTGCTTTATAATACAATTAGAAGACGTTTGTGGACCGTCAAAATTGATTGTGGTTTTGATCCTAATTTATTTAAATTAATTAAAAAGAAATTTTCAGGAAAATAAAACTTTTTTCCACCTGTTTCAATAGATAAGAATAATAATTTTCCCTACATGTGGCAACACTGAAACACAATTTTTCCCGCTTGGAGCGTTGAGAGTTAATTTTTTGGAGTATCAGTTCTTGGGTCACAATATATGTCTTCATTATGCAACCTATATATCTTTAATCCTTTAATCACGATGACAAGCAAGAACTTTTTTGATATCGGTGTAAATTTACCCCAAGGTGTAATACACCCACAGACCTTATAATAATAGACACGAAATGATTACACACCCGGCTTGAAAAGATAGAAGGCGTTTTTCATTGACTGAATTGTAAATTATCGTATACATCATTATGATATAAGTAAGCTATTACCTACATTCTGAATATTCAAGTACCATATATAGTTAACTACCCTATTTCTCAATATAATAATACGAGTACTTACGACCAACTTATTAGCACAAAATATAAATAACAAATTGCAATTAATACAAATTATATGCAATTATTCACTTAGTATAAGGCCTATGATTACACTTTAATTTTCCCTTGATAAACAAATCGGTATGAATTTAAGAAATTGTTTGGAGTAACCGGTGTTAGAATATTAACCATACCGATTTTGTTTATCCGCACCATCACATACATAATGGTGCAAAGTATTTACACCGGTCTCATTTTCCCCTAGTAATAATGAAAAAATGAATGATAAAAATAATCAATATAATATAATATTCAAATACATTTCATAAGCTGTATTTTATATCGTAAATTCAATAAGTAGTTTATAGTAAACGCAGACTGTCCCATGAAGATATACCCCTTGAATATCTTCGGAGATAATAAAGATAATCAAATTCTATTTTGTTTATATTACTCACAGGGATTAGGACTACAAATATTTATACTTGAATTAATTTTTCATTTTTATTTTTATTAAATTAAAAATTAAAAAAATACTTTTTATTTTATTATTTTCTGAAAATGTTAAGATGGTCATTCTGTAGTTTATTATTTTGAAAATTTTAATGTATCACACACTTGTAACCGATGAATAGTTTCTAAATGACAGCCATTTTAAATTCTACTAATCCATGTGAAAACTGTAGAAATGATTCATCGGTTACAAGTGTGTGATATATTAAAATTTATTTAAAAGTTATTTTTTTAAATTTTTAATAAAAAAAAATATGAATTCAAATATAAATATTTGTAGTCCTCATTCCTGTAAGTAATATAAAAAAATCTCCGGAGATATTCAAAGAGTATATCTTAGAACAGTCTGCATAATCAATGATACTACATATATTCATTAAAATAACATGTATATTGTTTACATATCATAGAGTAATATTACTCAATGCCACATATCAACATATGATACATCACACATCAAATCGATGAGTGCTAAACATGCATTTGTTATCTCGTATGGTAAGTAACACATTTTTAATATAGGTACTACTTTCATGTTTGTTCGAAATGAACACTTTATAAAGTTATTTTGAATGAAACGGGAAATGGGAAGAACAATAATTTAAATAATTTATTAATACTTAAATAACTGATAGTACTATTATTGTTAATATTGGATAATGGTTGGGATCCATCATTGAATATCTACATACAAAAATGAAGAAATTCGCCAGAGTAAACCGGTCATCAGTGTAATTTTAAAAAATTAATTGGACTAAACCGATTGAAAGTTGAAACACACCGACACCGGTTTAGTTTTTTTCGACTACTGTAGCGATGTGGTTGAAAAATACCGATTCCGAACTGTCCCCACTAGAGAAAGGACTTCGAACCGTGCAAATAAAGATAGTTCAAAATTATCGCAAATCGCTAGAACGTGTTTCGATTAGTAGTGATATCGGTTTTACATGTAAAGCATAGAGAATTATTGGTTTTCTATTATTATAATCTAAATGGTAAAACTAATGAATAACTACTATTACATTACTGACGTTTCTTTTTTAAGACCAAATTGTACTCAATCGAATAGATGTATTTCCAAGTATATAGGACTTTTAGAATAACAGATATAATTATTTAAATAAAAATAATTGTATAAATGAATAATTGTATATCAATGAATACATACACACTAAGTACTATCATAATCACAAAAACTTCTACTGACTATAATTGTTTATTGTTGTTCAAAAGTTTTTGTTTAAATTTTTATTTAAATAGCTATTTGCATTTTTATCTATATATTTTTTATGGTAACATTTAGATAATATTGTAACGTTCAGAAACTGTTTTATTCCAGGATGTATTTAATGAAGGTTACAAATTACAAATAAAACAAAATAAAATAAAACATGGTATAATAAATAGCTGATGTTCAAAGCTCCCAAAGTAAGAGCCTAAAATACAAATTGTGTTTGTTTTAACTTAATGTATGCACCGTTGACGTGCATAGGCTTTATTTGCAGGACAGGTATATGGCTAATAAAATTTACCCCTCCCCCAGAATATAAATGCCCCTCAAATGAATCTACATGGCATTTCATTAAAACATATTATAGTAACTACTTTTCTTTAGAAAGTAATACGATTTTCAATCTTTCTTTGTCATTGGAAAATCCAAGTATATTTTAGATTCTAAGTTGAGCGAAGAAGCTTATGATTTTAGAAAGATGTTTATTTTTTATTTTTTATCTGTGGACAACTTTTCTTCCAGCATTTTTGTTCCAACTTTTAATGATTGCAACTTTTCTAAAAAGAAATTTCACATTGGAGAGGTACTTTAAAAAGGTCGCTTTTCGATTTTCTCCGGAGTTTTCTCAGTAAATGTAAAAAATTAAGAAAAACATAGGAAAAACTGGGGAAATCGGTACAGCATTAAAAAATTATTATTAAAGAAAATATTTAGAGCCTACTTAATTATTTTACTATAATATAGCATATATATTGTTGACAAAACATCACTATCAACTGAACTGCGCTCAGAATCGTTTTTACGTAAGTAATGGTTTATCGTTGCTTACAGTTATGCATTAAATAATCTATAACACTGGCACATCTGTTTCCATAATCCTAGGTCGTCTTTTTAATAATTAATATTGAGTAAATATTTAAGAATATTTTATCTTTTTTTTTAAATTGTATTATCAATAATAAAGAATACGATATGATTATTAATAAGAGATTTGATTAGGTAAATAAGAAATTATCTATAATAGCACCTTATAATTTGCTCCTTGTGCATAAATTGCCATACTTGCTTTCTTGTATAATATTATTTACACCGTGTGTAGTATAATTTTTTTCTTTTTTCATTTTGGCAAGCGCACAAAAACATACCTATACACGTCATGAACAGTAAGTTTGTCATGTACAAAATGTTTATACGTGGTAATTAACGTGTTAATAAATTGAATACACTAAATTTGAGAATTGTTTAATGTAAAAATGGCTAAGAACTTAAATCCCCTTACCCAATTAATTAGGTAATATGCTACGCCCGTGGTAGTAGTACTATCAATGCTACTCACTACTCTGCTAGTAACAATGGAATATTCGTAGGCTTGTAGGTAATTGATACCTATTGAACTTTTGGACAGTATGACATTTTACATCATTGATAACAATTATAGTATTTTACAGTAGCTGCACCCGTCCCCATTATCCTAAGATGTTTTTATTTTACTTTTACTTTATTTGTCTCCTACTAATATACTAATGTACTCTTCAAAATACTTGAAGAATAAAGTTGTTTTCTATTATTATTTATATAATTACTGTTCCAGTTTTGTACTGTTCAGATTTTTACGGTCAAGTAATGTATCGTCCAGATTTTTAGGGATTTTAAAATTTTATATTCCAGATTTGTACCGTCCAAGTTTTTAAATTCTAGATTTTTACCCTATAAATAACTCTAAACTCTAAAATGGCTAAAATATTTTTTTTTAATTGTGGCCACCACTATAAAAGTCAAATAAAAATTGTCTGTTCAAATTTCAAGATTTCACGAATATTTTAAACTAAATTATAACAAACACCAAAATTGAAAATAATATAAACATTATTTTCGTAAATTTGCCCATTTTTCCTAAGTTTTTTCCCAATTATAATAAAAACCACTTGGAAAATCAAAAATGACTTTCCAAAGTAACATCCATATAAATTTACTTTCAAAAAAATTACTTTACTTGAAAATTGGAGTAAAATTTTAGTAGAAATATAATTTATAGAAAAAAAAAAATAAATAATAAATATTAAACGTCATTGTAAAACCAATAGACATAAATTTTTTTAATTTTTGGTTTTTCGCAATCATCATGAAACCGCTGGCTGAATTAAAAAATTACTTATTTTCTCAGAAACTTGTTCATAAATGCAACAAAAATGGTCTGTTAGAATTTTTTGATTGAAGCAATCAAATATGTCTGGTAGAAAACTTAATCGATAAAAATTTAAACAATGAAATCGTTAACGCCGTTGTATGCCGTAAATATTTGTCATTTTTCAGAAAAAATGTTCCGATTTTCCTAATTATTATGAAAACTCCTTTAAAAATTAATGTACCAACTAGAAAAAATTTCTTTTGGGAAAGGTTCTACACTTGTTACATCGGAGAAAGAATTATTTTCAAAAAGTTGTCTGCAGACGTTATTGTAATATTTGATATTTATATACTTTATTATTAGGAGGTATTAAATATAATACATTAGATTAGTAAAATTGGTTATTATAATGATACATTATTGTTAAATATCAGCAGCGCCGAGGAAGACGAATAATATTGTTAAATAAAAGTCGACGAAACATATATTTAATTTCATAATACACATCAAAACAATTTCGACTTGAATTTCTATTTTCAAAGAGTTGGAACTCTTCGAAGCCAATAAAATTGTTTCGAGGACTGATAATACAATGACTATAGTTACAAAGTTTATATTGTGGACCAGTTACGAAAAAGCCTTTTAAATTGCTTGTTTTGCTGAACCCTGACATTGTTGATAATCAAAACGAGCTAGCGTTTCCTGTAGACATTATAATATGTATATACCTATACGTAGCCGCGTACAGTTTGTTGGTCACGGGCAACGGTAATTCAAAGGGACTAACTCATTAGAAACAAAGTGTATGATGACGCGCAAAGCCTCGGGAAATCATTATAGACCATTTTATCATAGCAAACACGTCAGCCACACTTAAAAATGAAATTTACATTGTAATATTAGAGCAATGATTGCAGTATATTATACTCATAGAATTGTAGATACTTAGTGATTATAACCATAAATAGTAATCCAAAGGTTGAATCATTGGCGAACAAATTGAGAGTAAAAAATTCAGCCAAGTAACCCTAAATCGAACTCTTGTGAATTGTTATTGAGTATTAAGTTGTATTATACTCGATATGTTTTTTAATCAATATTATGTAATAAAATAACAAAGTAAAAACAAAATTATTAAAATGATTAATATTTGTAAATAAATATATAAATAAAACATTTACATTAAAAATAAAAATTAATTAATTAATGAATACGTCACCTAGAGTATAATTAAAAATTCATCATCAGCTATATCATCTGGTCAGGTGATTTTTAATTCGAAACCGGTCGTATAATACACTTATCATAATACTCCAGGCGACGCATTCAATCATTTATTTATTTTTTATTTATATATTTATTTTCAATATTATGTGCTTCTATTTAAAATTTGAACTTACGACGCTTACAAAAAAATACTATACATGACGCTCAACTAATTATTTAGATCAATTAATGATGAACCGCATGTTAAATTGTCAAGTATTTATGTTAATAACAATTTATCCACATCAAAACTACACTCCTAACCTAAAAATGATTACAAGATTATTATATTTAATACGTGTATTCGTGTATACGTGTATTCGTGTATACGTGTATATAAAATATAGATAGTTCACTTTTTATTTGACCGGTAGAAAAGTGATTACCGAAATAAAAAGCACATTTCATAGGAACTTGACCTGAATTTAGGCAGGCAAATGTATGTTGACCATTACCACATTGGTTACATCGAGGTATCTAATAGCAATAGGATTTTGTATGACCGTACTCTTGACAGTTTTGGTACTGACTGATGAATTTGTGAGGCGAGGTGCCTTAAACTTTAATTTGTGTGTGTAATAAGGATTCGAATTCAAAAATATCATTTAAATAATCTGTGAGCTACGAATCTATGAAAAAGAATGGAAGCGAATTTTTATTAATTCTGTAGATAACTTAGGTAACTGACTGAAAATAGTTGTAATTTCAGTTTCCTTTTAATTGTATTTGCTGGAGTAGATAGATGAAAGTTGCATATAACTATTTGAATTGGTCTATTTTTCTTTAATTAATAAGTATGGAATTCGGTTTTCTCTTTTTTTAGATACTGGAATAGAGTTCTGTATGAATATGGATTTGATGTTTGGATTTTGAAACGGTCTGTAATTGATTTACAACAAAAATTGTCGACACGTATCAGCTCAATTAATTCTATACCAACATCTGAGAAGTCATCCACTCCTTTAACGAAAATCGGAGAGAGAGTGGTTTACTAAATAAGCTAAATGAATCTGAGGTTGTAGTCTGCATTTATTTAGTAATTGGATCATTAGTTGTTTAAATAGTTTTAAGTATTTCAAAACGGATAAACGAAGAAAACAATTTTTTTTAAATTTTTATATTGAAAAATACGAGGGAATAATGGAGGACCTGAGTTTAAATCATTTCGTTTCTTTTTCTGTGCAGTCCAGCAGTCCATTTATCCATTTAACGTAGTGTCAAGTGATGGAGTACTATTCATTAGTAAATTTAAATAAGAATTTGTATTAATTGTTGTGCGCTTATCTTTTTTGTTCATAATTTGAGTACCCATTTTTATATTTATATTATATATATTATAATGATATATGATATATATATATATATAATTAATGTATATTAATTTTTGAATTTGAATTATATTGTGTTCGCGAAATCTAATCATTAGAATAAAGGTTACCACGGGCTGGGTTGTTTTGGGGTCGAAGATTAGTTAAAATATAATTTTTTAATAAATAATTATATAAAATATAAAACATTATTTTTAATAAAAATACAACATGGTTTTGTTTGTTACACTTATTATAAAGGGTTAAAGACGGCTGTAAGATACTGAGTTTTGACAGCTTTCAAATCTTCGATAAACGGTAAAAAATAAGAAAATTTCGCACTAAATTAGAGTAACTAAATTAAACATAAATCGAGGAAAACAATATCACGTCTTCTTGAACTTAGACTATTGATATTTACAAATCTTTTAAGCCCTAAGGAGTTCATAGTGTTGCTCAGTTATTATGCAATTATTAGGAATTTCCATATTAATAAAAGTATAGTATATTACTATACTTTTATAATATATATATATATTATAATTTATAATATAATACTTGTATCTCATATATTACAACAAATAGCTTTTAAGTTATTTATTTTCAAAATAAAAATTTAATTTATAGCTCATATCGTATTTGAAACCGAATAAATTTGTTCATAAGTAAATTTAATTGAATGTGTGTTTATTTAATAGGTCATATAATTTCATGTAAGCGTGTCATGGTCATTTATTATAATTATTATTATAAGCCGCGTTTAGACAAGAGCATAGTTTTACTCTCAAAAGCGCTCGTCAGATATTTGCCCATGTCTATAAAAATGTAGCTTTATAATATATTATAATAATTTATGTACAGTGTGTTTCAAAATATATATCATAGTTATTTATCATGTAAATATTTAAAATAAAAATGTAAAATACAAAAGTTTTTCGATTTATAAACATTTAAAATAATTTGTAATTTTTTTTATTTTTTTTTTTAAGGGAGGTTTGAGGGTCAAAATTTAAAATTAAATGAGAACCTATATTAGTTTAGGTTGGAGGAGGAAACTAATGAAACACTTACGAAAACTAACACTCCGTATATTTATGAAATTTTGAAAATAGGTTCCTGGTACCTATTTGAATTTCAAATGTTGACCCCTAAAACACCTTCCTGAAAAGACAATAAAAAAATGTACAAATTATTTTATATATTTATAAATCAAGAAATGTTTGTATTATAAATTTTTCTCTATTTTGAATATTTTACATGATAAAATGGCTGTAACATAAATTTTGAATCTGTAAACCTGTATATTTAAATATGATAAAGGTACACGTGTGCTGTCGAATAATATTCGTTTTGTTCCCTAGCCGTTTCAAGCAGACTTAAATAAATAATAAAAACGGAGAAACTTGTATAATATTGTTAATATATTTTCGTAAATCCATTAATAATTTAAATTTAATTTCTACTTGATTTTCAATGTTTAAACAACAAACGGCTCACGCACACTAACACCACTATCCACCACAAACAATGATAATAATAACCTAATATTTTATTTTGATAATCTTACAAATGATATTTTATTTGTATAATTTGTAAATTTGTACATTGATATTGGTTTATAACTATTCAGGTATTGAATAATTAAAATCATGTTGCATTAAGTCGGGTTTACATTTTCGTAGAGTATTTGGAAAAATACTTGTAGGTTAGACAGTAGAGTACACTTTACTCTATTTCCCCCCATTTCCACTCTACTCTAATACTTTATACTATGCAACTCTACCACTAATCGCCTAGTGCAGTAAAGTAGTATAAATTAGATAAATTGTAGACTAATGACCTCTCCCAATTTAACTATGGCTTAATAATATTATAAATAATTCGCTTTTCCGGTGGAACAACGACATAAGTGACAATTTTATAAAACAGAACTAATCATGGATCTATTAAGTATGATGTGATCGAAAACCGGTAATTTCAATAACAACAAAACTGCTTTCTAGTGAAAAATTATTGGTTTTATACTTATGTCATTGTTCCACAGGATAAAAATATATTTTTTATACTGTTATCGTAAGTACATATTATGCCAAAAAGTCAAAAATTTGCATTTCTACAATGTTTCACAGGAGAAAATAGGAAAATACTTTTAGAAAAACTACCATATTCCTCAATATAGGATTATTTCCTAAATTAAATTATTTTGTACAAATACTTTAACACCATAATAATATAGTATTAAATATAATGTTTGGTTCAAATAATTTCCCGATTTTTGTGCGTGCCCCCTGTAAATACTATATTATACGATTTTAAATAAAAACGGCGCGTGGCGTATCATATAGGCAATTTCATTACTTGTACGTATTGAATACAACTAAAACATAATAAATCATCAATATTTTAGTTTTTACGCATAGACGTAGGCAAGGAATATTAATTTCCTTTTTTAGATTCTCAGTGTAGGAAGAATATATTAGTTTTACGAAGATGTCTATTATTATTTTTATTTTTTCATACTGTCATAAATATTTTTACCAGAAATCTTGCTCCGATATGGACGTGTATCACCATTTCTGAAACCAAATATTGTCTAGATGGTACATTAAAGGGGTAATTTTTTGAAACCAAGCAATTTTCATAATATCTGAGAAAACGGGGATAGAATATCGGAAAAACGGGAAAATTTACGAAAATAATGCGTTTATAATTCAGATAAAAATATTCAAAGTAACTTAAAATTTGGAAAAAAAACTTATGTTTGCCTTTTCTAGACGTGGTAAAACTATAAAAACATTTTATCCATTTTTGAGCTTTTTATTGACATTTTAATTTTGTGAATAATTTTCATTTGGTAGATACTCTGTGAATAAAATTGTTAGATTAAACAAAAGTTCTTAGAAATTGAATAGGAGATTCATAAGTACTTGTACTTCGTAGTCAAAGCAAAAAGAAATGAGTTTAATGTAGTACTTTTTTTTATTCGAGTTTCAATATCAATTTTAACGAAAATCGTTCTAATAAAAATGTATGTGGAACAAATCTAGTTATTGGACTGTACAAATTGTTTCAATATATATTTATATTAATATAATATTACATGTATATTGTTGAAAAATCATTACTATTAATCGCGCTCCACTCAGAATCGTTTTTCGCTACCAATGATTTATCATTGCTTACAGATATACATTAAATTCCCCTTTATGTCCTACCTTTCCAACTTCTCATCTAAAATAATAATCCACCTAATTGTGCGAAGTATATATGTCCGTCTTTTTTCTTTGTTTTATCAAATTTCATACGGACTAGTACTCGAAAAATAGTTTAAGCGATCGGTCATCATTGCGTTTTATAATAAAACCGCATACAGTTTACCGCCGTACAGGTACTCTACGAAATACGATCAAGTTTTATATACTGCCATTTATTGATGATTATCCCGGAATAATAGTTACTGGGTACCAAAAGTTGTACATGTGCATTTGTGATGCGTGTTTTTTTCATAAAACACTTATTTTTTCAAAGATTGACTTGTGTAAACATTTTTTGTAGTCATATATTCTAAAATATTACATTATCTTCATTTTGTTCACCATTATTTTTGTGTGCGAAATAACTACCCACTTTTGATTTTTAGCAACCTATATTCCAAATATCATAAATATATTTTAGCATTGATGTTATTTAAATGCCACTACACAAATTATGCTACACCACTCAACCCAAAATTAAAAGTGGAATAGATATCTTTGTCAGTGAGTTAAAGCAAATTTAAAATGTATTTATATATAATTCAGTTACCTTACTAATTTGATTAGGTTATATTATCTGAAAATCGAAAGTAATAGATAATATAGGTAGGTTTCACCCTCAATAATAATAGTGAAGAAAATAAGAACAATGTAAAATTTTAAAATAAATGATTCCAAACAATTTATCATTTTTTGAAAGTATAAGTATATCATGGAAAATTTGAATATAACATGAAATTTGGAAGACTGTAGGTATACGGAAAATTATAACACTTGTTGAAATGAACACACTAAAATACATTTATAATGAATTATGGTAGTTATATTGCCTATGATTGGGTATAATTACCTTGCATAAAATATAATAATAATAATATTGAATATGCTTCTGCATAACAGATAAAACAAACTAAAAGCGAACTTTTTCTGTCTTTCAAGCAAAATACATTATAATGTAACACGCCGTATATCCACACACAATTATCCGTTTTGTCTATGAATTACAATATCATTAGTGTATGAAGGGGCGACGTTAGAATTACATACTTATATCCCCCTTAATTTATCTAAAAATACAACAATTATGCGAATTATTTATTTTTGTAATTTTAAGGTAAAAAGCTCGATTTATTGAACGAAAATTGAATTTCTTGGATCCATAGCTTCTAAGTTCTCATTCTCGAGTTAGGTATAACAAAAGTAGATTCATAACATTCTTTGACAGTTCTTGGGTACGCCACTGTGCAATGTCGTTTCAAATATAATCCCTATATTAGCTATAAAATCCGACTGCCACTGATGAATCATACACTTTATACAGCGTGCCATTATATTATCATTTTTATACCGAACGTCGTACTGTAATTGTATAATTATTTTTTAGGTGCGTATTATTACGAAATAAAAAAAAAACTCACCTGAAAATCGTGGACTATACTAATCAGAATACACGCGAACCCATGATGTTATTTTGCTCACTGCTATTACTATTGATGCTGCAGCTGCAGGTCCGCGAGATCAGACACGACGGCCGCCTGTTTTGGTGTGAAACTTGTGTAATATTATAGGACCGTCGGAATGGCTCGCAGTACGTCCGACGGGCGTCTGAAAATCGTAGGAAAAACCGAAAAATGAACGGAATTCAAAAAAAAAATCAAACACGACCCGTTTCCCCTTCGGCCCGGTACCGATCGTTCATAATGTTATTGTTATTATCGTAATGTATTGCGTACGTATCTATATACGATGGTGTCGGTCCGGTCACTCGCCTGTTGGCACGATGACTAAATATAATGATCACATCGCCGTCGTCGTCGCAGTCTCGCGGTGTACGTTATTGTGTCCTGGCGGCCATCCCGCGCGCGCCGTCCGTCCCGTCGCCATGGGAACGCAGCAACCCGGCGGTCTCGCGCGATAGTGGTCCATGCGCTTTGCCGCTTTTGTGACGTATATATACGTTATATATATATATATAGGTACCTATAATATATACCTACATATTATAATAATATTATTATAAAATAAAATATTATGATTTATTTGGAGGGCTACCCAAATCAGAAAACTATTCAAAAGGGACCTATTATAGCTGTATCTGTACCAACACAATATCGGGAAATTATAATTTATAATGGAAACCTATTTTACCTGATTTAAGGAATAAATTACGAAAAATATTTAATAAGAAAATTAAACACCATACCAGTACTTTTCAGGAGTCAGGTGTTTGGCAATAGCGTCACGAGGCTATACTTTAAGAATAATTTTCCTTGAAATTTGTTTGGGATGATGGGTAGGTCGGTGGTGGGTTGATGAAATTTTGAAAGATAAATTATGATAGGTATAGAGATTACATGGTTGCAAAATATTCTAAGGATTCTACATAATATAGTTATTGAATTAGCCCAGTGGTATTACATTATAAAACACAATCATAGGTACTAATGTATCTACATATTATATGATACTTATTATAATTTCTGGGATATGAATTATGTGGTGCTACAAGCGTTTTATGTAATAAGGTAGTATCTGAGAGTTTGGGAATTCAATCTTCCTTTGAATTTTATTCAAAAGCATCTTGTTCATTATTTTCAAGATATTTGGCTACAAGGAAAAAACGACTAATACCTACTTTAATCTTACCAGTTAAGTGGGATCCACTCAGAATCTTTATTTTATTGCAATGATTTTATATTGCTTTCATTATATATAATAAATTATCATCTATCTTATTACCGCGATTGTTAAAATTTTATCGTAAAATATTTATAAAAAAAATTACTACATTAAGCACAATTTTTTTTTCAACTTTAAATAAAAACTTATAATGAACATCTTTGAAATTTTCAAGTATTTCTGTTTGGTTAAACAATGTTATCCATTTAATACTTACGAAACTAAAACTAAGAAAAACTTGAAAATACCAAATCCCAACAAATAACTCAAAAATGTCTCGAAAAACTGTACACCAGAAAAAGTAATATTTTATGAATCATCAGATCCCTACGATTATTTTTATCATTATAACAATAAAAAACAGAATTAAAAAAATGAAACTACTATTTTCGTAAACTTTCCCGTTTTTCCTTTGTTTTTTCTGGTTTTGCCAAATGATTGTGAAAAGTACACGGAAAATCAGAAAACACCTGGCGGTGGTTTTTCGTGAATGGGAGTGGGTGCAGAAAATGTTTTCCTAACACATTCAACTTTCAACTTTACAAGTATATGGGATATTATTGAAGGACAGAAAAGAGTTAGGGTAAAATGGGGAGAAAAATGAAATGTTAGAATGAATGACAAGTAGGGGATTATGATTGAGGTAGGGGTTTTCGATAGTCCATAAGCGTATAATTTGGTATATTAAACGCTGTACGTGGTGGATTAACTATGAAAGGAGCGGGAACATACAACTATAATGAAACGGATGAAATAAAAACCAAAAATATATTATTAAAGAAACAGATCTCTTATTTTTCTTATGGTTTCTTTTAATACTGAGCACAGGTATAGCCGTACGGGACAACTAATATCTTCTTCTTCTCCTTCGACTTCATCTCAACTATGTGGGGCCACCCTTGTCTTAAACTTGACCCTATCTCCAACTTTGCATAAACAGACTATCCTCATATTATTTGACAGGATTTTACACCGGCTGTCGACCTGACGCGACCCTATTTGTTGACTTTTACGACAGGTATAGGTACCGTGGGAGTATTCTGATCCCTTTAAAATCATTTTTTGTTAGCAATGGTTTATTGTTGCTTAGAGATATAAATTAAATAACTTTATATTATATACCGAATACTATTCGATAGTTCTCATCACTAATTATAATATTAACATGATAAATGGTATTATTTGTTATTATTATTTATAATAGTTGCTAATGTGCGCACGCCGCACCCCCGCCGTACTGCATTGGTGGACGACGGGCCTTAATTCGTCAAATAAGTTTATTCAACGAATAGTTAGCCCACAAATAAATGTGTTACCAGGCCCTTAATCAACTATCAAAGTTATATAAATAAAAACGAGAACTATAAAATCCACTTATACTCGCAAGCTTACCGTTATACCTAATTCAGTTAAATCACGTTTTTTTAAGATATTAATTACTTCAATTACCTATATCAACCGAAAATAAGTGATAACCACTTCTTACAAGTAATTTTTTCTAGTCGATTTTTAACAATACATTATAACATGCAGTCAAACAGTCGTATTTGCGTGAAAACTCAAGACACTTTAAAATACATTATACCGTGCTTGGAACTAATCATTCTATTATTTTTGACAAGAACACGATATGGCTAACCGGTACTCTGGAATTATGTGTTTTTTTTTCTCAAATACTTTTTGTAGTTTGCATGTGTTAGTATTATGATAAAATGCATATAAATTGTAAGTTTTCCTATATTATAAATAATTGTAGATTATTAATTCAAAAATCAATATCAAAGTTAAGAAATAAACTATTAATTGTGATTTGCCTGAATGTAAGATATTTGAAAGCTATAATTTTAGTGGCAATAAGTAATAATACTAATTGATAACTATAATTGTTTGGGCACCGTTGTTTTGTGTATAGCGCTGTGGGCATCAAACATTCACAAAAATCCGACCGTCATTCATCCCGTCCTTATTGCGCTTTGTGTCCCTTCCCCGGCCACGGTCAACCAGTTCGCGATGCTTCTTCATGTGCAGCAATTCAAAACGTCTCGTACCGTCCATTTTCGTCATGCAAATCATTCGACGCCGTTCGCGACTGCCATTATTATCGTGTTTTCAACCGTGTTACCGATTAACGTGCGTCAACAGATATTGCCGCTCTCAATGGGCACCATATTACTCTCGGCTCGCGTCAGGTATTCGTGTACGTCGCACGAGTTCAGTGATCCATAGTCCGTTACATCTGTATTACACGCCACACAGGTGTGCGTGTGTACCCGACATCGATATCGCCTAAAATACTTAATCGTACGTCCAACACCCGGTGCCCCTGTGCCTTTTCACTCCGTGATAGAAAATCCGCCATTTGTGTCGTTCTACGCCGCTTGAATTGTACATCGCACTCGTAACGCGACCCATCTGTTCAAGTCGCGTTAAGTTCTTCTAAAGTTGCCATTCGATAACCCCCTCGAGGTATTTTGGCCGCCGACTGATGCGTAACTGTGCGCTACGCATTCACGTACGTCACGCCACTGGTTAAGGTGGCCAATTCACCATATTATCGTCACAGACCTATCTGCGTTCCACCGTGTGTCCGTATCATCACCATCGTAACAGATACAATCTTTATCATTGGTACTTGTATCGCTTTCTGCTTTAACCTATATACGGCGGTCAGCGCGCTGAATAGGCAATAAGAAATCGGTTCGACTTTTTTGTGGTTTCTGTTGCGTATGATCATCTAAAATTGCATTCTAAGAACGATAGTGAAGTCAGAATTGAGCGAAATAGCTTAGTTTCAAAATTGTAACTTGTTAACATTATATTTATTATGTCTGTCGTAGTCTAATGATAGCATGTACATATTGTCATCCTACAGATTGCGTGTTCACACCCGTGTTTCGAAAAAAATTGTTTGCATTTATTTTTTCCTTTTTATCTAAACTGAGAAAAAACAAATACATTATAGGTGTACCTAAAGACCCAAGCCATCACTCACTTGGATTATTTTAATCGAAAAATATTTAATTTGTTGTGCAAACTTTTCTACCAGAAATCTTGCTTCGATGTGCCAAGTAGAGCACATTTTCTAAAAACAAATTTTATCTACGTGTTACTCTAAGGAGGCCATTTTTTGGTTTTCCAAGCGGTTTTCATAATAATAGAAAAACCGAGAAAAACATAAGAAAACCGGAAAAAAACAGGAAAATAGATACAATATTTTTAAAGAAAAAATATATAATGCATATCATTTTAACATAATATGACGTAGATATATATTGTTGACAAATTAACACTCTCAACCGAAATCCGCTCAGAATCGTTTGTTCGTTATTAGTGATTAATCATTGCGTACAGATATAAATTAAATTCCTACCTTCCAACTTCCCACATATAACAGTGGCTGCAACCGTCCCCATTATCCTAGGACAGCTTTGTTCTAATGTTTTTGAGAAATTGCAATAATGATATTGACCTATAGTTAGATACTTTTTTTTTACTCCCTATTAGATTCTGAGTGAAGCGAGGGGTCTATTGATTTTACTAGGTTGTGTATTTTTTATTTTTATGTCTGTTAATTACTTTTCTCCCAGAAATCATATTTTTAAATTCTCATATAATATATAATATTCGAAATAATAATGAAATTTGGTTCTTTAGGTTAAAAAAAAAAAAAGAGATTAAAAATAAGGTTTTCATTGGCAATCATTTTTATTATTTTAGATTCTGAGTGAAACAAGGCACTTAATTTTTTAGTTAGTTTTTGTTAAGCTAAAATATGTATCACCTGTTATTTTAGGACTCCAATATACCTTAATCGCTAATTATTTATATAACTCCTTAATTTTACAACATAAAATTAAAACAAAATGTGTAGCCTTATAAAAGAATGTATGAACCACTAATAATTACAAGAAGGAGACATGTTCCAAAAACCAAATTTTACAAAAGGCACAAAATATTATCTATGCAAGACTGAGAAGAAGATAGGTGTACAAATTAATAAATCACGTTATTCTCCAACTTTTTAAAAATTTATCATCTTGACTAAATCATACCTAGAACCTACTAGCGAAAATAAACAACCTACCAAATTTCTCATTCCTTAAATATATTAAAACTCATCCGCTCAAAAAGTTAAAATACATTAATCATATATAGGAAGTTGATATTCTGAAAGAATGTGTGGAAGAAATCTGGAAGAAAAGATGGCTTTAGCCATCTTCGAATTTAATCGAAGTGTCATAACTCAACCCTTATCACAATTCAAGGGTAAGGGGTACCAGGATTTGAATTTCCCCGAGCCCAATGAACTTCTTTAAATAAAATAAGAATGGACCAAGGAAATGTAACGAGGTACTGCATAAATGGGGCATGACTCAATTCCCTTTATGCGCCTGTTGTGAAGTACAGTCGGTTCAACACTTAACTAATGAATGCCCAACAACAAAATTCATCAATGGTACTGAACAACTGCATAAAGGGAGCCCAGATGCTCTGAAATGGTTGCAGACAAATCTAGGAATAAGACTGTAATCACTAGTATATTAGTCAAAACCACGTTTTCACAGTAATTAATTGATATATTTAGCGGTTGATATTTCCATAACGATTTAATGGACTAGTCCATAGGCGAAACTAGACCGCCAACTCATCCTATTAAATACTCGGTTCTTCATTCAAAATTGTCTTATATTATACTATAAATATGTTTTGTTACCAGATTATAGACAATTTAGTATAGAGAGTTAGAGGGGAAAAGCTCCTCACGAATACTTGACATTGGTAAGAGCACCCAATAGTTTTTTGAAAACCTGACGCCTATGCCTACAGCTGTAGAATATTTAATTACACAGAAATAATCGGGATCTTCTATAATATAATACAAATTTTATCATACTATTATTTAATAATAACAGATGGATCTAACATCATAAAATTATTGATGAAATTAAAACAAAAGGTATCAAAATATTGAAGGGACTGGAGGGAAATATCTATTTCCCATTACGATTGTAACCTCTTGCTTTTTCATATTTTCTTTAATAATTTATATGTATTATGATTATTATTTTTGAATAATTACCTAAAATCTAAATTTTGTTATTTAAATTATTAAATAAAATGACCATGTCCTGTGTGGCTTACTACTGTTCAAATCGGTATTCCGCTAGTAGGTAATTCTGCAATACATTTTTTTCAGTACGTACGTATAAAATATGTATTTGATTAATTTTTTAAAACTAGATAATATTTTTTGTTTCTAATTGTAATGTGCATTCATTATTACATTTAAAACTAAGATTATATCGCGTCGCTAAGTAAAAAACGAATGATGTTATTAGTAAACGTCATAGGAATGCTAACAAAATAAATTTTATTTAACAACCAGAACCTAGGTGTGAAACGTGCAATTCACAAATATATATCATTATTATTACCCATATTATTTTTTTATTTTTTATTTATTTTAAACCCTGTATGTACCATTTTTATACCTACCTATATGAAACATACTTTTTGTATCTGCCAACAATTGGTGAAATATTAACTTATTTTTTGCAGAAATAGGTAATATAGTTAATAGTGGTAGTAATTAGTTGGCACCAGAAAATCTTGAATTCTGATTACGAGGTATACAAATTAATTATTATTTCTTAGGATATAATTGATGTTATGCCACCGAAAACATAGCGGATGCATATTCAATAAGAACATGTCGCCCAGATGTCACTATTCCCAAATTAAAACGCCAGTAGTTCGCTATCGGAGACCTGTATTTGTTTGAAAAATGATAAGAGCCTCGAGTACAGTTATTTTGAAATGTTGCTGGTAATACCAACATAATATTTTTATTTTTAATAAAAAGCAATTTGATATTTTAAATATGTGTTGCACTGATTTCATCATTTATACATACTATTGTCTTATAAGTTATAATAAAACCTTATAAACTTAAAACTTTATTTAATCTGTCGCTAAAGAGTTAGGTTAAGTTAAATAAATTGAAATGTATTTACTTATTGAAGCTTAGTTTGATGTGGGGTAAATTAGTTATCATGTTTTTCAATCAATCAGTTTTCAAATGTTTTAAATAACATCAACCTGTATACTAAATCTTTAAATAAATTATAAAATATATCATTTTCCGACATATGAGGATAAATAAATTTTGTCTTATATTATAATTACATAATTATTGTATATTTAATTTTTACAATTATTTTAAAAAATATTCTAACTATATTCTTGTACCTATAATAATTTTTTTAATTCTTTCTTGAGAAAATATTCTAGTATTATAACTTTTGCTTATATCTACTATTAAACACAGTTATGTGAAAATGTTTTCGGCAAAAATGAATTCAATCTAAAGTAACATAAATAGTAAAAGTAATTACTTCAATAGCATAATCTGTACATAAATACAATATACTCATAACATTATTTTTAAATAACCGAGATATTTTATTCTGTTACATTGGTGTACACGTATGCGATCAGTGATAAAAATGTCTTATCATTTTCGACTCAGCACCCTTAGATCATATACATATACCGTATATAATCTAAGCCAAGGGACCAATGCTTGAAATGTGATAAATTTTTATCAAATGTAAAAAGTGCTATTCTTGAAAAATGATAAAATTGTATTGATCATTAGCCATATAATTTTTGACATGATATCAATGTTATCTGTGTTATTATTAAAATTATTTTAGGTTCTACGATAGGTAATAGGTATTGCTATTTTTTTTCTTCTTTTAAACGGCTACAAATGGGTACTAAAACATTATAATATCATTATCGTGGCTAAATTTAACAAGAAGGCGTCATTATTTGTTTCTACAACCCGAAATCGACAAAAATAATGACACAGAAAAATGTTTAGATTGACAAAACAACATTCAGTTTGGAGGCAATAGTTTCCCACTCATCTCTGGCTATTTTATGAGTAAAATAGAATGTACATTTTCTAGCATTAAGTTTTGGGTCTAGAGTAGTGTTTCCATATATCCCGATACACCAGGACATGTCACCAATGACCATGAATTTAATCCCAATCGTCCCATTAGACCTTCCTAAAGAGGGGTGGACTATTTGCGTTACAAGCCAGCTGGTGATTTTTGTACATCAGGCCATCACTATTTAAGCACCACTATTCTCCTCCAACTTAAACTTAAAAATGGAATATCTCATTAACGGCTTAACAGAAATCAAAAATGTTATACACTTATACTACATCTATTTATGGAATTTTGTGCACATTTCTCATTTTAACTTCCTATTAATTTTTAGAAATGAGTAGTGTGAAGAAACTTAATTAATTTGGTAATGATGCATTTTGAAATCAAATGTTTGCTTTGGCAAAAAAGTTTAAAAATACAATATTATATTGAGGTGATGTGAGAATATTTCAGTATTTTATTTAAAAAAAAAAATCATACATATAAATGTTATCAGTTAAAAATAATTCTATTCAAACAATATAAATTTTATTGTATAAATTCTCATAATATTTTAATGTATACATAAATTAACGATAATGTCATAAACAGTATACAAATAATTATGTTAACTTTAAAAAATATTGTATCCCATAGTTTTAGCTGAAGTATTAAAAATAAATTGAATGGCAAATAACCATTAAGAAAAATGTATACAAAAATTAAAATAAAATAAAGAATTAATAGACACCAAATAATTTATGTAAACAAATCAAGTTTTTAAATAATAAATTAATTACAGATAAGTATACAAAAATTAACGATGTTCAAAAATAATTCCCGAATGATGTTTCACAACTTTAAATGGGTGGCTTCTGGTTCGACCTCTGTAAAAAATCAAACAAATCTTAAAATAACATTTTTTTCCTTCATTTTTAATTTCATTAATTGAGCAAAATGGTATAAAATAAAACTTAAAACATTCAATATTTTAACATATTAACCTTTACACTTGTATTATTTTTCAATTATTACCACAAAGATTTTTTTAATTAATTTTTTTATTATACATATTTTAATAAATAATAAAATGAAAAAAACAATTAGATTAATTTGTTAATAAATTGAACATATTATAGATATATATTTTGAACTTTCATATTTAAATGTTAAAATATATCTTTTGATTTTATAAACACATGTATTTTTTTCTTTCTTTGCACTATGAGATATTTCTTTATGTCAAATTTAAAATCCTAAAACCTTTAGAATCTAGATCAATGGGAAGTACCTCATAGGTGAAAGATAGAAAGTGAAAGAAATCAACTTAAGGGAAAGAATGCGCACAGTATGTCATCTGATACGCATGTCTTGTCCCACATTATTACGTCATTATTTTCTATTCATTTAATTCAATATTCAAATTTAACAAATATACTAAAGTCTCAAATGGGTTTCAAAAAAACTCAATCCAAAAATTCCAAAAAACTGGCGATTATAATTAATTTGTCACATATAAGCCAAAATTTATTAACTCAGTTCCTGGAGAAACAAATACAAACAATAAGAACAAAACGAATTCAATAAAAACTCATGTACAGAGTACATTAAATGATGTTTTCACAAACTCACATGCAAATGACTCCGATATTTCCAACCAATCAAAACCAAAACGAAAAGAAACTTTTCATTTACATCAGCAGTTCCAGTTAAGGAACTTTTTTATCGGTGGTGCCTTTATTTGGAGTCAATTTGGTCACAGTGCCCTTCCTTGAATACCACGAGGAATATACATAAAAGATCAACATTAATTGTCATTAATAATAAGTAATTAGTTTTTAAAAATAATACAATATAAATATTTTAGCATACAGCTGACTGAATACATATTTTCATAAGATTCATTTTGAAATTTATAAAAATTACAATAAATTATAAATAATTTTTTATGAGTCACAGTGCCAATTGAAAGTACTCACGGTGCCCCTAGAGGAATGTGGTACTCAGTTTGAGAACCACTGATTTGCATAAACTAATTCAATAACTGAAAGAAAGTAAATAAAAACAAGCCCATATTCACATCCTCAAACAGATTCTCTGAACTCGACAACGAAAATGTCAAAAACTATAACCACAACCTAACCAAATCATTGATGAAATATTCAATTTTTTAGTTTAAACAGGGAGAGTAGTGAAACACTATGTATTTATGTGGTGGCACGGCAAGTATTTGACAGAATAGTGTTCTACTACTCTCCTGTCTAAACTAAAAAGTTCATCAATAAATCAAAAACTTCAAAACCAATATTTTTTTGTACAAATACTCCATCTATCAATGGAATTTTGAATATAGATTTCCATTTGAATTTCAAAAGTTGACCTCAAAAATCTCCCTCAAAAGGGTGTCTAAAAATTTCAAACCCACATATAATTTTATTTACCAAAAATGTTTTGTTATATATTATTCTTTATTTTTCATATTTATAGGAGAAAATTGATATAACATAAAATTTTGTACACTGTATAATCTAGATTTTATGTTAATTGATATGAAATCAATACATTGGTAGATTATTTAATTAAAATTTATTACTGTCAAAGGATACAAAGTTGCATCGTTTATGTTAAAACTCTAATAATTTAAAAAAAATAACAAATATGTATAAATATTTGTTTTGATTTAATCCTAAACCTAGTAAACTAAACAAGTATACATAATTTATTGGTTTAAACGAAAAATTTAAAAATGAATAGCTTGGTGATTGCCTGAACAACTCTTTCTTTTAATCTAAATCTATAATATCTAATATAACTGTATCCAAGAAAAATACATATTTTTTACACTGTTACATTAACCAAAAATCACTTTGATTTGTTTGCATAATTTCTTTAATTTTAAAAGATTTTGCTTTTGAACTTGTATAGTTTAACAATTTGAATATTTAAAAAAATATTACTTAATATTATTACTTACTAAATATTATTTATTATTGTTAACATGAAAAAATAGGTCTATATAATTATTACCTTATATTGTATAAAATAGTTTTAGTTTTAGGAAAATCTGAATGTCCCCAAGTCTCCATCATTACTTCAAAACATATAACGAGACGACCAATTAAGTTGATCAGCAGTTCGTTTATGTCTTCATTTTCAATTTGTTTATGAAAAACATTGATTTCTCTCTCCAATTCCTGTAGTGATGCATTTAATTTAATTATAATATAATAATGAATAATTATTTATTAACTGTACATACTCTAACAGAGTTATTATTTGTAGAATTTAAAACAGATATCCCTTCATTTGTAGTTGGCATGTTTAACTGAAGTGCAAAAATAGGATTACTCACTGGGTAGTCACATTTAATTGCCATAACAACAATCAATGTTGCTGTCGAATCAAATTGTACAATAAACATAATTTCAGTATCTTATATCAACCTGTAAATTATTCATTATTCTATACCTGTTTTATAATTTATTACGCGTTTGAATAATAAATCATTTTCTGTCACTGTTCCAAATTCAATATGTGGTATACAATATTCAAGATTTTTAAAATTATCCCAGGACATTGTATTCCATGGAGATAACACTGAAGTTAAATTAACTCCATTTACACAAAACCTTCGCTCCAAGTCTGCAATAATACAAAAATATTTTACAAAATATTAAAAATATTAACTTGATTCTTTAATAAGAATCAATAACTTCTTACCACTACAGTCTAGTTGAGTAATTAAAGATAATCGAGTTTTAAGGCGATTATTTATTGCTTTAAGTACTTGAGCAATATGATTTCTTGAAATTAAAAAGTCAGATACACTATTGGGAATTAAAAAATCCAAACCGCATATGCTCTGAGCCCAAATATAAGGCTTACCAACATCCAAAGTGTTGAACTCAGTTTTCTCCTGTAACATTATATAATAATTAAATCTTCAATGTTATGAAAGGTTACTTGACAATAGATACTAACTTCTTCTAGCTGATGAAAATTAACAATATGCGGACTTTCTGTGCCATTGTCACCAGGGAATAATGCATCAAGTATAGAACTTGGTGAAAGTAATTCTCTAGAGTAGGACGAAGAAAATCCTTCCCAAGATGAAGTGACAGTAACAGTAATTAAGTTTAAATTGACCAAATAAAAAAATTCCATAATAAACTGAGTATTATTTTTTAAATTTAATGTTAACTTAACAGACAAGGGATGTTTAGATAGTAAATTTTTCTGAGGTGCAGACTTAGTATCAATCCGTGATTTTTTATGGTGTCGTTTCTTTTGTTTAGGCATATCTATTTCCTGTAAAACCAAAAAATGTATTAATTATTTAAATTAAAGAAAATGTTTAAGAAATCAAATATAAATAAAACAAATAATAATAATAATAAACAACCGTAAATAAAAATAAAAATCAACCATTAAAAACTTAATTAATACTAGTCCAGTAAAAATTTAAACCATAAAGAATAAACCTTCCCATGGTTGAATCTAGGGCTCACAATTTTGAAACTTGTTTATTAAACCGTGTATTTAATGATAAAAGAGTATTTATTAATGAACTTAGTATTTAATAATTAACAATTATTCAAATATTTAAAACAAATCCAGCTAAAAAAAATACTAGAATATATGTAAATACTTAGGAATTTATTTAGGTTTTTTTTAAATTTATTTATAATTTCTGAAATCTGATATTATCTGCTCCCACTTCCTGAACTTTTACTCTGGAATTGTGCATCAATACGCAACTTTTATTAAGAAAAAACAAATATTTAATAATAGACAAGTTTTATAAATTACACAGTATACCATAGTTGAAACAATGGTATTGTCATCAGTAAAATTATATAAAAATAATAAGCCTAAACCAAGAACTGCCCAACAATAATTTTAATGACGATGCGATGCAGTTAAAAGATAACTAAAATATAGAAATCCTTTAATAAAAACACAACTATGGATTTAACAAACACAATCATGAAACAAATATGGGCAGCCATGGTAAAGAGCGACATCCTCATGTGCAAGATATCACCAGGACACTTAATAAAGTCCGTATTTCTCGGGGTATAGGTGTAGAACCCTTACACAAGGGGCATAGAGAATTTGCAATAATGTAACAGCAGAGCAGTTCATCATTAGTCACATCACTTTTAAATGCTCAATGCTCCCATCGGGGATCTAGAAGAAATTGTCTTAAAACTCCTCCCAAATTCATTCAATGGCAAGAGCAATGAAAAGAAACTCTAATGCGAAATATACCAATTTTCTGCCTGAATAGCAATATTATTCATTGTTATTCATATTACTATAGATTTTATTTTTACTTTTATTTTGTTCTATATTAATTTATCGTGTGTCACTACCATATTATTATTAATCCATTGCATGTGATTACAGATCATATGCTCAATAAATAAAATATATACATATTTTATTTTGTATAATTACCTATACAAAAAAAAAAAAAAAGACTTCCAAAATTTTAAACATACTATAAAGAAATTATATAATACAACATTTAAAAATGATTTAATTAGATATGAAATATAGACTATTTTGAAAGGTTTACAATTTAAATGCCTACAGATATAATACTAAGATATCTTGATTAAATAACTAATTCATATATTTTAAAAATGTTAATGTATAAAATAATATATTATTTATATTATTTACCTCATCAGAATTAGTGTCATCAACATTATTCTTATTAAAATCAAAACGTTTTGCTTCTTCTTCATCGCCATTAGTTGAAACAGTAAATTTTGATTCTAAAATATGTTAAAATAATTACAGTTATTAGTAAGACTAATTGTTTTACTTAATTTATACTGGTGTATAAACATACATATTGATATAAGTTCATATTATCTATGTATGTATATTAATGAATACATTCTTTTAGTATTGAATAGTATTCAACTGTTATTACCTACTATTATTATTTGTTACCTTTGTGAATTTTTTTTCAATATTATAGTTTAGGTTAGATAAGTGACTGGCCAACCTGCACTGTAAACTATAAATATATTATTTGTTATTTATTATTTTTATGCATTGTGGGTGAATTATTATAATAACAGATATTATTTATAAAAAATTAAATTGTGAAGCAACAGCTTCAAATCAGTGACAGTTGCACTAGCGCAAGGTTATGAATTATTAACTCTGGTGATGATATTAGTAAACCAAATTGGTTTCTTTTAATTGATTATAAGTCATTTCTATTTTATTCAAGTAGGTACAGGCATTTACAAAGTCCACTTGATCATAATAATATACCTATTGTATTTAATTGTATTACATATTTATCTATTGGGCCAAAAAGACCATAATATTTATTTGGTATGTGTACCACAATTAACTAGTTAATAATAATTACAATGTTTCATTGAATTATATATATATTTATTAGTTGTTACCCTATTATTTATAACTCACCATTAACAATTTTATTGTCTTGCTGTGATTTTAGATTCTGAGTGGAACAAAGAAGCTTATGATTTTACAAAGACCTTTTTTTTCTTTTGATCTGTGCGCAGGTTTTCTACCGAAGACTTGCTCAGATTTTCAAGTGTAACACATTTTTCTAAAAGGAAATTTCACTAGGGAGGTACTTTAAAAAAGTAATTTTTCAATTTCTCAGGAATTTTTCCAGCAAATGTGAAAAACATGGGAAAAATCTAGGAATATTGGTACTACATTGAACAAATATTATTAAAGAAAATATATAGTCTATTTAATTATTTTACTATAAAATGACATATATATTATTGACAAAGTATCATAATAAACTAAACTCCACTCAGAATCGTTTTTTCATAAGAAATTGTTTATCGTTGCTTACAGGTAAAATATTAAATTATCTATAACAATGGCTGCATCCATCCCCACTATACTAGGATTTTTTTTTTTATATATATACTTTTTTGTTTTTGTTGATTAATTTATTCGTACCAGTAATACAAGTTATTGTTTACCCTTTTTGTCCCTAGTTTTAAGCACACACACACACTGCACAATAATACTTAAAGGTGACCCCTTCCACTTCTTTTGAGTTACTATATTCATACTAGGTGAACCATTTAAGAGGGTACGCTCATTATCTCGGAAAGTATTAACTTTTTCCGAAATTAGTTTTCTAGAACATTTAAAAAATGAGCTGCTCTAAAATTGTATATTTATGGGGTATTTGGGGGTAAAACCACTACCTACTTTTGATTTTTAAACGGCAACCTATATTAAAAATTCCATAAATATATGGAGTATTAATTAAAATACATTTTTGATGGACTTTTTAATATAGATTGCCATTTGAAAATCAAAAGTAGGTAGTGGTTTTACCCTCAAAAATAACAAATAAATATAAAATTTTAGAGCAGCTCATTTTTTAAATGTTCTAGAAAACTAATTTCGGAAAAAGTTAATACTTTCCAAGATAATGAGTGTACCAATTTAAATGGACCACCTGATACATACACAACAAATATACAAGCGATTGGTGATTTGTGGTGTTGACCTAACATGTTGGTGACCGGGCGCATATTAATATTTTATGCTCCTGGCCGGTTCAGTATTCAAATAATTAATTGAATTATTAACTTTTAGATATGTTTGGAACTAAATAAAGGTGCTGATATTTTAAAAATACGAGGGCTAATCAAAAAGTATCAAGACTAGTAGTATCATTCGGAAAAGGATCATTGAAGAGCAGTAGGATTGGTATCACTTGCTTCTATGACTTTTTCTGAGNGATTTTAGAAAATCTGTCTGCATTTTTTTCCAGTTTAGAGTAACTTGACAGATTTGGAGATTTTAGAAAATCTGTCTGCATTTTTTTCCAGTTTCAGAGGGATGCAGACAGATTTGGAGATTTTAGAAAATCTGTCTGCATTTTTTTCCAGTTGTGCCCTCGAGTGGCAGCGAGTTCTGCTTCTTTTGGATTCATTACGAAATCGCCAAACGTGAAAAACAAATTTTAGAAAAATATCGTCAAATCAAAACGAAGAAGTTTATAGAGATTTTATACGAATAGATGTGCTCAGTATGTCATAGAAGCTAGGTTTACAAATCGTTTTGCTCTTCAACACTCGGTTGCCGAGTAATATTATCAGTCTCGATACTTTTTGATTAGCCCTTGTATAAAGTATAACCAAAAATCAATAAGCTGAGAAACTTTAAAAGATAGTTTTCTTACGCATGAGGAATCCTACACAGTAGTAACATATTATTATTTTGTCATCAACTTTTCCTCTTCAGAAATTGTTATTTTAGAAAAAAACTTACTACAAGCTTCTTTATATGCATCTGTTTGTATGTATAAATAGTATAAGGGCTTAGGCAATAAATGCACAATATCTGGATATGATCTTGGTTGACAAGGAGCTGATCCAAAACTCTGTTGTAAAGGTTGAGCAGCCTAAAAATAAATTTAATTTGGTTTTAGCAAACAGTTCAATTTATGTTATTACTAGAGATGTGACAAATTGTGACTGAACTGAGCCGAATTTGGGGTCTTCAGTTTGACTCGAAAATCAAACTTAACCAAATACCCATTAGTTCAGTTCGAAAATCATTTGATGTTAATGGTCACTAATACAATGTTCTGTGATGGGACAGAGCAGACTTGTTAAGAAAAGAAAAATTATATTTTTCACATTAGTTGGTCTCATAATAGTAAATTAGTAATTAGTAAAGGTCATAAAATTTAAACTAACCTTTTTACTTAATGTTTGAATTCGATAAAATATTTTAAAAGTTTGGTATGGTTTGGTTCGACTTTAAAAATCAGTGTTTGTAACATCTCTAGTTATCTTATACAATAAAACAATCTTACGATATTATCATACTATATAACAATACCAAACAAAAATATAAAGTAATATGTTTGATATAAAATTGTTAATGGAAGTACAAATTTGTATTTCTTTAATAAATTATTTAACAACATAAACTTCACAATAAAAAAATAATAGAGTAAAAACAAAATTATACATTAGTTAAGTTTTAGAAGAATTGCACTTTCACAATGAAATAAGAAAAATAATTATAATATTTTAAATATTTAAATTGATTTTAAAAATATATATTATATCAATACATTGTAGATAATAAATAATAACCAAATAATTTATATTTCTTAACATATTTATGTCTAATAATAACTAATTTTAAATGATCTCTCCTATTAAAATTAACTATTTTTATATTTTATGTAAAACAACCAATTTGCATAATTTTTTTTTTTCTATGTATTCCTTCATTTAATTTTTTTTATATTCAGTTGCGTTTTACATTTTGACTGCAATATACTTGATGATGAATTTTTAATTTGAAACCAGTCGTATAATACACTTATTATAATACTCCAGGCGACACATTGATTCATTTATTGACTTTATTTTTATACATATATTTTTTGTTTGTATATTTATTTACTTTATAAACTTTACACTATACCAGTGGTTTCAAACTGGATTCCACAAAGATTCAGTAGATGTACCTGTCTTTTGAAATTTTTTCTATAAATTATCAACATAAGTTTGAAAACTACTGCACTATGTAGAGGAAAATAAATTAGGTATATAATTGATTATAATTTTTAAAACAAATTAAATTTTGAATGGCTAAATAAATTGCTCAAGTGAATTGCTCTTGATAATTTATAATACATAAATAAATAATTATGTGTAACACAAACATATTTTGAAAATATTGATTTCATAAATTAAATTAAATGCCTTACTTTCATAACTACTTATATATATACTATATCTATGTTCTAATTCAAATGTATAAAATAAAATAAATTAAATGTATTAAAAATTAAGAATTAAGAATAATTTTGTAATGATTAGGAGGGAAAAAATTGAAACGATTCTTACGTATATATACTTTGGACATATACAAAATATTTTTGCTAATTAAATATTAAATTGATGTAATACATAAAAAGGTAAACTTACATTGCGTATATCTTTAAGCATAGGTAATATACTTTGAAAAATTCTACTTTGTTCCTGAATCTCAGAAAGTATAGTTTCTTTACTTTTTTCTACTTCATCACATTGTTTTTGTTGAGTTTGCCTTTGTTCAAGTTCCCATTGAAGACGTCTAATATGTAAATCATGGTCGCTTATCAATCCATTATTAAGTTTATCCTAAAATAAAATAATCATCTTGAATATATATATAATAATAATTAATTATTTAATATGCATACAATATCCTCATCTGATATAGGTGACTCTTGGCAAAAGATATCAAGTGGGACAAGATCAATAACACTATCACTAGATCTAAAACAATTTTTTTATTAATTATAATTAATTTAAAACAAATATACATTTTCTCAAAACCATACTTGTATTGTAGGCACTTAGAAATTTCTTTTTTTAAATAAAACCACTCATTAAGCAGATTCTCTTGTTGTAAATGTTTGCTATCAATTTCTAGTTTCTTTTTATTTGATCGTTCTTTTTTTTGTCTTGAGCGTATTTTATCAAGTCTGTTAAGTTTTTTTAATATTAAAAACAAATGTATTGCATCATTTCGAAATTGTTCAATTTTTTCTTTCTAGAGTAAGTAAATATTAAAAATTTAATGTTAAATATTCATTGTAAAAATAATAATAGATAAGGTATACAAATTAAAACAATTATAAATATCTATACAGAACACAACAAATGATCTGATTAAAAATTAATACAACTTACTGGTTGATCATCTTTGTTTTTTAACTCATGAATCCATTCTATTATATCTCTCCATTTTTGTAAAGTATTAAAATAAATATTAGAATCATTATTTTCTTCTCTATTTAATGTTTGTTTTTCTTCATATTTTGCTACTGCCTATAAAAACAAAGTGTTTTATTTTAATCTACTTATATATTTTTTATAAACAGGTACCTATTAAATAAACTAAAATCAAGTACATAACTAATATTATTAAAATCAAAATATTTAGTTCAAAGTTTTACTACAAATAACAAATGATTGTTAAATAGCACATAACTCACTATTATATACTTGGTCTCAAAAAAAGAAGAGCTTAAGTCAACTTTGTATAGTTTTCAATACAAGCAAATTATATTTTGAAAATACATACATACAAAATCTTTTGTACTCTGTACTTACAAATCCAGATACAGTAAAAAAATAACACAAATTGATAAAGTGGCGCTAATGTGTTTTACAAATAAACAACCACTTTCTTCCCTGTGACCAATAATACACAGAATACCTACATGTAAGTCTACTCATCAATAAGTATATTAATACAATTAATGAATCATTAGTAAACATGCGTGTTACACCAAAATTTTGTTCAAAATAAAATTTATAAAATTACTATCTTGAATGGTTAAAAAAAACTTAACTAATATTACAAGGTTAAACTATTAATTTTATAATATATTATAAAGCTTGTTTAAACTACTTAATCTTGTTTTGTTAGAACTGAAATTATGAGTAAAATGATTTACTTTACCGTGTAAATATCAGCTTCCGAATCTTTAGTCCTAACAATGGTCATTGGCTTACTTTGCAATGCTTTTTCACTCATTGCACCAGGCAATACATTCGTTTCTAAAAATCAATATAAAACTAATGATGTAGAACAAATTAAAAAATAACTTACAATTTCAAAATTTGTCACCTAAAATCAGACTACTTTTAAAGAAACTAACGAGCGTCACAAGCGACACAACTAGCGTCTTGGGCATAGATTATGATATAACTCAATTCGTGGTCTAAGGAGAAAAAACGCCGAATGTCTGCAAGATGGCCACCTTAGGCCCATAATATTTGTTCCAATAACCATTTGTTCCACAAAATATTTGTTCCTATAATCATTTGATCAACAAAATATTTGTTCCACAAAATGTGTGGAAGAAGTATTTTGCAGAACAAGTGATTTTGGAATAAGTAATCATTAGAACAAATGATTTTGGAAGAAGTGTTCAAATATTTGTTCTACAGTATATTTGTGCCACAAACCATTTGATAACATAGACATTTAGTCCGCTAAACATTTCTTCCAATGACCATTTGTTCCATAAAACATTGGTTCCACATTATGTTTTGTGAAACAAAGTATCGCGGAACTAAAGTTCATTGAAAGAAACATGTGCGGAACATAAGTGTGTTGGATTAAATTTTTTTTGGAAGAAATGTGTTCACTAATTACAAAATATTTGTTCCAACGGACTAATGTTTTACAAAAATGTGTGTATTTGAAAATTGGGTCCCATGTATTACGCCGATGATATAGTTTTTTAACAATCGAGCCAATCGAGCGAACTCTCAGTTCGGTACCATACTGTCGAAATATTTGCATTTGTGTGTGTATGAGTGTGCGTGTTCTCCTCTGAAATGGGAAATGGGGCAAAAGGGGGAAGTTAGCTACGTTATAGATAGGCAATTTATTACCCTTCACTACTCCTCTGGTCTAAACTTTAAACTGTTATCTCATAAACGGTAAATCTGATATTAGTGTTATGCATAACAAAATGTTTAGAAAAATATTTTCTATTCAAATATGTGTTCAAAAGGGGGAGGTTCCTATTTGAAAATCAAAAGTATTTACTTATTTAAGGTATATGGAATAAGAGTACAAAATTAAAAATGGTTTTGAAATAAAGATTGAACGATTCCATAATGATTAGAAAAAACAGAAATCAAATTCACTTAATATCTTATGAGATAATTACTGGTTCATAATTTATTACTATGACCATTTATTCCAAAAAACACTTTTTTCACGTTTTATTCATGAAAAAAAGTAATCAAGGAACAATTGTACTTTGGAAGAAATTTTCGCGAATGTAAGTCCGACGGAACAAGTGTTTTTAGGAAGAAACGGTCAATTGTGGAACAAAGACCGTTAGAACAAAAGTATTATGGAACAAGTAGTTTGTAGGGCAAACGGGTTACACCCAATTTACATTCATAGTCCATAAAATAATACAAATAATTTATTAATTAAAAGAATCATTCAATTTTGTTTCATCAAATGATGAATATTAGATCAATTTTTTTACTATTTCATTTTGGTCATTATTATAGGAAAAAAAAAAATTAAATAACATTTCGATTCGAACAAAAATTAAACAGATTTCCAAAATTAAAATCAAAGTGAAAAAAAAGAGCTGATACTAGGAAAGGGAGCGGTCACAGTTTTAGGTAAAAAGTTGGGAAGGTAGGATACATAAGGATACTTCATTTATATCTATAAGTAACGATAAGACATTACTTGACGAAAGACGATTTCGAAGACAGTTCACTAATACATAATTTGAAGTGTCGTCATTTTTTTTTTTTTTTTTGTGATTTTCGTTTAAATTTGATTTCAAAACGCATATTGAAAAAAAAAATGTTGTCTGATTTCTCTATGTGTATTTAGATACAGCAAAAAATTCCCAAAAATTAAAATTTTTATAAAAGTTTTACCCTAAGTAAAACAAAAAAGATGTCTTATGATTTTTCGATTAAATCATTTTTTTTTGGTAGAAAAAAACAGTCTTTTTATAAAATAACGAAATCATGAAATTGTACATTTTTTTCCTTTTAAGTGGTTTTATTTAAAAATTGACATCTTTATAGAACCAATTAGATAAATTGAGCTTTCAGAAAAGTTACTCATAAAAATATGTATCTGTGCTCAAGAGGCATTTTATTATGGAGAATTTAGAAAGAGAGAATACCCGTGAGTGTTGTTTAACTCCATTGAAGATAAGCATACTAAGGTCGATGACTAGATTTTTAAAAGATTCATTTTATCAGTAGAAACTTTTTGACTCAAATTGCCATGAAACCATCTGGTTAAGTCACAAAAAGCTGTAATGATGGTTTTAGCGTCGTCGGCAAATCTACTGCCTGGATGTTAAAAAGATGAACTAAAGAAACCATGTGCAACCAAATTACATTTTCATTTATCATGTTCGACATGACATCAGGAGCTTTCTAATTTGTAAAATATAATATCATAGTGTAATACTTTATTTTTGTACTTTTTAATTGATAAGAGAAATATACATAATCACATAAAATACATTAATTGTAGGTACATTAAAAAACAAAACAATAATGCTAAAAATAATTATAATTAGTAAATTTTAATTTTATGTTCTATCCCAGAGGTTCCCAAACTTTTATGGGACGACCCATTTTGGAAATAATTTAAGTTTTGGCGACCCATAATAATATCAATGACAAATGTATTCAAAAATATATATGATAAATATATAATAACAGGACCCATACTTTGGGAACCTCTGTTCTATCCTATTTAATACATTTATAAGATTATTTAAAAAAACTTAAGACTTGAATTTTCATTAAAATTATAAAACCAAAAAAAAAAATACTTTGTAAGTATACTTCAACTAATCAGTAAACATTTTTAAGTACAGAATACCACATATTATTTTTTTTATAGAATAAATTATGGAAGACAAAAATAATGCAGTCATAACTAGTTAACTTTGACAATAATTCTAATACTTTCTAGTTTCTATTAGGTAAAAATGTCTAATAGATTAATTTATAAGTTATATTTACAGCTAGTCCAATAATTTGTTTAATAATAATGGATTTTTTACAAGTTGATTTATAACATAAAACATGATAAATAAATAAAAACAAACAGTAAGTAACGACATAATTAAATATTTTTAATACTTAGTTATAATTTGTTGTATAATATCGACTGAAGTTAAAATATTTTAGAAAGTAAAAATCTTGAATAGTATAAGTAGAATCAAGGATATTTAATTTTTAACTACCAGAATAAAGAAAAATAAATTATCGCCATCGTGTCATAGAATCTGGCTCAGTTAAATTGTTTTTTGATCCTGAATTAGTAGCATGTCTCATCTAAATAAACAACCAAATATAATTTGAATACCATTATACATTTGGATAAATAACCAAATAAGAAGAAACCAAATAAGAGATAAATAATTTTCTATGCAAATAATTACATTTAAAACTATCACTGTAAATTATAAGTTTTCATACATTTTCATAAAGATCAATAAAATTAAATAAAATATATCATTCATCTGCATTATACACAAAGAAGGTTTTATAATGTGTTTTTTTTTTTTTTTTTGTCGAAAATATATTTTATTGTAGAAAAAGAAAATGTTAAAACTTCAATAATTTTATTGAACCCTTTTAATTTAAATATATAATTGAACATAAAATATATATTGGAGGTTTTTTTTTTAATTCTTTAGGTCAATGCCAAATATTTTGAGAATTGCTAAATAACTATCGAGGAGTTATTTAATTAAAAAACATTAATTCTATGCTAATAATTTTTCAACATTCCAAATGCAACATATTATTATTTTAAATATACCATCTTATTAATATTAATATTTTTAATACAAATAATATATATATATTACATTAGTAAGATATGTGTGACTATCAAATTAACAACTTAGTAACTTGGTATAAAACAATAATAGTCATGACAATTCAAACATTTGATTATTATTTAAGTTATGTGATGTAATTTATTTTGATGTGTCAATAAAAATGTTTTTTGATAACTCATGAAAACATGAAAACTCAATTTATAATATCATTCTAGGAACATATTTATAAACATTTTTGAAAAAACTAATATGGTCAACACTATAATTTATTTAAATAATACATTTTAATGATAAATTGTATAACTATCTTACTTTATTGTATTGACTTCTTGATAAACTATTACTTCGAAAATCTTTATTATTTTTTATACTATCATCTTCTTTCTTATTGTAACCTAATGGTTTAAGAATCCCAGAGTTGGATGCATTTTCATTTACTGGACTCTCTATGAATTCAATAATGACTAGTATTAAAGATTAGAATTTTAATTTTATCTAAAATATAAAGCATTATAAAGTAGATTAATTTCATTAAAACTATTACTATCTCTTAGTTTATACCAGAATTTAATTCCTTAACTAAAGATGACATAGCATTTGTCACAGAATCTGCAGCTACCAACAAATCGTTTCTTAAACTTCGATTTCCACATGCCATTGACCCATTTGCACTAGTACTTAAACTAGATGTATTAACAGGTGTATCTAAACAAAAAATAAAAAATAAATTTACACAGGTACATTTTAATATATAAACTTAGCTAACTAAGTTAACTTAACTAATACTAGCTTGGTTAGAATAAGTTATCCAAAAAGAATATACTCTCCCTTTTTCTACTCCCACTCATAGCAGAATTACCCTTCATTGTCTAATTATTTATGTACCTCAATATTCAATGAGAAAAGACAAAGAGCAGTAGGCCCCCATAAGTCAACTAATGTTCAAAATTTATGGTTTCTGTATTCCATGTACTTGGGTGTACATCAAATACAAGCAAGCAAACACTTTCTTTTAGTGTAATAAATATACCATTTTCTTACTTGCAAGAGAGTTGCCAGTAAAGGCAGATCTAACATCACCAACCATAGACGAATCAGAAGTTGACATAAGTGATAAAGATGATGCTGAAGTTAAAGTTCCACCAGGTGTAGGAGGTGCTGACTTTGAGGGAGGAGGAGACTTAGTTGAGCGAGGTGATGAATTTGGAGTTGAACGTGGAGAACCTTGATGATTCTAAAAAATAATTGTAAGATTATCAAAAAAACCATTATTTTTTTTTTTAATATGGTAATTTCTAAAAAAAAATATTAACAATAGTAACTATGAAAGACATTTATATGCTTTTACATATTTTTATTAGGTGGTCAAATAAACAGCTAGTTCAAATTTTTGGATTGCTATATTGCTATATTTCATTGTTTTAGACTTAAAACTCGACTCCAGACGAAGATGTTGCAAGACCAACTAGGCAATTTAATTTTACTTCAAATACACCGAGAAATGGACATATCAGTAGATTCAATTATTGATTGTTTTGTAAATAGTCAAGAAGTATCTCTAGACTTAGTGATTTATATGCTTTTTTAATATTAAAAATACCTAAATGATTTACTTTAATATCAAATTGCTTTGTTTTCAGTTCTAATTAGCAATGTATCTATATTTTAAATAGATCAATGATGCACAACACATTTATACATTATACATGTGTTTATATTTAATGAGGTTAGTGGAACCAGCGCCAGATTTTGTAATTTAAATTATACACTTGGGAGAGGTGGTTGGCATTTTAAATCACCCCCTCCCTTCATTGGCAGATATTAAGATGAGCTTCATTGGGTGATTCAAAAATTTTACTCCAAGCTTCTTCGTAAATCTGTTACTAACACCATCCTTGAAGTTTAGTCAAAATCACTAATGCTAAGATGTATAATCAACTACCAATAAAGTCATTTACATAGATGTACATTATTTGTATAATTTACCTTTAAAAGTTTCATTAGTCCCTCCAACTGTAACATTAATTGTCTTCTAGAATCTTGTAAAGATGTTAAATGTGCTTCCAATTCATGTTTTCGATTTCTTAAAGCACGAAGCTCACTCATAAGGGCTGGATTATCCTCAGAAAAACTAGAAGTAAATCCTTCCATTTCTTGTTGTTTTCTAAATATAGTAATTTTAAAATTTAACGATTACTACATTGTTAAAAAGTTATCTTATAATTAAAATACAATTATTCAACATAATAAAGAATAGCATTATACCGAAGTCTCGCAATTTCCTTCATAATTTCTCTATTTTTAGATTCTAGTTGAATTATAAGTTCCCTCTGAGCTCTAGAGGTATCCAAACTTAAAGAACCTTCAGATGGAGCTCTGCCCTAAGAAAAAATAATAATACTTATTAATACAAAATGTGTTAAAATAGTTTTTTATATGGTTATTAAATACAAAAATAACTTACTACTTTAGTTTCAGCAGCTAATCTTGCAGCATACCTTGCAATTAATTTATGTTCATCATCCATTGAGGTATAATCTAAACTCATTGTTCGTTTATCAGGACTATATAAAGAAATAATTTTTAATTTTATTAAATGAAATTATGTATATTAATTAACATTAAAAAAAATTTAATTACCTTTTTGAACTTGTTTTACTATCCAAAGTATTAAACTGACTACTAAGAGATAATTCTGAGAAACCATTGTGACAAGGCAATGGAGATGGTGGTCTACAATTGAATTAATTTGTCATTCAGATGAAATCAATCAACAAAATTGAATTAAATTATACAATAAAATAACTTACATAATATGAGATAAATTAATAGTCTTTTCAGGTTCCTCAGGAAACCGTGGAATATTTGCTTTTTCTTTTTCTGGTACACAGCGAAATGATTTTCGAAGAGAATGACCAATTTGTCTACTAGGAGATTTCTAAACAAATTCAATTAAAAAATATTCTACAATATAAAAATAAACAGCGATAATATGAACATACATAACTAGTGTATTCTTTTACATCATGTTCAATGGTATGACTAGATGCAACACGTCCTCTCCAAAAGCATTCTTGACACATTTGAAAACTGTGACATTTTTGACAACGATATCGGAATCCCGTAAAATTATCACGATGACAAGCATCACAAGATATAGGATGTGTGACTAAAATTAAACAAATATTTAGTATTCTAAATCTACAAAAAAAAAAAATGTACAAACCATTTTCAACATTGGCTAAGCGATGCAGTAATGGTAACCAAACAAGACAAGCTGGACCAGGATCTGACATCATTGAATCCATAAAATCATTTACAGTTACTTTCCCATTCTATATATTTAAAACAAATGGTAAATAAGAAAAAATAATAATTTATGAAAACTAAAATTATTATTAATAAATTTAAAAATATACATAAAGAATTACAATAAATATTTATTAAAAAATGATTTACTCCGGAAAATATTTCAGCTGGTATCTGATCACTATAATGAAAGGAAGGAGATTCATATACAGCTGATGGAAGTACTAATACTTCTTGTAGATATTCTTTAAATTTCCAAGCTACCATATGTCCATTTTGATCACAAATTTGAGAAAATACATCTAAAAAAAATTACATAACCTATATTATTATCCATAATTGTTACTATATTTAATCTGATTTAAACATACTGTGTTTTATGTATATCTATACATATTACACACTCTATAGTATAGAGTAATAAAGAGTCTACACACATGTTACTTATCCTAAATTGACCATTTGAGCAATAGTTAAATAAAATAAAATTAAGATATCCTAAATCTTAAAAATTTAAAGATATAATTAATAGATGATTCTTACATCTAAGTTTGTCCATAAGTTTTCCTGAACACATCGTAGCTAAAGCTACTTTAATTGATAACACTCTTATCCTTCCCATAGTATCATTACTAAAATAAAATAAAACAAATATACATACAATATAAAATATCATTATATTTTACACTGTTTATAATTTTACTAAATATAAATTCAACTTACGCAGAATAAACAGACATAACCCAATTAAGAAGTATTGTAGTTAATAAATCATCATGTACATGTTGGTGAGTAGGTAAACGTTTATTCAAATTACGGTATAAACTTGTTAAAAGTGTTTCAAATTTTGATACATTTACTTCCACGTGAGACTCTAATGTATTTAATCCATTTTCACGAAATGCTTCAATAACATTCCATATGTCAATCATATGTACTAGAAAAATAATTAACCAGAATAGTAATAATTGATAAATATAAATTATATAATTAAAAATTAGTTAATTATAAAACATTACAGTAATAGAGTTTGAATTATAAAAAGTGATGATACTAGAGAAGAGTATGTTACTCTAGTAGGTGAAAAGGTAAGAATATAGGATACATTAAGTTATTTAATTTTTATCCGTAAGCAACAACAAACCATTGCTAATGAAAAATAATTCTGAGTGAAATTCAGTTAAAAGAAATGTTCTGAAAGTTATATTTACGATTTGAAAATTGTAAATTTGTAAATCAGAACAAAATTTCTATTGAAAAAGTTATTCATAAAAAGTATATTTCTTGTTTCGCTCAAAATCTAATAAACATTTGTGCTTTACAATGTAAATCTGTTGAAATGTTGTAAATAAAGCACATTACGTTAATAATAGCATTTTTAGCACTACACAAGTTTTGGATTTTGTACACTGAATAATAATAATGTGCACTATTTTGGTCAAATCAAAAACACTAAAAGTAAATTATTGTTAATTTGAAATAAAATTAAACGAAGTTAATATTTTTACCATTTCAGAAGTAGATCTTAAATTTTAAATTATTGAAACTTAATTTATACAGCAGTGTATATAAGAAATCTTTTAAAAGAAATATCAATAAAACTAATATTTTTTTTCACTCAAAATATAAAATGTTTGTGGTCTTTAAAAATTATAGTACAGTGAAACCTGTCTTAACCAATCTATAATGGACACCTCTCTATAACAGACATATTTCATGGTCCCGTAACTATCCGTTAAATACAGATTTTACTGTGGTTATAATAATTAATATTTTCAGAAAATTTTACATTTGCATTAAAAAATGTTATTAAAGATATATCATTCGCTCTAAATATTTATAAAATCTGATTATTAAAATTTTTACATAACACATTTCATACATATTGTCCAAAATAATATAAAATGTAGTTAATGATTAACTAAAAATTGTAAAATTACTACATTTTATTCAAAATTTTAATAATATTTTCATTCATCAGTCATCTATGTTAAAAAATATTTCAACTCAATCATTATTTACATTATGTCACTAACTTATCAATTATATTTATCTGAATTTGTTTACAATAGATATATACTGTCTCACCTACTTATAGGTACTTTAATTAACAAATAATTAATTAATTTTGTTTTTTATTAGTTATCTATAATACTTAGTACATATTTATTTATACTAAAAATAATTATTTGGTCATTTCTGAAAACTTATTAAATTAGTTTTATTAAGATATTTTTAAATTTAAAAAAATATTTAACTTACAATTAACTTTTTTTTGGACATATCTAAGTTTACAAGCTGTTCTATAAGATGCAAAACGTATCATGTCATAATTTTGACATCGCATTTCTTGTAAAAGTTGCAGGCGACAGTCTATAGTTCTTTTATCTGCTGACATGCTGAAATAAATATAAGATAATATCAATACATTAAAAATAATATCAAAATTAGTTATCATTGGTAAAAATACTTAATTTTCAATATTAAATTATATATTTCATATAAGTATACGATACAACTATAAAGTACCTATAAGTAAATAATTTTAGTAATTCAGTAATAATTTAACACAAACATAGTTAATAAGTATTTTAAACTTGTCAACATTACAATGAACCAGGCAATATTGTAGGGCATTTACAGTAGAGTTACAATTAATACAACTTACTTGGTCTTTTATACAGTACAAGTGTAATAATGTTATATAGTGTAATAGTAACTAATTTGGTATTACATCCGATAATCACAATCAACTAATAAATAAATAATTTAGTTATAACTGCTAAATATTAACTTAAAATTTAAAATTTAAAATAATTCATTTCCACCCACGAATCACGATATTATCAAACTGTTATCAATTAAGCAGTGAATAAAAACAATTTACTTTTGTTAATATGTCTATGCAAGGAAGTTATAACTAAACCTTGGGTATGTTTTTTACCTTTGTAGTATTTATTTTGTGGTGGCTTCAATTTAATAATAATCAATACAAATAATTTTTGAACTGTTTAAATTTTTTATTTACTGCTGTAGAAATAATAAATTTTTTATCAGTATTCATTAAATTAAATTTTTAGAAAAAAAACCAAAATTGTATACATTTTTTCATTGAAAAAAAAAGTTTTCTCTAATTCTCCGTTTTTATGTACTCCAATTAAAAGTGAATGCCAACTGATAAGAAACTTATCATACTTGCACAGATTATACAAAACTAGATGGTGCTGGGCATTGAGCTATTGACTATAACTGCATAAAGTTGGCGCGTAAATAGATAAAGCCATAATTGGCGTCTGTCCTTACTCGTTTCACAAGTCTACAGAACCGTGCGTATTGTATACAATTTTTTGTGAGACGTTGTCACTGGCAGTATCGTCCAGTGACAAGTCATCTACTGCGTTCTAATTATCATATATCAATATAATAATATGATAATTTGTATTAGTTACGTAGGGTGACTTTATACTTAATTAATTTATGTTTTTAAAATTTGAAATAATTTATTTCGATCAATTGTTTTAATAAAATTACATATAACGTTATGTACCTACTGGATTGCTTACATTTTTTTTGTTCCTATAATATTATTGTGTATGAAATTGAATTAAAATTTATAAAAACATAATTATTATTGAATAACTCTTCTAGATTGATAAATATGTACACTGTAAGGGTCATGAAAACGTACGGATGACCGCCACGCGCCGTGTCGAATTTTTTTAAAAACCAGTAGGCCTCAACATTTGATCTATCAGGTGCGTCACTACCGGCGGGACAGGTATTATACGCTTTGAAAAGAACAACTAAATTGCAATTTTTAAAATGTCCCTGTTTTTTGTTGACTCTTGGCGAGTGCGCTATTGTGCTCTTTTGTAAATTTACCTGCGCATACCTAAAATTTTTGATCACGAGTTTTAGAAATGGCGTCTTTTACACACTACGATATTCACAGTCAAAGTAAACAAGTGATTTACCGGGTATACGTTTTTTTTAAAAAATTATCCACTATAGATAATTTATCTGCCGATTTTTTTAAAAAAAACTCAAAGAATTACTGCAGAAGCATGTGGAATAAGCGAACGAAGTATTCAAAATATTATTGCTGAAGTAAAGAAATATAAAAACGATGATACACCGAGATTAAGAAGCCTATTCGCGTCACCGAAGAAATCGTATAAACAAAAGGTCATTACAGATATTGACGATTTCAACGTTGATTTGGTCAGAAGAACTGTTCATGAGTTTTATGACAAAGGTTTAGTTTGATTTAAAACATTTTTTTATTATAAGAAAACATATAATATCCTACCTACCTCATATAAAATGTGTAATTTACCTTCCAGTGGTGATGCGAGACCATTTATTTAGATGAAATTTGAGTAAACCAGAACCATTAAAGAAACCATATTTGGCAAAACGATATGGATAGTGAAGTGTTTAAAGTGCCAACCGGTAAAGGTGGTCGTCTTATTGTATGTCATGCTGGGGCAGCTAAATTTGGTTTTATATCCGGCTCAAAATTAATTTTCTGGAGTAAAAATGACAGAGACTACCTCTCACAGATGAATAGTCAAATATTTCATGTACTGTTTCAAAATATGCTGCAACTATTTGAGGAGCCATGTGTAATTGTCATGGATGCTCCATATCACAGCGTACTAGTGGAAAATGTACCAAAATCAAATACATAAATATCTGATGTTCGAAAGTGGCTAAGCAAAAATGCATCGATTTTTCTCCTTCACCTTAGCGGAACTTGAAAAAAAAGTGAAAATGGCAAAATCGCGTGAAAAACGATACCAATTGGACGAGTTGGCATATCAAATGGGGCATGAAGTGATTAGACTTCCGCCTTATCACTGTCAATACAACCCAAATGAACTAATTTGGGCGCAGGTAAAAGGTGAAATTGCAACCAAAACTACATTTAAAATGGCCGATGTCGAAAAACTTATGCACGAAGCCATAGATGCAGTTACTAAAGAAAATTGGGAAAAATGTGTAAGACACTAAAAAAAACTTCAAAATATAGACTTTGAAAAAGAAGGCTCCAGGGATTGCATATTGGAGCCCATTATTTTAACAATTGACCGCAATGAAAACGATTGTAGCAGCAGTGAAGACGAAGACTACCTTTAACGATTTTTTTTTTATAAAATATATTGTACATTTTTTATACATTAATATTATTATTATTATTTTTAATAAATTCATGTTTTTATTGTGTACGGTCAATTGTATTTTTTTTTTTAAATATTAAATACATACACTACATTTTTAATATAAAAATACGAATTTTAAATTGTATATTTGGCGCGAAACAATTTACCCACCACCAACGAGAAATGACCACTTGACATGCGGCGGTCATCTGCACGTTTTCGTGACCAGTTCTCATTTCACGTACTACGATAATAATATTTATATATTGTTTACGTTGATCAGCCTAAATTATTCTAGTAAGGAGCGTAATATTATCTTAAATCGTGCGCCACGATCACGAATTAAGGTATCTTAATACATATTAATAAAGAAATACAATAGTTTCTTCCTTGGTATTCACCAAGTATTATCTGTCTTTCTATCCATGTTGGACCCATGATAGAGTAGCTGAGGTAGTAATCGGTCAGATCACGGTCTTTTAGTTAGGTGGGTCAGGGATACAGTTAAGGTTTATAGATAATATCATCAACCATACAGTGGTGTACAGTATAATCACATCAGTGTCCTTGTCATTGTTTGTGTAATACAACCACAGATATATAAAACGTAGTCTAATTATTAATATGTCTATTTACAAGCTACACACGATACATCATGATATAATAAACTAGGTAAAGGTAAAAAAAGAGCTGATAGTGTAGTCGGTAGCAACCACTACGGTAGCTATAGGTGGGTATTAGGGAATATATTAATATAAGATATATAAAGTAATTTGTTATACCTGTTACCATTATCCGAAAAAGATACTCAGTGAAGTTCGCTTATATGTGTTTAAATAGATTTATAAATAGTCCAAAAAAAGCTTATATGTTTTGAAATGCTTTTAATACAAATACAAGTTGTTTTTTCAAAATTTCAAGTGTTTACAAATATTTTAAACTGAATTTTATTAAAAAAAAACAAAATTTAAAAGACTAAAATAATTATTTTCGTAAATTTTGATGTTTTTTCTAGGTATTTTTCAGTTGACTTAATTATTTAGAAAAATACAAAGAAAATAAAAAAACAAATTTCTTGACACCAATGCTATTGAAAAATTAAACAAGACAGATCTCTTGTTTTTCTTTTAAAGCAATATTTCTGGTAGAAAACAGAACATGTAAAAATTTAAAATAATGAAATCGTAATGCTGTACATTTTTTTCCTAATTAATAAAATTACAGAGAAAAAAAACAATTCTTAACTATGTACTTATCAACTAGATTAAAAATGTGATAAAAAAAGGTTCTCGTTTTTTTTATAAAAAATGATTTTTGCAGGAACAATGTTTTGATAAGTACATATTCATTTCATGTACAATAATTTATCTAATTGTATGATAAAATATTGATTACAATCGTCTTGCATGTATGTATCCACGATTTAAGATAGATTATCTTAAACTGTGGGTGTACTCTCGACTGAGTATTGTTTAATAGAAAAATTACTGTTCTTATCACATTATTTTATCCAATGTATAATAAATTATCATAAACCTAAGTTCTTTGGTCATTGGTTTTCTTTCTAAACTATTAAATGTTAAAAAATACAAAAATTTACAAAAACCCTAAAAAAAGAAAAACAGTGAAATGTATTAATTAAATGGCATAGGTGTATGAAATAGGTTGGAATATATGGATGATCTCTTAAGTTCACAAAGCTAGATATTCCTTACACTGAGAGTAGACTATTGTAGTACTTTGGGAAGAATTTAAGGTAAAGATATATATTTGAATACTTAACTTAATGTGCAAAATCCAGATTTTTTTAGGGGTTTAATTTGAATGATTTGAAATATTTTTACTAACCAAAAGTTGTATTTAAAATTTTTTTGGCATATTTACTAACCCAAAGTGTGTTACCCGAGGAAAAAACACATCATAGTAAACTAATAACTTCTTCAAAACAATCTCTATTTTTAATAGAACAAATTTTATAAAAATTAATTTATATATATTAATAAGGCACAAGTTAGTTTTAATACTGTATGAAAGGTTCATAAAAGAAACAATAATGTTTATAAAATAATACAAATAATAATAATGCACATACAATAAAATGAAAGCAAAGGATATAAGTATTCAAGGAACTGATATTATAAGGTATTTGGAAAAAAAACATGTCATTAAAATTAAAATAATGATGAAAATACATTTTGTAGTTTATGATCCATCTGGTTTAATTGTTATAGTTAAATTTCTGTCTGGCCAGGTGATTGTTTTTGGTAATGGTTCCTAAATGATAAAAATATAATATTTACAAAATTAATATAGAATTATTATTAAAGGTATTAATAATAATAACAAGTTTACCAAAATTGGTTCATTAAGGAACTTTAAACTAGATTCCATAGTATCAATAAAACTATTAGGCACTAACACCTGCAACCAAGTTTCATGAGCTGCAAAAGGTTTTTCATCACTGACAGCAGCTCCAGATACAGATGGACTAACAAATGTAATCGTTGATTTACCATCTAATGCTTTGAACGTAAAATGGCGTCCGTGTCTAATACGACCTCTGTAAATAATATTTATATTTAATATGTTTAATACATTTTAAAATAATTAAATTATACTTTAGTACAAAAGGTAGTAATAATCCCGCTTCTAAGTTAAAAGTTAAATGGACTTCTTCTATGTATCGGGTTTTAGCTAAATCTGATAACTCACAATTTGTATACTTAGAATTACTATCAATTTCTTTTTTATCTCTATAAAATAAAAAAAATGCCAATATAATAACATTAAAACTATAAATTAAATACTATAAAAAAATAATGGTTACTCATTTGTTGCTCTTGAGTTATTAATAATACATAAATTGCCCATGGAATGTTCTACTGATGTATAACCAGGTTTGTTGCCTGAAAATTACAAATAACTGAAATACAAATTCAAAAAACCACAAGGAACTTAATTTATACAGTGTGTAGCTACTCTTCAATTTATGTGTTTATATGTGTTCAGCCAGATAATAAAATAGGAAACACAGTAAAATTAGTGCATGCATTTAAACAGCTCAGCATCTATAATATTAAATTATATTTCATACATACTTATTTTATTAGATTCTTTCCATGAGCAATTGACACTTATACCACATAAATTTGAACCTTCAGTTTTAATACCTTCAGCTATTTCATCGTGTACAGATAGATCTACATCAAACATACTTTCACTCCTGCGCATATTTGTTACTAACCATGGGCCTCCTGTACTGTAATAATTAAATGTACATGAATCAGTATATTTATAAGAGCAATAGATATGCAAGATAAATTAGTTATTACTAATATATTGGTAGTTTATCCATAATACATGATAATATAATAAATAATATACATTTTATGAATATTCAGTAATTATTTTTTTCAAATAATAAATAATTAGATAACAAATGTTTACATTTTTAGAAATTCTAAATATAATGCCTATATTTACTGATAAAACAGTAGTATATTATTTTAATGATAAGTTTCATACTACTTTAAATAGATAGTATAAAAAAACTGGGTTTTTAGAGTTCCAATGGTGCTCTGGCTCCAATAGACTTTTTTCAGTAATTAGTTATTTTCAAACAATACATGTATACTAAAAAAATTAAAATATTATTGAATCTCAATATAACATTTAATGATGAAAAGTATATTAGAGCTAGAGTACTGTTAGAACAATGAAAACAATATTTGCTGTATTGACCTTTAGAAAGATCGAGACAACAAATTGAATAAATTGTGCCAACCATTTAATCCATTCAAATATGATAAAAAAATTTAAATAAACCTTAAAATATATTATAAATTTATCTCAAAAATATATTGAATTTATAAAATAAATCAAAATATTACACTAAAAATTAAATATAACTGTATATTAATAAGAACACCTGTAAGCAGCAGAGCTTCATTAGTCAAATTTTCCCCAGTCGAATTATCGCTGTTACAATATTTATTATTTTCATAATTGATCTAAAATAGTTAGGTACCAGAGTTTTTATTACATTAATATTTCAAAACTTAATACTTTTTGTAAAAATATGACATTTGAGAATAAGAATAGTTAGAGAGAAGATTTGAAAGTTGAAACCCCAGAAAGGGGTTCAACATTAACACTGACATACATTATACAAAATTGCATAGGGCAAATGAGCAAGACATTGTTGCAATTAAATTCCAGTTTTTCACATTGCAATTAAATATATTCAAATAAAAAAAAATATTATAACTAACTTGAAATTAGTAAACATTAAAAAGCCAATTAATAATCAATTTAAAAATATATTGAAATATTTAGATTATTTAAATTTAAATTAGTATGCCTATAGTAGAACTACTTAAATACTTACTAAATTAAAATCTACTTAAAATGCTACTTCTCTCATAAATTAATATATTATATAATAATAATAAAAATAAACCAAAATGGCTAAAACCATTTATCCTAGCTTTTAAAACAAATAACTTTCTGCAGCAACAACCTGGTGAAATTTGTATTTAAATTTAACCAAAACTTTATCACTTCAATCTCCTTATAAAACAATTCTAATTCTCAAATATAAACTAATTTGGGCCAATACTGTGTAATAATCTCTATTTTCTGGGAAAATTTGACAATAAAATGCTAATTTTATCCATATACTTTACACTGAATGTCTTTTCAGTATTTGCAATACTCCAGGACCATTCCACCTTTGAACAGCTTGCAATTCTTCTAAACACACACCCACAATTTGAATAAATCTAACTGTCCCATATGGTGTCCCAGTAACTTGTAACTGAGGATCTTCACCCATCAACATGTGTTGTAAACGACTTCTACTACCATCCAAACCACAATGCCAAGACACGTGATCACCAGCATATAATGTATTTCCTATAGTTGAAAAGATATTACAATTAGTTTGTTATATAGGTAGTTCTTATAAATACATAACAGTAATAATAAATAATACACAATATTCTCTAGTTATTAATGTACCGGTTATTCTTTTATCATTAACACTCATTATCTCTGAAAGCATTAACTTTTTTCAGAATCTGTTTTATTGTAAATTTAAGAAGCTCTAAAATTTTACACTTGCATTATTTTTCGTAACCTTTATTTTTGGGGGTGAATCATCTACCTACTTTTGATTCTTAAATAGCAACTTATATTAAAAATTCCATGAATAGATGAAATATTAACCACTATTATCTTCCAACCCATACTTAAAAGTAGAATATCTTATCAATGGATTGACAGAAATTAAAAATTTCAAAACCAAAATTTATTTTATCTAATACTCAATTTATGGGATTTTTAATATAAGTTTCCCTTTGAAAATCAAAATTAAGTAGACGATTCACCCTCAAAAATAAGGGTGACAAAAAAAATGATAATGTAGCATTTCAGAACCAACTGTTTTTTAAGATTTCAAAAATAATTAATACTTTTCGAAATAATGAGTGTTTAACAATAAAAGAATCTGCATAATTCTTGTTTAGCAACTTATCAATTTTTTAGATATTTTTTTTTTCAAAATGAGTGCTTTTATGTGTACATTAAAAATGTAAAAAAAAGTTTTACAAACTTTGTTTGGAAATTATAGGGGAAAACTTCATGAAGTTCAGGTTTTCCATTTCACATATTTCTTAGTTAGAGTTTAACATTTTCAAAGTTTTTTTTTCCCAAAATGTGTTTTTTAATGCTTAATCTATTGGTATAATCAAAACTTAACAATCATATTTACTGTTGAAGTTGTTGTACAAACACCTTAAAAAATAGCATTTTCAAAATGAATAGTGGTGAATTTGCACAACAAATCAAGGGTTATTTTCGAGTAAAACAGTCCGAGCGAGAACAGCAACTTAGTGACCCCGCCTGGTCTCTAGATGCACCTAAAATGCTATTTTTCAAAGTTTATTTAAAATAACTTCAAAAATTAGTATGATAGCTAAGTTTTAATTAAACCAATAGGTTAAGCATTAACAAGTAATATAATTTGTAAAATATTAAATTCTAACTAAAAAATAGGTGAAACGGAAAATTCAAACTTCATGAAGTTTTCCCCTACAACTTCCAAACGAAGTTTATACGACTTTTTTTACATTCTTAATGTACACATAAATCACATTTTAAAAAAAAATCTAAAAAATTGATAAGCTACTAAACTAGAATCGTTCCACAAAATCATCCAGTATATACCTGTTGCAAAAACGTATTTAGCAAGCGACTGCATTAAATGAGCAGGCCATGTTGGAGGATTGTGTTCTTCAGAATCTTTGAGAAGACGAAATGTTAACTCAAAACCAAATCCACTCGGTGCATTTGGGCCTTTTGAAAAACGATGTACACGAGTATCACCATGTAAATTGGATAAACCAAAACTATAAAATTTCATTTACAAATAAATCAACAAATCTATACACAGGAAATTAAGTATAAAAACAAAAACTGCACACAATTTAAATAACCTAAAATATCTGTAATTGGATGATAGAAAAATACATATAATAACCTACCCAATATAATGCCAATGTGCTGGAATCCCAATCATTCGATCACCTGGATTATTATACATACTTATATAGTCTAATGGATCTTCACCACCAAGCCTACAAATAGTAAACAAATATATTAAAAATCCCATGCCGCATTATGTTTTAATCAAAATCTTCTTTCTTTTCCTTTGCCTCCATCCCAGCAATGTTGGGGTTGGTCACCTTCGTCCTTAACTTTCACTTGGCCTGATTACCCACCTCACATACATAAGCTGCCCTTGAGTATCTTTACCTTATATCGTTCTCAATCACATTAAATAACCTATTTTATGGTTTTCCTATTCCTACATTTTCTACAATGTTTATTTTCATTACCATTTTTAGGCTTTTTTCACAATATACAGTTTTGACCATATGACAATTTTATTCTAGTGGAATGAAGAAGAGCATAATATACTGTTTTACATTACACAGCCAAGGCAAAATGTTGGTGCCATACCGTGTAGCACCTGTCTACTGCCACTACAATGTATGGCAGCAGGACAGTGTGATTAGCTAATTGGTGTTTGGTTCATCATTAACAACGCATGAGTGCACAACTGAGTGTTCTTATAAAACAAAGCTGACTGACAAAAACTGTTCATAAATAATGTATACCAAATTAATTTTTCGTTTGGAATTTTGCCATCCAGTATTTTTCCGTATGATCAAAATTGTATAAAGTGAAAAGAGTCTTACTGCTTCTGATTACTCTCCCCTTGTAACATGTCCAAACCACTTCTGTCTATTTTTTTAAATTTATGTACTATCAAAGTCACAATGCTACCTTTTACATACTCTTTCATTCCACTCATCCATCCAAGCATTCTTATCACTAACACACTCATTCTCAGTTTGATTTTTCTGTTTACCGCTTAACATAATTAGTCTCACCAAATTGTTTTAAAACTTACCTGTAAGTCTCATAGGAATTCTCTTGTCACACAACAAAACATAATTCTTCTCTCCATTTATCCAATCACATTAAATTCTATGTTACACAACTTCTTATTTTTAATGTTCTCGCATACATCCGAGATGGGATAATTCAGCCAAACCTTGTTTAGAATAAATTCTTTTAACTCTTTACACTAGACACGGAAATGTACTGTGGGAGTATTCGGATCCCCTCTCATAGAGAAAATGATATTGTCAATTAAAATAAAGTTAAATAAATAAATAAAATAACCTTAACTGCCAAATATTTGATATTTATGTAAAATGTATTTTTTTAAAACTGACATGTTTTACACTAAGAGTGGGTCGCTGTTATATGTGGAAAGCTGGGAAAGTAAAATTCAGAATGTAAACCCTAAGCAGTTAAAATAGGTGCAGAGTTAATATAAAAATTAACTCAATATTATTAATTTGAAATTTGGAACAAATTTGTAAATAAGTAAACAGGCGGTTTTGGTTTTTGTATCTAGGTGTAAAAATAAATATTATGTAGATAAGGTAACTTTAGGGAAGTGTAGAAGAAAAATTTAAAGAAAAATTTTTTTTTTTTTTTAAGTTGGCTAACAAGAATAGTTTAAAATATCTGTTACTATTTCTGACTTTCTGTACTATTCATATATCTCAAAGAAAAGGCACTATAAAAGTCTACACGGACAACATTTAAGTTTTAAATAACATACATTTAGTTTACACTTTTCCATCCTCCGAATTTTTTTTTTATTCAAGTACTAATTAAACATAAATCCATACATATTCTAGGCTTATGGGATTTATAAATAAACTTTAAAATGAACACATGTGTTAACCAAAAATAGAATGATAGACAGGAAATGGTTACAAGTATAGAAAAACAACTCCACGTAATATTAGTATTTGCTCCATTGTTACTAAAGAAAAATACAAATTAATGCTTGTATAATAGACCATAATCTCTTTCTATCTCATTCCTACAAGCTATCTCTTCAAAACTATCATCTATACTCTCTACACACATCCCAAACAATTTAAGATATATACCACATTATTTTGCATTGCCCTTATTTTATCCTTTAGCAAAATAATCTATCTGATTTAGTACATTTCTACAAATTCTCTTTTAATCCACAATCAATTCTTTCTTCACAATTAACTTCAATTATCCAATAATTTCATTCAACAATCAGTAAGTTTATTGTTTTAATATATTGTAATTATTAATTCACTATCTATATATTAATTTATTTTTATAGTGTCAATAAAATACCTAAAAAAACATATTTTAATATTAAAATATGTTTTATACTGATGTAGAGTCCTACTTAGAGGGGGAATTCAGCCTCGAGCCTCAACCCCCCATGCATTAATTTGGTTTTAAAATTATTTTTGTTTAATTTTTTCAAAGTAAACTATTTACTAAAAGTACCATTTGTGAATTCTAACTTGTTATTTAATCAGTAGTCGGCAAATTTATTTATTAAGATAAAATTGGGAAATTGTTAATTTTTAAAAAAAAATTCAAATTAATTATCAACTAACATTTTATCTAATACTGATGATAGGGAAAAACTAGTAAGAAGAAATAATTCCCAGATGATACAGTTGAAAATAATTAAAATATTTGTAAAATAAAAAGACAGAGAAGTGAGAAGTTAGGAAAGTAAAGAAGACATTTTATGTATATTAGTACACAATGATTAGCCATTACTAATGAAAAACAATTATAAGCAGAGATCTGTAAATAGTTTTATTTTGTCAGCGATATATATGTCACATTATGGAAAAATAATAACATATACATTATATATTTTCTTTAATAATATTTGTTTAATATTGTTTCTATTTTTCCATTTTTTTCCATTTATTGGTAAAACTCCTAGAAAAATAAAAAAACAACCTTCTTTAAAGTACCACCTTAGTTAGGGTTTCTTTCAGAAAAAGTATTATACTTGAAAATTGGAGGAAAGTAGTCTAAAAAAATAGAAAATAACATTATTGTAAAACCGATAAATTTCTCGCTCCACTAGGAATCTAAAAATTAGAAGTTGGAACTTTTTATATTATAATTGATTGTTTAGTTACAGAACTGGATAAGAGAAAAAACTAAATTTATAATTTAATTTAATGTCCCAATCAATAAACTAACCCTGGGTCCCAAAATTCTTTAGTAGGGCTCTGTACTGAAGCAGTTGTAGATAGCCTACAACTATATAACAAAGTAACTATTCTTACTAAAATTAAACTACGCATTAATAACATAAGCAAACTAATTAAAACTATCTAGTAAAGTACCTATTTTAAATGTGATTACATAAAATTAAAAATATTATGTTAAGATATAATTTCTATATAAATTGTACTTAATAAACAAACAACGAAAATGATCACAAAAATATCATGGTTACAAATAATAGGTAACTTTGAGAATTTTTTTTCTTAAAAAAATTATATAATTATATTTTGAAATAAAAAAATATACCAATATTTGAGTAAAGTTGTAGCTTGTAATGGATTCCACTGATCAGGGTATATTCTTTTACATAACATGTATAACGAATCAAGACCTGGTGCTGGACGTGGCTGAGGAATGTATGCCATTTCAGAAACAGATCTCGGAGAATGTATACAATTCTGGTGATTGGTTTCATTCATTTTTTATTTTTCAAATACAGAAACTATATGAAAGATAATTACACTAAACAGTTAACATATTATAATGTTAGATATATAAATTATAAAACTATATAGTAGATGGCCGACTGCCATAGTCAGTACGTAGAAAATAATGTAGCCAACAAAATGGTCGCCAATCGTTATCTAAGTGGTGAATGTTTACAAATTAAACTGATATGATGAGTGATAAGATACAATTTTGGAACTTTACTGTACAGTGTTCATCATAGACTTATAATATAACTTATAATATATTAAAAGTCTATAATGTACACAATATTTAACTCTATATAGGGCATGGGATATTATCACATGTCATATTATAACTATTGATCTATAAAATAACCATAAGATATGAGTTATCTTATAGTTCAATGATTATAACATCGTTCCTTAACAATACTATAAAACATAAAGTATAGATTAATGACATAAGAACATAAACATTTACTTCTTAGATAAGGATGGTAGCCATTTTGTTAGCGACAATAATAATACCAAAGTCGATTATCTAATTGTTTTATATTATATCTGTGAATCGCGTGAATTTTTGTCGTCTAATTTTTTAATCCATAACCAAAGGTAATACTTAATTGTAATAATAATAATGTACTATATATGTCAAGAACTAAAATAGTTATTCCATTTCATGGTGTTTGAAACATGAACCTTAAATAAACCCAAGGTGGATTTATGTACACACCGTGTAGAAACCGAAGCACGTCAAAAAGCCACTCGAATTTAAAAGTTGAAACAATGATAACGTGGCTTAGTTCCTTGTACAATCACTGTGAAGCGCTAACCGTAGTCAAAAATTTTAACTTATCTATGCACCCGAGGACCCAACAAATAATTCTCGACATTACGTTAAGTGAAAATAACAAAGATCCATTGATAAAACACTATCAGCATAATTCGATAAAAATCCAATAATACTTTATAGTTTATAATGAGTGATTATTTATCAGGTTACTCTATGAAAGGTGCTTAATAGTTTTGGACACTAAATTATATTCATCGACTAAACAAAAATTACGAGCATATCAAATATAATATATTTTCAAACCAACTAAATTAAGAAATCAAAATGCTACAATGCTACCAACAAGCAATACCAATTATAATATATTATTATTTAAATTTAATATTTCCATTTTCTAACTATTTTTTTTAATCCAGTATGTAAATAATAAAATAATAATATCTTTACATTAAAAAGTTACAATACAATACTGTATATTTACAATTTACTCGTAACATAGACATTACCAGTATAATGATAGGTACTTTCAATTGTTTACCTGTTGCATATATAGAGAAAAGTGAAAGTGTGTTGATGGCAAATAATACATAAATGAAAGAATGAAACATTAAATTATATTTTTCGTTCATAATATTCGTCGACTGCACTCTGCACTATGTTTAATAAGTTAATTGTTGTCGTAATATTCGTATCAATACAAATTAATGTTTCAGATAGTGTTGTAAAACGCTGTTTTAGTTGTCGTTCCCGTGGAGATTTGGGAAGTTGTAAGGATCGCTTTAAATACACTAACCTCACTCAAATCAGCTCAGAAGCAGGTATTGGAGTGGAAGCCGTACCTTGTGCATCGGGATGGTGTGGAAAAATAATAGAAACTAGAAATTCTGATGCTAAAGAACAAGAATTTGACACGGCCACACAAAGGACATGTCTACAAAGAGGACCTTCAGATGGAGAGGAACGTTGTGATGATACTACTTGGGAGTATAAAAAAGTTTTTATGTGTTTTTGTCACGGTGATCTTTGTAATAATGCATCTTTTAAAGAGTTCAATTATTATATTCTAATCTTAACTTATTTTGGAATTCCTTTTATATTTTCTCATTTGATATTTTAATAATAATAAACACATTGCCTATTAATTACTATTTGCGTATTATATAATATACCTACATTATGTACCTAATATTTTTCACTCTTTTTAATTTTTATACTTGAAATTTTTTAAAAAAAGGTACCTTAGTAGCAGATATTTAGTATAAATATACAAATTTGAAATAAAGCTAATTCGTACGTGGGTGGGCCACTGTTGTATATGGGAAGTTGGGAAGGTAGAGGGGATATTTAATGCACATCTATACGCAACTATTAATCATTGCTAACAAAAACGATTCTGAGCGGAGTTCGGTGAATAGTGTTGCTTGTCAATAATATATATGTCACATTATTGTAAAATAATTAAAGTAACACTCCAGTCATATTTCCTTTCAGAAAATGTGCCAAGTATCATTGAAATCATAAATTTGAGCATAGGAAAAAAAAGGGACGTAATATTTTTAAAACCTATATTAAGTATTACGAATACCTTCATTGATATCTGGCATGTTTGGTTGTAAACTCCACCGATTTGTAGTTAAGTTGACCTTAAGATCAAATTTAAACATTTAAATTCTACCGAATGTGTACAGTAGTAAATGTTTACCTGCAAAATTAATATTAACTCTACTTGTGATCAATTCTATTAATGTCCCAACGATTTTTAATATGTTGGCCTAACATTAAAATAATTTTTTTACAGCAACAACACTTAAAAATGTTTAACATGAATTAATACCTGTAAAAGAAATTGGGGAATTAAATAAATATGTAAAAAATAAATAACAAATCATATAAGAGTACTTAGGATGCTCCGATTTTTACGAGTTTATACAATAATTTTAACGTGTTTTCAAACCTCGTTTGAAATATGTCAATATAGGTTCAGTGGAAATTTCAGGTTTATATGATTACTTGTAACTGAATTATAAAAAAGAAAACACAAAATTGAAATAATACTAATCGTTGCATACATTTTCGTGGAAATTTGTTGATAGAAAAAAAAAAATTCCCGATGGCCCGAAGTATAAGAAATAATAGTAGCCAGTAGGCCTATGACTGTTATGCTAATCTCTATTCTCTTATTCACATAGTGGCATGTGCAGCACATGTTCAGCAGCTGCACTATCTGTGGCACTAACAGTATTTTAAACTTTTCTTATCAATTATCAAAATAATAATATTATTATCTTTCATTTTTCTATATTTTTTGGTCACCCCACACAACACGCCACGATCTTTCGATAGATTAAATTATTGAAGGTATATAACCTGCGTAAATGTTGGTTTATTCATTGTTAATTTTAGTTATTTACTGTGTATTGTTTTGTTCGAGACACAATCAAAATGAACTTGGTTCCTGAAAAAAACAGCGAGTTTAGTACAACTGAATATTGGGATTCATTTTTCACCAAACGTAAGGCTACATTTGAATGGTATGGTAATTATGAAAATTTAAAACGTTTACTCATGAAATATGTTAGTGCTAAGGATGTTATATTGATGTCTGGATGTGGAAATTCTAATCTTAGTTTACACTTGTATTCTGATGGATTCACTAATATAACTAACATTGACAACAGTGAAGTAGTAATCGCCAATATGAATAAAAAACATAAGGATAAATACCCTGGTTTAGTGTATGAAATTAAAGACATATTAAACACTGAATATCAAAATGAAAAGTTTAGTGTTGTTATTGACAAAGGGACATTGGATGCTTTAATGCCAGATAGTGAAGTTGAGTCTCTTACACGGGCAATGGCAATGTTTAACGAAATTAAAAGAATATTAAAATTTGGCGGACGTTATATTTGTGTGTCCCTTCTCCAATATCATATTGCCAAGTTCATATTTTCCTATTTTAGTGAAAATAATTGGATAATTCGTGTGTGCCAATGTACCGAAGTAGAAGATTCTGCTGATTTCAATGGGCAGCCAGTATTTATGGTTATTTGCACGAAAGTAAATAAAATACCTGGTGCCAAGTCAGTCCTTGAGTGGAATTCAGATGGAATCACAAACGAAAGATTAGATTTAATAAATGAACTATTAGAAATAGTTATTGATACTCAAAAATCTGTTTCAATGTGTTTTGATCTCACTAAATGTCAAATGAAAGATATGTCAAATAGTTATCGTTTTGAGATTAATTGTTCTCAAACTAAAAAGCCTCGTTATACAATTATGATTGTTGAATCTCCCACTCAAAAAAATCCAAAGAAAATGACCTTTTCTGGTTTCATTGTTCCTCGTGGTCGGGAACACGAATGGTTGTTTACCAGCGAAGAAGGACAAGATATATTAAGAAGAAATTGTAATGTTGACCGTTTAGCTATTATTAGTATGCATAGAGGACAAATATATCGGAGTTTAAAACAAGTACAACAAGAACTATCCAGACTTATGTTAAAAATAGCACCACAGGGTGTTATACAACGAGGTGACATTATACAATTTCTATCCTTAGAACAACAACTTGGAGATAGAAAAATTATTATGGAGAGTAAGAGTGAACATTCTGGAAATTTTGTTATAGAAGAAGTAACAGGAGAAAAAGATGGTATCTTTAGACGTTTAGTATTCCTTAACATGCCTCATATTATTCAGTCAGAAGCAAAGTTAATACAGACTGAAAGTGGAGAGACTAAAATAGATTATTCTCATTTTCTCAGTGATTATATACCATACCTGGGTCTTGGTGTAGGCATCATAGCAAATCAAACAAACAAAGAACCTAGAATCCTTTTGATTGGTTTGGGTGGTGGTATACTTACTAATTTATTGATAAACACCTATAGAAAAATAAATATAATTGCTTTAGAAATAGATTTAGTTGTTTACAATATAGCCAAAGAAGCCTTTGGATTAATAGAGGATAGTAGATTAGAAGTACACATTTGTGACGGTCTAGAATATCTATGCAACGCTATCAAAAATGGTGATAGTTATGATGCTGTTGTATATGATATAGATGTTAAAGATCCATCACTCGGTTTAAGTGGACCCCCTAAAGCTTTCTTGACGCAAGATATATTAAATATTGTAAAAAGTTTAATTGGAGAACAAGGATTATTTTTATTGAATTTTGTTTGTCGTGCATCTGATGTTAGAGCTGAAATTGTTAATGTTTTAAAAACAAATTTTAAGCAATTAACATCATTAAAGGTGGCTGAAGACATAAATAGAGTACTATTAGCAAAAAATAGTAATGGAGCAATCGATGAACACCTTTTGAAACAAACAGCTTTGTACATGAACAAATGCGCCAAAAGCAATCCACTTATTGCTTGTGATGTTATTGATGTTTCTACTATAAAAGATAATATCGAAGATTTATAATATTGTTATATTAAGGATATTATTGTAAACATAATTTGTATACTTAATGTATAGTATTAATATTAATTAAGTTTATTTTATATTTCATTGTTAAAAGGTTTAAAAAAAATTAATTAAAAAACACATATATTACACTTATGCAATAGAATTGTATCTACATTTCCATGATTTATTCAGTCTTTTTTTTCTTTTGCAATAGTTTTAAAAGCCAAACTAAACAAGCATAAGTGACTAAGATTTGAATACAACAGCCTTTTTAATTAATCATAAAATATAATATAGTTACTTAATAAATAATAACATACTCATTATGTATTGGTTAACAATTGAAAGGTTTAACAAAAAAAAAAAAAATAATAATTGTCTTATACAAATATTTTATTTATAATTTTTATAAATAGTTATAGAGTATAAAGGTTTTCTTGTATTATTATTTATTACGTTTATATGATGGTGTTAAGGCAGTATGAAATTAAAACTTATTCTTATCCTGTAAATACTTTAAACCGGTTTAAAGTATTTACATTACCATTTCAATGAAAACCATGCATTATCACAAACAATTTTTTTTTTTTTTAAAATTGGAGCAACTTTTTTACTGCATATAAATCCATGATTTAATTATAATCAATGATATTGCATAGTCTGTTTACTCAGGACTCATAATTAAATGTATTATACAAAACACTAATACAAATTATGAGTATATAATATTTTAAAGGTTCAATTCACCCTGTTCAACAACTGTATTAAATAAGTAATTGGAAGCACACCTTAAAACAATTAAATATTATCAAGAAATTAATTTGAGAAGTACAGGGTTTCATTAGTGTTCGCTTGAGCTTCTATTAGACAATTTGTATCCAGGTTACCTAAAGTATTTGTTATTCTTTCAACCAATTTTTTTCTATACCTGTACACAGTGCGGTCAACTGTTGAGTCTGCAGTTACACAATCATTTCCTCCATACTCACAAACTCTATAATGATGGAGTATTGCACGTTCTGGAGTGAAATAAAATGTTCCATCATTAGGATTTAAAAATTCCCAAATAAAATGATTTCCAACTTCTATTATTCGTCGAGGATCACAGATATATTTAGAACGTTGTTTATGTGGATGTAGCTTAGTCTTACGACGTGTTTTCCGTAATACAACAAGATTTGAATGAAATGGATTCTGATCTATTGGTAATGTATCATCATCTGCCCATTGCATGTAGAAAAATGCATTACGAAATGAATAAGCAGCTGGTGTTTGATAAATGTTTAACCAGCTAAAAATAATTACATTTTTAACATTAATATTTAAACAAAAAAACAATAATTATAATATATTAAACAAACTTAATTAATTGAATTAAAGTGTCATTTTGTCGTGGAACAATAATTTCATCAATATCTAAAAATGCAACAAATTTTGATTTGTACATATTTCTGTACAAGCAATCATTAAGTGCAGCAAACATTCCTTCAGTTCTTATTTCTTGTTTAGAAACCATGTCTAGTTGCCAAGGTAAAATAGAAACCAAGTTGTCTTTTTTGTAACGATCTAGAACACAATCTACATTTGGTCCAATAGTGTTTTTATAAAATGTAAAATGTCCAATCCCTAGTAAATAGTTAAGCTCTACAAATTCCATAAGTTGTATTGCCTAAAATAAAAATAAACTTAAATAAATATATATACATATATTATTGTACAATTGAAAAAATATTTACCCGGTCATAATAATAATGTAATGGTTTAACACAAATTTCTATATCTGTCTTAAACTGACTTGTTGCTTTTGGCATCTGAATCAGTATTTCATTAGTAATAGGATCTTTAATGTGAGATACAATTGATACACTTAATGGTTGTTTCCCATCTGGTGGTAATTTGCACAACACAAATACTGCACTGTATTTAAGATTCCAGTTTTCACGAATTGCTTTTACAAATGCTGAAACAGTCTTGGAACTATCTGAATACCACAATCTACACCAAACTGTATCTGGTTTTCGAGTTTTAGTAGCACCAATTATTCGTACTAGTGGCCCGACAGATTTGATTCTCTTGTCCAAATATGCTGAATAAATGAAAAATTTGAACCTGTAATTGAGACATCAATGAAAGTAGATATCAACTATAATATTATTATACCACTAAATTATAATACTTTGTTGAATGAACATTTTGCCAAACAGCATCTCTAGGAATAATTTCACTTCGATTGGGTAATGTTCGTTCTACACTTGGTGGATGTATTATATATTGTTGTTTTGTAGGTTTGTAACGGGTTGGCAATTTAAATTTTTGACTATAGTATTTGTCATTCTAAAAACAAATAAATAAAAATGTGCCTCCCAATGTGGGTCTGCAACATCATAATGATAAAGCTCACCTTAGTATCTGTACTTCTGGGCTTTTCATCGTACATAACATAAAATATGAAGAGGGTAATAATGCTGCTGAACAAGAGAAGTAAACGGACTCGAGTTTTCATTATTGAATCTAAAATTTTATATTACTAGAACGTTTAATATTAACATGTATGTGTTCATCATACTAATAATGATGATTCATTTGTTCCTCATTAGATTAGCTAGGGTTTTAAAACTAGCTACAGGGTAGTTTTTTAATTTGGAATACACAGATAATGTTAAACAAACTTAATTTTGAAAACATCTACCAGGCAAGCAAACTAGTAAAAATAAGTTCTAGGAGTCAATAATTACACTCACTTGCGAAGCGCATATTATAATATTGTATCGTTGCATCGTACAACTCGTAGAAACAAAACCGTGATATATTGCAGTCAGATTTCTAACAATATTAACATCTACAATATAACACTATTTTAATAATAATATTAATTATTGTGTAGGTAAAATTGTTATTTCGCACATTCACCGAATAAAAAATAATAAATAATTCTGTAAGGATATTGTATTTAATAATTATTGTACTGTTGTTTCATATATTGCATGCCGAGATACAAAACATATACTGACGATAAGAAAAAGTAATATCATTATTCTGACCTTATATGAATACGGAACTATAAACCAAAGGGGTGGATGCACGGGGTGCGCATGTCCAATTAGATAGGTACTCTATACGTAACCCTATTATCCAAAGCGCGAACAAAAGGGCTAATGTAGCGATTGATACAAAAATTCCATTTAAGACAGCTGCCAGTTGCTGATCATTTAAAGAAATGACTTTCGTATTTTGGAATCGGCTTAAAAAAATGTTAATCTAACCTTCATTATTAGTTTAATAAAACGCAATTTATGCACCATGCATTATATTATACTAAAGTGTATTAGTTTATAATTTTAAGTTACTTGACTTTAGGGTTTGGAAAAAAATGTCAAATTATCTAAAACAGTTTTATATAAGTACTTAAGCAGGGATGTTATAGCACCCTCTTGGTGTGGAACATTTTTTTTTTCGGTAAAAAATTTCAAATTATATTCTTTCTTATCAATTTTGTATTTGATGATAAAGGTGTAAAATAATAATAACGAAATTAATGGAATCATGGTTACTATAATAGTTAAAAGACGGTCAAACTGAATACTATGAACTATAAAGTATTAATATAATTAATATATGTTTGCTTATGCTAAATAATTACACCCTCCATAAAATAATCCTAGATCCACCACTATACTTAGGTAATCAATTGTCAAAGTTTGAATTTTCTTATTTGTAGACAAATTCTTTCGAACGTACAATGCTAATAAATTACTTTATCTAATTGATATTTCAACATTTCATTGTTTTAGTTTATAGAAAAAAAGTGATATAACTTCGCACAGTGTGTGGAATGCTGTTGTGATTAGTTGGGAAGATAGAAGGGAAATTTAATGTTCCTATCTATATCTATACTCAACGGTTAATCATTGCTATTGTTCGAACGATTCTTAACGAAATTTAGTCAAACATATTTTGTGATTTTTACGATTTGTTAAGAAATTTAATTTCACAAATAAAAAGTATTATAATAATAAAGTATTAGTATAATAAGAGTATTTTTTTAACTATTCAGTAATCGACAATTTGTGGTCTGCGTGTTAAACTTTCAAGCATTTCTGAGCGGCCAAAACAATTTTATCCATATAAAAATCGATGTAGAAACGTGAACACTTTACCATGTTTTGTAAGATCTAATATAAGTATAATGAGAAAATTTCAAATCTCTATGATTATTTTAATCAAATAATAACAAAAAAATAAAATCGATAACGGAAACATTTTAAGGATTGGATTGCATGCATTTTCCCGTTTTCCCAATATATTTTCAATGAATGATAGTAAAAAAATTTAAAAATAACCTAACATCCATTAAACAAAATTTGATTTTAAAAATGATATTTCATTTTAAAATTGGTAAAAGATTTTTGGTAGAAAAGTTGTTTACATACACACACACACACACACAAATTCTTATAGAAAACCAATACTCTCTGCATTTAAAATTTATACTGATGTAAAACATAATTTCACAGACACTTTTTAATTGAAACTGAAAATAAATTAAATGAATGTTGCAATTAGTACAATCTATATATATATATACAGAGTGTCCCTTGAGGATTTAACAAATACAATACCTTTTGTTATATTCAATATTTTTTGTAAATAATAAGTATAACTCTGTGCTACAGTTTATAAATGACAATTTTTTTTTAGGGGAGGGGGATTTAAAATTGGACTACATTTTTAAAAAAATTAAAAATAGCCATTTTGTAAAATAAATTTTTAGAACATTTTTGGTAATTGAAACTTTTATTACAGTATAGTCTTATTTTCTAGGATTTTTCGAAGTTTTTACAAATGTGATTATGTGAATATTTCAATCAGTTATTATAGTCAGAGCACTTGACAAGGGTTTTCTTTTTCATGAATTAATATCATGCAATATCATATTAAAGGTATTAGGTAGTATCAATCAACCAATGATGGTAATTTATGTAGATAAACAATATTGTTACAATTGAAAAGAAAATTTTCAAAAAATCATAGAAAGTAAAAGACCATACTTTAACAAAAGTTTCAACCAGCAACAATTGTCTAAAAATCTATTTTAAAAATTTAATATTTTTGATTTTAAGTCCCCCTTCCCATTAAAAAAATGTTCAAATATTAACTCTAGGCATATTTAATTTAATTATTTAAAAAATATATATATATTAAAAATATTGAATAAAACAAAAGTAATTGCATTTGTTGAACCCTCGTGGGACACCCTATATATATACATTGTATCAATTGAAAAAACTGAAGTTAATATATATATAAAAAAAAAAATGATTGGAGTTGTTATTAAGCATAAACGTGACTTCGATAAAAGACAAAATGAGAGAATTATAAGCAGTAAGAATAAAATATGTGGTGAAGTGTGATTGAAAATGACATGAGGACAGTATACATGTGAAGAATTATGTGAGTGGTCAGATCAAGTAGAAGTTTACCACAAAAGTGATTAATACCAAATAGGATCAAGGCAAGAGAAAATGGGAATTATTATTTAGCGGGTATTATTTAGCATAGGTATTTGTTTTAAAATAAATCATTTGGATAATTATTTGTGCATAATATTATATACATATTATTAGAAAATTTAGGTTAAGGAAATAATTAAACATTTACATGGCTATTTTTCATATACCTACAGGCTACCTCTACTTATTTAATTAGATATAATTTAATTAATAACAAAATAATGTAACATTGATATTATATTTTATAATGATGAGGTACCTACTAACTAAGAAATTAATATATTTTTCAACAACATTTTAGTAACATAATTTTGTATTAAATTTTAAATTGAAATAAAACAACAACATTTCTTATAAACTAAACAAATACATATATACAATTTATAAAATCATTGTACCAATACAAAATATTGATTTTATAAATTCAGGAATATAATTTGATAAAAACTATATGGATAAGTTTATATAGTTTTTATAAATATTTTAAAATACAATTTCATGTTATTATATATAGAAGGACAATAAAACCTTGTTAAGAAGCTCATGAAGGCGAAATTGTAAATCCGCGTATTATGCGTAATGGAATAATAGGCCGCCTAATACGTTCTTGAAGCGTTTAAAACGGGATACAAGACCTAACCTAAATATAGAAGCATGTTTTCTGAATCATAAGTTGCAGTAGGTCTGTCTCAATGAAAATATTGATTGTACAGTACTTGTGAATGAAATAAGTGGCGGAGAGTATTCTTCCATTAGCTCATCATCCTTTGGACCATATGGTTTTTCTGGTTAACTGCAATCCGGCTTCAAAAGCAAGGCTCATTTCTCACTCATAATCAATTGATTGCCAATAGATATTGTGTAATCTGGAAAAGCTTCTTCAAATTCCCAGGGTTCGTCTGAATTTAAAACGTTTTCATAAAGGACGTTTCCAAAGTAAGCTTTGTTCAAAAAGTTTTTAATAATTTCAGGATTTATCTCATCCCACGTAATTGAAATATAATTAATTAAATCTAAAGCATTGATTTTGGAAATTTCTTCATCAGTAAGTGATTCCATTTTCTGTGTATGCTATTGTACCATTTTTTTTTTATGGTACTTCTGTTTTAAAACCTTAAACACATGATCATCAAGAGGCTAAAGCTTACTCGTGGTGTTCGGCGGGAAAAACATAAGTTTGATATTTTAAAGGATATTTCTTTCAGATAAGCAAGACATTGCCTACAAATAAAATGACTTTTCTCTACTGTTTAACTTACTCACGGTTAAGCTGTTGAACCCATCCAATGATCGAATTTCTAGTTATCCACCCATGGTTTTGAGCTTTATAGTTTCACAGGAGAGAGTACGTACATTTGTAAAACATGGAGGGAGGGGGAAATTTTGATTTAGATAAGCACCATTTTTATCGACATATTAAAGGGGATTTTTTTAAAGTTATAAGGTATGAGAGGCAAGAAAAGAAAGCGCATCACATTATGCGGGATTACACATTAAGAGTGTATTATTGTATGCTAAAAGATCCACTGGTACCCAAGAACAGAAATAATCCACGTATTGAACCATAGCATCTTAACGAGGTTTTACTATATGTAGATGTTCATAAAATAAATTTATCGGGTTCTAAAAATGTGTTTGGTAACAAAACAATTTTTTTTTTTTTTTATTTAAAGTATTAAATAATACCCATATAAATTAACATTCTTAAATAAATAACCGAAACCAAATTTAATATTTTAAATAAATTATAAAAATTGTATTTGGTCTATATTTAAGAAAATGTATAAATGTATAGAATTCTTTTTTATATTTTGTACAAATGAGAACAAGTGTAAAAATATACACAACAATCAATCTTCTAAATATACATTATTTAAGTAACTAACTAAAAGAAATATAAAAACAAATATTTTTATAAAAAAAAAAAAGGGAATTGTATAATTTTTTTTTTTTTACAACATAGGTATTAAAATTTCTTTGGTGTCTAAAAACAATTATGCTATTTCAAAAATTTTAAATATTAAACAAATAAATTGTACAAACAAAATTATTTTACTTAGTATAAAAAATAAGTTTTGTTATTTTCATAAAACCAGTCCATTACCTAATCAAATTACCCAATAATTATATTATTACAGTATGACAAGAAAATAAATCTAAAGCATATACATTTAATAAACAACTGGACAGCTAAATAATAATAATAATAATAATAATAATAACAACTACATTTAAAACAGTTAAATTATATTAAAAAAAAAAAAAAAAAAAAACAACTTCATATTAAAAAAAACATTCACCAAAATTATAATGGGAATAATATGAAGTGTACAAGTACACTTGGTAACTGTGGTGACAACTTTGATTTATTTTAGTATTGTTCAAATCTTTGGTATATATTTAATGTCTGTACATTTTTTTAAATTGCATTAATCATTGTAGCAATTATTTATTTAATAAGTAAACGCCTAAAGGCATTGGATTATATAACAGTAACATAATAATGAGTATGACTTAAGAATAAAAGAACAGTAATAAGTATAGGCGATAAGGTCCGGAACTATGTCGTGTTAAGGTGACGCAACATTCTATGAAGTGGTTGATTATGCCCATAAATGGTATAGAAAACAAAGAAAGGTTTCTATTGGATAAAGAAGGAACACAGATTGAGACAGAGACTAGTAAATAAGAGACATTGAGAATACCATTAAGAAGGGTGAAGATGAAAACTAAGTCCACATCAATATGTTAAAAAATAAGCATGGAAATATCAAGAACAAGTGGATGCAAACATAGACGTGTGGGGGATGCTCAATTTTCAATTGATGGGCTGCAAAAGAAAAATCAGTTTTGAACTCATTTGATGTGCAGCTGATTATAAGCTAAGTAGAGATACTAGACAGTGAACCATATTTAAGGATTGGCCATACCAAACATAGGTAAAGTGTGCAAAGACAAATAGCAGACTAGCAGAGGTGAAGATTTTATTTAGGCTAAATGAACCTAAGAATCTTAAGAAAAGACACAACAATAACATTGATGTGGTGAAGGAGGATGGGAGAAAAATAAAAACCTAGGTCTTTAAAAATATCATCACATAGGAGAGGAGCGTTACCGAGGGAATACAAGAGCAGGATACGAAAACATTTCCTGAAAAAGTCATGGTGTGACATTTTTCAAAGTTTATTAAGGTTAACAGGTTCAGTCCAGATGAGGGAAACATCAAGGTCAGACTACTAGAGTAGTCAGAAAGGGAATCTATTTAGGAAATATTTTAATGTCCACCAGCAAAAAAAAAAAGAACCTTAACAAAATTATGTAATTAAATAATAATTTGATAATAGTTTGATATGCCACCTACATTTTTTTATCTATCATCAAATTACAGTATATTATTTATTTATGGACAGTGTCCATTTTACAAAACAGTATGATATGGTGTATGCAACAATGCCAAAATACCCACCTATGGAGATTAAATAGATTATTAATATTTACAAAGGAAATACATAATATGATACCGAGTAATAGATCATCCAGAAAAGGGGAAAACAAAATATAAAATATAAAACAAAAATAAATGAATGTAATAGTATTAATAATAATAATTAATAAGTACATTTTATAAGAGACATCCTTATGAGTGGGGAACAGAATATTCGCACAGAACCTATACATGTACCCCTGATAAATGAGGCTGTGTCAGGTTGACAGCCAGTGTAAAAATGTTATCAAATAGTTTGAGGATTCCTAAACAAGGCATGGACAAACTGCCCCATTTTTGATATATTTTAAGTGACGAGAATTTTAATGAGACTTAAAAGTAAGTTCTACAAGAGTATGGTAAGACTAACTATATTTTATGATTTGGAGTGTTGGGTTGTAGATAGAAAAAAAGAACAAAGAATGAGTGTATCAGAAATGAAAAAAATTTAAGGAGGTTATGAGTGGAGTGATGAGAGAAAATATGATAAAGAACAAGTACAGAAAAGGCAACATGTGTGTGGCTTCAATAATAAAAAAATGAAAGAAAATAGACCGAGATGGTTTGGGCATGAAGAAAGAAAGAAAGAAGAACAATAAATATGTGGTTGAATGTGATTGAGAATGATACGAGGTAGATTAGGTCAAGTGGAAATTTAGAAAAAGGATGGCTGAACCCCAAATAGCTAAAATGAAGACGGAAGAGAAGATATTTTATAATACGTACACATAAAGTTTTCAAAGAGCCCATATAATAGTTATAATAGTTTAAAATTCTATTAACTGAAGAATTAGACATATATAACAACTATATTGATAGAGGACTAAATATATAATTTTTGGGTAATATTTTGAATATATTTTAGTTTGGATTATAAATTTGCTGAGTGTTTATTTTATAATTATTAAGACTTACTAAAAAACAAATTATCAATATTATCATACTAAATTCAATTCTGAATATTATTTTCAAATCTGTCTGCTCTATAAATAAGTCTATAGTTTTATTTATGGGAAGTTAGATCCACCACTTAATTCACAATTTTCCAGTGTCCCAGACAAATATACTTTTTTTTAAAAAAATGCCAAGTTACAAAAATCCGAAATAATGAAAAAAGATAATTATAATAATATAGAGTAGTTTCTTTATATCCTCTATCCTGAGTGAATATAATATTAAGCTAATGCATCTGCAAATAAAAATTAATTTTAGTCTTGAGTTCAAACAAATTATTTGATTTTTTTAAAGAACTTTGTTTTAAACCTATGCAATTTAATAGGAAATCGAATAAATTCCATGATAACTAGATGACCTACTAAGATCACAGTGGATTGTTCCCCAAAATAATTTATATATCTAAATACTTAAATTAAACTATACAAATGTTTAAAGTGAATATAACCTCAGACTTTTTAAGAGTAATAGCCCATAATTTTCAACTTTAACAACATTAAAGCATTTTCGAATATATATATATATTTTATAAATTTTATAATAGGTACTGTAATAAATAATAATAATAACACAATTCTGTGATAATTATAATATAAATAAAATAGAATTTTAAAAACGATAAATCTTTATAAAATAATATAACTGTCATAATAAAAACTAGTAAATAAATAATACATTATTTTTGGTGATCAAGTCACTCGATACCGATCTACTAGTAACACTACACAAAATATTTGATGAAGTAACCTTATGAAATTTCCAATTAATATCTATAAGACTTTTATTATGAATTGTTATAAATATCATTGTAAATAAATCAATAAGTAGGTAGCATATGAAACAACACATGCTTTGATGTAGTTACATGGCATCGGTAAACAGCATTTTGAACTTCCATCCATAATTAAATTCAAATTTTTTTATAAAAACAATAATTCTAAAAAAAAAATTCGGCCATTTACTAAATTATCACTTTTAAAAATAATAATTTGTATTTTTTAAAGCTTTATCCTAGATAAATTATCACTAGGTAAAGACTGATAAAGTCATACATAATTATATAATTATTATACATATAGTATACACATATTATTTATTGTTTTAAATACAGTCAATAATATATTATTTAAATTATTTTTATTTTTAAACAATTAAGTAATAATTAATAAATCCTAATAAAGTTATGTAGACTTAATATTCATTTTTGAATGTATATTAAATTAAATTATTATCATTCAAATTAATAAAATATAAGATTGTAAAATAAATAATATATAATATTTTATTTTTATGCTATTTTTTATCATATCATAAATTACTAAAAATACAAAAAAAAAAATATTACTATTTTTTTAAAAACTTTTTAGTTTTAAGATATAAATGAATCATTAATATTAAATTGTTTGGTACAGAGCAGCCTTTGCCTTATTTTCTTATCACTTTAGTATATAAATCACAGTTTTTTTATTTATTGTATTTAAATTGGTTGCAAGTTTAAATATTATACAGTTAATTGATTGATATTATTAGAATGTTATATATTATCTTCCAAAATTAAATGTTACAGTCAATTTCAGCAGAAATACATTTTTTTTTTTTTTTTTTTACAAAAAGTTACTAATTTAAAAAAAATATGTATTTCATGATACAATTAACTGTAACATAAAATTCAAGACAATACAATTTAAAAAATATTCGTATTGAAATTCAATAAGTTAAAATAATCGTAATTAAAAAATAAAAACTTAAATTTTATAATTTAAAATACTAATAAAAATTTGATATTTTATAAATAAATTATACCATCTTATTATGTTTTCATATGCATATAAATTAAATTAATTTTTATGTTACACGGATAGCACTAAATAAGCTTATTAAAAATAAATAAATAATGAAGCCATAACTAATAGGTAATATTTTCTTTACAATTTTGATGTGAATTGTAATTAAATATTGATAAAATATAAATACATTATTAATCTTTCATATTAGTACTTTTCATGAAATTATTAATTATTTAATACCTACATATTAATAAATGACTTGAGGTTAAAATAACAATAAAATTACTAGAAAAAGTTAAATAAGTTAAATGTTAATTTATATAAATATATAAATCAATATTTGTTATATATATATATATATATATATATATATTGTACTAAATATAAAGAAAAGATATTTGAAGGAATTGTAAATGTTAAAATGTAGTAATTCAGTTACAATTTGATAAAATGTTCTGAAAGTATTCAAATAGATATATCCAATAAGGAACTTTTTAATAATTAAAACAATATTTATCTTTCAAGTCTTTTACAATATTATCTAACTCAAACTAAACCCATATTTACTAAGAGTCCAAAAGCATTTTTTTTTTGGGGTTGCACAAACCTGTACAAAAAATTGACTAGTTAAAGTAAAATAAAGTGTTAAAATAAAATTATAAATAGCACATTTAATGAAAAATAACATTTGATATGATAATAAAACAATATAATAGGTAGTTGTTAACTTACAGTTATCAACTTATATTTTGGTTGATTGTATTTTCTTGTAGTTTTGCTTCAGCCATTGCTTGTTTGATTGCTTCTTTGTAACTACTAGTTTTCTTATGTTTGTTAAATCGAGACTAAAATTACAAAATAACTATTTAAAATTATTTTGAATAATTTATTAGACCTAACCTTAATAAAACTATGGAAGCATAGAAGAAGAGAAAAAAAAACCTTATAAATATTTACTAATAATTATTCAATATCAATAAACTTGATTAATGATAATAATTTATGAGATTTTCATTATAAAGAATGAAGCCCAATTTATTTAAAACTGTTATGGATCAATTCTTCAATTAAAGTGAATTTTGTGAATTTCCAAGTACATTTTTAATAAACACTAAACTATACACGCGATATTCCCAATAAAATGTGAATAATAAATTTTAAATTTTATAAGGTTAATAATTAGGATTCAAACAAATTACAAATAAAATTTGAAAAAACTTGACGTACAATCAATTGTACTAAACCTAGGCAACACAATGTGAGTAAAATAAGGTTACAATCTACCTATTAATTACAAAGAAAAAATTGTATTCAAAACTATAAATAATCATTATACATGAGTGTCATATTTTCAAAATTACCTCCCCCCTATTATCTTCACCTGGTTTTGCCTATAATTATACATACGAAGATATACCCATTACAATGTCTCCTCAAGTAATAAAGATAATCAAATTCTGTTTTTTAATATTACTCCTCGCAAGAATTACAAATATTTATACTTGAATTCAATTTTTATGTTTGGATAAAAAAAATTTTTATTTTACTATTTTGAAAAATTCAAATATAAGTTCAGAGAAAATTACCTATAATTATGCAACAGCCTGAAATTGAATTTACAAATTGATTATTATTATTATGGCTATGTGGCTGTACACTTTTCTCTCTGAACTTTAAAAAATTAATAAAAATCATAAATTTTATGAAAATAAAAAGTTAATAGCACAATATTTTCAGAAGAACAATAAACTCTATAAAATAGCCATTTTAAAACTATCTTCAAACTTTTGTAAAATAATAAAATAAAAAATTATTTCTTAATTTTTTTATCAAAACAGAAAATCAGTTCAAATATAAATATTTGCAGTCTTTTTCCTTGAGATAAAAAAAAAACATAATTTAATTATCTTTATTACCCTTAGAGATATTGTAATGGGTATATCTTTGTTGGACAGCATGTATATATTATTAATCAATGATTCTGGTAATATATACAAATTAAGATATATAATTATGAGGTAATCTAACATTCATGATTCTTTGTATTAATAATACATATTTTTCACATTGATCATTCAATGTTTAAAAACAATTATTACAAAATTTATTTTATACAAAACACATTAATGTGTGATAGGTACAGTAACAAAATTTTAGATACTGATTTTTTTTTGATTTTTTGGGGGCTACTTTGAAATATGCAAACACATATAAATTAAAAACTATGGCCACTAATAGAAATGACTTAAGTGTATTATTAAGGCAAGTATAAAATAATAATTTACTTTATTTATAACATGCATTATATTTATTATTAAATAAAATACCTTATAAAAATCTAAAAATGGATTAATCTGATCTAAATTAAGAAAAGATGTAGTTGAAGACCCAAACCAAGTGACATTAACAAACGATCCATGTTCTTCACCATTACTAGTAGTAAAATTTGATACCTTAATATCAATAATTAATTATAAATAAATAATTTAGACATTTTGACATTCCAAATATTTTAAAATATTTACCTTTGCTGGCCACCAAGGAAATCCTTTTACTTTTCCCCATACAACATCACCTTCATGCAGAATTTTACCAGTTTTCAAAATAAATAAGGAATTAGAGTCAGATGGTTCTGTTTGAGGCACCATTACAATTCCAGATGAATTGTTAGATTCAATATCATTACCAAAATGTTCACCATTTATATTGTTAATTGATTCAGCAGTATCAGTTTCTTTTGTTACATGAAATTCTTCTTCGGAATTAAAATGATTTAAATTTACTGAAAAATTACCTAAATCCAGATCATCTTCATGTTCTTTGTGCCTTTTCTTATGTTTTTTTCTTTTTTCTCCATCTTGTCTTCTACGTTTTACCCTTTTACGTAATAGTTTATCTGGTTCACTCTCTCCATCTGCTTGACGAGATGGTATTTCCATAACTGTACCTTCACCTTGAGATCCAAATGTTATTTTGATGATTGGTGTTTTTTTAGTTTCTTCAAATGCAGTTTCGTCCCATAGATCTTCCATTGAACCAACACTTGTTTTTTTACGTAACACTATTTTCTCTTTATCGTTATCTTGAATATCACAGTCATCTTTACAGTCTTTTTTGTTATCTACCCATTCACCTAGTTCAGTGAACGCAGTATAATTATTAAGTGCCTCTGTTATATCTCTAGATTTCAATTTAACAAGTTTAGGTATCAGTGTACGGCACATTGATTTAACCTCAGATACAGAATTTGAAGAGTTTATAGATAAATCAGGTACAGGCCCATGACTTCTTAATAATCTTTTTTCTCCATTATTTTTGGTAATAGAATTTTTCCTATTTTTGATAAGATCTCTGGAATTTTCAACATTGTCTGAATTTTCTGTACAAATTGATTTACATTTTGAACATAGAACCTGACGAGGTCGTAAACGAACAGTCATGGGTTTTCTTACTTTTTTGGTTTTACTGGGAATTTTTTTAAATGTGTTTGGAGTATTTTGGAAATAAGTGAAACGTTGGCTTACTGAATATAAAACGTCATTATCAGAATCAGTCTTCAAATTTCTGGGTGATAGTGCAGGTTTTGTCAATGGAATACTTCCACATGGAAAACGTCTAAAAATTAAGATCAGAAAAATGAAATTATATTTCTTGTTTCAGTGAATAATTGCTTACTTTTTGGCATTGTTCAGCAGTATGCCTTGGTAAATACACCCATTTATGGCAGTATATGACACTACAATCATATCTGGCAAAACACTCTCGACCACTACCTGAATGAGAGCATTTTCGAGGATACCAATATTTGTATCCATCTGTAGTTAGCATTTGACTTTTAGGTAAATCACTAGTTTTTGATGAAAGTAATATATTTTTGTATTATAGGTTATTATTACCTATCTTATTTTGTAATAATAATATAAATGTTTAATTCTAAAATAATTTAGAGAAAATTAACATGTAAGTATAGGAAAATAATAAATAAAACACATTTTAGTATTATTATTATTATTATATAAATATCAAGTATAAAAAAAATTAAAATATTCTCAATTATAAATATTTAACATAATATTTCAAGTGAAAAAAATAATTTCAATTATAATTTTTAATAAAAGACCTTAACTCGTTGGGCAGAAAGTTGCAAAAAGACGTGGGGTGGAGCATTGATAAGGATCATGGATTCGTGATTATAGAGACCAAAGAGATTTTACAAATACATAATATACATTTCCTCATTTGAATCAATTTTTTTTTTTCTGAATATTATTATATTTTACACAATTTTATTTATAAGTTAATAAATTTAATCAAGTTGTTTCTTTTTAAGTAGAACATATGTATTAGTATTATAGGTATTATAAAAAAAAATATTACATAGGTAGATTATAATATAGCAATAATAAATGAAAAAAGCCTAGGGATTGATTCTTGGGTATTTTTTTAATTTTATACTGGATTTGCAGTTACATTGGTTAATGTGGTTTCGATGTCATTAAATATGACCAACATAGAATACATTTGGTTGAAATTTTCGCTAACCTTAGATTTAAAATATTTTTTGAGAATAAGGGTGATTACAGAATCATGTGGTATTATCGCACCAGTTTGAGTAGGTTTCCTATAAATATTAAAATCGAATTAATTTTTATATTGTATATTCGAGATTTTTGAAAATTTTTAGTAACTGTAAGATCTAAGAAATTAATTTTTTTATTTATTTTGTTTATGTAGTTAAACTAAATTTTCTCCTTGTCTATTTGATCCTCTAAATAAAATTAAAGTGTCATCAACATATCTATAATATGCTTTTTTATATGGACTATATATTTCGTTGTTAATAATATTATTTGTTTCATAATTTTGCATGTAAACTTCAGATAAAAGAGCATTTAAAGGACCACCCATAAGTAACCATATTTTTTGGGAATATAATTTATTATTATATTGGAAATAGTTATGATTAATAATTATATTTATTGATTGAATATTTGAACAGTTTCTTGTACCTATCTACTTCGTTTGTATTTAATTTATTACTATGTACAAGTTTACTTTTTAAACAATTTACTATTTTGTGTTTAGAAATGGATGTATAATGTATATACATTTTTATTTTTAAGAAAAATCATTTTTAACCTGGTTCAATATAAATTGTATTAATTTTTTCAATGAACCATTAGTAGGCATCTCTCCCTATCTAAACTTAAAAGTGAAATATCTCGTCAACGGAAATCAATAAGTTCAATACCAAAATCTATTTATACGAAAGATCTATTATTTAAAATTACTTCAATAAAGTATCTTCCCAGTCAGATTTCCTTTCAAAAAAAGTGATATCATAATATTTTTTTACTAATACATACATTTCTTACATTTTCCGTTTTTCCGAAATTTTATCCCGGTTTTTCCCAGATATTATGAAAACCGCTTAAAAAATCAAAAAATGACTTCCCTAAATTACCATGTAGATAAAATGTCCTTTCAGGAAATAAGCTGAACTTGATGGATAACAACAAATCGGGGGTATTTCGTAATTAAAATAGTCCGAGGGAGCAATGGCTTGGGTCTATAGGTAAATTCATTTGTTTTTCCTTGTTTAGGTAAAAGGGACAAAAATGCAAACAATTTTTTTCGACACGCTGAATTGAACTCAGAACCCCTAGCATAAAAATAGGCATAAATAACCATTAGATCACGACAAATATGCTTGAAGAAGAACTATATAAAGTTATTTAATATAACTTATAATATCCAAATAATATCAGGGCTTCAAAAAGATATAATTTCGAAACTTAGTCAATCCGCTTAATTCTGACTTCACCATCGTTCTTAAATCGGCAATATATATATATTCAAAAAAAAAAAAAAATTGAAAAATTAGATTTGTTCCAAATAATTTTTTACTCGAACAATTTTCATCAAAATTTGATATTAACATTCTCTTATAAACAAAAATACTACTACTTTAATTCAATTTTTTTTTTCTGACTACATAGGAGTATTAAATAAGAGTACTACATAAGAGTATTACCTCTTAATGAAACTCCAGTTAAATTTTGAAGCATTTTTGTTCAAGACTAACAATTTTACTATAAGTACCTATTAATAAATATTACATTTAAAACTCTCAAAATTAAAATGCCTATAAATACTTCAAGAATGACTAAAATTTTACTACTTTTGAAAAGACAAATATAAGTTTTCTGTCTAAATTTATAGTCTTTATGAATAATTTTAACTGAATTACAACAAATAAAATAATTGAAAAATAACAAAAGCATTATTTTCTTCAATTTTCCGTTTTTGTTTACGTTTTATCCTAGTTTTTTTCAGGTATTATGAAAACTGTTTGGAAAATAAAAAAAAATGACTTCCCAAAAGTACCATCTGGACAATATTCCCTTTCAGAAATGGTGCCGCGCGTATATATCTGTGCAAGATTTATGATCGAATTTTTGTATACAATATAAAAAAAAATAAACATCTTAGTAAAACCAATACATTCTTTGTTACACTTATAATAAAAATAAAAATGTACAAATTATTTTAGATTATTAATAAACGAAAAACTTTTGTATTATACATTTTTCTCTATTTTGAATATTTATATGACAAAATAGCTGTAACCTAAATTTTGAATTACTTCGAACATTTTATTTAAGGTCTCGTTAAAAAATACAACTAAAACGATTCCACAATGTTTAAAAAGAAGAGAAATAAATTCATTTAAAATACTCAGAGAAAATCACTGTTTGATGATAAAAAAAAATCTCTTTTTAATCCGAGCTACCTACTTCACATAAAACCTTTTTATTCGGAAATTTGTGAAGATAAACTAAGAATTGTTCTACTTTACAATGATAGCACTTTTTCTAAAAAGAAATCTGACTGGGGTCCTACTTTAAAGAAGTTATTTTTTGATTTATCCAGAATTTTTCTCAATGCTGGCCATGGGGGAGCCCCGTAAATTTTGTATTCGGAATTTCACTTCATCTATAAATAATCTTAATAATACTGTCCCTATATTAAGCAAATTTCGATCCATGTGCCATGTTCCCGAGTGGTTTTCTTAGGATACGAATTGTTATCGATGAAAATCAAGATGGTACTAATTATACATAAACGACATAAACATCGTAATCGGTTTGATAAAATGTTAGGGAATTGCAAAAACGACTTTTATCTTTTATCGATTCGACAAAAATGTCTAATCAAATTAATAAGTTTGATGCCTGATTTTGGTTTGATAATAATAAAAACAGTCTTATAACTATTTATTGAATTAATAATACGCTTACATATTTATTCCCGCCACCCGGTAGCTGCTACTTGCAGTTTAGTTTACTCTAGTTTAGATCAATCTAGTTGGTGATGAGCATGTACGTTTTTTTTAATTTTTTAAGACGTTTTATTAATAATTGATCAAAATCGGAAAAACCTGAGAAATATCAAAAAAGTTTATGGAAATAATGATTCCATTATTTTCTATTTTGTTGCAATTCAATTAAAACTATTCGCAAACTTGAAATTTTAACAGAAAACTTATATTTGCCTTTAGGCTTTTACTGGGTTCTATTTCTATATCGTGAAATTATTAAACATGACCTACTTATAAACATAAATCATAAACATTCATCAAGTAGCAATCTACCCACCTATCAACCTAAAGAATTGCGAAGCTACAATAGATAGTTTAAAGAAATAGGAATAGGAAAACGTGTATAAATCAGGGCCTACATAAGAAGGGTCCTCCTGGAAATTTCCTGTACCCTGGTGAGTCAGTACGTGCCTGTTTGTCTTTTTTGACGTGGTAAAATTTTCAAACCATTTTGGCAATTATTGAACTATTTATATGCTTTTACTTTTGTAAGTTTTTAGTATTTTTGGTAAGTATTATGTGTAAATAATTGTTAACTTAACTTTGCTCAAAATCGTATTTCGTTACCAATTTATTATCATTGCTTACAGGTACAAGTAAATTAAATAATTGTATGTTACCTACATTCCCAACATCCCACCTACAACTAAAAACTTAACCAAACAGGATGATATGGAGTAATTGCATATTTTGTTGGAAATCAAATGATCATAATTCTATTTTCCTACTTAAGATTCGGAGCGTAGCGAGGGATTGGTTTTACTATGTGTATTTTTTTTTATTAACCGAACTTCGTTCCGAATCGTTTTTCGTTGTCAGGGGTGTATTTACGGGGGCTGATCTGTCCTCAGATATATAGCCGTATAGATATTAATTGATAAGTTTGAACTATTGATAAAAAAATATGCATAGGTCATACTTAATTGTGTTCCGTAAAATAACAGTACTTGAGCATAATATAATATGTATGAGTGAATTACAAATCTGGAAAAATACAATTGAGGGTTAATAGGGGATACCATGTTTAAAAGTGATTTAGAAACACTGAAAAGTTATGACTAAGATATTTTCCCCAATGTATATTATTTTATGAAAAAATTTACGGCGCACTACGGTGTTATAATATTCATTGTTTTTACCTTAAATCCATAGGTGTGTGCAGGAATTTTTCACGGGATGTGCAGAATAATTGTAGTAGGGACTCTACTACAATTTAGTAAGATAATTGCATCTATATTACAATAATTCAAATGTAGTTTATAATTTGTATCTGTATACATTTTTGCATTAATAACGAAAAGAAAAATATTATACATTTAATAAATAATATTTGTTAATAACTTAAAAATAGTTATTAATTTACACGCGACTAATTTAACATAGGTGTGATTATTTTACACTAAAAACGTTGGTTTCGAAATGTAATACCAGTGTACACCAGAACGCAATCACGACAGTACGCTTGAACACTTAAGTGTTCAGACCAACTTTTTAAAACGAACAAAACTAATGACTGACGGGTTAACAGTTTTTAATATATACAGCATTTTTTTATTTGTATCAATATTAGATTTATTAGACATTTTAACTACAATATTTATAAATTAATCAAAAGTTTAAAGCATACACAATTGTTTGTAGGGTGCGTACGCCTATGCTTGGATCATATACTATGGATAGAATTACCGCATATAAATGTGTACTACGAGTTGAAGACATCATTAAGCATATTAAGTGCTATTCATGCTGGTCACACGTATCTGGGAACTGATGTCTATTGCGCATGCATATTAGTACTTGCTGCATATTTATCATATAATCACTGCTAATATCCCTAATCATTATAATACCACTAAGTAGTAATGGTAGGTACTTCACAAGTGATTACGCAAATTCGATCAATTAAATGTGATATAAATCTTGCGCATGAGCATATGTACAGACTCCTTTTAGGTATGTTTGCTTCAAATGTTTTTTATTTAGTCAATAGCACCATCCATAGTATCATCTAAGGTTTTCATTGTATTATACTTAAGTTTTCTGTCAGAAATATTAATTCAATCGAAAAATGACAAGAGATCGATTTTGTTCCTTTTAACACAGCCAGTGCCAGGAAGAGTCGTTTTTAGATTTTGTTTGTAGTTTATTTTTAAATTAATCAAAACCGAACATTTTTTTTAGGAATAATGGGAAATTTTACAAAAATAATGATTTTATTATTTGAAATTTTTGTTTTTTTTTTTTTTATGTTATTTAGTTTAAAATATTCGTAGAGATTTAAAATGCAGACAGAAAATTTATATTTCCTTTTTCTAGATATGGTAAAATTTTTAAAACATTTCAATAATTTTTGAGCTATTTATAAATATTTCAATTAGTTTAATTAGTTATAAATGGTTCATTGGTTGCATGGATAAATTAAATAATTTTACCTTCCCCATTACCTCTACACTTACAACATTTGTCTCTAGTATTAGCCTTTTTACTTTACTTCCTTAAGATTTTTGTCTGATTTTAACATAAATTCTTCAGCTTTTGATACGTGGAGTAGTTTTGAAGACTTTCCAGATAATTCAGAGTAGTGGGGTTGTTTCTTTTTAATACAGGAGAATTGAATACTATTTTCCAATCTGGTTTCTATCAACTTGTTGAGAAGATATTCCACTTTTAAGTTTGGGTAATAAGAGTAGTAGAGCAACATTTGAGTAGCAGCAAGGCACACAGCATTTGAATAGTATTCTACTACTCTCTACCTAAACTTAAAAGTGGAATATCTCGTCAATGGAAATCAATAATTTCAGCACAAAAATGAATTTAAACTATTACTAAACTAATCATTGGTGATATTTTTAATACTGGTTGCCAACTGAAAATAAAAAATAAGTACTTGTTTCACCCCTAAAAATGAGAGTAACAAAAATAATAACAATATAACATTTCAGAATATATTATTCCAAAAAGTTTTTACAAGTCAATCTTTTAAAAAATAAGTATTTCATTGTAAATTTGATTATCTCATGATATTTGAATGAACTTGTATATATATAAACAAATTATTTTTCTTTTCATTTAATTTTTCTTTAATGCAATTATCGCATGATTTCTAGGAGACAATAATGGATCAAAAAGTTTAGCAACAAAAGCTTCATTTATACCCTAAAAAAAAAAAACAATATATATAATATATATTTTACAATAATTGTAATATAATAATTATTATGAAATAAATTAACTATTAAATCTTAACCTTCTAATATTTAGATATATGTTAGTATTTTTAAATTATTAGAAATTTAATTAAAATAAAATTTGTCTCTTTTTTTTTTTTTTGGATAATAACATCAATCAATATGTGATAATAATATAATGGAAATATAATAAAAAATGTTGGCACTTATACTCTATTCCAAAAGAGAACATACCGCTATGACGACCAGTTTACGTTCAGCGGCGCGCACCCGCCCACCAAGCATCGCCGTTTCAGTCAGATATCACGTAATTGTAAAAAAAAAGGTCAAAAAAAAATATAGGCATATATAATAAATATTATGTACACCTACTCTATAATGACAGTACATATTTAAAAATATAAATAATATTCACAAAATCTAATTAAATAAATCTATCATCAGACTTAAAATTTTGAATGTTGCTCACTAGTTGGAAGAGATTAGTGATCCCTGAATTTGGGAATGTTTTAATATATTAAAATGTAAAATATTAATCGTAAGGATACTATTTATTATCTTGATTTGGTTTGCAAAAAATAAAGGTTTTTTTTCAGAATACCAATTTACTACATGTCCATGTTAAACAAAAAATACAAAAATGTACATCAAAATGCATACCTGTTCATAAAGGTAGAGTAATCTATCCATTATTATAAGTCCTTCAATAACTGGAGCTAATGCTTGTTTTAGAATGAAAAATACTTTTAACCTATCATAGTCAATTAGATACTTGTCATACAATTCATTTATCTTTTTATCATCAATCTGTAGACAAAAAATAAATTTGAATTAACAGGTCTTTTTCAAATGTATAATTATAATATAAAACAGAAAGGTAAATACAGTGAACGTACCCAGATTAAAAATATTAAATAATAAAATTATTTAATCATTCTTATGCCAATTACTATTCAATGATAAATAACAAAATAATTCTAAGCACTAGAATATATTTATATGGTAGAAAAAATATTTTAAGTTTGGGTAAGGGAGTGTAAAGAAGCTGTGCCATTGCATGACTCTCCATCTATTAAAACTTAAAATGGAATATCTCAGAAATAGGTTGATGAGCATTATTAATATAGATTGACAATAAAAAATTAAAAATGTGTAGTTGTTTCATCCCTAAAAATAAAAACAACTAACAATTTTAGAATATATGATTCTAAAAAGTTTACAAATTTAATTTTTCAACAAAATAAGTACTTTATTGAAAATTTGACCGATCTAAAAAAAAAAATAAGACTGTTATTTTTCGGGGTCACGCTACTGACTATAGACAAAATTTTATAGTACCTCAATATCTATCTGTAATCTTTTTACTGCTTTATGTACATACTCATTGAAAGTCAAACATTTATGTGCTAAGCGTCCAACATGACATCTATTATTATGATCATACCCAAGTTCTTGTATTAAATAAACTTGTAAAAGTGCTCTATAGAATAACGGTTTTGTTGGATTTAATATCTATAAAATTAAATTTTATATTATATTAAAAAAAACCGATTGTAATACAAAAAAATAAATCTTACATCTTTTGAATTAAATATTTTTTCTGGTGATTGAGAAGCACACATTCTAGCATCACGTCCAAGTTCAAATTGCTTATCTTTAAGATATTTGCTAACAGGAAATCCATAAGATTCGTTCCTGTTTAATGCATTTTCAACATCACTCCAAAACGGGCTAACAGTAAATTCTTCTTCAATTAAATGATAACAACAACCAACATTAATCAATAGTTTCAAACAATTTTTAGATTCAATAAATAATTTTAAACATGTAGTAGCTAATGAACCACATGTATGGAGGCCAACTAAGGCAAAATCTTCTTTACTATTAACCTTAAATTCATTTTGCACTAAATGTGCAATTTTAGTATGTTCAGTAACATATTCTGTAACTTGTTTGTAAGTATTATCTACTACAATAGGTTTTTTGCTGTATTTTTCATAATATTCTTTAAAGTTATTAAGTTTCTCTTTAATTATAGGAAGAGATGTTTTTGTCTCAGTGAAATTGTTTGATTTCTTTATAATAGACTGCCAATATTTCTGAAAACAATCAAGTTATATATTAATAACATAATAGCCATTGCCTATTAAGGATGTTAAGTAAATACCTCAAATTTGATGGTTCTATTTCTTGCGCCTTCGGAATTAATAGATTGAGAATCAATGCCAAGTACATTGAAATTATATGCTAAAGCTAACAGGGAACTTAAATATCCTTTACCGCCACCAATATCAACAATGATATCAATACCAGCATATTTGGAAAAATCTGCTACTAATTTGGCCATAACTTCAACTTCATGCATTTTCTTGGCACACATGAATTCTTTTAAATTAAAAGATTGATTTGTAGATATATAACCCCAAGATTGAAGTACATTATGTACATCATCTAATTTCATATAACAATTACTTGGGTATGAATTTATGTAATTTTGTTTTGATAAAGTAACAAATTGAGTAAGAGAATTAGGAATTGGGTTATCTGACCAAAAATTAGTGAATAAAAATTCTGCACCTTTCAAATCAAATTCCTTTTGTATATCAATAGGAATTATGGATTCCCAAAAGTTGTTGGTAATAAAATTAACAACATGGCTATTAGCAATAGGTAAATAAGGTTTTAGATACATAATGACTTCTTCTAATCTAGATCTCAATTGTTCCATTTTGAAAAATTAAAACCCTTTTATCTAAATCTTTAATTTTTAAATTAAAACAAAATTTCTTATATAATCCTTTTATTTCATTATATTGATTGATAATATTAATATTTGAATCATTTATCCGAGGAAAGGATGTAATAATGTTTAAAAGTTTTTGTAAAACATAAAGTTCTTTATCAGAAAGTATAATTATCTTTAAGTTTTGTAATTTCTGTAAAGCAATTAATATTCCAGCATAAAAACCAATTTCTAATCCAATATCACAACCTTTTTGATACCCTATTTGGAAACCTTGTTGATAAGAATTTTCAGAAGATCTCTCAGTTCCTTTCTTATAATTTTTCTCAGCTATACACTTTTCACTTAGAAGTATACCATCAATAATGATATCGTAGTCAAGACTTGTATCATCATTCATTATCAGCTAATACCTGAAAAATATAACAAAAATAGTTGCCTATAATATAGTGTACCTAATAATATAAATATTTACCTTAGATAATCTTATTTAATTAAATAAAACCTGGACACATATGAATTACTGGAGTCTTTAATTTTTATGATAAATACATGGTTATAAGAATAAATAATAATTAATGATGTAATCATAAACTATGATAGTAATAACTTATAGTATTGAAATTTGACATATTCGAGATTTAATATACTCCATTATTAGGCAGGTAATTCATATTGGTTTGATACCATTCAGGCATGAAGATTAGACATTTCACATTTTTAATCTTCATGCATTTATGGTAACATCAATTTCTCTTATCTATAGATGATGATGTCATACGGTTACCACGGTATTCAAGGTTAACGAGGAATAATCAATGGTATCAAATTAAAATTTAGGTAATTTTTCTGTAGTTTGTAAAAAAATGTTCAGTTAAAATGGTTTAATAGTGATTTTTAATTTTATTTGTAGATTTTTGAATTTTAATATCGTTTACTTCTATGCGAACTATTTATTGGGTTTTTATTTTAACTATACAGGAGATTTTAAAAATTTGAAACTTCTTCATTAATTAATCAAGTTTATTTTTAAATCATAACCTAGCTGCAAACAATGGAATTTGTTAGAAGACAATTCCTTTGACGAATGTATTTTAAGTACCTTATCTGAAGTGAAAATACAAATACAAATGATTCGACTGAAAAATTATCAACATCTATTTACAATAGTATTCACAAATATAATGAAAGAGAACCAGTATATGATATTTTAGAATTTCAGATGTGGTCAAGACGTATCTAATAGTAACTGGTAATAAAGTTCATCTATTTAAGGGACGTATTATATAGTATACGATTATTTGTAAAAGTCTAATCAGTGATGGTGTATTTCTAAAGAAATGATAGACAAACTGAAAAGTGGATTGGATATAATGAATTAGGTTAGTATTCAAATATTTCTAAATATAATAAATATTACAATAATATAGTAATTTGTAATTAGATAATCTACATATATTCAAAGTTGTATACACTATTTTTCTTTATAACTAAAATTCGTTTCGATAGCCTAATATATTTTATATATATCAACAGTTATCACTAAACTTTATTCATTTAATATTGTTTTAATAGTTACCTACTTCAAGAAAAACTGTAATGTTGGCAAAAAAAAAAATAGAAATCAATTTTGTAAAATGAAAGTCTTGTTAAGGTTGGTAGCATTGCGTTCATTCATGTTTTCGTGGCCCATAGTAATTTTGGGTTATGTACCGGAAGTGAGAGTGGGGTCGGCGGGCGGGGGGTTTCCGTTTCATTCATCTATTCACTTCATTCATTGGCAAATGGTCATATATATCCGTTCTAAGGGCATGGCACTGGTTTTTGTATGAGTGTTGTTTTTCTCTCTGTGAGCGTGTTTTTAAAATCTTATTAAATTGTGCGATTTACTATCTGTTATTCACTTCCGGTTGTTGTATTTCGCCTTTTTTATTAGAAAATTTAGTAACTTAATAGTTATTAGTAATAGTTAGCAAATTCTTCGATGCTACATAAAAGGTATGTTTTGAAGTATTGTGTTTTATAGGCTACTTAATATATACGTACACATAAGACCTTCAATGTGTTCAGCATTGTTGATTTTTTATTGCGCAAGAATATTCCATTTAACATTACTAATTTATAAATTAATACAATTAATATCCCCTAAAATCGAAAGAATTGATTTTATTTAATTTAAAAACTTATAATTACTCATTATAATCAGAAATATAATTCATATTAATTCATAAGTAACACAGAAAGTTAGGTGTTTTTATTTGTGATTTTGTTTTAGATAATTTTATTTATTTATTAATACAAATTAGGATATTATTATAATTGTAATAAATAGCAAGCAATTATATTTATTCATATCAAATTGTTATTAATAATAATTTTTAATCAATTAGTGATTAGGAATATTATTAGGTACTTACCTACTTATAATTTTTGAAATTATCAAAAATACCTAAGTACAAATAAATTATTTTTTTTAGTTTTTTGGTTATGATAAAATTTGATGAAATATTAATGATTTTTATTACAGCTATATTTTATTTTTATTTTCTGATATTAAGTAGGTACCTATATAATTAAATCAAGAAACTTGATTTATACTTAGAAATATTATCTGTCTATTTCTCTCTCTCTCTCTCTCTATATATATATATATATATTGATTTCTTAAATTTCTTTTGACCTAAATTATATTTATTTTAATTTGTTAAATATAATATAATATTTGTTTAATATCTTAATGTAGGTTAATACATTTACATGGTTTAATATTATGTAAGTTCTTATTAATATTTTAAATTGTTGAGATTATAACTTTATTTTATTTATGTATTAAGATATGCCAAATAATTTGTTTGGGTTTAGGTAATATAGAAATGGTTAAAAGAGTTTTCCCAAAAAAAAAAAAAAAAAATTGTGCGTTCAATATTTACTACCGTTCTAAGTTAACCAAGACTTAACAAGACTAATTCATAGCACTTGTCAGAAAATAATATAAAATTCAGAATTGTAGTATACACTTATTATGAAAATTAATAAAGATAGACTGTACGAGTGGAAAATGTTTTGTGGCTGAAGAGCTTTGTTACGACTCTAGTGCTACCTGGGGTGGGTATATCATTTCTGCACATATTAATCATTTGCTTATTACAATTATTTTGACCATTGGTTTCATTGTAAAATATGCACTTTTTTAGACTATACTGATATATTACCATATATAAATAAGGTAAATAGTAGATATAGGCTCTATCCATTTATATATTATATTTATGTCCAAAACAATAACTTTTTTTTATTGGCATAAACTTGTATTATAAAATTTAATGTGTTTATATTTCTTTATACTTTTTTTCTATAGTATTCTATAATTTTAATAGTATTTTCTGGTATAAGATTTTCAATATTTTATGATTACCACCATCAAACTTGACCTCAAACAGTAAATTTCCACTAATTTGCCGTGGTTGGTAGAATTAGATGTAGTTGTAAAATGTAACATTTCTGTAACATTTTCATATACGTATATGTTAGTGTGTGAATTTATTGTGTATAACACTAATCATGTTTTGGTTTGCAAAAAAACTATTGTTTTATAAAGTATCATTTTTTGCATGTATTACATCAATAAAAAAAAAAAACCACTGATATACTTTATAATGATATCTTCTATCTAGTATTTAATTCACAAGTACAAATATTTATTCACAATGGTTTGTGTTATTGTTTATAGTTAAATTTCTTTATAATTTTTCTATGTAACTAATATGTATTTATACAAGAACTATTTAAAACAATTATACATAATTCTGTAGTATTCAATTTATATTATGATCATTGATCTGGTTGTTTAAATATTTATTATATTTTTTACTAGCTGTATTGTCTGATTTTGCCTGTGCACATTACCTTTGGAAAAAAATAATTCAAAATGTCTACCTGTAGAAACAATTTATTATAATTTAAATAGGTTTTTTTTCCTGTGCAATTAATGGATACCAGAAATAAACAAAATAAATTGCAATTTTTCTATTTTAAAGAAAAATTTCTCGTGTGTATCTCCTTTAGAAGATGAATTTCCTACTCAATTCACTCTCTAAGTAAGTACTCCTGGAATTAATAATTTAACTATTTAGAGTGATGACATAAGTTCTACATTTAATCTAGGGGTAGGCAATAGGTGGCCCACGGATAGGAAATAAACTGACTACCAAAATGTCTTTACTTAACGCCAGTTTTTTTTTTATTATTTGTCGTTTGCGTAGATCCAGAATATCTAAGTGTCCGAACAAAATCCATAATTATGATATAAAATTTAATATGTTTGGTGTATTTGTATATTTGTATACAATTTTATGTCCGTTTTATTCTATAAAATAATTAAATAATACTATATAATAATAATTTGTTTTAATACAAAAATAAATTTGTTTATTAACTTAAGAATTTATGTTTTTTCTGGAGGTTTTAAATAAGACGAAAAACCAAATAGATGGAGATTGAACTTTTGTTTTTGCATATATCCAAAATTATATGGTCCTCAACAATTTGATTTCAAATTATCCAGCACCCTTTAGAAATTAATTGCCCTTTGATTTAATCTATAGTCGCATCATGATCTTTAAAAAGTTATTTTTGTATTAAGGTAGTTAATACTAAATTTAACCTTTCCAAAACTCCAATGCAAATTAATAAATATTGTTAAAAACAAAAATAAAAAAATAAATGTATGTATGTATATAACAACAATAAAATATAAAAATAAGAGAATCGTATGAATTTAACAAACTCATTATTTTTTAAAAGAATACCATTTTTGTCAATGAACATAAAATAGTCTAATCGAATTGGGAAACATTTTAGATTTTTGGGAAACTTACCTAAAATTGTTAACATTTCAAAAAACGTTGATTATTGTGAAATATGTATTTTTGACAAAATATGTAAAAACAAATTTATCATTAATAAATTAGATAATTGATTAAGTCCAAGTGAACATATTTTTATCCATTAACATTTGAGTCTTACAATAATGGCTAATGATTAATTCCATTTCATAGTTTGTATGTAAAATCCCTAAAATATTATCTTTACATTTTTATAACTTTTCCATTTCAATTAATACAAATATATTTTAAATAAATTTATAATTTCAATTAAATTATTCAGTTTTGTTTTTGTTACATTTTTATTTTGATAAATATAGTCTTTAGCCGAATCCACACTCGAACATGCATTATATTTAAAATTGCTTTTTTATGTGCCAGATTGAGTGTATGGGAAATGTGGACAACAAGTAATATGCTTAACTTAATTGTGTGCATGACTATTTGTTAAAAGTTGATTCTCGAAAAAAAAAGGTCAAAGGAATATTTGAAATATAAATACAGTGGACTTATAGATACATTTAAACACGCTAAAATTTGTTTGAAATAGAGTACAATGCTTATAAAAATGCTTATGAAATAGAGTACATGCTCAAGTGTGGCTTTCAGTAACTTTTAATAACACATACATCTAACTAAGAATGATTTTAAAATAAAAAATATTTCTTATTCCTCCTAATCAACACTTTTAAAATGTTAAACATATATTTTTTTATTTGTGTAAACATTAAGAAAAATAATATACACTTTATTATTATTTATATAAGTTGTATTAAATTATAATTTAATTCAATCCTGTTACCTAGGTTTAAAATATTTAAAACATATATATATATATATGTGTATAAAAGAACGCGTCTTTTTTATGTTTCGATTTTGTGATGACACTATTTAACTTTTTTCCAATTTTTCTTTGTAGTTTTGTTCCAAATACTTACACTTAAGTGTTACCACATTGGCCATTTTTTTCAAATTCAACCCCTAAGGGGGTTATAAAGGGGTTTTAGGTATTTTTAGTTGAATATCAAATTGTTTATTTATGGTAGTTACGGATGGAAAAAAAAGTTAAAACAAACAAACCAACAAAAACTACACACAGGCGAAGCCAGGTTATTTAGCTAGTATATATTTATAGATCTTTATAAATTAATTTTTATTTTAAATTTCTATACAACTTATAAATAATGTAACACACTTTTCTCCTACTTATAATAGTAACAAACTAATTTGTAATCAATACAAAGTTATCATACGATCATGTATAATTGTCTTCATATGTGGCAGATTAATGTCAAATATGATGTGCATGTTATTTTAATTATTTATTATTCATTGATATTATTGAAATAATGACCTTTAATATATTTTTAGGTACTAATAATAATATTTATCTTCCTTTTTTTTTTTTTTTTTTGTGTTTAATACAAATTTTACTATTTAATCAAATTATTGTTTGTTATCTTGATAATCTTGAATTAATTATGATTTAGGCCCAAATTTATATATATTTGCATGTTTTTTTTTTCCAAAAAGTAGCTATATAAGCTATAAGTTTGATATAAATTAATAGAATTGAAATACAAAGTTTTATTTTGCATATTTTACTATTTTTTGACACGTACTACATATTTCTGTATTTTACAAATTTTCATTGTATATAAATGTTTTTTAAATGCATAATGTGTAATTTTTTGGTTATGTTTATATTAGTTTAAAAATAAAAAAAAAATTTTTTTTCTTTATCAAATTTGTTATATGCATGTATTTTAATTTAAAAATTATATTTTTATGTGTTGCTTTTCTGATTGAAAAATGTCGAAAATAGCATACAATTACAAATCAATCATTAGCACTTAATTTAAAAATAAAGATAGAAATAATAAAAATTAAAAACATATGTTCTTTAGAAAATCAAATCATGCATGTGTTTTATTTTAAAGGGTATATCTCTACAAAAAATGAACAAATGCAAATTTTATAGTGCATATTTCTAAAATTATTAGAGCATAAAAATATGTGCCCTAATTTTATGACTACCAATGTAAAATAAATAGAATTTATTTTTTTTTATACATTTAATGTTTATTTACAGTAAAGTATTTAAAAATAAATTTTATATAATTATGTATGGGATATAATTAATTACTTATTAACATAAGTAAATATTTTGTTAACCCAACTGAAGTGTAAACTACCGTAGACCATTACTATTACTAGAGATTTTTATCAACTTTTTAAAAATATTGGAGTAAGGATTTATACGTATATTTTAATCAAATAATAGTATATTTTGTTACAGATGAGAAAAATGTTATGACCTGTATAACTCGATATACACAATATATCAATGGCACGTCAAAAGGAAGTGCAATGTGGTTAGTTGATTTTCCACACTGCTCATCCATGAATGAAGGTATTTATATTACCTTCATTACAGTTTATGTTTTTACTTTTCTTAATATTTGAATAATATATTTATAGGATATGGAAAATTTTTTTGCTTCCGTTACTGTAGCGGCTTGTCTTGTCTGGCCGAATCACAGCCAGTTGATCTTGACTCTGTGTATAAGTTAGCAGCCGACAGTAACGAGAATGCTAAACAGCCCAAAGTGTGTGAAAACTGTACAGAGACATGTGACAATTCTGAAAAACTAACACGATCTGAAGTTAAAGTTATTGAAACCAAAGTTGATGTTCATGTACAATATTCTGATAAAAAACCACAAGTTGCTGAAAATAATGATTATCTTAAAATCTGGTCAGATGCTCCTATTCCAGATTCTCCTCCTCCACCTCTTCCACCGCGTACCTACAAACATAAACCTTTAGAGAGAACTTGGGCAATTCCACCAGCTACAAATATTCCTTTAGATGCATTACGACAGTTAAAACCTAAAGGTCTAATGGATAGTTCTGACTTTACAAATATTTCTCCTGCTATTGAGTCTAAAGAACATAGGCCCTTAACCAGAGCTTCTAGTCGAGCTGGAGATCATGTAAACATGAAGTGTTCTGTTCAAAAAACATTATCAAATGATATTAGAGAACATTCAAGATTTATGATGTTGACCGATGAAAACAGAAAACCAAGAAAATTAGAAAGTAGACAAGATTCTACACTTCCGCCAGGTAATATTTTTACTATTATAATTACGTCAATGTTTTATAATTAATTTTGTATAATTAAATTAGACTGGGAAGCTCGAATAGATAGTCATGGTAGAGTATTTTATATTGACCATCTTAATCGAACAACTACTTGGCATTGTCCTTCTAGACAAAATTGTGATATGCATTATTACCAACAAAGGCAACAATTGGACAGAAGGTAAATTTACCTATTTGATAACAATATATTTTGTTTTGAGTTTTCTACCTTGTTTTTTTATTCAAATTTTGTGTTAATAATTGTGTACATTGAAATGATAATATAATATTAGGTACCAAAGTATACGTAGAACTATTTCACAAGAGCCAGAACATAACACTTTATCAAGAGCTGATTCATTACGTTTAGATTCATCAAAATCTAAATTTCGAGATCATGGAAATATAGCCCTGCAGTTCATTAGTAAAAAAGAATTTCCAACTTTATTACAGCAAAATCAAGTATGATAGAATAAATAATTTTTTTATGACTTATTAAATTTGTATAATTATTTATAGAGAGCATTAGCACTTTATAATAGTTCTTCAACACTTAAATATATTGTGCCCAAAATTCGAAATCATCCATCTTTATTTCAACGATATCAAAGTCATAGTGATTTGGTTAGCCTTTTAAATTTGTTTGCTAATACAAGAATTGCACTTCCTAGAGGATGGACTTCTAAAATTGATGCTGCTGGAAAGGTATTAATATATAGACAAACATAAAGTATGGTATAATAAATTAACTATTTGTACTTCTGATTTTTTATTTTAGGTATTTTTTATGGATCACACCACAAAAATGACTACATTTATAGACCCTCGTTTACCATTAAGTGATCTTTCTGTGCCATTACCATCAACATCTCAAGAACCTCCAATACCTCCACCTCGTCCAACTGTTACACACATTGATAACATGATTTGTGATACAATGGATATACCAACTGCATATAATGAAAAAGTTGTAGCTTTTATTCGCCAGCCAAATATACTGGAGATATTAGCAGAACGGTACCCACAATTATCCACTGATCAAAACCTTAAAGACAAAATAAATCAAATTAGAATTGATGGTATTCCATCACTTGATACATTTGGTAATGAAATGGAACTCAACATTTTGTTAAGGTGAGTACAGAAAAATTATAATTTTTAGAAGTTAAATAGTAATAGTGAATTTAATATTTGTTGAAGTTTATTTGAGAATGAAATAATGAGTTATGTACCAGTAAGAATGAGAGATACTAAAACATCTCCTCAACAATCACCGATAATGAATAGGGCAAATAGAACAATTCCACCTTTTAAAAGAGATTTTGAAGCAAAATTAAGAACCTTTTACAAGAAACTGGAAACTAAAGGATATGGACAAGGACCAGGCAAACTCAAGTAAATTTTTTATGAAATAGATTAAAGAGAATTATGAATTTTATTATTCTTATTTTAATCTTAGGATTGATGTACGGCGAGATAATCTTCTTAGAGATGCATACATTAAAATAATGAGCGTACCTCAGAGTGATTTACAAAAATGTAAATTATCTGCACAATTTGATAATGAAGAAGGACTTGATTATGGTGGACCATCTAGAGAGTTCTTCTTTTTAATATCCAGAGAATTGTTCAATCCTTATTACGGCCTTTTTGAATATTCGGCTAATGATACTTATACTGTACAAATATCGCCTATGTCGACGGCATTTGTTAATCAAAAAGAAGACTGGTTTAGATTTAGTGGACGAGTTTTAGGTTTAGCATTAGTCAACCAATATTTATTAGATGCATTTTTCACTCGACCATTCTACAAAACTTTATTAAAGCTGTAAGATTAAAATTATACTTTATTTTTAAAACTTTATATTTATAAAATATTAAATTTTAGACCTATGAGTTTGAGTGACTTAGAGTCTGTTGACCGAGAATTTCATCAATCACTTTGTTGGGTACAAGAAAGAGATATATCAGTAGAAATGTTAGACCTCACCTTTTCAGTCACAGAAGAAGTATGTGGCCATGCAGTTGAAAAAGAGTTAAAACCAGGAGGTCAACGAATATTTGTCACAGAAAGAAATAAGAAGGTTAAATACGATCTTAATGGATTTAAATTTCAAATTTCAATAACAATTTTTAATTTATTTAATAGGAGTACATTGATAAAATAGTCAAATGGCGACTAGAACGTGGTGTTACTGTCCAGACTCAAGCTCTAGTCCAAGGTTTTTATGATGTCATTGATCCACGACTTCTATCTGTCTTTGATGCACAAGAACTAGAACTAGTCATTGCTGGTACTGTTGAAATAGATTTAACTGACTGGAGGAATAACACTGAATATAGATCAGGTAAAGTTAAATAAAAAATCTTGGAACATGAGTTAATATTTATACATATTCGTTACTTTTTACTCTTTAGATTTTTATCTATTATCTTCATAGATCTGATTATTAAATATAAATAAATGTTTATTTTAACTTAGCAGTGTATTGCATGGCGTTTGTATTATATTATATTGAGAATATTTTAAATATTTTTAAGGTTATCATGATGGTCACCAAGTTATAAGATGGTTTTGGTCTACAATAGAGCAGTTTACTAATGAACAAAGACTAAGGCTTCTTCAATTTGTAACTGGCACATCTAGTATACCATATGAAGGATTTTCTGCTCTTCGTGGGTCTACTGGCCCTAGAAAATTTTGCATTGAAAAGTGGGGCAAAGTCAATAGTTTACCAAGGTAATGTTTTGTTACTATTTCTAGGTTTATTATAAATATACACACATTATATGTGGTACGTTTTCTCTAAAACTCATTATCTCAAATAGTATTAAAATATTTGGAAATTTTTTTTAGATAATTTTAAATAAATACGTTTCTAAAATACTAAATTACCAGTCCCACGACATTTCACTTTTAATTTTGTTATTTTGAGGGTAGAGCAAGAGATGAGAAGGATTCTACAAGACATCATAAGCTTCAAAAATAATAACAAAATTTTATAAATATATGTACCCTAAAAACCGGTATTGCTATCATTGATTATAATTCCAGTTATATGACTGACCATTATGCATTTATGGTCAGTTATTATAAAATGAGTACTGCATAAAGTACGCAGTAACTTTTAGTTGCCCACTATTTTGATTGATAATAAAATTTCTATTTAATATCATAAATAATTATACAATTATGTACATTCAGGGATAATGAGTGTTTTTCAGATTACTTATATAACATGTTTTAAAAATAAAAAAAAATTATTTGAAAAATAATATATATATTCATTTTAGAGCACATACATGTTTCAATCGTCTTGATTTACCACCGTATACTACACAAAATGTACTCTGCGAAAAACTCTTATTAGCTATAGATGAAAGTAATACGTTTGGAATGGAGTAAAGTTTTTTTAATACTTTTTATAGCTAAATTCAGGCTAAAAATCATAGAAATTACGATTTATAGATTGGAAACTAATTATTATTGAACATTTTTAAGATTTTTTTTTTGTTATTTTATGTATAAAAAACTTAGATCAAATATTATTATATCATTGTAAATTTAATATTTAAACAAAATGTATTTATTATTTATATTCAAAAATGTTTTTATCTAGTTATTACCATTTCTTCCTGTTTAAAACAGCCTAGTTAAACAGGACATGGTTATGATTCCCTTAAATTTAATAATATTTATTTACTTTCTTGTTATTCTGTTAAAACGGACTAATATCTCTCTTATCTTGATGTTAAAGAAAGAAAAACTCATTTGTTATTACTGTTAATTTTTATTTTTATTATTGCTTTTCCTAAAATTTGCTGCTAATTTTAACAGACATCTATACAGAACAATAGCGACTTGTTGAATCTAAAGAATAACATCGACAAACACAATCAGCGACTGGGCATTCCAAGTGATTCCTAAGAAAATAATTATTAATAAATAATATTTCTTTTTAATGTATGTTTATAAGCTAAAACTATTAAACGATTAAAATTTTTACTTGAACCAGTCACTGATATGATTAGAATGACCACCATGATTACATGTAGGACACCAGGAAAACCAATATGAAAAACTATTTATAGTTTGTCCAGTAATAACATAAGAACTGTTGGATGTTTGTTTGCCCGATGTTTTTCTTGTTGGAACTTTGGCACTGGCTGTCCCTAAATGTGCAAGACATAGTGCACACCGAGGTAATGGACTTTGACAATTGGGACATGACGTGAACTGAAAAAATTATAATTAAATATATTTAAAATAAGTAATATCAAGGTAAAGAAAATACAATAATATTCAATAGTTCATAAATCTACATTGTTACTGTAGATAATCAAGTATATTGGTTACAATACAATAATATATACACAGCAGTACACCAAACATACTTAAGATTTTAATATGGAAAAGTATAATACATTACATTTTTAAATGCCCATTATACCTTATATAAATATCATTATTAGAAACCGTAAATATAATTTTGTATGGTTTTTAAATTAATATTTTTAGAAAATGAATAAATGTGACTAAAATATTGGAAATGAATGTACGAGATAATGTAGTGGATTAATAGGTGTAGTAGGCAAATTGAAATAGATTGATGAATTGTGATGGTATAAACATGTTGAAAGAAGGACAAATAAGAGATAGGCCAAAGAAAGTCACTAAGAAATTAATTAATGAGATAAATCTCATTTATAGTAAATGATATTTTTTTAAGTTTGTAATAATTATAATGATACTAAACAGTTCTGTCTATTTAACCTATAGTTTAATGTAGAGCAATCGTCTGCTTTTCTTTAGTTTTATGCATGGTTTTAGATGTGTAAACAGTTATAGATGGAGATTTGATTTTTAAAAGAGGAAGTCAGCCTATGGCAAATAAGACATGAAAATTATTTTAAAACAATTTGATTGTAATAATCAGTTGTTACTTTTAAATAATTTTAAATGAAGATCAGTTATCAGATATATATATATATATATATATATAATTTCAAATATTTTGAATTATAATTGAATAAAATGATTTAGATGTTCAATAATAATTTTAATTAAAATGGTAAATTATTACAAGTAATTTTATCATAATTCAAAATTAAAATAGTTAAACTATTGGATTAACACAGAAATTTATATTATGTGCACTTAACCAGTTATATATAATTTGCATAACACAAAAATTAAAAAAAATTAAACTCATAATATTTATATATAAAAGCCTAAAAATTAAAGGTTTCTTGAGTTTTACTGCTGGGTAGTTAGTCTCCTCAAGCTTTCAGATCGTTTATATTAATATTTAATCAGCTTATATGTTTATTGTAACCTTTATTATAGACTGTGTATATTCTAATAAATTTAAATAATCAATTTTTAGATATGATAATTTTGACTGATAGTAATAATATACTAATACTACTTATGTAGTATATATAAATACTTTAATACATATACAATACATTAAACATACTTTAAAGTTATTTGATCCATTTTCATTTTGGTCTTTTGTTCTTGGTACTTTTGTTTCTTTTTCAGTGTCTTTGTCTTTCTCATCTGTGATTGGGCAAATGATTTTTCCACAATAATTACAGGATAAAAATACATTCTGAGGTGGAGGTTTTACAGCTTTCAAGGATATATCAAATTTAGCTCGTATATTCCACATTCGCCATTGGTTTAGAATTTCCCGATAACTAATTAAACCATTAAAAAACATTTAAATCACACATATCCATATACTATAAACGTAATCAATCAATAAATATAAATCTGTAAAAATATTACCTATTGATCCAATTCATCATTACTGGATGTTCATGAACTATTTCACTTGGCATTATTTTCAAAGCTAGTATACTAACTGTTTGTATATCTCCTGTACTATCCAAATATCTTTGTAATAATGGTACTAAATCAGGAGATGACCCTACAATAGTAAAAAAAAGTTAAAATAATTTTTTTTTTATATACTAGGTGATCCAGTTAATTATTTATTGTTGTTCACAGGCAAATGCCTTTTTTACAAAATTATAAAACTTATTGTAACATTTTAGATAAAACCAAAGAGAAAAAAAAAATATATATATATACAGTATGTTTTTTTATCATAATTAAAATTAATATAATAATCTTTATATTTAGACTTCAAATTTAAATGTTATGAGAAAGTAAAAAAAAATCTAATGTGGTGGAAATCCTATTGGCTAAAACAAGAGCCCTTGAAAAAATGTATTGTTTCCACAGTTGGTGTTGTAATAAGGAATTTTAAATAGGTCTAAGTTCCAAGTGTTCTTACATTGTATACAGAAACTAATTTCCGATAATAAATCAGTCGAGATAGTTCAAGATATCCTAAACTAACAAAATTCAGCTACTTTAAGTCTTATGCATAGTGAGTAGGGCTCAAGAAGTTTTCAACATAAATGGTTTCTCTAGTAATATATATATATATATTGGAAACATAAGAAATTCTTTTAAAAAACTTGTACTGTGGACATTATTGAAATCATTTATATATTTTGAATAGTTATTAGACTAAATATGTGAACTGAATTCGAAATTAAATGATTTGTTTATTTTCATTCTATGGTTTAATTTAAATGATAAATCATTTTAAAAATAGACTTCCAAATCCCTAATAGAATTTACTCTATTGAGTGAATAATTATTAATTTGGTACTGAAATATTTAAATTTTACTATGTGTGGAAGTGATCACTTGGCATTTATTACAATTTTAGGGAGAAGGTTTTGTACACTACAATGGTAAAACTCATTAAAACAGGATAGTAAAATATTTACATCTTTAATAGATTTAATATCCAAGTATAATTTTGCAACAAAATTTTAATATTGATGTCAAGGACAGACTTAAGATCATTTATAAAAGTAAGGAATAGTAATGGCTCTAGGTGAGAGCCCCGTGGAACACCCGAAGTTACTGGATAATGATCAAAGTAGTGAAAAGAGATTTTTACAGATTGTAAAGTAAAAGTAGGTGTAATATAAGATTTTTTCAAAAATTTGGAAAACTACCCAGTAGAGAGAGATTAAATAAATAATGAAGAGGTTTGATAAATATAGAGAGCCATAATTTTAAAAATAGATGGTAAACTGTCAGGTCTCGCCCCAGTTGTTTCATTAAGGGAAGTAAATGTTTCCAGTATTTCAATTATCAGAATACACTAAAGAAAAATAGTTTGCGAATAACTTGGAAGCATTTTCAATATTATCAGCAACAACACCATTCAACAAAATTGAAGACGGAATACTTAAACACTCTTTATCTTGGAAAGTATTACCTTTTTCCAGAATGTTTTCTAGAACATTTAAAAAACAAACGCCTTAATTTTGGGTATAAAACCACTACTACTATCTACTTTTGATTTTCAAATGGCAACCTATATTAAAAGTTCTATAAATAGATGGAGTATTAATTAAAATAAATTTTAGTATTGAAATTTTAATTTTGTCAAACAGTTGACGGAAATATTCCACTTATGGGTATAAGTTGGAGGAAAGTGGTCTTGTGAAAGGCTTGTGATTTTCTTAAACTGAACAGCAAAGAAATAACATCAACATTTTTCATGGTTAAATCGAAAATGATGGATGAAGGAAGATAAGACAAGAAAAAACAGCAGACTAGGTGGCTAGGTGTCTGTAGCTATCTAATAGGTTTTACATTACCCTCTGAAAGGTAGTTACATCAACAGTAAGCCGAGCTAGAGAAAACAATGCTAATGTGGTCTGGTTAGATGGAATTCATAAGAAAAAAAAGGTTAGGTTAAATTTTAATTTAAAATAATAATATTCCATTACAAACAAAAATAATGAATTATCCAAAGAAAAAATTACAGCCAAGTTTTTATAAATATAATCAAATAATACCTGTTAAAAAAATTGCTGTTAAATTCCCTTGATTTAATAACTTATTTGTTATTCTATTAATGTATTCTGATAAATTTGTATCAGACAGGAAAATTGAAGCAAAGGCAATTCTATCTTCTAATCGTATACCATCTTCATTCTAAAAGATTATAAATATTTGGAAAAAAAGATTTTATAATAGGTAAAAAATATTTACTAGAACAGCATCATGAGATTCAGATTCAGATGTTAGAAAAGCAAATGCTGCTCTCAAATATGGGTCATTCAATTTTTCTTTAGTTATTGAACACATTTCACGCCACATGCTATACTTATCAGTACTATAGCCTGAAATATATAACATTTAAAATTAATATATTTATACTAAATAAAGTTTTTTTAAAGAAATAAATAGTAAACTACAAGTTATAAAATTACATAGTTTTGGTCAGAATGTATAAAATGGAAACTTATAATATTTTAAATGCTAAAGTTATATTTGCACAAACTATTAAAAATCAGATATACATATTTTTTTTATCTAAATTATAATTGCCCGTTTTACTTATAATTTTTACTCATATACCAAAAATGTTAATTTTGTCCAGTGTTACAGTATTTTAATTGTATGTTTCTGGATGCTTATTATGTTAATATTCAATCTGAACTGATAAATTGATTAAGATATTTAAATTTTTTTTAAAAAAAAACAATATTCAAAAAAATAAAATATTACCTGATAAAGCCATTGCTATCATATTTAAATGAGGTTGTTGATTTGCACCTTTGTTTAGTATTTCTATAGCATCACGCATTCGTAAATTAAAAATTGCAATAGCAGCTGCCCTGGTGTAAGAATTTTCATTTTCTAATTTTTTTAGCACAATGGATATATGTGATGTGTTATTACGATCAAAACCCCAATCACATAAAAATAATGCATATTCTCTAGCTGAACTTCTAAATAAATTGAAAAATAAAATTTAAAAAATTAAATCAGTTCATTGATTTCAATAAGAAATACATTCAAAATATGACATTTAGTATAGTTACTATTTTGTTAATGTTTATTTTATGAACATTAAATGTGCACCCTTAAAAATTACCAAAAGGGATTATGACAAATGTGATTATTATAAAGTAAATTTAAATTTGTTTAATTAGTTTAATAATGTTAATAATCTTAACGCCAAAGCAGCAACTTTATAAAATTAGGAATCGCTTTTGGAAACTTTAACCGTGTTTTTCCTTCCCTATAAAATCTATTTTTTACTTTCATAATTTCCTCCATTGGTTTGATAAAGAACTTAAAAAATAAAGGCCTTTGATTGCATCCATCATAAATTATTATTAACTATTGCATTGGATCAACTACGGTTTGGCAATACCCTATTATTTTAGTTTAATTTTTACCTCACTAACAGGTCTCAGAGAATAGCGTTAGTTCCTTCAGGAAATCTCAATCTATTTTCTGTCATTTTATCCACAATTGAAGTCCCGTCTATGCTATCTTTTATGTACTTTTTTATACTATATTCCTTATCCTATCTTCTCTTGTCCATCCTTTCATCTACCTGACAATTATCATCTCTGTTTTACTTTTCTACCGCCAAACACTCTGAATCATACAACAAAGCCAGTCTGATCAGGCTTTTATATAATTTACCTTTAAGACTCATTAGTTTTATTTTGCCGCATAAAACAACACTTAATGCTTCCCTCTAATTTATCTAACCATACTAATCATATTTAATTTTACACATATCATCTTTTATTTGTTTTCACATACACCCGAAATGAGACAATTCGTCCAAGGTTAGGTTAGGTCTCTATAATAGGTACAAGTACTGTTTGAGTATTCTGATTCCTTCCCACGGGGATACATTTTTTTTCTTATAAAAATTTATAATTTATATGTAATACATACTTATACGTTTTTACTGTGCCTTGGATGTCAATCCACTGAACATGTTTTAATTCTGATTTGGCCAAAAAAGTTCCTGAATCTAAACCTAAAACAGTCCTAATATATATATGTATTAGTGTTTCAAGAGTTTTTTTTTAAACAGATATTCTTCTTCACGTGATATTATGTTTCCAATTTTTTTAGATTTTTCATGTAAAGTACAGTTTTTGAAAAAAATTAATTTTTTTTACACATATTAAGTTAAAATTATTATATTGAAAATTATCAGAACAAAAAAAAAAAAAAAAAATTAATATTTTAATAAATTCTAAATATTTTTTTGATAATTTTAATAAATCAACCCTTTAACAGCCTTTAAATATGTTTAACTTATTTCTTCCTTAGTTAATGGTTATACTAATATAGTGAGTTACATTTTAAATTACTTGAAATAAAATTATTCATTTTCTAAAATTTAGAATAATTAATTTAAAAAAAAAAATTAAAAAAAATAGTAGTGTTTTTTTATTTTGTTTATGATTATTTTTGATATAACAATACATTAGGAGGATGCCCAAGATGTCATATCTAATATATGCGTCTTACAAATGCAACACATAACAATTTGCGTTCAGTAGGACAAAGGAATAGTTAATTTAGTTAGTTTTAATATCAAAGCAAATCGACTAATTACAAAAATTAAAGGTAAAAAGATTATATATGCCCTAACGTTTATGTTTTTTCAATATTTTAATTTTTTAAACAAGATATGAGTATGTGAAATATCACAAATTAAAAATGATTATTATATTATCTTGCTTATAAATTAAAATATCAAAAAAACATCAACACTAGGATTATGGATATGGATGAATTATGTGTAATCAACATCACACATAATCCATCTTACCTTTAAGTTAAGTAATAAGTCAACTACCTTTAATATTAAAACATAAGACACAAAATTTGATTTACTGAACGCAAATTTGCTCTGTTAGGTGTTTGTAAGATGGAAACAGTAAATACAGGTGTAGTGTTCTTTTAAAAATTATTATTTATGTATGTATATAAATATAAATAAATTCAAATTTTCTTAAAAACAATGCTGGTGGTCTTCAAAATTATTTCAAAAAAATCTAAAAAAATTGGGTAATATAATTAAAAGAATAATTTGATAAAAAAAATCCTGAAATATCCTAAAATAAATGTATACATATATTTTAAAAATATCTTTTAAAAAATCATTATTAATTTTGTATTATAAAACATACTTTATCCCAGGAAATGGTACACCTGGAGTCATAGGCACAATACCAGCTCTAGTGACTTTTCTATTTAAGTCTAACCAAGACCACACATTTTTTATGATAGGATCATCTACGAGTTTAGCATTTTCTGCAAAATCCTAAATAAAATAAAGTTGTATACAGAAAAAGAAAAGTTGATGGGTATGCCACTGTTGTAGATAAAAAGTCAAAAAAGTAGGATTACATATATATAAACAATAATATGTCATTGTTGATAAAATATGATTCTGGGTGAAGTTCAGTTAAACATGTTTTGAAATACCATGAATTTTATGATTTTCTTTAAAATTTAAACTTAAAATGCTAATAATAAAAAAGTTACATAACTTAGAATTTTTAGCCACTAAGTACATCTAATGTGAATATTATGTAAAATATATTTCCCGATCAATTAAATTTAATCTATATAAAACTAAAAAAAAATTGACAATGTCAAATTCTTATAAATAGCCAAAATATTTTAAACATCTCGAAAAGCCCAATACAAGTATTAGGTGAAAGTTTTTGGTATCAGTTATAAAAAAACTTCAAGGAAATAAAATAAAATTACCTCTCAATGCACCAACTAGACATAATTGCCTTTGACATCCTGATAAATTAACTATATACAGTTTACTTTCAGAGAAGATATTACACTTAGAAATCAAAACAATATTTTGATAAAATTATTAACAAATAGAAAAAAACAAAAACACACATCATAGTAAAATCTATACAATATACATTTCTCATAGGTTTTTCAGAATCTAAAAGTTTAAAGGTCACACACTTATTATTAAACTATATTAATTGAAATAACTGTACTTTAATGCCATATTGTGAAAATGCACGCATTTTTATAATAGTTGATACATCTTCAAAGGAAGAATAAACTAAGTCTTTATCACTTATAAATTTAAGATTATGCTGTCCATAGGTCCAAGCAATATTTGAAGTAGTAGACCAATTTAGAGTCATTCTCTCAAATACACAGTAATCATTTAAAACACCTAAATAATTTGATTAAAAAAATGTAATACAAATATTTAAAAACAAGATTAATAACCAAGGTTCAAGAATTTATGGACTTAAAATCCACAATTGTACTTAAAATAATTATTCTATGTGAATATTTATTTTGGTGTTAGAAAATTGTGGTTAATAAGTTAGAGCCTTTAAAGGGGGGCTTTAAACTCCTTTATCATTTTTGCTTTTTAATTTTTTTTTTTCAGGGCATTTTGTATGTAGATTTTAAGTGCACATATTTCAAAGCTCTGCTTAAAACTAATAACAAATAACCTGTTTGAGAAATGGCTAGTAACCTATTTTCATGAGTTGGATGCCATGAAAATGAAGTAAGATGTATATTGCCTTGTCCTGGATGCACAGTTCTTTCTAAAGCTGAAGGTTCTGCTTCTTCCAGGCTTTGTTGCATATCATGTAAGCTTATAGCCATAGTATCCTTTTGTAATGACCCTAATAAATTTTGCCTAATAAAAAAAATAATTATTAAAAATTTATTATTGCATAAAAGAAAACATGATGAGGTAGGCACTTTTTAATATTTATGCTATTTATTATGTGGATTACAATAAGTTAAGAGAGAAAACTCATTAAAGATAATAAAAAGAGACAAAAAAGATAAATAAATTTAATAAATACTATACAGTCTCTTTATTCAGGTAAAATTTGACGAAAAAAAAAAAAGAATTTTTCAACTTTTAAACTGATGACATCACAGCATAGCAAATAAGAATACCTAATTCTTTTATGATAAATGACCAGTGATGGAAAAGAACATGTTATTGGATTGGACAAGGATTATTTTATATGAACTGGATATAAACATGTTTAATTTTCAAGAGGTAAATTTGAACTAGTAAATTCTTATTTTTTATGAATATGAACATTTTTAGTTTGTTGACAAGTTTACTTTTATAGACCATAATTATATGGATTACTAATATTTTATTTATCAGTTAAAGAAAAAACTATGAATTGTACTTTTTTTTAATTTTCAAAAATATAATTTTTTAGTTAGGTGTTACATACTACTATTATTATGAAAATTAGCCATTGTCCATTAGTTAAAAGTTGATTAGTGAATTTGTAGAATTTTAATTTTAATTTTAAAACTCAACTGATGCGTGAATGTTTATTTCATAAAAATAGTACACAATTTATATACATATTTAAAATTAGTATATTTGATAAACAGAGTATAAGAAAAAATATAAATAATTTACTCTTATTTAAATTTGAAGAAATAAAATTGTTTCATATTTAAAAATTACTTTTCCATCACTGTAAATTACATTAGTTACATTATATTATTTATTAGTATATGAAACGTTGGTAATGGTTTCGTAAGTGAACTACACGTAGATTCAATTCATTGGTGATGTCAATGATCACCATAGTTTTCACAGTCTACAATTTAATTATATTAACAATACAATAATATTCTTAGGATTCCACGCACTCTTATAATCCACAAAAATATGCTGTAAAATGTCAAAAAATCTCTGAAAAAAGAAAAAATGATAAGAGGAGATCAAAAGTTCCCCTTTAATCAGATTTAACTTAAAAAATAATATTTTCTAACACCACAAAAATAATTAATAAAAAGTAATTATTTTTAATAATGTGTATGATTTTCTTTAAAAGAAATTATTTTATGGGAATCATTTTTGTAGTGTTAGGAAATTTAATTTAATAATTTTAAGTCATTAGAGTGGGAACTTTTGAACTGCTCTTTCATTTTTGCTCTTTTAAATATTTTTGAGTTTTTTTTTTTTCCAGCGATCTTTTGACGTTTTAAAGCGCCTTTTGTGAATTATAAGAGAATAAAAATCTGGTCTCTATTTATAAAACTAATAAAACAATAATAATTGACCAGCATTATCGATTATCAAATTGAAGCTCGCCAAAATACCACAAAACGATGTCATTGAGTCTAATATTTTGTAAAACATTCTTTTTTTTAAATAATGCATTATTATAAATTACTTATTTCCTTTTGATATGTATAGTTTTGAATTATATTTTATGAAACATATTTTACCAATTTATTCTATTTAAACATACCTAATTCAATTTATATTTTAATAAACTATGTGTACACATTATTTTGTTTACAATTCAACTCAACTACCAGTAAATAATGTATAGATTAAGAAAATTATGTTGATCACTTACGAAACCATTCTTTAAGAGCTTAACATATAAAAATATATAATATTTTTACATATTATATACCTCACTTTTCAGAGACTGTGACTGATAGTAATCTATAGTTATTAAATGATCGATAGTGATATTTTGCTAATTTTACTGTAGTTAAAACTATAAAATTATCAATGGTTTAATATATATTTGCTCTTAAACATTTTACTAAAAATAATAAATGAGTTTTTGCTCTAAGCAGAGTATATCTTTTATAGGTATATACCATAGTTATGGGTTATGGTCAAAGACAATTTATTGAGGAAGAATAACGGTGGACAAAAATATTATCAATGGGTAAAATTACCAAATTATGTAAGAAAATTTAAAAAAAAATAAAAACGTGTTTTATAATAATTTTATTTTATATCGATATTAGTTCCCAAGATTGGAGGCCAAAGAAAATTTCAAATTACAAATATTTGAAAATGATTTTATCATATCTAGAAAAGGGTAATATAAGTATTTTGTAAAAATTTCATATCTCTACCATAATTCACCGATTTACAAAAAAAAAAACCAAAATTGAAATCATTAAAGTCATAAAATTGCCTAAATTTGTTTTCAAAAAATTACTTATATTCTAATTATATTAATATATTTTGGATCAACTAGATCTAAAATGAAACAAAAAAGGCCTCTTAACATTTTTTAATTAAAGCAAGATTTCTGGTCGAAACCATCAATCTTAAAAAGACAAACATACTTCCATAATGGCTCCCCATGTTGTAGGCGAAAAGTTTGGAAAGTAAGATAATTGTAAAGGAATTTAGTTCATATTTCTATACAACAATCAATCATTGCTAATGAAAAACAATTTAGAGCAAAGTTCAGTTAAAAATGTTTTGAAAGACAAAAATATTTACAATTTTCATCAAAATTTGGTATAAAATTTCTTATTAAAAAAAAAAAAGTACATTAAACTCAATTTTTTTTTACCACAAAGTATGACTTATATTAAACCTCCTTATAAATATTTAACAATTTCGATTTAGGCAACAATTTTAAACACATTTAATATATACTGAACACAAAATAAGTAAAACAACTTGCAAAATGAAAATGTCTATAAACAGCATGAAAAATGGTACAAATGTTTTGAAAATTTTACGAAGTTTCGAAAAGGCAAATATAAGTTTTCTGTTTATATGGCTATAAATATTTTTAACTGAATTACAACCAAAAAAAAAGCATTATTTTTGTAAATTTTCTTGTTTTTCCAATTATTATGAAAATAAGTTAAAAATTACTTCTCTAAATTATCACTTAGATTAAATTTTCTTACGGAAAAAAGGGCTATACTTGATACATTGGAGCAAGATTTCTGGTAGAAAAGTTTCTCACAGATAAAGAAAAAAGGAAAAAATAATACCAAACTCGATTGTAAAACCAATAAATTTTTCGCTGTGCTTTGAATTTAAAACAATGAAAGTGGTAACGCTGCAGTGCACCAGAAGTATTTGTCTTTTTCTCCTATATTTTTGTTTCCAGTTTTTCCTTATTATTATGAAAACCTATTGGAAAATAAAAAAATTACCTCTCAACTAACTAAATCTGAAGTGCAACAAAAAAGTATCCTGTTATTTTTTGATTGGATCAAGATTTTTAGTAAAAAAATTGTTAAAAGATAAAAAATTACAAAAACATACATCATAGGAACATTTCTTTCTCATAACAATCAAAATCTAAAATTTAATTCAAAAAGTAAATGATTAAATGTAAGATACAAAATTAAATTATGGAATTTATACCTATATGAATAACAATTTCTAATTTAAATGGCAATTTGTAGGGAAATAACTTTTCTTGGATAACAATTTTACACATTTACATCTTTGACCATATTATAAATCTAATCAATATATACCTATACTATAATAATATATTAAGGTTACACCTTGTCGGACACCACTGAACTTTAAGTACACTTTTACTCTGTGTTAAAGTTACAACTGGTTTTTCTAAGTGTCTAGAGTCCCATAAAACTATACTATTGTCACAATATGAAACAATATGATTATTATTATATACTGCTATATCAATACCATACACTGCTCGAGTTTGTGTTATATTTGTTGATTTAGAGGCATCTAAAAATATTTTATAAAATTGAATTAATTTTAAAATATTATATCTTAAACTATAATAAAATACTTAAGTACCTCTAATATCAATACAACGAATGGTTTTACCATTGCAACTGAAAGCTAAAACATGAGGTGATGAATTAAACCATGCTAAGGAATGAGCAGTATCTCCTGTTCCAAATTCAAAAAAAGGTTTTCCAGGTGATAATTCAGTGTTTATCAATGGACTTTTTTCTACATCCCATATTTGTATACATTGATCAGAACGATATTTGTCTAAACCACAAGCTAACAAATTATAATTAACTGGATTCCATGAAATTGCATTACACTGCCGAGAACAACGTGAAACTAAATAATAATATATAGGTTATTAGTACCTTCGTTATATATATATATATATATATATATATATTTATTTTAATTAAATAATTTAATACTTGGTCCTAGTTCAAGTCCAGCTAATGTATTATTCACAGTTGCTAAACCAAATGTACAGAAAGTTACTTTGCCATTTGCATGTCCAATAGCTAACATAGTTTCCGAGTCTGGTTTGGGATATATATCAATACATTTAACATAACGATGATTTGTACTTGTTGCCAACAAATTAGCTGCTGTATTAGAAGATAATAATAAACCTATAAAAGTTTGAATATACACTATATATTAAATGAACATCGTATAATAACAAATTTATAAAATTATGATTAGATCATTGAATGTAAATAAACCTTTAGGAGTGTCACTACTTTTAGAACCTTCAGATACTGTAGTGTTTACAACTTCATACATTCGAATGTCAGGTCCCCAAGTAATAAATTTACTTTTGTGTACAGGAGACCATTGTACTTCTAGCTTCGGAATTTCTACTTTTGAAGTCTTATACATTTTAAATTTGAAAAAAATCCCTTAGATATATTATGTACAGGTTATGTTATATAAACATTGATGACAAAAGTAAATAAAAATTAAATCACTTGACATATTATTTTATTATTAGATTTTTAAATAAAATAATTAGAATCTATTAATGTATTTAAGACTTAACGTTTCCACTATATTAAAAATAATATTGTGCTTTAAGATTAAATTATTTATTAGTAAATTGCAGTTATAATTTTCTTTTTGTAGACTGTAAACATTAAAACTATCAACAAACATGCAACAATATGAAATGTAATCTAATCTTTATCATGTGTACCAATCATGGTCATAATTAAATAAATAGATAATAAATATGTGATCTACTTCTAAAGCTGTAAAACGCCTTAGAATTAATATATTACAATTTAATTATTTAAAAAAATGTCTATCAATAACATTACAATAATAAAATTATAAATTGGTTACACTTTTATTTATATGAGAAATAAGTCAGTTTCAAGTTTTTTACTCCTAGACAATAACTAGTTACCGTGGTTGTAGTCGTAGTGTCATTGGCGTACCATCTATGGTCGTCGACCCGACCCCTTTCTCTACCACCCGTTATTTGCATGTTGTAATCCGTTTTTCGTCTAGTCACTTTTCTCAGCTGCGTTGTTTTAAAACTATCGTCTTCGTATGACAACTTATTCAACGTGTTCAGGTAAGATTTTGATTTTGAATAAATTCTTTAATGTATGTCCACGTTATGGCGGTAAAAATAAAATAAATTTATAATGAGGCCCACGGAGGGAAGGGTTTCAATTTTTTTCCATAAAGGTTTAAACTTTATATAAATTTGATAAGATTTTGTATTCCCTATATTTCTTATTGTGTTATGGATGCATGCAAATTTTATAATTGAATATTTATTATAAAATTATTTATTATGTGTTAATGCATCTTCTATAATATTTTTTGTTATTATTGTTTAATAATTATTAAATGTCATACATTTTCTATTGTGCTTGTATTTTATAATTTACAATTTCAATATCTTGATAAAATTAATAGTAAATTGATTATCTATTAATATCTATTATTAAACAATTTTAATAAGTTTTAATCATAAGTAGGTACAATAAAAATTATATAATATTATTTATTTAATCCATATACCTTCAATCCTAACTTCCAATTTGTATATTATTGTTAAATGATTAAATTTATTACTTAATTAAATTATGGATAAATTCTGAAGTTTGTTTTTTTCAAGGGTTCTATTTTGTTTTTTCTTTCATTCTTTGGGATGTAAAAAAAAATAATGACAGACAAATAATAAATAAATAGGTTATAATTTAAATTAAATTTAGAATTGTATTCAATAATGAGTCACATATACATTTAGTAAATGTTGTTTATATGCTATTAAAAAATATTTATTTTATTTTTGATTATTGTTACTTTAAATAATTTATAAATTAAGGCACAATTAATGGGGGGGGGCTTAAGGGTTTACATGTAATTTTTAAATAATTGTTTAATATGCCTACCTTTTGACACAAAGTTACGTACGTTAAAAAAAGTTGTTATTCTATTATTTTTTTCACAGCCGTGATTGAAACTGGAAGAAGTCTTCTCTATTTACTGGTATTTCCTTGTTACTTTCCTTACATACTTGAAAATTTCTGCTTAATACAATCTTCTCAACAATACTTTAGCATATCTAGTGGCCTTTTGTCTCTTGAATTTTTCTGACATACTTTTTAACCATAGATTTTTGCTTCTTTCATGCATAATCTGTTCATTCTGACTATTTTTCTTGCAGGTGATTTCTATATAAAATGTAAAATTTAGTTCACAGTTAGTGAATAAAGATTAGCTGGTAAGCTTTAACAATGAGATTCAATTAAAATGTTTCTAGTTTATACTTGAGACACTGATTTTATATACAATCATACATTCACCTACATAATATGTATCTATATAAACAAAGCTTACAGCTTTACTCACTAAGTATCACAACCACATAAATTTGCCCTTATCACTGGATAATTGGGTGCTATTTAGGAAAAAAATCTAGCGTTGTTTATAATGTTTAATTATTATTCGTATTAAATTTAAAAAAAATATTTGATAATTTATCATATTGGGTGATATCCTTTTATGTACAATTAATATACAAAAAGTTGAATTCAACATATTTTAAATTACAGAAAAATGTATTTAAATTTTTTTAAATGGAAGCTAATCATTATTTTTAGCTTTACTTAAATTATTTGTTATGGCAGTCTTACTCTTAACTTGGACATAACAGCAACATATTCTATCTGATTTTCACCTCTTATTGTTGTTACTTAAATTTCATTTGTATCTGTGAATTGAACTAACTATGCTCTAGCTTAATAGCTTTTTACTTTATAATTTTTTGGGTGCTTTAAGATCTACTGTGTTGTATGAAAAATAATTTTAATAATGATACTCAACTAAAATATTCTTGGTACTATGATGTAGTTTGAAGTAATTTGATTGCTCTTCAGTCTTTATTATTGCCTATATTAAATGTATATATACATATAATTGAGTGTAATATATGATAAGGTAATTTTATAGAAATGTTTCTTTTAGAAAACTGAGGTGCCTGAAAACAAACTTATTAAAACTAATGTATTTTATGTATTGAATTTTAATCATTAATTGTATAATTTATATTTATTTTTAGAAGCATAGTTTTAAAGTAGTATCTCAGTAATATAATTGATATATTATATAATATCAAAGTCTGGTGTAACAAAATACGAATAAAAAATGGACACTTCATCTTTAGATTCAAGTAATGATTTTTTGATTGAAGATGAAACTAACTTAGAGGTTAACACCTGTAATATCTGCAAGTAAGTTTATTTGTATATTTTAAATATAATTTATCAAAATAAATCTAACAAAAATTATATTATTATAGAAATCAATATATGTGCCCAAGAGTCCTCAATTGTTTGCATGTGTTTTGTGAGAAATGTATCTTACAACTTGCAAATGTCAACTCAATGTTTAGTGTTCTTAATATAATATGCCCTACGTGCAGTCAACCAACAACTGTAAGATATTAAGTTTTTATACTTCCATATTTAAAATATTTGATGATTCTTTTATTGTAACACTCATTATTTCGCAAAGTATTAACTTTTCAAAAGAAATTTTAGAAACAATCTGATCTAAAATGGATCATTATGGATTATTAAATCGGATCATTATTTTCTGTCATTCTTAATTTTGATGGTGAAATGACTACCTACTTTTTAATTATAAAATGGTAACCTACATCAAAATTGCCATTAATTAATTAATTAATTGATAATATTATTTGGTGTTGAAATTTTTAATATTCCATTTAACCCATTTATAAGATATCCCACTTTTAAGTATATGTATGAAGAGAGTAGTGGAGTACTATTCAAACTCTGCATTGCGATCCACTACACAAATGATACTACACTACTTACTCCCCACTCGAACTAAAATCAAACTCATTTGATAAAATTTAAAAATGTCAATACCATAATTTATTTAAACTAATACTCTTATTAATTTAAGGAACTTTTAATGTAACTCACCAATTGACAGTCAAAAATTGGTAGTTGTTATTTTATCTCAAAAATTAATAGAAATGTAACATTTTAGAGTTGCTTATTTCTTAAATGATCAAATGAATTGTTTAAAAAAACTCAATACTATGTAAAATAATGTGTGTTCAACAACAAACGAATGACTGTATTTTATGATGTCTTTATAATTTACATTTAGACTCAATTAAATCGTGGAACCCTGACATTGCCCCAAGATTATGTGACCAGAGATATTCTTGAAGTTGAAATGCTGAAAAGTCATAAGCTAGTTTGCAAATCTTGTAGAGATAATAAAGAGGCAACCCACAAATGTATTACTTGCTGTAACTTTCTATGTTCTAGTTGTGAAAGTATGCACAAGGTAATATTTTAAATCGTTAATGTTGATTATCCATTTATAATAACATATTATTAATTTTGTTTGTATTACTGTTAAATATATTTTTTCTAGACGCTTGTTACACCAGGGCAATATCATCATATGGTATCTATTGAAGAAATTATTAAAAAAGCCCAGGATAAAACTGCTTTTCATAAAATGGTATTGTGTGAAAAACACAATAATGAACAAATGGTATATTACTGCAACACTTGTAATGTAAGTACTTAAATGTATTATTCAATTATAATTTTTAATTAGATATATTTAAACATTTTAAAATTGGATATTATTAAATATTATTATGTATATTATGTTTGTTCCTTATAATTTATAAACTTTTAAGTAAGATTAGAATTTTGATGCACTTTGATGCACTTATAGAGATCTTTATGAAGGGTATCATTTGAGACATAGTACAGGATTTTGATAATTTGACAAAATCATTTGAATTGAAGAGTGTTTTATTAATGTTAATTGGTTTGACAGCAGCTCCCCATAGTTAAATACCATAAGTCCAAATTTGTTTGAGGAGCAGTTGTGAGAAGAAAATGTAGTTAGCGAGAGGGGTTGTTTAAGGTAAGGCATTTTGCATAGATAAGGGTTAATTGTGTAATTTGGCAGTCTTAAGTGTAAATATAGATAATGAATGGTTGGGGAAATGTTAGTGATGGTTGATTGAGATGGATAAGAAAATAAATGGTAAAAGGACACTTATATAGTGGTAATGTAAAATCAAACAGTATAGAAATGACATTCGATTAGCCAATTGGTTTTTCTTAACCTGTGGTCTAAAGTTTGAACCAGCAAAAAACAAGGAATCAAGCCAATGAAATAGGCACGTTTGTTGACCCTCATTAACATCCATTTATCTAATTTTAGAAGATTGGGAGTATTATAGGCCTGATAAGATTTCAATACCTTGAACAAACATTTTTTAAAAATTTTATATTATAACAAAATAAAATACCTCCATATGCACTGACTAAACAATATTTTTTTTTATGAAAAAGTTATCTTGTCATTTTTGATTGGAGCAAGATTGATGATAGAAAAGTTTTTCACAATAGTTGTTAACTATTTGGTTCAAAAACTTATCATTCCGTGAAATGACTGTTCTAAGTAATTTTTAACCCTTTGTTAATTTAATTTATTATTTTGCCTATAATTCCATTCAATGTTTGTTCTGACAAAGATTTATAATTTCCATGTATTTATATCCGTGAAATTTATGTATCAAAAATAAAAAATCCATACCTTCTCATTCCATAGAATGTATGTTCTAGCTAAAATAATTCTAAAACAATTTAGGTAACAATATAGTAAAAATAATTTTAATTTATTTTCTTAAGTATAACCAAATCTATAATTTATTTGTTTTACAATTTATTAACATGATTATTGCCATGCTAAGATAGAATATTGTAAACAATAATAATATCCTCTTGTATGAATAGTACATGTAATAAATATGTAAAAAACATTTTAGAATTACATCATTGCGTTATTCTTTCTTAGCAGAGCAGATAATTAATTAATTTAAAATAACATTATATTTTATAGGAGCTAGCTTGTACTAAATGTCTTAATATACCTAGTCCAAGAACATGTCAGCATACATTTGATAGTCTTTTAAATGCTTATAAAAAATATGGAACTGAATTGGAGTATTTAGTATGTGAAAGCAAGAATGTTATGAAAAATGTTTCAACTTTACCAGCTACTTTAGAAAAAGCATTGGACAATTTACAAGCTTCTCATGATCATATAAAATCAAATGTGGAAGAGACTTATCATGTTAATATAAACATAATAGTAACAGTTTTGTTGTAAATTTTATTTTAAATAAGTATATTTCCTTTTTTAGGGTTTTAAAGCTATATTAGAGACTTGTAAACATGAGATCCTAGTTCAACTTAAAGCTGCTCAAAAACAACAAGAATTAAAGATAATGGATAAATTTGAAGAGTATGAAATCCATTTTTAATACAGTTGTTTTGATGTAATCTAATTATTAAATTTTTAATTTTAAGAGTAAAGAAAATTAGTGATAATATTGGTGGAGTACAACAATTTGCTACTCGTCTTTTAGAAAATGGAAGTGAATCTGAAATTATGGCATTGAAAAAATTAATTTTCACACAGATGTTACATTTATTTAGTCAAATACCTGATGTTGAGGTAGACGCTAAGCTTTTGTATACTCCTGATATTAGAGGTTTTGAAACTCATTGCAGAGTAAGTAGTTATTATCATTAATAATATTTTACTTAATAAGTAATAATCAATTTTTATTGTTTTCATAGAAATATTTTGGTCACATTGATACAGAGCATGGAATAAATGCTGCAGTTGGACCTATCTCTCCACCTACTCCAAGAACCAATTTTTTAACTAACCGAGCATTTCCACCACCTATGTTGACACCAATAGTTGATTCACAAATATTTGATTTAAACTTGGCTCGTTTGTGTTCATTAAATGAAGATAACCCTATTCTACCATCATTGCCAATAACACCTGATTCTTTGGGTGATTTATTGAATACACCCAATAGTTTGGATAGCAGTTTTGCTTTAGATAATTTACAGGCACTAGCTAAACTTGATAATATGAATATAAACAATAACAATAATAGTAAGACTATATTTTAAAACTAAATATCATTAATTTATTAATTAATATTTGCAAAATAAAATTGGTTTAGATATCCTTCAAAGCTTGATGAGTCCTTTGGCACTAAATCAATCTGGTCTTGATCCTTTTTCAGTTGATAGTGTGTCATCTATGAGTTCTCCTACAACTACTTTGTCCCCTGGTAATTATTAACATTATATTAATTATTAGCATGTTAATTGTATATTTATGATTATGTAATAGATATCTATGGTGTGGCTACCAATTCAAATTGGTACAGCAAAGAAAGAAGAGCCCCACCTTCTCGACCTAAACGTCATTCAAGTAGACCTAGTATGGGTATTGTAGCAAAATTTGGTCAAATGGGCAGTGGCCTTGGACAGTTTCATTCACCTCATGGATTTTGTCTCAGCCCTACAGAAGATATTGTTGTTGCTGATACCCACAATCATCGTATTCAAGTAACTATCTAAAAACAATTATTTTTATATTATTGTTAATTTTAAAATTAAACGACTTTTAGGTATTTGAAAAGGATGGTACATATAAGACTGAATTTGGCCGAGAAGGAAAAGAAGACGGATTCTTATTTTATCCTAGAAAAGTTGTTTTTTTAAATCATAACCAGATAGTTGTTTGTGATCGTGGTTCTGAACGATCCAGAGTACAGATATTTGAGTACCCTACAGGCAAATTTATCAAAAAAATTCAGGTTCAATTTATTGAAATTGTTGCTGGAGTTGCTGTAACTGCAAATGGACATCTTGCACTTGTTGATAGTGTACACCCAACAGTATTTGTTTTAAATGTCAATGAAGATAATGGCATAATGAAATGGTTTGATTGTGCTTCATACATGGAAGAACCATCAGATATAATTGTCAGAGGTTTGTTATTAATAATTATATTAGAGTTTTAGAACTTTATTTAAATTAATATTGATTTTTATATTGCTTTTAGACGAAGACTATTATGTCTGTGATTTTAAAGGACATTCAATTGTAGTGTTTAATGATGAAGGTGTATGTTTAAGACGTATTGGTGGTGAATATATTACAAGTTTTCCAAATGGTATAGATATTTCTGAAAATGGAGAAATTTTAGTGGGAGATTCGCATGGTAATCGTTTCCATGTAGCTGTTTTTTCTCATGATGGTACTCATTTAACAGATTTAGAGTGTCCTTATATTAAAGTAAGTTTAGAACTATCTAATCAATATTTAATTTTATTGATTAACATGGATAGGAAATCACGTTATTACAAATTTCCTTATATTTATAAACTAGTTACTCGTGTAAAATATCATTATGTCATTACAGCCTTTTTTATATGGGCTACCTTATTTATTTTTTGTTTAAATTTTTTTTTTTATCCATATCATCGAGGTAACTCATTAATCTACAAAAATTATATTTTCATTTCCAAAATACAATCGGCTTCCTTTTAGGGGTTTGAATACTGGATATAAATGTAGGCTATATGTATGTTATTCCTGAACACTGTTTTTACAATGGAACCTCCAATTGCAAACATGAAAATGGATTAAGTTTTTTATTAAATTAACTGCTTGTACCTTTTATAATGAAATTTTCTCCATTTAAAATAAATGACTGAATTTATAAAACTATAAACTTGAAAGATATATTTTATGATAAATTAGAGAAAATACATAACAACCTACCAAGACACATGTTGGTCAGGGGACATTGTATAGACCACAGTAGGTAATGAGAGTATACACAACAATAAGTGATGGAAATGGTTCCAGAATAGTTAAATATGCTATAGCTATGATCTTATAATAAGTTGTAGCTTTTTTTCCCAAGAAATATATAAATAAGTATACATGGACCGTATCAAATAAAATATATTAAAGTCAAATGGATCACGTCCTGGTTGATAAAGTACATGTCTAAATTACTTTATTTTAAATAAAGGAGTTAATAGTGACTTAAATAATTTCTTGGTGCTAATTAAGGTAAGATTAAAAATATTAAATTATTAGAAAGCAGAAAACAAAACTAGTTATGTAAGGTTCAATGTTTACGATTTAAGAGGAGAGAGTACTGCAACAATATCAGTTAGGAAAAAAAAGGTTGTACTGAACCATTTTACTAAACAGGAAGATCTGGATTTGCAATCTATGTGGAACATAATTAAGAATTCAGTCCTGGGAATATCAGATAAAGTAATTAATTAATTTAGAACCAAAGAACAATGTTGGTTCATCTAAACATGCGCAGAAGCCATTTAATTACATAATGATGTTAGGTTACTGAGAATTTAGTTCCCAACACGCTGTATGAAACAACAGACCACATATTCACAGTTCAGCAAATTCTTAGCAAACATAATGTAATAAATGTATACATTTAGTGTTAGTGGATTTCAAACAAGTTTATTATGATCATATAATCAGAGAAAAATTATGAAAGATCTTGATGAACTTGAGTTTACAAACTAAAATCGTTAAATTAATAGAGTTATGCAACAGTAACATAAAATGTATGGTCAGGGTACAAGTAAAAAAATTACTGTGTACAATATTTCCGACTTCGGTCATAAGTATACCTGAACTTAAGTTTGAAAATACACCTTCAACATTAGATGACATAATAATCATGGTTAATATAAAACAATATATTACTAATAGTGTATCTAGCTTAATAAGAATAGGCAAATCAGTAAACAAGGAAAAATCTAAATATATGTATGACTAGAAATTTACGAGATTACACAAGTCGGACCTGAAAGTTTATAGAATATCCTTTCAACAAATACATAACTTTAAATAATTTGAGATCAATGTATTTAACAGAAACTGTATGCATCACAAAATTAAGATTTGCTTGAGAGCTGGAATACTTTGCCATATCACACCTGTTTAAGTCAAAACTATTATCAAATAAAGCCAAGGAAAATTTGTATTATAAATAACTCAGACCAGTTGTGTCGTATGGATGTAGTACCTGAGCTACAATATCAAGATATGAGAATAGATTAAATATTTGTATGAGAATTAAAATTTATGGACCCAAGTATAAACCCGATACTCAAGTTTGGGAGCAAAGAACAAATTAACAGATTAAAAAATTGTACAAAAAAGGAAATATAGTCCAATTTATAATAGGTGCAAGTCTGAAGTGGGCAAGCCACGTTTGGCGAGTTGACAATAGTATAGTTAAATTAGTACTTGTAGAACATAAATAAAAAGCAACAGTGGATAGATAAAAAGTGGATTTAAGACCAGAGTGGAAAGAATATCTAAATTATACATATAACAGTGTGAAGAATAAAAAAAATTACTATTGACTATCCTGTTAAAATAATGTTGTTATAATTCTTTTGATCTTTTATACCTCTAATTTGGAAACAGTATTTTGCTGTTAATTTCATTTTCAATAAAATTAATACATTTTGAAGAAAAAAAAAATCCCATCTCTTTTATTGCTAACAGTGTGGAAATAGTGTGTATCCCAAAATGTTTCTTTAATATAAATGTAACTTAAAATAAAAATTGTAATTGTTGGTGTGGAATATGGATTCAATGTATTTAAGACATTTAACATGTTTAAAAAAATGAATTATCATAAATTTAGAGTGTATATGTTATTTAGATAAAAACTATATAGTGGTTTCTGGGAATTATAATTTATCCTACATTTCAAAAAAAAGGTTGATTTCTAACTAAGCGATTTATCTTAATATTTTTATTCCTACAACAAAATAATAAGTAATATCACAACATTTCAATTTAATTAAAACCAATTAAACACATCAGAATCCCCAAAAAAGAAAACCAAATACTTTATTGTAAAACAAATTAAGATAATAAAGCTTACAAATTATAAACCTTCAGTTATTAGATGTATGTCCATTATTTGTGCTACTAGGTAAAAACTAGAGTACATTTTAAATACAAGATGACAACATTTAGGTACTCATTTTTAAATACCAAATTACCTGTTTTAGTGCTTAAGACTACAAGATATTTTTCAATAAATTGCATTTTTTTACTCAATTATTGATATAAATATTGATATTTTTTTTTGTTTGAGCAATTATTTTTATGGCTGAGTATAAAAAATTGTTTGTGTTGTTTATAGTATATATTTTAAAAATTAGAGATGAGATAATTTTATAAAAAAAAAAAAACTTCTTTGCTTGGCAATTTGTTATATTGTCATTAAAATGAACTAAGGTCTAATATATTAATAATTAGAATTTTTTTTTTATATGGGTTTTTTTCATTAGGCTTTGATTCACAATATTCAATTGAATTAGTATTAATGGGTATTCATCAATATTATCTAATATAATTTTTAGAGTAGTTTTATATTTTCAGTAAATAAAATAACATTGTTTTAGGTGTCTCGTTGTTGCGGTTTGAAAATAACTAGTGGAGGCCATATTGTTACATTAGCTAAAAACAATCATCATGTTCTTGTTTTAAATGCAACTGTATAACTCCTCCAAAGATTAAGCCGCAATCCTTTTCCCAAATAATTTATTTGTTAACTTAATTTTTCCTGTTTTCTTCAATTTTTATTAAATAGTTAATTAATTTTTGAGACTGCTCGAAGTGCATTTTTTTTTTTTCGTAGATTTAACAAATTTATTTTATTTTTAAGTATACATTGACATTTTACTAACTTTTTCTTTTTTATTATTAAAATAATTTATTTCCTCTACAAGAAAAAGTAATTTTAGTTCCTATTTATTCAAAGGTAAAAAAAAAAAATGTATGAGCTGTTTTTGTTTTGTTTTTAAAGTCTCATATTAAATTTCTTGTAATATATATATATATATATATTTTTTTTTTTTTTTTCAAAATATGTATCATAAATCATGTTATATATTATATATTTTATTTTTTTTGTAAATAATGGACGTTTACCTCGTTTCAAACAATCTAGTGAACATTTTAGTCAAATTCATCTAGATATAAGACAGATTTTTCAAAATTATATACATTTGTATGTATAGTAATTATTAAATTATTATTATTATTATTATTATATACCATGCATGTTATTTAATGGTTAATTACTTGTTGGTGTTCACATATGTAATTGCAATATTTAAATATTATAATTTGTTATTTTGGTTACTTTTAGTACCAATTGTAATTGTATTTGTTTTACTTTCATTTTTTTTTTTCTAACTGAGATATTGCAATACAGTGTTCAATGTTCTTTTTTCGCTCAAACTTTCAACGTTCCGTGTTTATAAAACAAAGTTATTGTTTAGCTTATTAAATATATAAGTATAATATATACTGCAATTGTTCATTAATTATATTTTTGGTTCTTGGTTCTATGTTTTTGATAACAAAATATTATTAATTGATTTATCTAGTCCTTTCAAATTCAAAGCAAGATTTGTACATATCGGTCATGAGACATATTTATTATACATATAATGCAGTAATATAGTTATAATTATGAATTTTATTAAAAACCTTATTAAAATGTAGTCCAAGGACCAAAAGTAAAACCTAATAGCTTTACAAAATTATATTACGTTTCAGAATAAGATACTATTAAATTTTAGAAATGTTAAATTATTTTGTTAAGTTGTAGAAATATTTAGAAAAAAAAAATCTTTTCTCGTCATAACATATTTTGATTTTGTTATAAATATTTAAGAAGACTGAATCACTAAAATATTAAGTGATATTTGTTATTTATTTTTCTTTTATTTTTTAAAACTAAGGAAAATGTTTTATTTACCGAATTATTTATATCTATTATATAAAATTTAAATAATTATAATACTGTGTATTATTTTGTAAGTTGCAAATTGTTTATGATAGATAAATCAATAATTACAAAAAAAAAAAAAAAATATAGTCTGGTCAATGATAACATTATGATGTAATATAATTTATTTGTATATGAACGACCTTGCAGGTTTCCAATATGTTATATGAAACATACAATTGTCTTTCTTATGATTAGTTACAATTGTAGACTTATTGTTGATCCAGTGATTTTTTAGATATGACTACAGTCACCAAGTATTTTAATTGCAATATTTTAAAGGACGGAAAAATTCTTACTGAAGATTTATGGGTTGAAGATGGACAAATAGCTGATCCTGAAATTATATTTTATGATAAAAAAAAAAATCCAGACATTGAAATTGATTGTCTGGGATCTTTGATAACTCCTGGATTCTTAGATTTGCAAATCAATGGTCAGTATAAAATAAAATAATAGTTAACTTTATAATTTAGTGTGATTTATATTTTACAAAAACAAATTAACAACATTTTGAACATTTCTGTAACAAATTTTTTCATACGAGATATTTGTCCACAGATATTTAAATAATTATTGTGGTTACAAATATATACTAATGAAGCTAGATATACTTTTTATAAAGCTGGATGTAAACAAAGGGGTATTTTTTTCTTTTTTTAGTAATTTAATTTTTTCTGTAAAATTCAATGACTTAGGAATTCTTTGGTGGGCCAAAAGTGACAATGGTAGCTCTTGGCCCACTATTACCTTTCATAATACGTCTATGATCATAAAACTCATGATCAAGTGGTAAGGTTGTGAGAAAATGTATGGTAAGATTATTGGTGAGGAGAACTGGAAATTGTCATCAAATAAAATAAAACCATAATAATTTACTACACAAATAGTTATAAAATATTAAAATAAATATAGAACTTCAACCTTATATCGAATAACTGATAATATATTTTGTCTTAATAATTGGTATTAATGAATATGATTGATAATTAGAACTCTGGAAGTTATAGCATCTATAAAGGCAAAATATGATGGAAAAAATGGTAAAATACACAAGATCATTAAAAAACATATAATGCCATTAAATTAATAATAGACTCAAGACAATAATTAATAATTACGTAAAATATTATTCGAGTTTTATATTCAATATTACTTTAAATTAATTAGGAAAGAAAAAAATCAATTTTTTTTAGTAAATATTAAATATGCGAAAATCAATGAAATGTTCATTTTCTCTAAAATGAATGCAATATGCACAATGTGGATTTAAAATTTTCGATTTTTAAACTCTATTGTATAGAAAACTGTCTAGTTTGAGCTATAAACCCAGTGTATACAGAAAAAAATGCAACTCCTATAACTTCCGTACCCTACTGATACCGGATAAATACAGATAATTCAATATTAATTTTATTAGCATAATTATTGCAGTAATCTACTACACGATTTATTTTTTTTTTAAAACAGATGGTTTTTTAAATTATGATACTAACAAAAATTAGCGCTGATCATTAGTTTTGAAGTCATTTGAAGTTGGTCGTTTTTTTGGACATTATTTGGGTTGCATTAAATAAATTAATATTCAATCTTGCATTTCCTTAAACCTTGATGGATTGGTTGCTGTACGTCATACCCTAGTTGTGTTGATGCGTATCTGCTGTCATTATAGAGCTCCAATGTCAATCCCGTATTTCGATTACTTTTTTTCTAATATTTATTTAAGATAGTATACCCAAAATACACTGTTACCTACTCGACGTGGTTTTGTCAACAAATTGGAATTTATTTTTTTTTAAACAGTAATGAACTTATGTATAGGGTACCAATTAAAAAATCTAAAATATTGGAAAAAGTAATCAAGATACGGGTTCAAACTATAAATAATAAAGAATGAATAGGCCTTAAGTCCGGGAGAAGCGTTCCAGAACGCAACTGTCATGTCATGATTGCCATCAACTTATAGATGATAATGAAAAACTTAGTAACTGGTATTAACAGTTAACACGACTGTAGTATACAAATGTTCGGTGTGGTGTGCCAATTCAAATCAAACGTTTCAGTTGTGGAAATCAGCTGATTGTTCTCATTTAAAACAACACTACCATCATTGTGATGGCATATTTATACTGTTACTTTCATTTTTATTATTATATTTAAATCATAAATGTAAGGTAAAACCGTTTTTTTATAGAAGATAAATGTAGTATAATAACATGTGAAAATCGTAAATGTAATTTAATCTTTTAGTCTCGTCATGTCTGCTGTCGATGTATAATGATAAGAAAATATAAGACAATAACCTGGTTCCAATAACAGTTCACACCAAAAATCTGATTCTATTCCTACTCATTTCACATTTGTTATAGAAAAAAAAATCTGAAGTGCACACACCAAATATATGGTTATTCTATTGAATTCATTGAACCATATTTTAACTATAGGTCAAATAAAAGTTTTATTTTTTTTTTATTTTATATTATTCTATTATTTTTCAGTTACATTGAATAATATGTGATACATACTAAATCTATTGTATTTATAGATAATACTGATGATTCTATTATATTATGACAAGCATATTGACTTCTATTCTAAGTGGAATGGCCTATCCATTTATATTTTTCTCATTATCTATTATTATTTGGAATCCCAGAAAAAAAAAACAACAATTTTTGAATTTCAAAGATTATACATAATCTAAGCATAGATCATCTGTACAAGGTATAGGTATGACCTTGTACATTAGTTATTAGAAAAATGATAGCCTCGAGTACAATAATTTTGAAATGTTGCCATTACCAACACAATATTTTTTTCTTTATGGTGTAAAATAATTTAACATTTTAAATACGTGTTGCATTAATTTCATTATTTATATTTTATACAATATGCTATTATTTTAAGTTATACATATATAGTAAAACCTTATAAAATTAAAACTTTGTTTAATCTGTACTATCAATACATAAATGCATTACATTTAAATAAATTATAATTAATTTCCCTTTTGAAGCTAAGTTTGTTGTGGTGTAAATTAGTTATCATGAATTTCAAATGATTTAAATAACATCAATCTATCTACTAAATCTTTAAATAAATTATAAAATACCTATATCATTTTTCCGACATATGGGTATTAATACATTTTGTCTTACATTATAGTTACATAATTATTGTAAATTTATTTTTTACTATTATTTTAACAAATATTCTAACTAGTTGTATCTATAGTAATTTTTTGTTTCTTTGTAAAAGGTTTTTCTTAGGAAAATATTCAAGTATTATATATTTTAATTATATTTAATGTCAAACACAGTTATGTGTTATGTATTTCGAAAAAAATTAATTCAACCTACACAATTAGTAAAACAAGTTACTCTAAGAGCTTAATATCACTTAATAGTATAATCCGTACATAAATACAATATACTCATAACATTTTAAATATATGAGATATTTTATTGTGTTATGTTGGTGTACACGTAGGCAGTTAGTGATACAAATGTCTTATCATTTTCGAACAACTACCCAGCTGTACCCATTACGAACGTGTATTAATATCATAAACTTATAAGCAAATATTATCATAGATAATATAAGAATTTATATTATCAAATTATGGTTTCCCCAGTATTTTTGATTATTTTTACTAATAATAATTATCAAAATTATTTTGTGTTTCAAATAAAATTGTATAAATACATTCCAATACAATATTTTTTTTAATTTATTAATTTATATTTTATATCTTCAGTTAGGTATAATTAATTTATTTTATTTAAAATATTTATGTCATATCATTAACTTATTTAAGTATCTTTATTATTATTATTATTTTTTTATGTATATTGATATTAAAAATTATTTTATTATAAATACTAATGATTTATATTAAATATTTATATAAAATACTATTATTTTGTAATGTTTAACAATTATAATAATATTTTGCTGTTTTATTTATGTATTAGAGTTACATTCTATTTTTAAATAAAATAATTTTGTTTTTATAATATACTTTCACCTAGTCATAATGATTACAATGAACCAACCCCCATTTAGATGAAATTGGAAAAAAGTAATCCAAACTTTTTTTGATGAACTTACAACAACCTAAACACACAATTTTTTCATTAAAACTTTTTTGTAATTTCATAATTTGGGACTGAAAGGGCTAAACAAAACTAAACTTCAAGCATAAACATATTAATATGTCTATGGTATCAACCACCAATGATTTTTTAAAAATCTATACTTCAGAATGGCTATTTTGAATTTTTTATTTTATGTCCCCTTAATAAAAATGTATTTGTTCATAATTGTAGTGTAGGAACATGGTAATTATTTTAAAAAAAATATTGAATAAAATAAATGTTATTTTAAGTCCCAGTTCTTTGTGTAACACTGCATAATTAGTATATTTCATCATATTCGTACCTTTGAAGTACATGAATTTATGAAATGACACAATACCTCAAGAAGTCATGAAGTTAGGAGTAAAAATTAAATTTCTCATATTTATATGTAGTTTAAACTATGTTATTCATAGGTTGTTAAATCTGGATCCTACCTCATTGGCAAATACGTAGCGAATGTTAAAGGATTTAATCTTCCCCTCAAAATGTCTTCCTTATAGAAATTATTTAACTAAGTTTTACAAAGTAACTATATATATATGTCATACCTATTATTACAAGCATAATCCCTCCCATAGAAATAAATTCTGTATGCGCTACTTACTGACCAACCAATTTTTGAACATATTTTTTTATGTATAATATATTTTTATTGATAGGTGCTTTTGGGATTGATTTTACACACCATAGTGGCGAAGGACTTGAAATAGTTAAAAAAGAATTGTTACAATATGGCGTTACTGGGTTTTGTCCTACAATAGTCTCTACTACTGCTTCTAACTATCATAAAGTAGGTATATTGCAATATAGGTATATATGTTATATTTTTTAATCAAAAACTAACTAGATACATACTCTAGTATTAAAATAGATGGTTATATGTACTCTTTATATAAAAAATTGTAAATTTTCTATGTACTTAATCCTCATTTTAGTTTTATTTTCAATTATGCAATTACTTTGTGATGATTTTTAATTTGAAATTGATCTTACACGCAACCAACCTATTATAATACTTCAAGCTTAGTTTTTTTTCTTTATATTTTTTTAATTAATATGCATATATTAGAAAAAAAATGGTATGTATGTATCTATATTAGTATTGTTGATATCTATAGAGGCGTAGCATTTTCTTGATATGAAAACATAATTTTGTGGAAATATAGACTTAACAACTCATACCCTACCCGTGCCGAAATAGGACATAAAGGTGTTGTTTTTCAGTTTATATTTTATTTATTTATTAATAAACAAGATACAACAAAATAGTTTCTATTTCATTATAATATTCAATCTTTAATCACCTTTCCAAAACTTAAATGTGTTTTAAAAAACGGAAAAATAACACCCTTGTGCCATAATATTCAATCCTATTTCGGCATGGAAAGTGGATGAGTTACTGAGTCCATATTTCACAAAATTTCTTTTTCTATATGAATTAAAAATATGGGTAGGTACTCATATTGAATTTTGTAAGTTTTTATAGACCACTAATATATATATTTACATTTATTATATTGTTATATTTTTTTACTTTTATACCAATTTTTGATTTTGTTAGTTAATAGTTTCACTGTTCTAATTAGTTTTTTAAATCATTTTACAAAATATTGAATTTCTTAATATTTTTTATTTAGATTCTACCTAAATTCAAACGTTGTCATGGCAGTGAACACGGAGCTGCAATTTTAGGGGCACATGTTGAAGGTCCTTTTATAAGTAGTCAAAAACCTGGTGCACACAATACATCAAATTTAAAAACTTTAAGGAATTTTAATCTTACAGACACTTATGGTAGTTTAGAAAATATAGGAATAGTAACTTTAGCCCCAGAGCTTGAAGGTTCGACAGATATTATCAAGTTATTATCTGACAATGGAATAGTTGTGTCCTTGGGACACACATCATCAGATATGGAAACTAGCATACAAGCAATAAAAAGTGGAGCTACTTTTATTACACATTTGTTTAATGCAATGCTTCCAGTATGTATATTTATATAATTATAAAAAAACATAATTTGAACAAATTATTTACAGTTTCATCACAGAGAACCTGGGCTGATTGGATTAATTACATACTTACCTTATGATGAAAAACCAATATATTTTGGTATTATAGCTGATGGTGGTCATACTCATCCGACTGCTTTGCAAATTGCACATAAAGTTAATCCAAAAGGACTAGTATTAGTAACAGATGCTCTATCTGCCTTAGGATTACCAGATGGAATTCATTATTTAGGCGATAAACCGATAGAAGTTAAAAATTCAAAAGCATACATTGCCAACACAAATACATTATGTGGAAGTGTGACCTCATTAGATGAATGTATGCGATATTTTATTAAATCAACAAGTAAGTTTAAAAATTATTATTTATAGTTTAATGTAAAGTAAAAATAAATTACCTTTAAAGATTGTAGCGTTGCTGAAGCAATTGAAACAATAACTTTACATCCAGCACAAGTTTTAGGAATACAAAATTCTAAAGGTACACTTAACTATGGAGCTGATGCTGATTTTGTGTTTTTGGGAAGTAAGTTGAACGTCCAATCTACATGGATTAATGGACAGTGTGTATTTCAACATAATAGTGAACCTGGTTATGTTGTGAAAACTTAATACATTTTTTTAGTAGGTATTCCATTACTTTATAAATAAAGTGTTATTATATTATAACTAAAAATATTCTATTTAAAGATAAAATACTAATAAATTTATTGTTATAAATGTATAATAAATAATATAGATCAATTTTTGGTGTAAAATTATTTTGCATTTACTGTCTTGTTTCTGGATTTGATGCGCCAGCAATCATCATGAATATGACCAATGGTAATATGTACATCCACTGAAAAAATGAATAATTGTTGGTGAGAATTAAATTATAGAGATAAAGAATAAACTACTAAAGTGATTAAGTTACACGTGACTCAAAAGATAATAATCACTAATTATTTATATGAATAATAAAAGTTAAACACCAATAGCATAAGTACAACAAAATTTAACTATACTATTTTGATAGATAGTACATAAAGTAATCAATTTAATTGTATGGGTAATATTAAGCTTCATTCTTATTGTAATATGCACATTAATTTAAGTTTAAATTATTATCTATAAAATAACTAACATTTGAAGATCACAAAAAAACTTAAATTTAACTTACATATTTTCCAAGCATAGATTTGTTATTATTTGACTTCCCTTTTTCTCTTGCTTCTCGTTCACGCTCCATCTTTTGAATATAAGTTGCAGTATCAGGCCTAAGAACCAATAAATTTTATATTTTTTGTAAAAATATATTCTATAAAAATAAATAAATACATACACAGGACTACTTTCTGGTCTTCTGAAAAATACAGTAGTTGTAAATTTATTTGTACTCAAATCATGCAAATTGTTACAATTGCTAAATGTTGTAGCTAAGTTAACTGCAAATGGAGAATCCAAATGATCCAAGTGTAAAGTTAAAATATCATTAAATTTAGATCCAATTATAAGACACGCTTTGGTGAATGTCAGAAAACTGGTTTCTTTTCCGGATAATGTTTTCACCGTTACTTTTAATCTGTACAATTCATTGTTAAATGCTAATTCCTGTAAACATATTTTTAAATAAATTGTTAATTTTTATTTATTACATTATTACTTTTAATAACTTCAAATCTGAATCATTGATAATAGTTTCAGATATAACGTCATTCCTAGTTTCTAAGTTTACAACAATAGAGTTGTATTTAATAAATCCAGCACCAGGAATTAATTCATGTTCTAGATAAATATTAGATATTGAATCATAACTTGAATCCTGAAAATAGAAAAGAAATATTTCATATAATTTAGTTTTTTTTTTTTGCATTTAAAAATAGGTGGCTTTTGACTACTATTGGTTATTAATGCTTCCAGGTGGATATCCATCCAAAAGCGAGCAACTATGATGCTTAAAACAACTTAACAACTGGTTACAACATTTTTAACTTACTGAAATACAAAAATCACTAATAACTATACAAAATAAACAGACAAGTAATTTGAAAGATGTCATTTTTAAAAAATTTTGTATCCTTTAATTGAAAAAAGAATATCTTTTACAAAACAATTTAATAATACCACAGATAATATAATCAGTGATAATACAATTAATTATGATATAGAGATCCGTTGTTTTGGTAAGATCCATATGTTCCATAGTAATATAATTCTATAGTTTTGGCATGACATCTATTATTTCTCTTTTTCTTATCAATATATAGATATTTGGTGCAAGGTGATCCCTAGAGTATTACTCTATGGGTGACCCCGCGACCATTCAAGGTTTATTCATTGAATCTATTAAGATATACAGATATATATTAATTCGTGATTCATAGATAATAAAGAAACCGATAAGCCACTTCTATAAAAATTAGTGGTGAAGCGATGTTTCCCCGGAGTGGCGGTAAAATGACGCCTTTATTATCAATAAACTAAACTCATAGATAACACCATAGAACACTAGTGTTCAACACTATGATCCACGGTTTTAGATCTTCTAAGTTCTAAGACCGTGCTATGATCTAAGGGCTATGCATACCTTAATAGTTTTTAAATAGGGACAGGTACAGGAAAGTTACAAACAGTTTCATAAAATGAGGCGAATGATAAATAGTATATTATTTTTATACATTTGCTGTGTTTATAGCTTAATTATTCTGGTACACATTTGATAATATTATATAAATACCGCCCTCCCTTATAGATATCTTTAACCTTGGTATCAGATTTAGAATTAGGACGGAATTTGGATGTTGGTGTACCTGGATTTAGATACCTGGATTTTGATATGGACAACTACCTTGGCTATGGAAAAATCTATATATTGTCTATATAGCTTATTGATAATAATTTGTTATTTTTTGCAAATGTTTACAAATGTGTATAGTCAATTATTTTTGTAGGTACTTATGATATTAAATTTTGAGTGTATTGCAATTCTAATTATTGAAGCTTTTAGTTGGGTACTTGGATATTTAAGTTTTTTAAAAGAAATAAATCAAAGTACATTATTATTAAATATTTCTTTACCTTGGTATTTGTTTAAGATTTCAAACATATTTTTTATTAGATAAATTGTGACTAATTTAAAACATGAAATATAAGAAAATTTCTTTGCCTTTTGACGAAAATTTTCTCAGGTAAAATAGTTAAATTTTATATTAAAAATATTAGAATATTAAAATTATAGAAACATAGAAATAATTAAAGGAAAAATCAAATTAGTAGGAAAAACATTATTTACACACATTAAAAATTATTTATTCAGGAAATATTTAGGTACCTGTTAATTTATTATTTTTAAAATTTTGTTTTCCATATGCCATGTTTAGAATCAATAGTTATACATATTTGTCATTTTATAAGAAAGTGTGTTATCTGAAAACAAAATATTAAATTATACCACTGAACAAAAATACTTGCTAACAAGTTCCACTCAAATTCTAATATATTCTAAATATTACTTTAAAATATTGCTAACCTTCTATTTTATATTACCTTTTGGCTATAATTTGTTTATTAATATAGTAATTATTTCAGTTCAATCCAAAATCCTAATAAGCCTACTGTTGTCATTTCTATATTTGGAAAGTCTTCACTGCCTTCAAAATCATGCAAAGCTCGTTTTGTAAATGATTTTTATGATCGTCCAGTATTTAATTCATCGTTAGTACAAGTTAATTCAAATCAAAAAATTCAGGTAAAATAATATTTATATCTTAATAAATTATCATTTTTACTGTGTCTATATGTGCTAAACAATTTTGAAAAAATGCATTTAAATTGTAAGTACTGTGTTGAATTTAAGGTGTACTCACTCTTAAGTAATATAAACTTAGTGAATTAAATTTGTTTAATTCAACAAGATGACTTTACTTAAATTATATAGTAGTGTTTTAAAAAATGAACAAAAAATATATAAATATATTATTCTTTATACATTTTTAGTCATCAATTGAGTGTTTTTATGATGAGCCAGGTGGAATTGTTTATCTACATTTAATTGGGGCTTTTGATAGTCATTTAATAACTCAAAATATTGAGGAATTATCAACTGAAATTGAGGAAAAAGTGAGATATAATAATTGTACAATATATTTAGATTTAAATAATAAATTGATATAATTTTATATGTTGATATAATTATTGATATTTAGGGTTTTTTGAGAGTTTGGTCAACATTAAAATTCAATCATGCATGTTCATTATTGTTTTTGTTAAGCGTATCACATATTCTTCTACTAACACATCCAGTTCCTGTGTTTGATGTCAGCTATTTAAGTTATTTTAAAGCTCTTGATTGTTCACGGTTATTTTTTTTTATTTATTACATTTTTTTTTATTAAGATTTCTTCCATTTATATAGTTATCATTTCAGATCAAAATTTCTCAATGCAATCAAATCTGTTTTGTTAAAAATACCTAATGTATCATCAAATTGGATAGAAAATACCAGGCTATGTACACCGAGATTATTATTTTATTATGAAACATGTCCAAACGAATTTAAGAAAACTAAGTATGAATAATATTATTTTCAATAAAAAAACACACGAACAAATAAATCGAAATATTTTACTTAAAATTGTTTTATTTCACATAGGCATACAACTGGACCGTGTCACCCAGGCTTAAAAAAAGCTGAGCATTCTCTAGAAGATCAAATTTATGGTATTCTTAGAAAAAGACGAATTATTTCAAATATATGGTATAAATTACTTAATATTAATGATTATAATACATTTTACTTTTGTTTATAATATGTAAGTAATAGGCAGGTATATTATTTATTTATTTTTAAAATTTAGTATAAATTCAATGTTTGCTATCCCAGCTAATCAAGAATATGTATTTATGGATGATTCTCCTGATCAAGTTTTAGACTGGAATGAATTTTTAACTAATTCTTTGATAAATATGTGTAATAGTTCATCTGTAGGTTTGTATACAAAATATGAAAGATTTTTTTAGCTAATAATATATTAAAACTAAATGTTTTTTTAGAAATTAAAGATAGTTTTATTGATTATGAAATTGAAGAAGATATAGAAAAAGATTTTTTAAATAAAAGTTAGTATAAGCATTGATTTTACTAATACATCTATGCATGTGTAATTAATGATATAAAATAAAATATTAATAAAGTATCATCTTATTAATTTGAGTTTTGAAAATATATTATAATAGGTCATAATATTAAAAAATTTTTATTTGACCACATTGAAGTAGCATTTAAAAAAGGATTTGATGATAATATTGGTAGACATGCCATGAACATTCCAAGTTATTTTGAGGTAATAAAATTGTATTGTTATTTTTAAATTTTAAGTTGAATATAGTTTATTATATTTATTTTGTGTATAATAATTTTTAATGTGATGAAATATTGTTGTAGAGAAAATTATAAAAGAAATTAATATTGGACCTAAAGAGAGAGTGACGCATTAGGAATCTTTCTTGATATTTTTGGTATATGAGGACAAGTTGGTTATTTATAGATAAATTACACAATAATTGTATATCTTTATTTGACTGACAAGAAGATTTAGGTAATAAGTAATTAATGATAAAATAGATTGTATGGTCATGGGAAGAAGAGATAGACATTTATCTTGAAAGTAAGAAATCATGAGTTCAATAAAACCAAACAGTAGATTACTGTAGGATCAATATTGACAGAATTTATTAAAATTGAAAAAAAAATGGTATCAAAGAGAAACAAATGTTTCTACATACTAGCAAAGATACTGGGGTTCTGGTCCTTGTCAAGAAAACCAAACATTAATTGTGTACTATGCTTTCTGCCCAATAATCACATATGTAGCAGCAACATGGCTATTAAGAAAAATGGAGGAAATAAAAACGTTTGGACCAGTAAAAGGTGAGAAAAACCAGTGGTTGGAAAATAAGAAATATAACGAGCCAGAGAACTCTTCTAAAACCAGATAATATAAGATACAATTCAGAGTAAAAGATAGCATTGGGTATATGACATTAGTGAAGTCAGAATTCAATGTTACTTGGTAGTGATTATGAGGAGTGATCTCTGATGGTTACCATTTGGTAGTGGAACAAAACCTTAATGAATGTAGAGACTTCTTGGACTTTCATTTTAAAATGGGAAGATGTGGTAAAATTAGACACGTGTGATCTCTAAATGGATGGTTGAACTGGAAATTAAGAGCAGCTTTCAGGGAGAATTGGTTGGAAAATAGGGTGTGCTGCATGATGTTCCTAGTGATTGTGACCCTAAGAAGAAAACAAGTGTACATTTTTAATTAGAGTTGATATTTTTGGTACCTAGTCAAATTAAAAAGTTATTAGTATTTTCAGTGCTCTCATAATTTTCTTGTTTAAATTACATTTACTTAACTAAACTATTATAGTTTTTTTATAATAAACTTTTAGAATTTGTATTTTAAATTATTTAAAATAATTTTTTTAAGGCTCCAGCTATTGGTACATGGTGTCTAGTAGCAAATGAAATGTATAATTTATTTGTATTGGCAATTGATCATGATGAAGAGTTTAAAATTGGTATGGAATCATTGAGATCATTTTTAGATATTGATACTAATTTTAGTGAAAGAAGATGTCGTAAGGTACAGCCAATTGCAATGGCTACTTACCAAGATAATTTGCCATCGCACTATAATAGAAATTATCATGACACTAAAGTATGATTAATTTGGACATTATAAATGAAAGGTGTGTTTTAATTTTTTTGTTTTTAAAGGTAGCTCAAGTGCTTTCAGTATTTGCTCAACATGCACGTGGTCCTTTACTTGATGATTATATCCAAATATTAGTAAAAGATTGTGATAAACTATGGCAATCAGGTCGTCAAATGTGTGAAACTCTTTCTTTGACTGGAAATCCGTGCACACAACCTTTACATAAAGGAGGCACTGTTGATGGACCATTGAAGGAATCAGAACAAGATGACAAGTAGATTTTATTATTTAAAACTGGATGGTTAACAACGCTTACTATACTGTTATTTTATTTCAGTTATATTTGCATGAGGAATATGTAGAAAATTATTTTATTTGACTACCTATTTGTATGGATTTTATATGATATACAAGTACTAACAATTTAAAATTGTTTTGCATGTTTGATTGTTTGAATACGTTTTTAAATTAATACTTATTATAAATTGTAAACTTTTAGTTAGTTATTTTGCTTTTTAATACAAGTGTTTTGCCTCTTATTAATAATTTCATATTGGTATTAAAATTGCATATTATTTATATAATATTAGAAGATTAAATAGTAAACATTACCTGTGATTTTAATGCAAGTAAAAGCAAGAACATAAGAGATAATATAATATATATGCTTAAATATAAATTATTATTTTAAATTTGAAAGCCTATTTTAGTTTAAGATTTTTATTAATTGTCTGGAAATAACTAAAGATTCCTAAAAAATATACTGTGTATACAAAAATAGGGTACACTATAATTCAGCATCCTATACATATTTTTTTAATTCTGTTTGCAGAAAATGAAACTTGAATACTGGGTCTTTTTTTTTTACCTTATGTATTTGGTTCATGTACAACATAGTTTTACTTTTTGAAAATGAGTATCTGTATCATATTCAAGTTAGTAAAATTTGTTCAAATAATATTGATGTGTCTACTTTTATTCTAAATCCAAAATTGACTGAATGAGATTTCTTTTTAGTTTCATTTACTAAAAAATAATAAAAATACATGTGAGCAGCAGAGTTCCATTACTATGATCAAATTCCCCCCCTTTCCCATCAATTTTATATTAGAAATATTTTTAGTAAAACAATAAACTACCAACTATAATAAAATACTGTATTATACTACGTTTAACTACTAATAGTGTATACAAGTAGATATACAAACAATTGGATATATAACATTTTTTTCAAGGGTAATTCAGGTTAATGATTCAACGACATTTTGTAAAATTTTACGTTTTGTGACTAATAACTATCAATATTGAGGTTCTTCTTATCAACTATAGGATCTTATTTGTTCCTTATTACATTTAGATTATTTATCATATTCTACAAACAGGATTCAACAATATGTATAGGGTGATGGTATATTGTGTTTCTGTGGACACATGGTATATCAAAAGAATTATTGTTATTAAATATACTACTGATACGACTAGGTGTAACTTCAGAATATGTTCACTACCTGTAAATGTATTAATAAGAAAATCATTTTAAAACTAATAAGTCACCCACACAAGGTATAAAATGAGAAAATTAATTCTTTAAAAAAATACTCTTTGGAGATGTTTGTTTAAAAAATGTATACCCTAAAAAATTTAGTGTTTTGTAAACAATAAAAAAAAACAATACAATTTTTTAATATTATCAAAAGTTATTTGGTTCAAAATTTATTTTTAATGGCTTTACAGCCCGATTAATCGGGATGAACTACCTATTATGGAGCATTCAAGCAGTATCATGTACTTATCAGCATGCAACTGTGGTCATAAACAAGGTACTCGTGAAGATCCATTTACAATCAGAACAGCAAATTATGATTTTTATCAAATCATGGCTAATGATTGTGCCTGTGGCTGTTTAGATCAAATACATTTTCCTGTATTTCAACCAAGTACACAAAATTATAGGTAAAATGTTAAAATAAACTGATAAATATACTAAGTATACTAAATATACTGATGGAAATTTATTTTACACAGAGCGGCCCAGTTATTTGCAAAGCCTCCAGTCATTGCTGGTAGAAAAAACAGTGCTGGTTTGTTACATACACCAACTCAAATAGGCCACACACAAGGGTTAAGTTTAGGAGGTGAAAAAGACATTATCATTATTTAGATATATCTGTACTTCATTTTATAGTAATATACATAAAATTTGAGTTTAGGAGTTTTTGCTAGTTGTCATTCTGTAGATCCAATCAATGATATTTTGGGTGAAGCATCTCGAAACAGAGAAGTTCCAAATAGACAAGGTGTTACTACAGTTGAACTGACTAACGGACAAAAAAATGAAGATACCATATCTGGCAATCAGATTGTTATTAGAGTAACTGACACAGATGGTGATACAAAAGGTAGATTAAAGGATCTTAAATTTATTGTTTATATTCCTCATTTGTTATAGTTCAATAGCTAAAAATGAACTTAAAATAGTTGGTTCACTAAAATTGGCTCAATATTTAAAGTATTTAAGTATCAATATTAAAGTTTTGTTTTCTTTATTAAGATGTAGCTCATAGTTATGGTCAATCTATCTTTCAAATTACTAAAATTACTAAATAGTAAATATTATATTTATTTTTGTCAAACATTTTTATTAGATAACAGAATCTTAACTATTCTTTTTTAAGTTGTTGATATATTTAAAGAAACTGACCATTTTATTAATACTTTCATTTATTTTGTTTTCTAGAAAAATCTTTAGTTCGACAACCAAGCACTACGGAATATTTGCCAGGAATGTTGCACACTGAATCACCTAGTAGTTTATTGCCACAATTCCCATCTTGGTCTTTAGTATGTCTAGGCTCATCTTGCTTATATTCACATAATATAGGACTCCAAGAAACACAGCATCCAGGATTTTTGAATTCTACAGCTTATCTTCTTCCTTGGGATGTTACAGTTAGATTAGAACATCATCCTAGAGATCGTTATTGGAATACAGATAAAAATAAAATTAATTTGTCTCCTGTTCAACGAGGACGAAAAACCAAGGGTTCTAGAGGTAATAATGATAAATACATTATTCAATAATTTTATATTTTACCACTTAAAATGTATGAATGAATATTTGTTTATAGAATTTTCTGTGAAAATTTTCATTGGGGTTGAATATGAATGCCCAAGAGGTCATAGATTTATGTGCTCAGCGCCGGACAAAATTTTAAGTACTGCAGGTAATGGCATTGTGAAGGAAAACGGAAATAAAGTATCTAATTCAGATATGCCTTTATATTTTCCATGTCCGTGCAGGTAATATTAATATTAAATAATATTGAAATATTATATTAATCAAACATTTGAATTATCTAAAATAATTTATATCATATTTTAAAAATGATTTGACAGCTCAGCTCCTTTAATGGCTCAGTTAATGAGAATCCATATAGTTACACCTAAAGCACCAGTTCATGTGACTTTAAATCCTATGGTGCAACCAGATGAAAATGGTGGACCAATTTTTGTAACTGGATTTGATACACCTATTGAACTTACTCAAAGTACTTATTGGATACTTCGACTACCGTATCCTTTTAAATATTTTAATATTACATTTATAATGGTAAAGGCTGTTTGTTGATTCTCTGTCAGTTGGGACAAATCCGCTTATATAGAGTGATTCTTTTATCATGAACTATTTTCTCTGTGGATTTTAGGTGAATTTGATTTCTGTTTTTTTTTTTGTTTTAGCCTTATTTTAAAATAAATATATACTATTTATTTTCATAGGAACTTCTCTTTTCAAACACAAATTCGGATAGAATATATTTCTCTAAACATTTTGATATACATAATACTAACATCAAATTTCTTATATGAGTTATAAAAGCTTAATGTTTATATCAGAAGATATGAGAAGGCATATAAATTGCTTATCTATTTTTTAATAATAAATTGATCTCTTAAAAACTCCAAGCTATATCATAATGAAAGAATCTCCATTTAGATTATATTATTAGCTTATTATAATATACACAGATAGGTATTTGGGTACCTTGGCTTCCAGTTTTATCACTTACTAAATTTTCCATTGAACATATTTAATGTAGAAAAAGCTTACATTACATCTATTATCAACCATATTTTATCATCTCACCCAATTCCTATCAAATACTATTTCCAATGTTACATAGTCTTAAAAATTTAATTGTTCTAATTAAATTAAATTAATTATTTGGTTTAATTTTTTAGAAATAACACAATTCCAATATTTAGAATTGTCAGGAAAAACATAATATGTATTGATACAACCCATTGTAGAAAATAACTTCTCATATAATATCAAAGAATAAAATAAAAGTTCTCCTGAGTTCGCTTCTATTAAAAATTTAGATATTTTTTTATTATTTACGGTTGTCAATCTTTTTGAATTTGAAAATTCCCTGACTTTTCCAAGTTTTCCAGAGAGAAATTATACTCGAATTTTTTTTATTATTCATTGTACAGGGATGATTCACTTATGCTTACCCCATTTTTTTGGTTAAATTTTACATATATTCAAATTCTGATTTTTGAAATTTTTAAGTATAGTTAAAGCCGATATTTTCGAATACTTAAGATTTTTTGCAAAATTCCAGGATTGAATATTTTCGATTCCGCAGACTTTTGATTTCTAGAAAGAGTTTCAACATTGTCAGAACACTGTTATGTTTCTGATAAGTTTGATTCAAACTTCAACCCATCTCTATCTATATTAACCCCTTACTTTAATTACTGTATAATTTACACATATAGCTAAATGAATACTTTAACTGATTGTGCTTAGCTATGTGTATGCAAGTGATCGTGGTCCGTATCTTCCTCCTAAAGAACCATCACAAAAAAATCAAGGAAAGTTACTAAAAGGAGTTTATAGTGTAGCTGAAGCAACAACAGATAATAATAAGCTAAATATTTAAAATAATATAGGTAATACTTTTATTTTTAAAATATTTGTATTATTTGGCACAATTAATGTAATGACTTTTTTTATAAATGGCACACAATTTAGTAATAATTGAAGAATTATTTATATTCAATTACGAGGAAACAAACAATTAATTTAAAATGTGCACACAATTAATTATAATATTTGTGTATTCTTAAAAATGTACTGAGTTAAATTGATTATATTATGGAAGAAAAGTTATTTTAAAAATTAAATTAAATTATTTTTGTACCGTGAAAAATAAACAAAAAATTGAAAATATTTTTTTATTAGTTGTCTTTATCTTCAGTTATGGCAGTTATAATACAATCACATGTAGTACTTCTAGGTATACGAGAATCTTTGTATACAAGATGTAAATGTTTTGATAATAAATCAGTATTGGCACTTTCTAACATAGCTACCTTTTTATGTAGCACACTGAGATGTCTCGCCATATTACGAAGCTCATTCTCCGACACGGAAACACTAAAGAAAATTATAAAATAATGTTACATTCATTTTTTTTAAATTAACTGCTTAGTTACTACCGGAAATCAATATTTCGCTTTTGCTCTTGTAATGATCTATAATCCGTTTCAATTTGATTACGAAACTCTTCTTCTGTCTTTAATCTGTGTTTTTGTATACCTAATTGCGTTTTAAAAGATTCCATATGACATTGACTAGCTTCCAAATTACCTCTAAAGTGTAAAAAATGTACATAATTATGATATAGTTTGTGGTTTAATTACAAATGGTTTACTTTAAAGCTTCAATTTGCATTTTCCTTTTTGATTTATATTTTAAATGTTTAAGTGCCAGTGCATTATATTTTTCTCCCAGAGTTGATACTAATGCTCTTTGCACTTCTAACTCTACCTAAAATATAAAAAATTACACAATGTATTAAATGTGTATATGAAATGTATTAATAAATATTGCAGCCTTCCCCCACCCCCTCGTGAACAACTTGTCTACCAAATTTTTACTCCAATTATCAATTATAGTACTTTCTCAAAAAAAATTTGACTTGAAGGTCATTTTTTGATTTCTCCTAGCTGTATTCGTGGCAAATGGAAAAAAAATGACAAAATATATTATATTATCAATTTTTGGTTTTCATTGAGTTAAACATATTTGTAAAGATTTGATGTTTGGACAGAAAACTTGTATTTGCCTATTCTGGATATGGTAAAATTTCAAATTAGTTTTTTTTTGAGCTATAGGCATTATAATTTTATAGAATAGTTTATGTTACTTTTGTTTAGTAGGTACTCTGTGGATAAAATTGTTAAACCAAACAAAACATTTAACAGGAGGTTCATTATAAGCCATACTATGTGGTAAAAAAAAAATTTTTTGTTTTTAATGTTGTATTTTAATAAAATTTGTAAATATTATAACCTAATTTATAAATATTTTGAAGCAACATTATTAACTGAACTCTGCCAAAATCGTTTTTCATTAACAATGGTTAATTATTACAGCATACAGATATACATTAATTTTCCCCTCTATCTTTTCAATTTCTCACCTACAACAATGCCCCCCCCCACCCATTGTGCAAAGTATGTCTGTAAGTTTTTTATATTGACTTGCATCAACTAATAATTATTTCATATTTTATACTCAATAAGTCATAAAATATTTTGATTCCAGACAATTTCGTATATATATTTATTTTTATACTAATATTTAAGGGGCCTGATGCATAATACCAATTTAACTAATATGCTAATTGAGTTATTTTCATATATGTTAGATGTATTGGTAAATAATGCTAGACTACTATGGTAGGAGAAATATTGAGAAAGTAGGATATCAAGGGGGAATTTAATTTATATCTAATCAACAATAAACCATAGATAATGAAATACTATTCAGAACGAAATTCGATTATACATATTTTGAAAGGCTGTAATATTTATAATTTTCATCAAAATTTGATATTAAAATTCTTACAATACATTACTATACAAACACATTACTAATTTTTTTTTTTTTTTTACCACAAAATGACTCATAATAAACCTGTTGAATTTTTAAGCAAAATTTACCCATAGATAGCTCAAAAATGGCACAAACATTTTGAAAATTTTATCATGAAGTCAAATATAAGTTTTCTGTCTAAATTTAAAATCTACTTATATTTTTAACTGAATTAAAAAAAAAAAAAAAAAAAAAAAAAAATAAATCCATATAATTATAAAACCAAAAAATTTCAGCAGTTTTGGGAAAAAACATAAGCCATAAAAATGTATAATAAAGAATCATGATATTGTAAATTAATCGGCTTTTAAGAGCAAGTTTTCTAGAAGAAATTTTGTACACAATATAAAAATAAAAAAAAAATAAATCCATATAATTATAAAACCAAAAAATTTCAGAAAAGTTATTGCTTTCGCATCAAGGCATAAAAAAAATAGTATAATAGTTGACTAGGTTTCTTTATTAGTAACAGAAAAACCTATTAAAAAAATATAATTTTGTAATTATTGAATTTCTCAGCATTCTCAAGAAGTTATTCAAAATCATATTGATCACTGTCCAGCTTTCACTAAAAAAGGAAGAGAACTTTCATAATTTTTATTACTGGGTGCGTGCCATAAATATTTGAGTTTTTCTGGTTTTTTTACAGTTCGAAAATCACTTGAAAAATTATAAAACGACATCCCAATTCACTAACTAAATTAAATTTCTTTTTAGAAAAAGTGTTACACTAGTGGCATTGGAACATTGAAAAGTTGCTCACAGATAAAAAAAAACATCAAATCAAATAGATCCTTTGCCCTAGCAAAAATCTCCAAATCTAAAACTCAAATAAATTGAATGCGACATTATTAAATTATGGGTTCATAAATCATATTGTAATCATAAAGATAAAAGAAATGGGGTATTATATAGGGTCATTTTTTTTATCATGAGCCAACAATTTTCTTGAAGGATTTTATGCTAATTTGTTTTCTGTTTTTCTTTTTTTTTAAACCATTTTAGAATCTATTAAACTTTATTTTTCAATTAGGAATCCCTTTTTTCAACATAAATTAAAATAGAGTATATTTTCTAGAAATGTTGATATGTTTAACATTAATATCAAATGTATTTTTTATGAGTTAAAACCATTTAAAATTTAGACCAGATGAGTAGAGAAGTTTTACAATTTTTTTTTTTTTAGGCTTTTACGAGTCATTTAGATTCATTGATGCAACAACCACCTGCCTCCACCAATCTCTATTTAGAGATCCTCAGTGCCAACCAGCAACTGGTATATCTTATGTGCCATAAAATTCCCAATACAAATATCAATAATATACAATTAAGAAAATTATAGATTTATTAAAACATACTTTTAACTTATTAATTTCATCTGACTCGGTATTCAACATCCCATCATTCAATATAGTTGACATTTGTCGTGGAGTTGCCAGCTCACTAGATAAATGACTTGACAGTGTAGATTCAGGCCTATAATTTTCATAACACAAAAATTATTACATTTTTATTTTCGTATTAAACATTTCTTGTCAGGTATTTTCAATTAAATTTTTAAGAGAAATTTAAAAATACTGTTTTTGGTAATTTTAACAAAAAATAAAGTTTTATAATTTATATGAAGTAAAAATATAAATATCTATTTTATTAAATTTTCATATATGCATAAAAAGACGTCCTATGATAATGGGAATGGGTGCAGCTATTGTTATAGGTGATTTAATGTATATCTGTTTGACTAATGAAAAAACAATTCTGAGTAGAGTTCATTGTGATTGTGATGCTTTGTCAATAGTATATAAGTTGTATTAAATAATTAAATAGACATTTCATTTGTTAAGAAAATCGAAAAAACGACCTCTTTAAAGTACCTCACAACGAATTCCTTTCAGAAAAGGTGCTACACTTTAACATTGAAGCAACTTTTCTAGTAGAAAAGTTGACCACAGAAAATAATTAACATCTTTGTAAAACCATAAGCTTCATTGATCCAGTCAGAATATAAAATCATTAAACATTAAAAATAGAGTAAACTTTCAATTATCCAAAGTTTTGCACGGAACAGAGTTATTTTAAGAAATAACAATTATGTATAATGATTTTTTTGTAAAAAAAATATAAAAGGAAATAATTATAAAAATACATACCTAATGTAATAATTTAATGTTAATAAAACATGGAAAAAGCATTTTTGTATTATGTTTGACCTACTTCGGATTATCCGTGGAATTTAATTATTCATAGTTGCCAAGCCACTCTTATTCATGATTTAAACCATTTATAAACATTTAAATTTTGTAAGTTTTTATTTACGCATTTTTTATTCGACATGTACTTTGTGAATAGAATTGTTGACCAATCAAAAATGCTTGAAAATTTAACAGGATGTTCATTATAAATCATACTTTGTGGTCAAAGAAAAATAAATTAGAATATTTTGTTATAAGAATTTTAATATTAAATTTTGATAAAATAGTAAATATATATTATGTTTCAAAACTTGTACAATTTAACTCCGCTCAGAATTGTTTTTCTTTATGGTGAACAGATATAAATTAAATTACTCTCTATACCCTACCTTCATAACTCTCCTACAACAGTATTGTACATATTATGCAAGCATGTTCATCGTTTATTTCCTTTATGTTTTTGACTGAATAACATAAGTTTATGCATTCAAGCAAAAATGAAATAACCTTATGTAGCCTACCTTCCCAACTTTTCACCTACAACAGTGGCCACTCCTATCCCCAGTATCAGTTCTTTTTAAAATTAAATTTATTTATATTGAAATCTGTACAAAAATAACTTATGTCAAAAACATAATTAATAAATTAATAAAATTAATTGGAATAAGCTTGAATAAAGATGTTAATATAATGCAACTATTTATTCAAATTTATCATATAATTGATAAAAATTTGTTTGTATTGTTTTATTTAATAAATAAAACACATAAAATAAACTATATTTAATGGCATATTAATAAAGAAATAACACTAAAACTTGAAAATTAGTACTAAAAGTCCAAATTGTTTTTAATACAAAATTGTATATTCTATACTTGAAATTCTTAATACATGAAACGAATGTATAGATTACACTGCTATTTTTATGTGTATCCTAGAATATTTGGCAAATGATATAGTTAACAAAATTTAAATATCATTTAACTATTTTTTCACAAAAATTGTTTGTCTAATCTCAATAATTATACTTGTTATATTGATATTTGTTGTAAATGTTTAAAACTGTATGGAAAAACTGTTAGGATTCTAGACAATTTTTCCAATAAGTACCCTCAAATAATAAACTCACATCTTTTATGGTAGTGTGTGAAAAAATCTGACTATTTTTACTAAGCCCAAAACATATTTTAAGAGAAAAAAACACATTTTAGTAAAACTAATCGCTACACTCAAAATTAAAAATTATAAATATAGTGGTAATTCAGCATTAAAAGTTTTAATAAAAAATCTACCCAAAAGTTCTTGTCATTTCATTAATATTTTGTTTTTGACTATCACTCTTTTCTTGCGCATGATTAAAAGAATTATTACCAAAATGGTTTGCTGACTTTGTTTTGTCACTAAAAAATAAAAATAAATTTATTACAGAATTAGGTTTTAAAATTAATTTTAAATTGATAAGATAATTACCTAAATAACTGGATGCTTATACTTGATGTGTCATCATTTGTTAAATTTCTGTTCCAAGATATTGAATTATCTAAATAAAATGTGCGAAAATTGTATTATATACATTTACATTTGAATACATTTATATTCAAATTTAAAATTGTTACAACAATTTTTACAAATACAAAGATATAAATAACAGTAATATTTTTAAGCTTAACAAAGAAATAAATAAAAAATTAAAATAACCATTGGTTTTTTTTTTTTTCAAATTTTTTGACCAAATATAATTATTAAACAATATCACGGTTTAAAATGTACAGATTATCGATCGTAATCGACAAGCAAAATTTCATAGTTAAGGGAATTGGAAGTGACGAGTTTCTGTCTTTTTCTTACAAATGTGAGATTTAGGTATTTAGACGCGTTTTAATTCCAACGTGCCGATTGATCTAGTGAAGCGATAAGAATTCTCAAAGCAGATTTGAAATTTTTGTGAAGTCTACTTGAAATCGACTTTCCCATTTTTTAAATTCATGTCCCTATTAAATAAATGAATAATTTAAAAAATGGAATATATTAATTTTTTGAGAAATTAAAATCAAAAAAATGGGGGAGTCGATCTCAAGTAGACTTCACAAAAATTTCAAATCTGCTTTCAGAATTCTTATCGCTTCACTAGATCAATTGGTACGTTGGAAATAAAACACGTCTGAATTCCTATATCTCACGTGTGTAAGACAAAGAAAGAAACTCGTTGCTTTCAATCCCCTTAACCTAACCTAAAGTTAGAGGATAATGGATGAAGTTATTGAGATCTGTTAGAAAAGGATTAATTATTTTTCGTCAGAGTATCGAAATAGGGAGTTTCGAGCATTGGCCTGTATATTAGATGAAGAGAAGTAAGAATGAGATGTCAAGAGTAGTGGACCTCGCAGACACGAGAAATGGTTGAAGTCAATATAAGCTATTTCGCACGTTGTAAGGATTACTGTGGAAAGGGATTTATCTGTCACATACATGTGCTATGATAATATATTACGTATGATTTTATTTAAATAAATGATGACTAGTTAGGGCAAGTAATATGAAGCAGCAGCTCAAACGGTACGCCCGGACTGTATACAATTAATAATACGGCCTAGTTTTAGTGTTAGGTAAGGTTATGTTATTTGAATAATAACCTGTAACACTGTGACGGTCTGAAAATAGCTAATCTGTATATTTTTAACTATGAACAATACTAGATATGCATGGCTTGTTGGGCATGTCATTTATTTAAACTCAAAATAAACTTTTTTTAAAAGAATTCACAACTATCTATCTAAAGTTTAAATATTTAAAAAGTATATACTGAGAACAAATAGAAAAAAAACGTGATTTTATTTTTAAGCATACTTTCTGCAAATTGTCTATAATAAGACTCAAGAGCAAGCAAATATAATACAATTTGTATACTATTTAATAAAAAAAAAGCTATTTAATACTTATTATTGAAACTCACTAGAATACTGATTTCTGGCTGATTAACTATACAGAGCCTATACCTATTCAATCGCACTCAGAATTATTTATTTGAGTTAAAGCCATATTTGATTCTCAAGCCCCACTAAAAACATTTTGTGACCTGGGTCAAACAAAATAGTCCAGAAAAAAAAAATAAATAACAACGATTATTAGAATGAGTTTTTAAGAATATTCTGTGACTGTAAATTTACTATTTCCAATAGAAGATTAATAAAAACATTATCAACATCAATATTAAGAAAATTAGCAAGTAATGAATTATTTGTGAACATTGTTTTAAAAAATTAATTAATTAAACAATTAAAAAACAATTTTTCATATTAAAGTGATGAAATAGCTTCAACAAATTAAAATGTTGATTATTTTAAAAAAGATTTTTTCAAACCAGAAAATATGATGTTAATACATTTATTTTAATATTACACCATACAAATTTTAACTTTACTTCAAAAGATGGGTATATGATATTATATATAAAGAATAAGTTGATTTTACTATATAATTTTATGATAAGTTTATTTATATACTTGATATATCAACAAAAAAATAAAAATATTATTTTATTAGAATGTAGAAACACGCATACTTTATCTTATCAGTAAATCAGGATATGATAAAATACAGTTCAATTATTTATATAAAATGTGTAAAAGTTATTAAGATAGCTTATTCAGATATTAATAAAATACTTGACAGTGATAATCATCAGCAATGCATTAAGTAATTTTTAGTTTAATATATTTAACTAATTAGTTGGTAAGTAAAATATGTAACATCTAACAGTTTTTGGAAAATGTAATTTTACAATTGGTAGCATGCTTACCTATATATTTTTAGTAGGAAACAATTTACATGAGTGTAGCATACTATACCAACAAACTCACAGTAGGTTGCATATTGATAAGTACCAAATATCCAATTCAATTTGAAGAAGGCCACCTGAATTGAAAAATGTAAACTTTCCTAAAAATGTAATAGTTATTTCACTAAAAGTAATTAGTAAATTAATGAAATGTTGTATAATCATTATATGATCATTTTTTTTTCGTCATTTTCTCGATCTATTATGGCAACAACTATCTATGAACTTTTAGGAAAAATACAGTATATTAGTTACTATTTTATCGTGATTATGTCAAGAAATATTTTTCGTTTTATTAAGTGCGAAAAAGTAATTTCCTTTTCATGAAAACATTTATTTTCAAAGTAGCAAGGACATTTAAATACAAATATTAAAATATGGTTAATATTTTAATTAAATTTAAACATATCTATACATATACAATAACATATCCTAACCTTTGACCAACTGATTCATATTCACATAGCCCAAAAACTGCATAGATTGGGGTGACCTTTAGTATATAAATATCTATTATAATGTAGGCATCCATTAAGAAAGGATTTTTAAAAAAAGGGTATAAAATAAAAGTTTTAGGTATTTTTGATACAAATATCTAATTATTTATTTATTTAATTTTGTTTATTCATGGGTTACCTTGGTGACATGGATAATAATTTAGTTGTCACAGACACAAAAAGCTACTATAGTTATTGCCGAGTCAGCTAGTAATAAATATAATAATAGCTATGCAGTTTAAATTACTGCACAGTTGAATTTTTTTTTTTAAATATAAAGCTGCAAAACAAAACTAAAATAATTATTTGGTATACTTATTATTTAGAGCAAAAGTGTATCTATAATAATAAAAACAAAAAAAAACCTGACAGATAGCATGCTTTATATGTATTTTAAAGATCATAATATACAAATTATTCACATATATCATGCACAAATGAAAATTATCTTTATTGTCCAGAAGTTGATGAATCACAAAATACTTAAAATGATATTTGCTCAATTAACAATAATTTAGAACCAAATTACAACAAAATCAATACCATTACTACCATAGGCTTTCCTATATTTCCTAAGATTCTTTTTGTTTTTCACAATTATTATGAAAACTGTTTGGAAAATCAAAACACAACTTCCATACTCACAAACTAGATCCAAAATAAAAATAAAAAACGTCTTATTAGTTTTTAATAGAAGCATCAATACCAGTAGAAAAGTTATTGATTGACAGAAAAAAAAAATAATCATACACATAATAAAACCAATATAAATAAAACTATGTTTTTTTAATTTAAGATTCTTGCTGCCTTCAGAATCTTAAATTCTGTATGAATGTGTACTGGTTTTATTATAATGCGTCTCACATTTTTTCTATCCGTAAATAACTTTTCTACCAGAAATCTTGATTCAATCAAAAATTGATCAGAACTTTTTTGGGTAGAAGTGGTGTAGATTGCTATCTAATCATTCTAATCTATACATAAGGAATTTTATCTACTGTTGCATTAATATTGGTGCCATGTGTATGATATCTATTGTTATAAAAATAAATAATTTTGAAATACCAAATTAAGGAAAGATACAATACGATCTGTCCCATGAAGATATACCTTGAATATACCCCCTGAATATCTCTGAAGATAATAAAGATAATCAAATTCTGCTTTTTTTACACTCATACATTTTTTTTTAATGCCATTTTGGTTTAAATTAGTGCATTGAGGTAATTTTTTAATTATCCAAGTAGTTTTCATAATATTTGAGAAAACTGATAAGCAATAAAAAAAAAAAATACACAATTTTACAGATTTATTTACTTTGAAGAGAAGCATGTTTTCTGAAAAAAAAAAAAGTTTGTCTATTTGGTATTTAAGAAAACATTTTTTTGGGTAAACTGAAAAAACAGAACAGCGGCATCAACAGTTTCATTATTTTTCATTTGATTAATTATAATCATAAACCTACATACAATTTTTAAAGAAAAGTAACTTTTTGTAAAAGTGATAAAATGTTTAAAACATTCTATCAAACTTTGATCTATTTATAAGCATTTGAGATTATTGAGTTGTTTTAGTTTTTATTTGGTATTATGTGAATAAAATTTAATAACAGGTGCAAGGTTTACTTAATTTCCATAAAGCAATGATAAATTACTGCTTACAAAAAAACAATTCTGAACAGAATTCAGTTGATATACTCTGTGCCATGAGAGAATGTGATTGGGCGGCGACCAATATGGGTTCATTCCACCCATTCATAACATATACAAAGAGCGGACGCCACATGGTGGAGGAAATTAGGCCTTGGGACGTCAGTTAAATTATTGCGATGTGCATGATGCCCGCACTTTCTTGTGGCACGAAGCATAGTGATGTTTTGTCAACAATATATATGCCATATAATAGTAAAATAATAAAATAGGATTTCTATATTTTCTTTAATAATATTTATTTAATGTTGTACTGATTTTTCAAGTTTTCATACATTTTTCCTAGTTTTTCCATGTTTTATCTATCTCAGTTTTTCACATTTGTCTGAAAAATTGTTGGGAAAATCAAAAAATGGCAACTCTAATGCAATTTCCTTTAAAAAACATTCCTATCATTATAAGTTGAAAAAAATTTCCGATTGAAAAGTTGTGCAGATTAAAAAAAATGAAAAATAAATATCTTTGTAAAACCGTAAGATTCTTCATTACACTCAGAATCTAAAATACTTAGTTTTAGTATTTTAACTAAACTTCAATTAGAATCATATTTTATCAGCAATGATTTGTTATTATGTAATTATATAAATTAAATAACTATATATTCTGCTTAACAACTTCCTACCTACAACACTGACACACTAATCATCAGTATCAGCTCTTTTTTGGTTCGATATCCTGAAAAACTAGGAAACTGTTTAAAGACACTTTAAAAGAGATCTAGTTTTTTCAATTCAGGGATCTACTCAGAAATGTCAATTAAAAAAAAAATTAATGATAAATTTCAATTAAAATTATAAAATACTAGGCTTACAATTTTAATTCTTCAAATTTGTTAGAAGTAGTATAAGGTGCAAAGTTTGCATGTTATATGTTTATATTTAGTTCAATTCATATGTTTAAAAATAAATAGTTATGATGTTATTATAAAATTAACATTTGAATATTTATTCAACTATTTCTAAAATAAAAAAAATAATAAAAATAACTTATCAACTTCTGAACTTAAATGAATACAGGTCATACATAAACAAAAGCTATTTTATTATATTATTATTTAAAAATCAATCGCTATTAAAAATAACATGAAATGAAAATTATTAAATTCATCAATTATAACTTATCACTGGATGCAAAGAAAGAGCAATACAAAACATAAATTACCCAACAAAGAATCTTTTCCATCAATTTTGTTTGAATTTTCTGATAGCTAAGATTAAGAAGAAAGGTTATTATATTACACCATTAAATATTATTAATTTGCTATAATTATTGTTTAAATTTATATGCTTAAAATTAAACTAAGATCAATTTTAAAAATAATAATCAAATGTTATTATTTTAAAATGTAAACTTTTGATTACATGAAAGATTTTATAATAAAAATGTATGTATTAAAATATTACCTCTATTGACATAAGTTGTGTATTACTTTCAGTATTAGCTATGCTTTTATAAACATTTATGCGATCTTTTAACTCTTTTACTTGTTTTATTAAAGATTCTTTTTCAGCAGAAATCTAAAAGTAAAAAATTATAGTTAAAGTAGATACTTAATTTATAGTTACAATATTCAAAATAAAATTGCATACCTTAATCATTTCAATTACTAAGACATCATCAGTTTCTTTGCACCTTTCATTTGCATCTAAACTTCTAATTTTTTTTAGTATATTAACTTCATGCATAAGGGATGTATATTCATTTATTAAATTTGAAACCTAAAATAAGATAATACCATTGATGAATAATTAATTTTCTATATTTTTATAATCTATTTTATGTTTAATCAATATCTATACATTATTTTTAAATAACAATACCTAATATAAAAGGATGACCAAGGAAACCTCATAATAGAGACTAAGAAAACTGAATTACAGTTCATAGAATTTTTTAAGAAAATTTTAAATAATATGTAAGACATCACATCCTAAAAAAAAAAATAACCTATCATACACTAAAGACATAGATCACAGAACCAACATTATATGAAGTGAAAGTTATAATTAGAACTCTAAAAAATAATAAAACCCCAGGAGAGGACAACAACAATTCAGTTAATAGAACTGGCAAGCAAATAATTAACAACTGAAGTACATAAGCTAATCTATAATGTATGGACTAGTGAAAAAATTTGAATGAATTGAAATATGGCAATCATCTGTCCGAAAACAGAAACCCGAAAAGTCAAAATTAACAATGAAATCTTTCATTTGGACACTAACTTCAAGGTTCTGTCTTTGAAAATTCTCAGCAGACTAGAGAAACGTGCAACTGGTATCATTGGAGAATACCAAAGTAGATTTACAAGAGGGATATCAACTACAAACCATGTATATACTACTTGTAAAATTGTGGAAAAATACTATGAATATAATGAGACAACTCAAAGAAATGAGGAGAAACTTCTTATCTTCAAGAGGAAGGTGCTGAGGATAGTATATGGATATATGAGAAACAAAACTTACGGAGGACTATGAAAGGAGGAAAAAGGCCAACTTGCAGTCTTTTTTCAACAAACCAAATATTAAATGTTTTCTGAATGCCAAGCAACTAAAATGGACAGATCATGTATGGCAAGCTGAGGGAAATTTAATTTAAAACGTGCTGATTAATAAACCAACTAGCATGCACCACAGAAGAAGACCTCGGCAACAATAGTAAGACAGAGTAAATGCAGATATAAGAATGGTAGACAGATAAGCAAATATCAAGACTACTATGGACCACAACAAATGGAGGGGCCTAATAGAAGCTGCAAAAAGCTTTAATGGCTCAAAAAGCAAAAAAATTACTAATACAAATAAACGATTTTTCCAAAGTAATTAAAATTAGCAGCTGATTAAATCATTCAGTTTAAATAAGTTTTTAATAATTAATAGTATTATATCAAAGTATTTTTAAAATTTGTTTTGAATAAAAATACCAAAAGTGTATGTTAAATTAAAGTTGTATTCACAAATTTTGTTGCATTCGTTTGTTAAGGGGTGCCCATCACTTAATAAGGAGTAAAAAATAGACTATATCAAATCATGAAGAGATAGGGCCATAAGTAATAAATAAATGGCCTATAGATGTAATCACACTTTGTACCATAATACAAATTAAGATAAATTATTTTCTTGTAATTAATATTATTATTCTCTATTTGGAAAAGTGTTTGACAAAAATAGACTTATTTTAACTAGCTAAATGATGCCAGGAAAAAATATATATATATATATAAATATACACATACTTTTTAAAACTAAATTATAATTTTTCTAAAAAAGTGCATTGATTGATATTCTTACTAAATTTTAAAATTCATAAGTTTAGGTATCATAATTTAGATTATTTTAAATTATATTACATTGAATTCATAACATAGGTTTATCTTACTTTTTCACAGACATTATCACCATCAATTGATTCTAAATTATTTAATTCACATTCAAGTCTTGCTACCTGTTCAGCTAAAATGGACATTGTTTTTTCCATATCATCAATACGTTTATCAGCTATTACTCGTATATGAACCATATAATTTTCCATGTCCTAAAAAAATTTAGATTATTATTATTATTATTAAATTAAAGAACGAACCCAGTATTTAAAATAGTACAGTATGATAGCATGCACATGGAAACTAGACTTGACAATTAAAGTGAGAAACATGGGTCAGTAATGGCAATGCAGATGAAAAGAATAATTGGTAAATGAAGTGGGTAATTTAAAAAAGAGAAGGGAATATGGAATAGGATCAATGAACGAGTACAGCATCTGGCAAAATTAAAGGTGAGAAGGTGAAATTAAAGGTATTAAGAATACAGTAGTTTGAGGCAATTAACTTTTGAAGCGAGAAGACATATTTGCAGTGTTTACGACCATAGACGCTTTCTAGGAATAAAAACTGTTGGAATGAAGTGTAGTCAGAAAGAATAGGTATATGCAGTTTATATGCAGCATGATGAAGGAATCAACTTTGGACCTTTCTATCATATTTTATGGATGGGAGCAGTGGAAAGGTCCCAAAGCACATATAGATTATAAAAATTATATGAGTTTTCCATTTAAAATATAACAATACTTGCTTCCAATTCTTCATTTTGTTTTAAACGGAGTTTTTCTACCATTTTCCTAGCATTTTGTAAATTTATATCAGCATCAACTAACCACCTCCAAACATAAATTAATTTTTCTTCAGTCTTCAAACGTGTATAGTCAATTCCTTCTTTTTCAAATCGCTTTTCAATATCTGACCATTCGTCTTCACACTATAATTTAAAAAAATAACTATAAATTAAAAACTAAAATAATCTTTGTTTATTAACTTGTAGATTTTTATTTTCGTTAATGTTTTTTTGACTGTAGGTCGGACAAACTTTACATGGAAGTTACAGCAGGAGGAAACCTCTTTTGGATTTTAAAAACATATATTTTTTAAAAAAGTACTTAGGATTTAATATTTTCAAAAAATTGGAAACAAATCTACTTTAATACTCCCTGGAAATTTCGAATTTTATTTTTTCAGAAAACCTATATTTTACAATGTTTAAGTTTTTCACTGAAATCATTAGTTTTATAGTTATTGACCTTATTAAGTTCACGATTTTTAGTGTTTTACGTATGAACATAACGCATAGTTTACCGTACTTATAACAAAGTTTTTAATTTTTGTTTTTGAAACATAAGCAAATCAACGTTATAAAAATGATTGTGTAAAAATAATTTATGGAAATTAAGGTATAGTTTAAAACGTCCTCAAAATTTCGGTTTTTTTTTTGGAATGCAGAAAAATGCTTATCTTTTTTTCGAACTTTCAAACCCACGTTGGGTAGATAGCAAGTAAGTATAAAATCATAATAGGTGGAATAAGAGGCCCAATATTGTCACTCGCTTACTGCGCTCACTCGGACAATTTTAATGGAAAATAACCCTCGATTTGTTGTGCAAAAACACGTCGAGTAGGTAACAGGTAACCTATTGGGTAGTTTGACAAGTTTAGTCGCTCCCTAAAAAAATGCGTAAAATACCGAAAATCGTGAACTTCGTAAGGCAATAACTTTAAAACTAATCATTTCCACAGAAAACTTAATTGAACTTTAATTTTTAAACCATTTAAATGCATAGGTTCTTTAAAAAAGTCCGAAATTTCAACGGGGTGCTAAACTAGATTTATCTATTAAAAGCGCATTCTACACTAGACATCATATAGAAGTCAGTTAATATCAATTATTATTTAACACCAGGCATTAGACAAATTCTATTCACAAGATACTGTTGTTATTTTTATCAAAATAAATTTTGATTTTTAATAATAGACGCTTAAAACGTATACAAGATTTATGTCAAACAGTCTTTACAATTATTATATATACGTTTTGGTTTTACTAATGGATTAAGCAATAAAATCATACATTTACATCACACAACTTTGAAAAAATAAAATCAATAAGTTTCTTAACTAGAATTATACCAAAAATGTCTTACCATGATGTTTTTTCAAAAAATCTATAAAAACAGTTATTCAAATATTAATAAAAATCAAATTGATAGGTTAATAATCTTGAACGTTTTATTCCTAAACTAAAAATAAAGTAAACATTTAAATTAAAATGTTCTAAAACAAAACACAGTGTCATAAAATGTTTTATTCCATTTATAATCGATCAATAAATATTATCTATATTCCATACAGGAAGATATTACTAACATTAGTTATCATAGTTCACGGTCGTAAAAGATAAGGTCAATCCCTGACTTCTAGCGCTTCCGTTGGAACTAACGGATTATTTTTATAACTATAGACCTAATAACTAATTGTAACTTGTAACACCTTTTTACATACGTTTCACTTTTACTGTAACGTTTCCATAATACTACAGATTATATATAACCACAGTCTTAAAAGAGGTTCTTAGATTCTTCTAAGACTTTGGATAAAACTAATAATCTCAAATCTGTATCAGCTGTCAAGACACGTATACATGTGCGAGCCGAACCTACCGCGGAGGGTTCGTGTCATATTCATTAAGGCGCAGGTCCGCTGGAGTCATAAAAATGTAGTCGGGCGAAATATATTTCACCCAATAACTAAACACAGTCCATTTCATTTCCAAAATTTAGGTTAGCATAGGTCTTTATTTCTGTAATAAAGTATTCATTCGGATTGGCAACCAAACTTTGGCCCGAAATGAAGCAGTCCTAGGTACAGGAACGGATCCAAGGGAGTCTAGGGGCCCAGGCCCTCCCCTAGACATATTATTTCTAAGTTTTTTATTTTATAATTCTATAGATCTTGATATTACTATATTCCAATTATTGATATGCATGATGAAATAATATATTATATTATAAATTATAATATTTTAATTGTATTTGTATTTTAAAACAATAGTTGACCCCCACCCCAGATATTTGCCCCGGATCCGTGCTTGCCTAGATATGCTTCATTTTTAAACGAAGTCGGCCAAGACCAGATCTTATAGGATTCGGCACCACTAATGCTATGTAAACACTTGCGATCAGGTCGGTTTAATTTGCAAAACTGCTGAACAGGGACCACCAACTGCTTTTAGTGCTACCGGTGATTTTATTTAGCGTTATAAAATAAACTGTGATAATAATATTTTATTTATTAATTATTATATTATAGGTGTTGAAAAAATATTTATAAACAGTTAATTATATCATAATTAGTTTGTTTTTACTTGTTGTTACTCTTGGGCTTAAATCTTCATAACCAATTCTCACAAAATTTTTGAATTTTTTTTCGTACCTATTTGACTCTGGTGTAGTTTCTAACGTTGAGAATGAAAGTGCAAAAATTAATTTGAAGAATGATTATTTTCAAAGTTATGATTCTTTGAAATGTAAATATTTGTAGTATTTCTCTTTAAATAATCGATTTAACATTACAAAATTNAATTTTTTAAAATTTAAATACCTATTAAAATGTATTAATTTTTATATTTTTGATTTGTCCCATTCTTGGCATTATACACAATTTATGTTCATGATCTTTAGCTTAACAATATGTACATTTATTCAGTTCATTTTAATACTGATAAGTATTTCTCGAGTTACATATAAATATATTTTAGGTGCCTAGTTAATCAATGAAATATGAAAATAAAATATAAAACCATGAAACAATTATGAAATAAATATGTACCTATTAAATATACGGCCAAAACACTATTTTGTAGTCACTCACTGAATATAAGTAGGTACTTGGCAATATTGAAGTGTTACTAAAATACCTATCTATTTAATTATAGTTAGATACTGTGTAGTAAGTACCATATTATTATGGTGTCTTTTTTGATATTCATTAATTGCAAAACTTTAAACTTGTTCATAGATATAAATATACTGAAAACTAAAAAGTATAAAATTATGACCATCTTTCTCAGGCGTTGTTGTATTGCAATAGCTATTTCATCGTCTTGGTCCAGACCATCAAATATTATTTTATAAGCCATTATTATGAAAATTTATGGGTTAGAAATGAAATACCCATTTGCAAATTTTAAATGAAATAGTACTTTCAAAAAACAGAAATTCAGAAGAAAAGTTATAATAAATAATAACACGAAGATAGTAAAACTGATTCATGGTCTCAACTAGGAGTTAACTTATTTATTTTTCAACTTATTTACTTTAAAATTTTAATTATATTTATATTTTGTTTTAAATTAAGTATATATTATTAAATAAAATTGGCTACATCTCTTTTTAGACATTTTTATCAACTATTTTTGGTACCAGTAGTGAAAGTGAATGTTTATATTTTTCATCTGATCCATAATTTACATACAAAAATGTCGTAGTGTATATAATAAATATAATTAACAATTAACAAACATTTTTGGAAGTATAAAATTCTTTTAAATGTACATTGTAGTTATAAAATATAGTTACAGTAGATTCAAGAAATAAAGATCAGAGTTTTTCAATTATTTTAATAATCCATAATTTTATTCCAGGGCATGTCTAAACATAATTTTGGAGAAATAAAATTTAAAGTTTGTACTTCTGAAAAGTTAGCTTGTGAACAGTTGAAAAAACAAGGAGTAGAACATTATTGGGATCTTGCCTACAGTGATCTTATAATGGATTAAATATTTATTTTTAAATTTAATATCATTAATTAATTGTGAGTTTTTACTCGGCTAAATAATATAATTATTTATAAATTGAGGTATGTTTATAAATCAACAATTGAAATGTCTACCATTGTATCATAATATATTTTTTAATATTTAATTACTATTAATTAATTTATCCAACGCTCTATGTTTCCTTTGTCGTTCAAATTGTATTTCCCTTAGAATTGATGTATATTTCAATTCATTTATTGCAATATATTTGCAAATTATATTAGAATTTTCTTTTAATTTGTATGATATTGTTTTTGCATAACCTGTATTTATTGTAAATTTTACACATTTTTCTCTTATTCTTAGGTTTATTGCTGTTAACTTATCAATTCCTCTTTTTAATTTTTCTATTCCATATTCAATTATTTTTTCTTTAAATTTACTTAAAAATCTATTGTATAACATATTATCTGCCATGTTTACTTTCTTTATTTGATTAATATCATCATCTGATAATATTTGTTTATATGTTTTATTTCTGGTGTTTAATGGCAAATATGCCACTTGCTCTAATGGCTATTGCATTAAATTTGCAAACAATACAAGTGATGCTTCTAAATATTCAAATATCATTATAAAATCAAAATCTCTTTCAATCATATTTNAGAATAGTGATATATACTGTATCTGGTCTCATTACATATTTTACTTCTTGAGAATACCTTGTATGATGTACAAACATATCAAATTGTCCATCTGCAGTGGAATATTTATTAACTATCATACTAGTGTTAAAGTGTTGTGGATTTCCTATATAGTTCATCACATTTGGTAATAAGAAATCGAGGTTTTCTTTATGGCCAAAACTCATCAATATATTTTGAATAGTAGAACTAGCACATTTATGTGTTTTTAGAAAAAATACTCGTTTCTTCTGTGTTAACACTGTTTGTGATGGTTTCGCCTCAATGATTGTTCTGAAAACATTTATAATTTATATTAATAAGCAGAAAATGATTATTTGTAAAAATTATAAATGCATATACCTATTAATTGTTGATGTAAAATGTTATTTTTTTAAAAATCATGGAATAAATTTGAATGCAGTTCATTTATTTAATTCCTTTGAGTATAATTATTTAAATAGAATAGATTTAATTTTTACCTTAATAATCAATGCCAATACATATTAGTACTTGAAATGATTTAGTGATTTATATTTGAAAAATTATTTTATTTTCTCATGCCGGGATATTTGTTATTAAAATTAGTAATTACTAAGTTAAAATTACTGATTAGAATTTAAATTTTGTTTACTATTTGCATTTAACCATTTTTTAATAGTTAATTTTAAAAAAAGAGCTGATACTAGACATAGGAGCAGAAACTGTTAAAGGTGAGAAGTTGGGAAGGTAGGATACATAAGATTATTTCATTTATATCTGTAAGCAACGAAACTAGATTCCGAGCGCAGTTTGGTAATACATAATTTGAAATGCGGTAATTTTTTTTTGCAATTTTCGTTTAAATTTGATTTCAAAAAAAAAAAAAAAAGACTGATGATTTTAGAAATTTTACCACGCCAGAAAATAATTATTATTACCAAATTTCAAGTTTCTATGTGTATTTATAACCGAATTACAGCAAAAATTACCAAAAATTAAAATTCCTTAAAAGCTCAAGTGACTATAAAATTTTGATGATGATACCGTAAGAAATTAAATTAAAAAGGTAACAAAAAGGATGTCTTGTGATTTTTTGATTAAATCAATTTTTCTAGTAGAAAACGTCGTCCGTGTTTTTATAAAATAATGAAATTGAATGTTTTTCCACTCATGTGCTTTTATTATCGAAAATCAAAAAATGACCTACGCTCGGAATCTAAAAATGTTAAACCTATCTGTAAAATTAATAAAATAATTATGATAAAAAAGTTAAATAACCAAATATAAAAATATAATATTTTTTGAAACTTTTAAGTAGGATTTGTTTAACATGTTTACTTTTTTAATTAATGAAGATATTTTATCTCGATATTTTGAAACAACATGCAATTCTCAAAAATATTATCTTTAAATTCTTAATGATATAATTTTATAATTTGTTTATAGTTTTTTGTAAAAACTTAATGTTTACTAAATTTCTATTACAGTAAAATTTATATTTAATCAAACAAAAAAGGTTTAAGCTAAATGACACTTAATTTTATTCAAGGATCGGAACTGCTCTTGAGTCTCGGTAGTAATTTCTCGTTCTATTAATATGAGTTAAGAGCTAGGTGATTTATATCTAGCTAAAGAATTGTTAGATATTATTTTGTATTAACATTGATTAATGCCAAAAACTGGTCAATTATTATATGGTATTTAATTTTAAATTGATACGTTAAGACTTGCATAGACAGAATATTTTTTATGAACAAAGATCCAGAATTTATTATGCCTACTAGCTGGAGAAGATTCAGTTTATTTGACAAAAAATCAATAGCATTTCCTAGATACTCATTTACATTTTGCCCATAGATGAGAGAAAGACTGATAGTTTAGAAAATCAAATGTGAAAGTAAATGTATTGCATGCATTTTATTCTTAAGTCAAACTAGTTGTTTTAGCTCCTTAGAAGCCTAAGTAGGAAAATCTAAGCCTAAAATTAGCTTGAGGGACAAACTGAAAAATTGATAAGTATATAGCGTCAATGAAAATATTTGTAAGAGTCAAACTCGCAGTTAGAAAAAGTTGAGACCCAATCAAAGACAAAATAAACGGTTAGGTTAAGTCAAAAATAAAGTAATAATGATACTGGGATAGTTAAATTTCCTAAAATTGAAGAACGAATGTGAATTATTAAAAAGCATTAAATTGTTATTATGAGGGTATTGAATAAGTAATGGAGGATGATAAAAGTCAGGGGGGGGATGAGAGAATCAGGAAAAATTTCAACAGAAATATGATTGGAACAGCAAAACATATGGTCATGAAGAGATCCATGACTGTTTAATAAACAATTTTTTTTTAAGAATCCAAAATAATTAAAAGTTCAAGGATACAAGGTGCACGTAGGATAGAATTACATAAGTAGGAAAGACTACTACTTATTATTGAAATTGGTAACAGTTAAAAATAATTAATTACAATTAGCATTATCTACAAATACTGTGGTTACTTTTTAGGTACCTACTTTATTTGTTAACAATTTAAGGAAACATAAAAAACAAAAATAATAATTAATAAACATATATATATTGATTTATTACTTGGTATAGATTTACCACGTGTGCAATACTTTATTTAAGAACTATTATAAAAACCATTAAACATATGTTTCAAGTTTTCTTTAATCCTGTATATTCCATTCCAACAAGATGGTTTCTTTTTTTTGTTTGATGTTTTTTATACCCAACTAGTTTTTTCTTATAATAGTCTCTATCTTTCTTTTTAGTATCCTTATTTCTTTCTTCTTGATCTTTCACAAATTCTTTCAGTGAAGCAGGTACCATATAATCCGGAACATCTGACATATGGTCTTGTAGTTTTACTGTATGCAAAGCTTTATCATGTCTTAAAGACAATAAATCTCTAGGGTTGTCTTGAAAGTATCGCTAAAAAAATTAATATATTAATACATTGTACATAAATTATACATAATTTAAAATACTAAATAGTAATTGGTTTTACTTTTAGTTTTTTAGAATTTAACATTTCATATTTGATTTCTTTTAACCGAGCTTCTCTTACAGCAATTTTGGTAACAGCTCTCCAAGCATCTTTAGCTCGATATCTAAATCCTTCTACTTCTTCTAATTTAAAGTTAAAAATTTGAAATATGTCTTTTTTTTCTGAAATACCTTGTTTTATATAATCTTCAACGTCTTTTAATAAATTTTGTTCTCTAATGTTTAAAAAAGATATAGCAGTGCCCTTTATAAAATACATTGAACAGTTAAAAAAAGTTAATAGAAGAAAAAAGCAAAAATGTTTTACTTTATTTTTTCCTCTAGCTGTACGGCCAACTCTGTGTATGTAGGAATAAATATCTAGTGGAAAATCAAAATTTATAACAACTGACACAAATTGAAAATCAATTCCTCTTGCTATACTAAATTCTTTATCATGTTTGCGTTTACTATAACAAAAATTAAACACAAATTTAGTAAATTTAAATTGCCAATAGTTGAATCTTTCCAAAAAATAGAGATTGTATCGTATCTATTATATCCTAAATAATATTATAAATGTTAAAATTACAAGCTGACGTGATGTCCATTACATTTTTACAGTTATCAGATTTATAATAATAATAATAATAACAATAATACTGTATCGATTAATTCTCTAACTAGTATTTAAAAAGTATTATAATAAATATGTTTTGATGAAATAGGTTGAATTCTAGAAAAGTAAATAGGTAGGGTTGTACAATACAGTAACATATAAAATCTAACCTAACTTACTTATACAAATATGTGGTATTGATATTCCTTTTAACTCCAGATTCAAATTTTTTATGAAATAGTATAGTTTTAGAAAAGTATAATATTGCATTAATATGGTACTTGGTTATTTATTGCTTCACAAAAAATATGTCTACAATAAAAATAGGTAGTGGTAGATTAGACTATAAGTGTCATAGTACTAGCTCATATTTATTTTAAGATTGTGCAAATTTTTAATTCAATAGATATCTAATTTTATAATTTTTATATTTTACTTAATTAAAAACCTTGTTTTTTTTTTTCCCCATAGAATAATTTATATTAACATAATACTTAAACAATTTTAGAAATCTTAAGTTGTAAAGTTTTAAAATTGTGTGTTTAAAAGGCAAAACAAAACCCTCTGTCAATAGACTTTAAAATGTTGCTCTTTATTAACTTTAGTCTTCAGATACGAGACGATAAAAAAAAAAAAATTACAATAGTAAGACAGTAGTTTTGATTAAAAATCACAATAAACTTTTAATTTGTTCACCTTGTTTTATTTGAACTCGGCTCATGTTCTTCATCTAAAAACTTTTCATCCGAAGCTATTATTATATCATATGTATTGTTATTAAATTGTAAAATAGTGTGGCAACGACAACTAGCTGGTAATTCTGAGTTTAATACACAAGTATGAATACCAAATTGCTCCAAAAACAGTTTTAACCTAAACAAAAATAATATTTATATATTATATTATAGTTATACAGTATGAATATAATAAATAAGGTTGAGAATTTGATTTATTATTTTTGCTTTGTGTAAAATGGCAAATTAGTTTCAGGAGATAGGTACTGGTTATTTATATTTAACATGAATGAACACTCATCAATGATCAGTGTTTCATTTACGTTTTATACAAGTCCTAATAATTTAGATTAAACCAACTTGTAACATTTATCTACAGTATTAACAAATACTATAGTTTTGCCTTTTACAAGGTTTAACTTGAAACAACAATATAAAATTACTGCTTTATCTTCTTCCTCGGCATTTAATTTGTAATGAGATAATTGTGATAATGGAGCTAAGTCAGGCTCTTGGAGTTTTAATAAGACAGCATTTTTCAAAAGTAATTTTTTTAACTTTAAAACGTCTTCTGAGAGTGTTGCACTAGCCAGAACAGCTTGATAGGTTTTCGGTAAATATCTAGAATATTAAATTTATTTTTATTAATAATAGTTATATTAATATTTCAACTTTTTTGAACTTACTTTACAACTTCATTAACCTCTTCTTCATATCCAAATGAAAACACTAAATCTGCTTCATCAACCACTATGGTTTGAAGTTTATCAAGTGAAAAATTGTTTGCTTGTAAATGAAGCAAAATTCTGGCTGGGGTACCAACAATTATATCTGGATTTGTTATTAATAAAGGCCGCTGTTCTTTCATATCAATCTAAGATAAATATTTGGATACATTATAGTCTGAATAATGAGAAAGCTATCAAGTTTGTAATACTGATATATTACAAAGTTAGAGTATTTTTAATTTTATACATAACTTTAAAAAAACGATTTTGAATGGAGTTTGGTTGAGTGTTGCTTTGTTAACAATATACATGTAATATTTTGGTTAAATAATTACATATACATGGGTACGTATTACAGCTATAGTGTTTAATTACTTTTTCTTACCATGTGGCATGCAGTAAAGAATTTGGTTTGTAATCCATTTAGGGGATGTACAAGAATATACAAGTTCAATCCACATTATAAAAATATTGATTTGTGGTACAGAGTGATTTGTATGTAATAAATATCGCAAATAAATTTTGAATTTTTAAAATCAGAATAAAAAAATATTTCAAAAAAGTAAAATTTGAAAAGTTTTGAGGGGCAGATAAGGATAATATTAAGAAATACTAACTTGGGCAGATATATCAACACATTTTACTTCTCTTGAACATTTGATGGTCAATTGAAGTATGTTTTTATAAATTTGATTACATAGTTCTTTGCTTGGCGCCAAAATTAAAGCTCGTGTACAATAACTAACAGAATTTATCTGAAAAATAATGAATGAAAATTATTTCTAATAAGTAAAAAATAATAAACTATTTTCTAACTAACTTCTTTGAATTCCAATATTTTTTGTATTATTGGTATAACAAAAGCTGCAGTTTTGCCAGATCCAGTTCTAGCCCTCACTAACATATCTTTGCCTTCTAATAAGAGAGGAATACCACGTTCTTGAACCAAAGTAGGCTCAGTCCATCCATTGTTGGCAATTGCCTGCATATGAATACATTTTAAATTTAACAATAAATTCGTCTTTAAAAATAAAAATCAATAATAATAATACAAACTTTGAGAATACGATCATCTATATTCATTTCATGAAAATTAATATTTGATTCCTCCATGGTTAATTTTTAGTTTTAGAAACGGGAATATAGAAGGAAAAAATGAGCGATAGAAAAACAAATACGGTGCAGATTTAAAAAACATAAATGTAAAAGGAATCTACATATTTTACATTTTTACATTCGTGATTAGAACCACGATACGAAAACTCTGGAATCCGGATACAAACATGAAACTATTGATATCGGTAACTTGCAGTGTAGCCAATAGCGGCATAAAAAATGAAAAATTTGTATTGTCAATCACCACATATATAAATGTTAATATATATATATCTGTAGGCCATGAACTAAGCTATCTTAGTTTATCTTAGTTCATACTGCTGTAGGCCAAGAGTAGTTCCCTTAAAAATTATAAGAAAAAACAAAAAATGTAAATTATTCCAAATAATAATTTAATATCGGTTTGTGTGTCAGCGTATACCACTAAGATAATGTAGATAATATACAGGAATGGAAAGAGCTTAAATCTTATTTTTTACCAAAATAAAAAAATTGAATTTAAATTTAAATATTAGTAATTCTTATTCTTGCAATTTATGATAAAATTAGAATTTTAGAGTTTCCATTCTTAAAAATATTAAAAAAGTTAACAACTTGTAGAAATCTATCTATAAGTTGTCTATAAGTTGATATCTATCTATTCAACCCGATTCTGAGAACTGTTGTCTTTCGACTGTCTATCTAATAATTTTGATTTCAAAGGTGTAAAAGTCTTATATTCAGTTTATTTATAGTTTTCTCGTCATTTTCTAAGTTCACCAAAATGTATTATACATAATAATGTTAACATAAAATATAATTATCATGATGGTAATGGTCTCGGGATTTTGATTTAAGTGTTGGTCAAACTGATCTAATAAAATTATTTTTGTTATCAGTTTTAAGTATTACTATGAGCCCTCTGTTAGGGAGCTGTCTAACGTATATCTGTTTTTGTTACGAGCTAAGAAATAAAAAAGTGACCTACAGAGTAACCATAAATAAAGAAAATAATAAAGAAATGTATTATTTTAATTATCCATAGACCTGATAATATGCTTATAGGACTATGGAATCATTCCATAGATGATAATATGAGAATATATTCTTATCCATGGTCATAGAATCAAGATGTAATACTAAACAGGGTAATTGTTCGAAATGATAAAACATATTTTTTATTACTAACCACCTACATGTACACCAACGTAACAGAATAAAATATCTCAATTATTTAAAATGTTTTGAGTATATTGTTTTCATGAACGGTTTGTGCTATTAAACTAATTTGTTTAACAGATGATACAGCAGGCTAAATTAATTTTCACATAACTGTGTTTAATAAGGAAAAGCTATAATACTAGAATAATTTCCCAAGAAAAACCTTCTACAAAGAAAATTAAAATAATGACTATAAATCTATAGATACAACTAGTTTAGAATATTTGTTAAAATAATTGTAAAATTTAAATTTATAATAATTATTATAACCTAACTGTGACTGATTAAATACATTTTGAAGTTTATAAGGTTTTATTATAATTGATTAGACAATAGCATTTTGGCGGGTTACATCAAGACCCGAGGTTTATGATAAGGTAATGAAGAAACATTTATTTACAACATAAAGACAATATAAGTGATCGCCAGCAGACGGCTTTTGACGAAGGAAAAGAGAGCACGCAATAATTAAAACAACATTAGTTAAGAAAAACAATTATACATAATAATTATTCGGAGTCGGAAACAATGATTCGCGTACGGTGTCGGTGCGGTGAGAGAGCGGAGCGGTGGTGACGTCGTGACGAGCGGAGCTGTGGACGATGACCGCTGAACACCGACGGCGAGGGGCGTGGCCGACGTCCGCCGCGAGCGACGCGCAGCGGGAAGAAGAAATGTGGCGCGAAACCCGCCACATCATGTATAAATAATGAAATCAGTGGAACACATATTTAAAATGTCAAATTATTTTAAAATAGAAGTAAAAAATATTTTGTTGGTAATGGCAACATTTCAAAATTATTGTACTCGAGGCTCTTATAATTTTCGAACTACCGGTCTTCGACAATACAACTTGCTTAGTTTTTCTGTACATTATGGAAGACATGGTCTTATCTTCTAAGACTATGGTATTATACTATTATCTATGCTACCGTTATGAACATTAGAGTGAGGACACCGGTCTTTACAGATAAAAATGGGCCTGGATTTATAGTATCCGCTAGAGTGCGCTGCAAAACGTTCTTCATACTCTTTTAACATTAAAAGCATAAGAATTTTTGTGGTTTTTTGTCATTTTATCTTAAATATGAAACTTATGATCAAATATTATGCAACATAATTTAAAGAGCAGATTAGCTTTGATACAAATTATACAAAATTTACGTAAATATGTATTTTGTATATTATTTGAAATAATAATAGTGTATCTAGGACTAGTAGGACTATGCACTTAAATTTGTTTCTAATATTTAATATTATGATACAATGTATTATTTTATGTAAGAGTTTTATTAGATAACTTTGTTACAATACAGTATAATAAGTATAATTAATTATGTTATATTTCATAGTTGATAATGTTTAATTACTTAAAAATAATTTTTGGTTTAAACCATTATAGTGGAGAAAAATAATACCTTCTAATGATCTAATGTATATTTATTTTTGAAACCAAAAGTTATTAGATAGGTACATTTTTATTTATTTCCTTTTAAAAATGTAAGTACCGTTTATTCAAAAAAGTATATTTAAGTTCAAAAAATACCTACACAATATTAATGGCTATCTTAGGGTTCTTAAGATTTTATTTTTCACATTTAAATACCCAGTTATTATATGTAGGTTCCTACCTATTAATATCCTATTTAAATAATAATTAAATTATTTGTATAATTTAATAAAGTTTGAGATGAAAAATCACGTAATATTTTATAGTTTACTTAAAAGAATGCATATTAGACATTAAATAAAAATCACCTAAATTAATAAAAGTAATACTATTCTTAAAAAATATTGGGATTAAACAAATACGTATCTAGCCTCGGTAAAATAAAATCTTACTAGGTAACCTACCTAACTATGATAAGATAATTTTATTTTTTAGATATATTTTACATAAAAATAACTAAATAACTATTAAGTACATTACGTATACTGTATAGATGGTAAACTTTACATGCCTGCACAATTTTTATGTTTAATATGAAAAAAAATTTCTAACATGTATTCATATAATTATGAGGGGTAACATTTATTAACAATTAATGAAATCATGGACACATAATAAAAAAACCGCGAAATGTCCTATAGCATTTGTGTAAAGTGAGCATGACTACAGTTTGTAGCGCAGTCTGGCGGAAACTACAAATTTGGGACCATTTTTTATCTGTCTAGCCGCCTGTGATCGGTGTCTTTACTCTAATGTTCATGACTACCGGCTACCGGCAGAGCCGGTATTATACGGTTTTGAGGGGGGTGAGATAAATTATTTTAAGACTGAAAACATGTCAACTTGTAATTTCTTGAAACAAACTACCTATATGAATTATACAAATTCTTGGTTTTTCTTTACGATAGCTAAAGTGCACTAAAATGGCTTAAACAAATAATTAAAATTTGATAAACATAAAAAATCATCATAAAAAAAAAAATAGTAATTCAAATAATTGAACTATAACATTTTGAACCTTTCTGTACATAGTTATTACTTATATTTGTTTCTTATAAATCATACAGTATGCAGCCGTACAGGTACAGAACTGTCAAGACTATTTGTAGTTTCTAAAAAAATAAGTCTTGTTCAAATCTATCAATTGGCGTTTGTCACTAATTCAAAAAATTAAGTAAATAATGATTATCTTTTTTTAATTTAGTAGTATATCATATTCAACAAAAATTATAACCTTCTGAAACATATATATATATATATATATATATATAGATCTGTTCGCCGAAAACGATTCGCCAAGATATTCTAGTTCCTAATCCCTGAAAAAAGACCAATGAAAAAAAAACAACAAATTTCAAATTTTAAATATAATAATTGATTGATATCTTTATACTTTAGTAACTTTAGACAGATTAAATTAAATTTACTCAAATTATAGCATGAATGTATGAAAAGGTCTTCAAAGGTAATTTCAATGAATGAAAAGAATGCAAGATATACTGTAGCCACTCATTATTCTGAAAAGTTTTAACATAATTTTTTACATTAAAAAACCAACACTTTTCATAAGAAAGTTATTTTTTATATTTCAATATTTTTAAAAATTATATTAAATAAACATTTTTTTTATTGTCAACTCATAATTAATTAATAGATTTAAAATTTTAAAACTTTTAAAAAAAAAATTGCTTTTTCTTTCATTATCTTTTTTACCGATTACCCATAGATCCTTAGCAGTCAGCAATATTTTGATTTCTAAATCGGAAATCAGGTAAATTGTTAACTGCGTACAGTCGAAGTCTGGAAATAAGAGAAATAAAGGGTTTTCTGTATTTGTATACTAATACTTTTGTGGATTCAATAGTTAATGAATATATATTCACTTTTATATTCTACATTTTTCATACAAAAGTAAACTTAGTATCAATGTGTTGACCATCCTTGGTTTACGGCAAATGGTAAATGGTAATTGCAGATTTAAAAATTGAGATACTGTTCACTATAGGAAACCCATTCCTATATTTTTTTTTATTAAATTTTATCAGTTTTATCAGTTATTTATTATCTATGATACTCATAAAACAAAGAATTTTATTCTGTAATCTGTAACATTTTTATTGATAACGTATTAGTAAAACATTTGATAATATTAAAACATGTTTTGAAAAAAATAATTATCGATTATAATTTATGAACCTCTGGTAAACCATATTTTCTTTTGTAGACATTTATGTCTAATAATAATTTCTATGTATTTTACTAAACTTAAGAGCATCTATAATCTGTATTCTTTGTAATTCGTTGAAAGTAAGTAAATTTTTTTTATTCTTATATAAATAGTTACTTATCTACCTAAAGGCTAAACATATAATATGCTAATGTGAAATAAAACTGATTTAGGAATTTGATAGATAAAAATATATTATATATTTGTTGAAAATGTATTCTTAATGTTTTTATAATTTAGCACAAGTTATATTTTTAAATTTGTATATGCTACATCCACCCCTGAATGTAAAATAATTAGGCATTATTATATAAATTAAGGTATTCTTCATTACATTTTTATTTTCATTATTATATTTATTAGTAAAAATGCAAGTATAGTAGGGCTTGTTTAATATATTATTTGGGATTCCTATAGTTATAGTACATACTTTTTTTTATAAATAAACTATTTCACTTAACCTGTGCTTATTATGTATAGTAGGCAACTACTTTAATCAGTTGATCTATTTGTTTTATATATTTAATTGAGTTTATTAAGTTACAAATTAAAATCTAACAAAATTATATGCATGGTAATGAAAGAATTTTTCATATATATATTTTTAATATTGCACAATTATAATCTAGAACTAGTTCATACTCTTTTTATTGGATTCTTTCCTCACAAAATAAAATACATATGAAATATTTCGCAGAACAAAGATGTTTAATATTTATACAACATAGGATGGAGTCATCACCAATGGCTAGTAAAATAATTAATTGTAAATTAATACAGCAATAATGATATGGATTATAAAATTCAAAAATTATATTATTTAAAAATAAAATATAAATTGGTAGTCCTAGAAAGGACCTTTATATATTGGGAAAATATTTTTCAGGAAAAGTATAACGTAGGAAAATAAAAATGATGTTATCACATTATAACATTATAATTTAGTAATATTGAAAATTATATACATATAATAAGAATATAAAAATTATAGGTTTATAATTTTCATTAAACTTTATTTGATAATAGTTAAATGGAGTATTGTTTTCCAACTTGTTTTAATGTGTATACAACATACTCCTTAAACAAAATCTTCTCTGATCCTTTATTTGATTTTATAATTTCCACAGTTTGTAAGTCACAACACAATACACGACACTGAGCATAGAGACAGTCAGCACAATCTTACTAACGTATTTGTATACACTATTAATATACCCCAGTTTAACTATTTATCGTGATAGGTAATTTACAACTGATAATATTGTATTTTTAATTTTGAAAGTAAAAGTATTTTAGCATTTCTACTGGGAATTTTTAGTGCTAAACAATTATCTATGTATCTATAGTACATGTTATGTTAGGTTATAAACAAATAATAAATTTGAAAAATGTTCAGCTTTTAGATTGAATTATTTAAAAAATTTAATTCCTAATATTAAAAATGTATAAACAATGCTGTGCGTATCTAATGCATTTCATCTAAATAATATGGTAATAATACAAATTTCACTCTGAATAATTACATTAGGTACCATTTATAATAACTGAAATATTGTAAATCACTTTAAGCAACAGGAATAGTTTAATCTCATATGTAATGTATCTTATGTATATTACTAAACATAACACTTTTTAAATATTTTTTGTTGTAGTAGTTAATTAATTAATCTTTGAGATGTTTAATTTATTATATTATTAAGTTATAGAAAAAAAAAAGTGAATACATTTAATATATAACTATTGTTTTAGGATAATATTAAATATGGAATCCAGACTAGCTAACGGATTAAAATTATTGTATATACCAAAAAAAACTAGAATCAGTTCTGGTATTGGTAATCGTCTTCCAGAAGCATATAAGAAATTCTATAAAGAATGGCGTCATCAGACTCCAGAACCAATTTATTATCAACCCAAACAGGGAAAATGGACCAGAGATGAAAAAACTGGAGCAGTAATTCCTGTCCAGAACATACCAATACCTTTAAAATATCCAAAAACAATGAATTCTGGCATTTGGGGAGGAGAAGCTGTCATTCAAGGTTTCAAGCAAGGCGGTGGTAAATATAAGAGCCGGGTACCATATTTTTGGACACCTACTCTTAAGAAAACAGTTGTGTATAGTGAAGTTTTAAATAAGTATATGTCTACTACAGTAACTCAAAGAGGATTTGATCTAATTAATAAAAGTTATGGTTTAGATCATTACCTATTAAAAACAAGTGCATGTAATTTAAAAACGGTATTAACATTAAAATTGAAGCGTAAGATTTTAATGGCTTTAAGAGATAAAACATTATATCCGGATAATTTTGTAAAACAACAAGAAGTATATGATAAGTACAAACATTACTTAGCAGATTACACTCATGATGAAATAGAATGGTATGGATTGACATTTAATGAAGCATTACTAAAACTACAAGATATAGATGACATCAGTGAAGTAAAAAAAGAGCCATTGAAAGTGAAGTATAGAGCTGAATTAATTGAAGAATTAAACAATAGTGATGAAATTAAAGAGGAAAAACAGAGTTGGTTGAATAAACTTAACCCTTTTGCTAATAAGTAAATTGTCATATTATAATTCAATGTAAAAATAGCAATTAATAAAAATTAAATACAATATTGTTTATGAAAATGAATTAATTTTTACATCCATTTCAATTAAATGGTGAACTTATACTGTTAAATTTGTGTACCATTTATAAAATATTAAATAATTAAAAAATAAAAAATAGCATTGTAGGTATAAAAAGTATTAAATAAAATAATTATATATGTACGAATAATTTAAATTAATAATAATTATAATTTAAGCACCACACATAGTGCAAGCGTCTCTGTTTTCCAATGAACAAACCAATTCTTGCATTCCCAATGAATTATTTTTTTCTGTTTGACTAGCAACATTATTAGATAGAGTACTTTTATTTACTGTAAACTGTATAGGATCAGCAGCTGGTCTAGTTCGTAAATAATACATGCCTGTTTTTAATCCCTTTTGTAAAAAACCAAAAATTAAATACATATATTTTACAATATCTAATAATATATTCAGAAAGATAACTTGCTTTTTTCCATCCATAAAAATGTACAGATGATATTTTACCAATGGAAGGTTGCTCAATGTGAATGTTCAATGATTGAGATTGATCGATAAATGCAGCTCGATCAGCAGCCATATCTAATACAATTTTTTGTGATAGTTCCCAATTTGTTTTATACAATTCTTTTATATTGTCTGGTATACTTTCTATTTTCTATTGAAATAATTAATTCTTTTACTAATATTAATCATCAGATTATTATATTAATATTTATTGGTACCTGTACTGATCCTTTATAGTAAATCAATTTATTTCTCATGTCCTCATTCCATAGATTAAGCTCAATAAGATCATTTAATAAATGACGATTTACAACCTGAACCAAACAATTAAAATAAATTTATTACTTAATAGTTTATTACTAAAAATAAAATTTACAAACACTAAATTCTCCACTGAGAGTACGTCTATAATATAAATTTGTTGTGTATGGTTCTATAGATTCGTTATTTCCCAGAATCTGTGCTGTTGATGCAGTTGGCATTGGTGCTAATAATAATGAATTTCTTACACCATATTTTGTAATTTTTTCTTTTAATTTATCCCAATTCCATAGATTAGTGGGTTTAACATTCCACATATCAAATTGAAAAATCTATAATCATAATAATAATATTTATTCAAATAATTAAATAAGGGTACAAAATCCAGTGGTACAAAGCGGTTAAAATAACACTGAAAAATATATAGCAACCATACAATTAAGATTAAACGAAACAAATAAACATAGTATTGAATACACAACATAATATTATATAAATATAAGATTAAACAAAATAAAATAATAATAGACTAACGGTACAACATTGTACACATTTATATATTAAAGTACAAGTGTAAACTGTTACAGCACTAAAATACATACGCCTTGACTAATTGGTGATCCTTGATATGATGAATAAGTTCCATAGTTTTCAGCTAATTCACAACTGGCTTCCAAGGCACCATAATATAATGTTTCAAATATTTGAATATTAAGTTTTCGTGATTCAAGAGAGCCAAATGGATATCGCATCAAAAGGAACAAATCAGCCAATCCTTGAATGCCTATTCCAATGGGGCGATGACGTTTGTTTGAATTTTCTGCCTAAATTTAAAAAAAAAAAAAATATTCTATAAATATGACAATTCATAATATATTATATAACATTTAATTACCTCAATAATAGGATAAAAATTTACATCAATTACTTTGTTCAAATTTTTGGTAACAATTTTAGTAATTTTAAAAAGTTTTTCAAAATCATAATCCCCATTGGATTTTATAAACATATTCACAGCAATTGAAGCTAAATTACAAACAGCTACCTAAGAAGTTGTAGCAAATAAATTAATACCATTAGTCAAATAGTAAATATGATAATCAATTACCTCATCTGATGAAGTGTATTGAATAACTTCAGTACAAAGATTACTACATTTAATTGTGCCAAGATTTTTTTGATTACTTTTAGCATTACATGCATCCTTGTACAGTACATAAGGCATACCAGTTTCAATTTGAGAAGTTATTATACGAAACCACAATTCTCTTGCTGATACCTGTCTGTTATAAAGTTTTTTATCTTCATATCTATAATAATTAAAGCATACATAAGATTATTAGTCATAGAAAGAAAAAAAATTATGGCACAGGCTGTTATTATATTAATTATATTCATATGAAATTATGAGCCGTTTTTCTTTTAGTAATATCCTCAAAATCTGGAATAGGAATAATCTGGATTTACCAATGATTGATAATATGGATATAAAAATCCGAAAATTAATTTAGGAAAAAAAAAAAATATTCAACACAATTTTAAAATATAGAAAATATAATATAATATAATGGATTTAGAAATTACAAACTCAAAGCTAAATTCCAAATATGTCTTAGTCACTAATAAAGTTTTACTGAACAATTAAATGAATTTTAGATTCTGTTTATGTAAAATAATTGATATTGATTAAAGAGCACCCCTAAAAGAAGATGTATTAAAATATGAAAATTTTAAGAAACCAACTTTAAATGTTTCATAATGTTCTAAAATTGTTCCCATGTGATTATATTTTATGAGATATGGAGTTATTTTAGGTAGAAAAATAAATTGTAACAACATTAACCACATCTCAGAAGTATAAATATTTTATTTTAACCAAAAATAAAGACATTTATTTAAGCTCATATTATCTTTAATAAATGAAAAAAATTTGTATATTTTGTTAAGTAGTAACTTGAAGTGTGATATTTTTATGTAATTTTTGAAGCAAAATAAAAATTATTAAAAAAGTCCTAACATATTTATATCACTTTTGAAAAAGAACCTATTATAAACAATTCATAATATTAAACAAAAAACATACTTTTTGTACAGTGTAACAAAATCATCTCCCCATACATCAGCTAGACCTGGACATTTATGAGGACACATTAAACTCCAAAGTTGATCAGCTTCCACACGTCTCATAAATTCATCCGGTATCCAAAGAGCCAAGAATAAGTCTCTAGTTTTCTCTTCTTTATTACCAGTATTTTTACGTAATTCCGTATAAGTGTAAATATCTGCATGCCATGGCTCAATATAGACAGCTATGGCACCAGCTCTCTAATTATTATAATTTTTTTTATATATAGTTTAGTAACAATCAAGATTTCTTTTTACATGTTTGTACAATACTGTTTAAATTATACAGTGTATTCATGCTAAGAGGTACCACTAAGTATTTCGGTCAAATGACCTTGTATTGAAATAGTTTTCAGGTAATGATAGAGTACTGAAATATACATTTTCAGACAAATTTCGAATTTTTAACCCTTTTAATACGCTCATGTGCAATACAACTTTCTTTTTATAAAATTGCAACACCATTTATTTTTTCTACAAATTCGGATATAATATTTAAATAGAATACAAACAGATAATTCATAAATATTAAATTTCAACATACAATAACTTTGACAATTTTGTAATAAGAAAAACTTTTTATACAAAAATATTTGATCTAAATCTATAGAAAAAAAAATAATTGGGTTACCATGCCATTTAAAAAAAAAGAAGCAAGGTGTATTGCGCATGCACGTATCAAAAGGATTAAATATTTGAAATTTGTCTGGAAATGTGTATTTCGGTACTCTATCATTCCATTCCAATAAAAGTTCATCCAACTGAAATATTTAGTGGTACCTCTTAGCGTGAACATATATAGTTATATACAACTATATATTAACACTATATAGTAAAAAATTGAACATTAAATATTTTTATTTTATTACTGTTTACAATCAAAAATATATATAAAATAACAAATTTTTGAATATTAAATAATAATAAATAAATACATACTCTTCCACCTTGATCAACATATTGGGCCAAATCATTGAAACATTGTAATCGTGTTACAAGTCCAGGTGATTTCTGTTTTGGATAGTTGTTCAATAGTGTACCTGCAGCACTTGTATTATGCATATGAATACCAATACCACCAGCAGATTTGGAAATTTTGGCACAAGTTTTAAGCGATTTAGAAAAGTCAACCAATGAATCTGATTTGTTTGCCACCAAAAAACAACTAAACATAATATTTTGATAATTGAAATCTACCTACTATATTACACATAACAAAAAATATAGAATAGTGATTAATTTAATTTTACTTGGATTGAGTGGCTAATTATTAAAAGTCTTGATTGAAGGAAAGGAAGTCAACTCTGAGTAATTACAAGGAAATACTAGTAGGATTAAAATTATAATACCTTGAAAGTTGAGGTTTAGGTGTAGCAGCATTAAACATTGTTGGTGAAGCATGAGTAAAATACTTTAATGACATCAAATCATATGTTTCTATAGCAGAGTCAATATCTTCTCCATGTATTCCAATTGAAACCCTCATTAATAAATGTTGAGGACGTTCTACAACTTTATTATTTATTTTCAATAAATATGATTTTTCTAGGGTCTGAAAAAAAAAAAAAAAAATAAATCAGAAGAAATATTAAACGAAGTTGATAACCTTTCCGTAATCATATATAATACATTTTTAAAGTAGGCAAATTGTTACTATTAACTTTATGTTTAAAATATTATCATTATTGTTTTGTATACAATTTTATTGACTGAATATAAAAAAAATATTACATTATTGACTCTACTATAAACAAATTTGTTTTAAAATATTTACCTTAAATCCAAAATAACTATAAGTAGAATCTCTATCATGTTTAATTGCATTATTTAATCGATCAGCATGTTTCATGATAACATTATAATGAAAATCAGATATAATTCCCATACGATTTTGATTACGTTCATTAGCCATGTTATACAAATCATTAATTACATCTGTAATAATTTATTTAAGTACGTAAAATAGGTATATAATATTGTCAAAGAATTAGTTTACCGCTAAATTTGTCTTTAGTTTCTTTATAAAGATTTGAAATAGCAATACGTGCAGCTAAGACAGCAAAATCTGGATGTTTAGTAGTTAGATACGCAGCTGTTTCAGCAGCTAAATTATCAATTTGGACAGTACTTATACCTGGACATAAATCACTGATGACATTTAATGTAATTTCAGCCTAAAAGTAAAAAAAAAAGTATTAAAACATTTAAATTTATATATACAGGGAGATCAATTTAATGTAAGATACTAATTATCTCAGAAAGTATTAACTTTTTTTGGAATTTGTTTCGTAGAACATTTAAGAAAGAAGCAGCTCTATAATTTTACATTTGTTATTTTTGGGGTTAAACCTACTACCTATTTTCAATTTTCAACAGTAATCTATATTAAACATTTATTAAATAGAATATCTAGTTAATGGATTAACTGAAATTGAAAATTTCAACATAAAAATGTATTTTAACAAATATTTTTTGATGGAATTTTGAATATAGGTTACCATTTGAAAATAAAAGTAGGTAGTGATTTTAATCCCAAAAATAACATAAATGTAAAATTGTAGAGTTGCTTGTTTATTAAACGTTCTATAAAACAAATTCTAAAAAAAGTTGATACTTTTTTGAAATAAGGAGTCTTACAATAAATTAATCACCATGTAAATGTAGGTACAAATCTTTTTCATTTAAAATATTTCTATATAATTTTGAAATAAAAATGATTGTAAATTCTAAGTCAAATATAGACATTGCACGACACAAGTTTTGATAAAACATAAGGTGCAGAAAAATTATTATAATAATAACAAGTTAATAATACTTCTAAATAATATTAAACTATTAAATAATAAGGTACCGGATCGATGAAATCCATGTTAAGGCCATCACATAATTTTTCAATTCGTGAGGTGATCTTATCCATTTGTACTTCTTCCAATTTTTCATCTAAACAAATATTAATATTAAATACAATAGGTACAATTAATGTATAGGTATATTTAAAATCCATTTACTTACCACGTTTTTTAACAAAAAGTTTCGCTTTTCCTGTTTCGTTAGACATTTTTAATTTTTAATCAAGAAATAATTCCACGATTTAATTTAATTTTTCAATTTTACTATTTTAGTGAAGAATCATAGATCGGTATACTCAACTGGTAGAGATGAAAGCGAATTAGTATGATAGATTCTATTATAGTATCTTTATTCTATGGATAGACTAGAGAAACAAAAGACAAATAACATATTGACTTGACATAACCACGAATAATTAAATATCACACAAGGAGACGGCTTACTACCTTGGTTTCCCGCGTATTTTTACAACCGTCCTTGATCTGTTGTATTGTGTGACTTGTTTCAAACATCTTCGACCAATCATACGATCACATTCTTTATCAGGACGATTTATCATGCAGTAGAGTAACATGCATTAACCCCGAGGATTGGGAAGCGTGGTATCAAGGAAATAGGTTGATATCATAAAGTACTTTATGGCCGATATAAAGCCTATTTTTTTTTATAGAATGAAAAATAGCAAATTTGCATTTAGAAAACAGCCATTTAAAACATTTCATTTATTATCTCATGTGTGTTCTCGAAATGAAACTCCACACACCGGAACGCGTTTTCATGCTAAATTTTTCGTCTAACTGATGATGGTAAAGGTAACCATAGAGTAATTATTTCCATGTAGGTCTAATTTAAGTCTCTGACGCTTATCATCCTCACGGTCACACTGTTTAATAATTAATTTTTGGCGCGAAATATTATAATGTTTCCATTGTTATTAAAAAGGCTGCCTGTCAAGACCGACAGTTTGTTATCAAATTTATAAACTATATAGAACTAAATCATACCCCGATTTTCGAAGGCTCTAACATTTTACGTTATGAATTTATAAGTTAGCTGCTAATTAACTGTTGTGTCGTTGTCAGCATTATCCATAGAGAAGGCGTTGTCTATGCTTCATTTTTAAATTGTTTAATGTTTATTGTCATTCATTGAAAATATTCAATTACTGATATATTGCCCAAGTTCAATAATTTATTACATTACATATTACATATTTGTCAAACATTAATTAAATTTCTTTAATTTACATCCACATATAATGGCTGAAGTAAAGAAACATTTATACGTTAAGAAAAGAGGTAAGTTCTATTTTATGTCATATTTTTTTTTACTATTATTTAAGTTTAATGTATGGTTTTTATGAATTTAGAGCAAATACAATTTTTTCATACATACAAATAATTTTACTTGTTTACACTCTCTTAGGGAAGGGATCAAAATACTTTTATGGTACCTATACTTGTTGTAAGAGTTAATAAATTAGTTCAGGTCGACAGCCGGTGTATAATTCTGTCAAACAACATGAAAAGTTCTAAATTAGACTTGAGATAATTATTCCATCTTGAATGTATGCAGAGATAACAGGTGAGAAGAAGTATCATGGTGCATGATGTTTGAAGATGAAATAGCTTTGTTAAGGGATTAAGAAGGAGTTAACAATAGGCTTAAAACACTTGAAGGAAAGGGACTAAGATTAAGTAGAAGTAAAATAGAGTATGAGTTCAGAGGAACAGGACAAGATAGTTAAGGACAATCAGTGGTTATTAACGATGTTCGGAGTTTCAAGTAACTAGGATATATTGTACAAAAGAACGATAGTTGTCATGAAAATGTGAAACATATTGAGGGTAGATGGATAAAGAAAAAAGAAGAATCAATTGTTTTATTTGACAAGAGTATTCAACTTAGTTAAGTTTTACAAAAGTGTAGTGAGATAGACTATGTTGTATGGTTCAGAGTGTTGGGCCAAAGAAAAATAGAATAGAGAATGATGATAATTGCTTGAGGTTGTTGAGTGGAGTAATAAAATAAGATACAAAAAGAAATTGATATATAAGTGGTACCTTAGGTGTAGCTTCGATAATAATTTAGGAGTTTTTTTGACAAATTAAAACAATTGATAAAAGTTAAATCAAAGTAGCTATTTGTTTTCTAATTTTAAAAATAATAATTGTATTATGTATTATATTTAACAATTCATTTTTTTTATGTCGATTATAAAATATTTTAAATTAATTTTACAAATCTAAGCCTATTACATCTTGCTTATTTTAATTTTAGATGGCAGTGTAGAAAGTGTACATTATGATGAAATTATTGCACGTATCAAACACTTATGTTATGGTTTAGATTCAGAAAATATTGATCCAGTAAGTTCAAATATATATTATATTTTCACATATATTCTCTTATAATTTTTTTATCTATCTATAAAATTATTGAAAGGTACAATTTTTAGCATAAATTCTGGTTTACACTGTAAAAATGTATTTTTCAAATATTTGTCAGTGTGAATCCAACTTAAAAATATCTAATTGGAAAGTATTGGTTTATCAGTTTACTATTTTATATTAATTAATGTAATACAAAACTATTTTCTAGGCTGCTTTGGCAATTTGTGTGATAAAAAAATGTCTTTACCCTGGTATTACTACATCTCAACTAGACGATGCAGCGGCTAAAATGGCAATTACTATGGCTAACATTCATCCAGATTATGAGCAACTGGCTGCTCGTATTGCTATTTCTAATTTACATAAACAAACTAAAGAAAAATTTAGTGGTAAACATCCTTGATTATATAATCTATATTTTTAATATACCTATTAAACACCATTCTTTGAAAGCAAACACAAAATAACAATAATAATTAAAAAAAATATGTGTACGCATTTGTGTTTTCTATGTAGTTTTACTATATCTTTATTTATCAATATTTAGTTGAAAAATGTCTATAATACATGTGAAATATGAAAAGTGGTAAAAAAAAAAAAATGGGCTTTTATCTAATACATTGGTTTATTCCAATATCATATCAGCTCACCATTAGTTTTATAGTTATACGTTTCCTCTTAAAAAGAATTCCAATGTAAAATATAGAAATATGTGCTATACCCATATAATTTTATAGATATCCAAAGCTATCCTTACAAAATTTGACTTTTAAAGGTTGATTGATAAAAGGTTTTTGATATTTATGGCACGCAAATTGAATTGTTTGTTGGTTACTTTACATCAAATAAATAAATAAATAATCTATTTAAATTTTTCATAGGTAAGAAAAGACAACAGCGTTTAACTATAAAAGAAGCATCTGGGACAGAAAAGAAGGTTACATTGAGTTTCTTTAATTAAAATTGGTTTCTGATAGGGTTTTTTTTATTAAGCTTTTAAATGGTAAAAAAAAAAAGTAGAAAAAAATAGTTTCCCACATTGCGGGGGAAATCACTTTTTACCGTTATCTGATATTCTGATACATGTTACAATACAAAAACTAGATATAAAAATTACACCTGATATCTGATATTTAAAATTGAAGACCGTGAATATTTGTTGAAATTCATATTTGAGACATTATAGACATTTTTCTCTGAAAAAAAAAGAACTGGTATTAGTTTATGTATCAGTCCACACGTAGGTAGTTAAAGGATTTTACAATTTAAAAAAAAAAAAAACTAATGTTTTTACTGAGTTAAAATATAGTGTTTTGAAAAACAATAATTTTAGTGATCTAAACTTGTCAGACAATTGCTTCCCTTTTTAAACAAATCTTGTTTTACTCGTGACATATCTAAAATACATGTGTGGTATTTATTTCCCTTGATTAAAATAATAAAGTAAAAACAAAATTATAAATGGTTAATACTCATAAATAAATTAATGAATATTTCACTCAGAAACTAAAATAATTTATATTTATATATATATATATATATATATATGATGTTGGACAATATAAAAATATCTCCACGAATTATGAACACTGTGAGAAAAAAAACAATATCAAATTTCTTACTAAATTTTCTGTTTAATACGATAAACAATGAAATATTTAAATTGTTGTACAATCAGTAGTGACAGTGTAGCGTGTTCAAGTAAATATTAAATAAAGATTTTCTTTGTGAATATGGATACTAACATATGATATATTTGCAATTTCTGTACCCAAATTGAATTTTAAGAATTAAATCTGTTGGAACTATGTATGATGGCCCTTTACTTTTTTCCAGTGGTGGTTTTAAGAATTTATCCAGGGAGAGTGTGCATTGATATTACTTATATATTTAACTTAAACAAATATTATCCCATTGATCATGCATTAATTTAATTTAAATTACCCAACTTTTACTGTCAAAAAAATTACTTTCTTTTTTAACTTAAATAATCTAATCTAACTTGTTTTACAAAATTCAAAAACTCCTAGGATAAAGAGAACAGGTGCAGTGACTACTATAGGTAATTTAATTTATATTTGTAAGCAACGATTAACCAATGCTAATGAAAAAACGATTTTGAGCAGAATTTGGTTGATAGTATTGTTTTGTTAACAATATATACTTCATATTATGGTATAATAATTACATATGCATAATATAGTTTCTTTAATATTGTACCTATTTTCTCGCTTTTCCCATTTATTGGGAAAACTTCAGGGAAAATCTAAGAATGACCTCCCTAAATTATCTTCCTAGTCAGATTTACTTTCAGAAAAAGTGCTATCATTCAATCATCGTAAATCTGAGCAAAATGGCTAGTAAAAAAGTCCATAGGAAAAAAAAAACCCGTAATATTTTAGTAATATATTACTTAAATTTTCCCGTTTGTTTTTCCAACTTGATAAATATATAATATATATCATGCATAATATAATATTTTCCATGTAATGTATATATGACGCGTATAAAAAAAGAAATATAAATCTTATTAATTTACCAATTATTTTTTTTTTTTATAAATTTTCAATGATAAACTAATTCAAAGTTTAAACCCAGTCTGGGGGGTTTAGACCCCCAAGACTCCCCTTGTAAAACTGCTACTGCTTGTTTCCATAGTTAACTAGGGTTATTTAATTGTGGTCAAAATGCTTACAGAATGCAGATAAAGAAAAAAATAAAGATAATACCAAAATAAAAAAACTTAAAAACGAATTAGAAGAAAAAGAAGAAATGTATGAACTAATTCAAAAACAATTAAGACTTGTTAGTTATTAATTTTCTATATAAAACTGCTGTTGTAAGAAAATTGTTTCTGATTATTTATTTCTTATTAGTTATTTCCATTTTGTTTTATTTACTTGATTTTAATTTTGATTTTTGTTATAATAATAGTATTGTACTTATACCTACTAAACAATTAAAAAAAAAAAAAAAAAAAGAGTACCTGATAATACTATTAATGTTTCTATAATATGTATAAGAAATAAAACTATTTCCTCATTATTTATTAGTTACATAGCTTCTGTCTAATAAAATAATAAAGTAAAAATAAAATTATTAAATGGTTATAACTCTGAAATAAATATTTAAATAAATAATTTACATATTATAGAGATAAACAAATTAGTAAATTAATGTGTTGCCTGGAGTTTTATGATGAGTGTATTATACAACCGGTTTCAAATTAAAAAATTATCAGATATATCACAGTCAAAATTTAAAACAACTGAATATAACAAATTAAATGAAGGAATACATAGAAAACAACGTTAAAAGTGATTTTTATATCTTAAATCAATTTTTTTCTATAGTTATAGATTAATAGTTCAAGCTAAATAACAATTGTGTATTTTAGATATTTTTAGATTATTTTATGACAACTTGTATTTAAAGCACTATAATTTCACAAAGTAATGTTTATTAAATGTATGATATGCTAACAAATATTTGTGGCATTTTATTTTTATAGATGTAATGGATGACATTTTTAAGAATGATGATTATTGGAATATTGGTTTGTCAGAAGATGTTTATGAAATAATAATGAAAAATAAAGACTATTTTAATTCTGCAATTAACTATGAAAATGATTATAGTTTAGATTATTTTGGATTTCAAGTACTGTTTAATATTATTTAATTGAGTTTATATGATAATAATAATATTTTTCTGTGTGTAATTTTTAGAATTTAATGCAATATTATTTAGCTAAATCTAACAATCAAACTATTGAACGGCCTCAACATTTATTTATGAAAGTTGCTATAAGTATTCATGGGCATGATATTGGTTCAGCTATTGAAACATATAATATGTTATCTCAAAAACTTTTTATGTTTTCTCCAGTTGTAATACAGTTACAACCAGCGTCCAAAAAATTGAATGTACCAGTTATAAGGTAAAAATACATGTTATTCAGTAAAACCATAATATTAATATTTATACTTTATTAGTAATTATTCAGTTGCAATGATATCTGATAGCATTGATGGTATATATGATACAGTTAACCGTCTTTCTAATTTTGTTTTGCCTTATTCGAGTACTGCCGTTCATGTACACAAAATACGCGCTGCTGGCACTTATATTAAAGGAAGCAATGGAAAATCAAATGGTCTTCCTCTTATGTTAAAACAATATGATATTGTGTTAAAGAACTATGAGACACCTGAGAGACCTGAAAGTATTAAAGGTCTAGCAATTTATTGTGAATTATGGCATGCAGATATTATGAAAGTTTTAGACCAAATTAGGAAAACAGCTATTGCAGATTTAAAATTAAAAAATAGTTACCCAGCTTTATGGATACCAGACGAATTTATGAGAAGAGTAGAAAATGACCAGATATGGAGTTTTATGAGCCCTGATCATTGTCCTGGTCTTACAGAAGCTTATGGAAAAGAATTTGACAGTCTTTATAAAGAGTAATGACTTAAAAATATGATCTAATCTAATCAATTTTATAATTAAATCAATTTTTTTTTAATTATAATTATTCTTAGGTATGAATTAAAAAGTAAAAGTTTTGTTATAAAACAAATTGAAGCAAAGAAATTATGGTCACAGATTATTCAATCTCAAATCGAAACAGGTTTTCCATTATTACTATTTAAAGATGCATGCAATGCTAAAAGTAATGAATCTCATCTGGGAACCATTCAATGTGCTGGTCGTAATGGGGATACTGTACAATTTACTGCACCAGATGAAGTAATTTTGTATATCAAACTAATTAATACAATTTCTAACATAAAATGAGGTTTCGCTGTGTTAAATAAATTACTCTATTGATAGGTGGCAATATGTACTACTGCTTCAATTGCAGTTAATATGTTTTTAACCACTCAAAACACTTTTAACTATTCAAAACTCAAGGAAGTTGTGAAGAAAGTGACTTATGATTTGAATAAAATAATTCAAAATAATAATGATATACTTAGCAAGGTAATTTATACTTATGCTTTTCAATTACTTATAATTGTAATTGATAATATTTTACAGGAAAAATATTTAACTTTAGGATTAAAACAAAATCAATTAGCAATTGGAATTGGTATCCTAGGATTAGCAGATTTATTTATTAAAATGAAATATTCTTTTGATCAAAAAGAAGCATTAGAGTTAAATATAAAAATTCATGAAACAATTTACTATGGTGCTTTAGAAGCAAGTTGTGAATTAGCTGCTAAATTTGGTCCTTATAAAACATATCACAATAGTCCTGCTAGTAAAGGGGTAAGTTAACTAAATTTAAAATTTAAATTCTGAGCAAAGCAATGAAGTTTTATTGTGATGTGTGTTTTTCTTTCCCGTCTGTGAACTCTTTAGTGGTTATAATATTTGGCGTAGAAATATATTTATAGGAAACGACACTAACGCATTAATTTGTGGTTGAAATTTTTCAATGTTTTATATTGAATTACTTATACCCGAACATTGTGCAGTAAGTGCCATTAATTATTAGGTAAGAAATTATACTGGGTGGTAAGCAACAATTTAAGCAGTAAACAAACTGTTAAAAAAAAAATATATATATATATGCAGTAAACTTATGTGCCACAATAAAACGGGTGTAATGGGGTATTTTTAGCATGACTATTTGTTACTTACATCATATGATGATAGAATGAATTAAGCAACAATGTGTATGATAAATTCAGTAATTAACTATAGAAAAAGTATATAATTTTGGTCCCATTTACGAGTACTTACAACTTTTTTTTTATAATGATATAAGATTATAAGAACAACTTAATGAAAATTATATTAAACTGTTTAGCATTTTTGAAGTTATAAGAATTTTATCTACTTAAAACCAATCCAAAACTAATAGCTATTTAAAGATTATAAATGACTAGTTTATTTTTAAAAATCTACCTCTTCTTATAAAGAGCTAATATTCGGTGAAAATGTTAAGTCTACAATTATTTTAAAAATTAAGTTAAAATTAAATTCTCCTTGATTTTCACCATTATTAAGGAAATAACAAAAAAATTTAAAAAAGAATTACCTATTTAACTAACTAAATCCAAAATACTTTAAGTTCCTATAATGTTTTTGAATAAAACAGGGTTTTTAGTCAAAATGTTGATAACAGATATAATACTAAAAGAGTCGATACTGCTGAAGGATGTGCCAATGCTTTAAGTTAAAAAATAGAATACAAAGGTGTTAATTAATTTATATCTGTTCATAACAATAAATAATTATTACTATCAAAGTTTTGAAATGCTATGATATTTAAGATTTTTGTAAAATGTGACCTTTAAACTTTTATTTTAAAAAAAACCTTAATTAAGCTTTTTTTTACCATTAAACACAATTTATGACCCTCTTGTAAATTGTTACACACATCATAGTAAAACCAATACATTTCTCACGCTCAATAGCATTTTTGTGTACAATGAATTATTGTTGCATACAGTACCTATATTAACTTAACTTTATACATATGTTCCCTATTTGCTACCTGTAACAGTAGCCAATCTATGAGCATATCTTAACCCTCTTTAAAAAATTTTTAATTTTCTTGTTAATTTGATGTATGCAGCTATTACAATTTGATTTTTGGAATGTAAAACCTTCCAATTTATGGAATTGGAGTAGCCTGAAAAATAAAATTTCAGAACATGGATTACGAAATTCCCTTGTTACAATTACTTCAAATACTGAAATTGAGTCTAAAATTTTTGGAAGTATGAATTCTATTGAACCATTAGATTCCAATATTAAATTTAAATATGTTTCATTTGAAGAAAACAAACAAACAAAAATTCAGGTTATTTTATTCATTTTTCTTACATTTTTAAATAATATGTATGATTATTTCTTAACTATATTTATTTGTTATAATTTAAGGTTTGCAATCCATACTTATTAAAGGATTTGTATAGTCGTAATCTTTGGCATGAGAAATTAGTATCTGAATTGGTGAATAATTCAGGTTCAATTCAAGTAATAAATTAGAAATTTTTGAAATTTATTAATCATTAATATAATTATATATTTAGAACATAAAAGACTTACCAGAAGATTTAAAAGAACTGTACCTAACAAAATGGGAAGTTGATCAAAAAGTTTTAGTACGCATGGCAGCTGATAGGGCCCCATTTATTGATCAATCACAGGCACTTACGCTTTATATGGATAAAGCGAATGAAAATGATATTTCTAATATGCACATGACTACATGGAAACTTGTAAGATAACTTAATTTTAAAATTGGAATATTGTTATAATTACTTAATTTTGTGTAGGGTTTGAAGACTGGTATGTGTCAATTAAAAATTAAGCAAACCGAATAATGATCCATGAAATTCATAAATCATTACACTATTTCATTTAGTCTTTTTTTATTTTGAAGTATAAATTAGGTATGTAATTTTTAGAAACACTGTATGTTTTACATTATACATATTAATTTTAAATATATTTTGTACCTACACTTGATTTAATTATAATTATTATTTTTTTTTTTTTTTGGAGCCCATATAGTCTTGTGTTTTTGTATTTTTAATATTATACAATTTTGCATAGTTTAAATTTGAATTCAGAATGGTTGTAATTCAGAAAATAATATATTTCAGGTTTTTGAAAACTCGGGTTTAAAAAAAATATATATTTATTTAGGTATTAGGCTGCTGGTTTTCTAAATTTTCTCCAATTTTGTAAAATTTTAAAATTGTCTTCAAAATTTAAGGTCTTCATTATGACCACCTTAAAGATAAGACTTTCCCGCTAATATACTGCCGATACTTATTTAGAGAGAAAAGGTAAAGTTCATTTTACAGATGAAAATAACTTTATAGAAATAGAGATAGCTTCCTGTTAATATAATATTTTTTTATTAAATTGTTTAATGTATTAAACTTCAATATTTTATTTGATTACAAATGTAGGTAAATTGAAAATTTACCAGTTTTAAAGATTTATTATAAATTTTAAAAAGATAATATTATGTATTGAGTTCAATACTGTATATAAAAGGTTTTTTTATTTCTAACAAAAAAATAATCATTGAAATTTTTTTTCTGTTGTACATATTATTGAGCCAAAAAAAAAAAAAAAACGCTAAAACTGGGTCCTTAAATTAAAATAAAGTTTGATATTATGTACTTCCATATTAATTTGGTTACAGAATCCAAAATCTATCTAAATTCTATGTTTTATAATTAAGCTATATAAATTATGATTAAAATAAATAAATCTCCTATTAGCAAGAATTGTAATATTTAAGTAATTGATTGTATACACATTAAAAGTTGATAAATTTTGGCTTTAGAATTAAGATGTAAATTACACCAAAGTAAATAAAACAGATTAATCAAAAATGTAATATTATCCTGAAATACATTAGATTCCACTTTAATGGAATATGTTCGTGATACCCATTTTATCCTCCTAATGATTTGTAAATTTGATCATAAGTCAGAAACAATCTGTAATTTTTTTTGTATGTATTGAATTTATAGCAGACCATGCTAGAAATTCTTTCTATACAAAAGATAATTTAAAAATCGAACATTTAAAATCCGTATTTTGCATATTTTATAGACTTTCATTGATTTTTGTATATTATGCATATTTAATATTTGTTAAAAATCTTTTTTTTTTTTTCTTAACCAATGTAGTTTCAATAATGTTGAATATAAAGTTCAATATTATTTAATGTTATTTCTTTTCATCCCTGTTTATTATTAATTAATGATAACGGTGCAATTCACATTTAGTGTTTATCCTTTTGTGCATATTAATAATGACAGATGTTTTTGAATAATATTTTGCATATTTAGCACTTATAGCTTCTAAGCCCTAGTAATATGTGTTCAAAATGTGCTAGAAATTATAATATTTTAGATATTTGGAAATCTTATTGTTTACATACTTGGTACACGTTCATTTTTAGTTCATTGCTGTAATAAACAAATTTAATCTACTAATATTTAGTTTACAGAACACTGGATAAATGATAAAAATATATTTAATTAGTATCAAACTCCGAGTAATTGTGTTTAGTAGTAAAAGTATGTATTATTATTATTTTTATTGATACCATTCATTTCATTTTTTGGTAAATTCTACTTTACAGCTCCTCACAATTTTTAATTTATTTAAATTATTTAATAATTTTTCAGTAACTTTTTTTAAAATTCATATTGATTTGAATTTGCTGGTTTTGTGATTTCAAATATGATAGGTATATTTGATTTCAATATTAGGTTCGGACCTACAGGTCTTAAATTAACCTGCATCTTAATTTGTGCTGCAGGTAAATATGACATCAAACAGATGTCTTGGTTTGGTTTGGTCTTGGTTTGCGCACAAAAGTACCATTAGTTTGGGAAAAATTAATTTGTTTACGTTGTACACTTTCCTCCCCTCTTTACAAACTTAAGACTGTATGGAAATATTTTTGATAGTTGTGGTTAAAAATGTATAATTTATGCTAGACATGAATTATATATACAACTGATTTAAATAATTTTGAACTATAACTGAATATGCAAGAAATTACAAGTTAACATTTTTTAAACTCGTGATATTTTGCAAATTTAATTGCTTATACTAATGCATATATTTCAACATCGTGATTCAAAGTATTCAAATACTTCACTTATTTTGAAATCAATCGTAAATATTATAAATATGAATTCATAAAATACATTACACTCACTACAAATAGTTACATTAGACTGAACTTGCATTGTGATAATTTGATGATTTATCGAAAGAAAGTTATTATCAAGTTATATTTGTCAACATTTGTCCCAAAACTTCCATTTTATGTAAAAATATTAATCTGCACAAACCAGTTTTAAATTTAATTTTATCATGTACCTAAACAAGTTCCGTTATTTTAGGTAAAAATATTAAATTTTGCGGAAAAAAGTTGCAGTCCATCAAACAAAGTGACACCTGTAATACTCATACTATTATTCATATAACTGGCAACTTAAAATCATTATAACTTCTAAAATAATTTCTGAAAAAAGTTATTAAACTATCATCTTCAGCAATAAAAAACACTTCGCGTGATATGCATTTTAAATTGTGATATTTCGCATAGGTATTTAAATCTCACTTAAAAAATAAAATATTGAAACATTCTATATAATTTTACTGATAATGTTTTTATATATAACCCTTTCAGATCCGAATTAAATCTAATTACCAAAAAAAAATTTTCTTATTATTAATCATATCTAAAACAATATACTTACCAAGTTTCAAGTTATTTTGATCATCTGGACCAAAAATATAGCTATGTACATAACAATGGCCATTGGGACAATATAGAGGTTTAATCGGATTAAGTAATGTGATGAGCTCAATAGACTTGTATTTTAATCGGTCTATCCAAAAATGTATGAATTATAAATAGATAAACAATTTTTATTAGTAAAATTTTCTAAAATAATTTCTCCTTTTAATGAAACATGGATGTGTATTGAGCATTTTACTCAATACACATGTGCCTTTACAGCCTTCTAACTTGTATCTTCTTACTTCTGGACGATTGTCAATTTTTGAAAAATGGCTGAATTGATCCTTTCTTAGTTCTTCTGTTGGTCTTTGATTTATAATAGGTCATATCATAAATTCATAACTACAGGAGCAGTAAAATGTACATTTTTCCAATATATATATTTTTTTCAATTGGAGTAAATCTTGACCATTTATTGGAACCATACGATATTATAGGAGATGTATTTTGAATAGGTTGTGGCCATAAATTTAATGGAACTTGCTCATTTAATGTTTTATTTATTTCAAGGATTTCTAGCTTTTTCCATCTCATAATTCGATTTTTTCAAATTCGGTTATGTCAACCATTTGTTGTTCTAGATCATAGTCGAAGTCTTGCAAACGATTCTTTGACTCTTGGGAAAATTACCCATAACCTCTTCATCACTAGATGAAGTAATCACACAATAGCTATTTTAAGCATATCCCATGTTTCCTTTGGCGTCTTGTTGAGCTTGACACAAAATTTTACTGCATAACGTCGTTCTAAAAATGTTTCAGTCTTAACTACGACGCAGTCTCCGCACAGAGATTCACAATAAAACACATCCTAACTCTCCGAGAGTTCGGAGACGACTAACAGTGGCATCTCCGAATAACTATAGGCGCCCCTCACTCATCCTAACCGGTTTCACCGTTCCGCATTTCGTAGACAAAATAATTGGGTTCATTACTTTCCGGATAAACCCTGTATACCTATACGAGAGTGAAATTTCCGGGCAGAAACCGCTGCGTGTTGCGATATTTCCACACGGAATCCAAAATAAATCCAAAGATTCCAAACACATTGTTTATTATCAACTAGTATCGTCACGTAATTGTGCATTATTCCATGCATTATTGTTTATAAGTTAAAAGACAGCATTGTAAATTGTCGGTCTGCATTACGACCACAGAGTAATATTATTTATTATAAACTTCAACCGTCTAAATTTTTTCCCTAAATTAAAAAAAAAAAAAAAAAATTGTCTACAGTTATTAAATGTATACATTTAATCTACGGAATTGACATTCCGTAAAATATGAACAAAAATAAAGAAAAATATTTTTCAAGTCCCTATTAAAATAACTGTATTTATTTATCCTAACAACCATCTGTCTTTAAATGTAATACATATATTATAGTATATAGTAATGACTTGAGCTCGTTACGTTACAATTTGTTGTACAAAAATACAACCAAAAAAAAAAAAAAGGATAGACATTGGACTTACTTCACACGTGGGTGCAGCCACTGTTGTAGGTGGGAAGGTAGGATATCTGTAAGCAACGATAAACCATTGCTAACGAAAAAATTATTCTGAGCGGAGTTCAGTTGATAGTGCTTGTCAACAATATATGTGTCATATTATGGTAAAATGTTTACAACAATATGTGTTTCCATGACAACAATGATTGTGTAAAAAATATTGAAATCATAAAAACTTAATACTAGTTGGTCTTGTGTTGTGTATTTTCGTTGAGAACTTTTCATTGTGATGACTAAAAGTATGGACATTTTTCGCACGATGTGTAGGCTATTATTATATTGGGAAGACAGGATATAGAGGGTAATTTAATTTATATATCTGTATGTAACGATAAAATATTGTTAACGAAAAACGATGCGGAGCGAAGTTTCTTTTATCTATGTAAATGCATTTTCCTATGTTTACTTCGTTTTTCCAATGGTTATGAAAACCGCCTGGAAAATCAAAAACTGAGTACAATAAAATTAACATCATTGTAAAACCAATTCATTTTTCACTACGTTCCGAATCTTAAACTAAATGGTATTTGTCTATAGTAAATATTGTAGGTAGCAGTGGCGGCTCGAAAGGGGTATATATGAATCACGCGATTCACAAAAAACCGGGTAGTGGTTTCCTGGGTGTTCAGCAATATATAACAAAAATTATTATGTTTTTTCAAGTCGTTAAAAGAATTTTAGACTACGGAAATGTGACAAATTTAACAAATTCCAATCCAATATTTGTGGTAGGGTGGGACTGCGTGGAAGTATGGGATTTTGGATTGGGATGGGTGGAAAATTTGATCAGTGATTAATGGTGAAAATACTTCGAGCCGCCACTGGGAGTTGGGTTTTAATTGTAAAAGCTGCCATTAAAGTTCGTAGAAGTAATCTCGTATGTTTAGTAGACTACTACAATACTCGGATACGGTTTTATACTGTTTAGTGTTCGATCTATTTCTAATTATTACTAATTAAATTCTGCATTGACACTTAAGGTGTGGTTTGTGATTAAGTAACGAAAAACTCAAATTTTGCGTTTTCGCGCCGCAAAATCATATGTTTGTCTGGCGGCGGCAGTAAAATCGTAGGTCGCGGAGACGCAGGCACCGATGTTATGTACAGCGTGTGGTGGGGTGGGGCGTGTCTAAGTTTGCTTTATTTATGCGATAAAAAACGAAAAATAATCGATGGTGGGGAGTTACTTGAGTTCCAAAAAAGCGTGCACCGGGGAACGGCTTCAAATGTAGTGGTACCTATTATTCAGCGTCAGTACTTATACTAAACTGTGCTCAGTACTCGATAGTTAATAGTTCAACACTCATCACTCGTTCAGTTGCTTGTTGAATAACCGAGCGTTTGATTTGGTGGTGTAGTGTATGGGGTTTACCTAGCGATTTTTCTTGTTTTTGAAGTCAATTACTGAAAATCGTCGGAATCATGCCAAACATAATTAACGAAGTAAAGTTGGACTTTAAAGACGTGCTTCTCAGGCCCAAAAGAAGCACCCTAAAGACACGAGCCCAAGTGAGTGCTATTATACGAAATGCAATATTTTTACATATCTATTATAGTAAATATATTATTGGTATCGCGTATAGCTAGATGCATGATATATAAAATATTTAGGTAACAATAATTATACAAAAAATAAATATAGTAAGTAAATATATAAATAAAAATTAAATAAATGAATAAATGCGTTGCCTGGAGTATTATGATACAATTGTCAATTATTATGTAAATTTTTTATTTATATATTTATTTATGAGCATTAACCATTTTAATAATTTTGTTTTATTTTATAAATAAATGAATCAAGTAGGTACCAAAAAAGGGTTACTTCAACAACACTAGAAACTGTTCATTTTCATTAAGTAAATTATTCACAATTTTTTGTTATTAATTTTTTGTCAGGTGGATTTAGTTCGACATATTACATTTCGTAATTCCAAACGTACATATCAAGGAATTCCAATAATGGCTTCCAATATGGACACTATTGGGACATTTGAGATGGCAGCTGCTCTCGGAAAAGTAAGTATTAATTTGACTCAATTTACACATTGTAATCAATAGTTGTGTTTCTGATATGTAGGTTTTCATAAAATGATTTCCCATTTTTGGGTTATGTAATTCAATATTAATATAGTATATTCTATTAGGCATATTATAATATTAATATAGTATATTCTATTAGGCATATTATAATATTAATATGTTAATAAAATCAAATCATTTTACAGTGTAAAGATAGTGAGATACACCTAAATATCTATTTTTATTATGTTTATATTTTCCATAAAATATTAATTTTTTATTGTTTGGTAGTTCTTATAAAAATTTGATTTTAATATTTTAACAATTCATATTTTTTTGTGGAAGATAGTTATTTTTTCTGCTAACAAACAATTGCACAGTCTTAATTACCCAAGTAATAAATTAGTTTTAAAATTTCCATTATGTATGAACTAAAAGATTTTGATTCTTAATAAAAATATAACCAAAATTCCAGTACAAACCTGTTAATTTTATAAGTGTAATGATAAATTCTCTGCATTTGATGTGTTTGACCTACTTAGGTATTTATTTTCCATCATTCTGTCATTATAACAATGATATTTTAAAACACACCTTATGTTTATAAATAGATTAAGCTCAAGTATAAAAAAGACATTTGATGTTTTACTTGGCAATTTGACATAAAATATCATTTATCTAGGTATTTAATTTTTATTCCAAATAGTAAATATTTTTTTAATTTTATGTCCTAGATAGTATGAATTAATGGAAGGAAAAATCTGTTTATTTTGTATGTGGACCTTTATATCTTACATTTTTATGTGATCTCCATGTCCCCTTAATGGCTTAAACATAATATGTTATATTATAACACATTTATACTTATATCTTATCAAACTGTTACTCAGAAAAGTACTAAATATTATTGACTTAAATACTTGATAAATTTGTTTACAATAATATGCTGTTTACAAACTTGAGCTATTAAAATTTCTAATATGATATTTGATACTCAAGGTGTGTATCATAATATGTTTAATTATAATTAATTGTTATCGTTTTATATATTTTATTTACAATTTATTTTTTTTTCTAAAAAATAATAGATTTAATGCGCTTGGTGTTATAACTTGGTATTTAAATTAAACAAAGGGTACAAAGAGTATTTAAATGTAACTGATTTATTTGAAGAACATGTATAATGCATTTTTACACATTGAAATTTAATATTATGTATATCAAATTGCTACATAATCTAGAGTTATATTATGTATGTGATTTATTTATTTTACTGGTAAATAATTATTTTAAATTTAAAACTTTGTACTAAGTAATAAATTAAAATGATAAAATTATTTTGTTGTAATAATAAAAAACAATTACTAAATATATATTCAAATTATTATTCAAGTTATATATTATAATAACAATAATTTTATTTAGGTAATAATAAAATATTAATATAAAATAACAATTTTGAATAACTGATTTGCCTATTAATATGTTTACAGGCATATTCTAGTAATTTCCAATGAATATAAAATTATTATTATTTCAATTTATTTAGTTTATTCTGTGAATAAATAGATAATAGTTATGTTATTACAGTGATATTACAATCTTTATTTATTTCTATTCAAGATCTTCAATATTTTCTTATATAGTATAATATTTTTATAAGTGCGAGTGAAAATATAGTAACCAGTAACTAATTTATCTAAAATGAGCTAGGTACTAAATAAATAGAAGTTAGATTATAGATATCATTAAACGAGAAACTAGTTAAATGGATAATAGTTAATTGATTTAAAGAAATTTTTTATATTATAATCCAGATTTATATCTTTAATTAGGATTGATCCAAATTTGGTGCTCAACATTAGTGTACATCATTATATTTTGTATACAATACAAATTTTTAAGGGTTTTAATACAAGTTTAAATTAATCTACACAAAAATCATGTTTAATAGAAAATATATTTAAAATTGAAATTTAATTTTTTAGGAATTAAATACTGGTTAAAATTTATTTGTGTTATTTTATTCACCTATACACTGGACTTTTAAAGGATTAACTCTGGGATTAACTTACAGTCCTACAGTTTATAAATATAAAATAAATAAATTAACCATATTAAATTATGTTTTCGGAAGTATTGAAATTTATATTATGAGTATTTAGTTACATTGTTCATCTTCGATATTATTTGATTTATGCATACAATTTATTTCATTTTTTTTTTTTATCAATTTTATGTTAATTGATTTAATATTTTCGTATAACTTTCAGATAGTTATTATTTTATTAAATAATATACTTTCACCTTACGACAAACATTATTTATTTTTTTTTTCAAGTGTTTGTCGTTAAGTGAAAATAAAGTCTTTTATCAGACAAAACCTTTGTATGTTTAGCCATTTAGGTATATAATGTATGTTTAATATCTAGCCGATAAATTTTAAATGTGTAGATTAGTCTCATATAATATATTATTGACACTGTGGTGATTATTATTCGTTATTACTTTTTAATGACTATAAAATTAAGAATTATTATATGCATTTATATTTGAATAGTGTTTATTTTTAAATTCATTAATTTTGGATATTTTGCTGACCAAATATACTTGTATAATTTACTAAAATATTTAGTAGGTAATTAGGAACTTATTGTTGTTATTATTTTTATATTGTCTTTCTTTATCTTCTTTGTGGATATATAGTGTATAATGTGTCTAAACATCCACCAATAATTCTAGCACCGGTGCTATAAGATTCTTACTGTCCAACACAAAAAGAAGATTGCATTTTTAAATTTAATTTTATCAATTAACAAATTAGAAAACAGACTTACCTAATGCAATATTTAAAAGATCGACAAATTGTATAATAACTGTATTTTATCTAGTAGGGTGTTGATTTAACATTGGTAATATAAATTTAGAAATGAATTGATTTGTATTTGTTTTTATCTATTTCGGGGTTTTCTATATTAAATGAAGGTCAAATTGATTTGTGTATGGTATGTATATTGTACCTATAACATGATAAATATAATAGGTTCAATAGTTAATGTAAAATAATATTTTAAATATTCTATTATATTTTGCAGTTTTTATGAAAACAATTTATAATAGATAACTACGTGAACTTTTTGTTTTTAATACTTTATGTAGCACGTGTAAGTTGTTTGCTATGATTATTTATTATTTTTAGTAATATGATAATATTTTTCACGTGACAGATTGCAAAATACTTTTCTTGAAAAAAAGAATATTAAAATATATATCAACTCGATAATAAATATTATAGTACTTATCAATTTCTTATTATTTTTAGTATTTTATTATTATTCTATAAAATTAAATTGTGTTATTTTCTTTTAAAATTCTTTTGATATATCATTAGTTACGTTATTGTATTTTTGTTATCAAATAAATTTGCTTTCATGTGCTATTACAGTATTGAAGTACCTACCTGCAATATAATATATATATTTTTTTTAAACCATTTTTTCTTAATTTTTATTTTCTTAGATATAATTGGTACGCTCATACAGCCTATGTTAGTGATATTTATTTACTATTTTGATAATTATTAAAATAATTTAGTTGCTAAATCACTTTTAAAAGTACCTAGACATTGTTCATTGATCCATTAATAAGTATCTGCCTACTGTAATAAAAAAAAAATAACTTGATAAGGCATGATTAGTTGACAATTATTGTTCTAGTAGAATGATGATTGCTGAATTACTTGCTAGGTATTCTGCTTAACTAGTAATATAGTCTATACTAATCTTTAGTATCTCAAGTCAGATTTAAAAGTTGAGGACTTATTCAAAATCAGGATAGCTGGAAAAAGCCTGGAATATTTAAGGAATTGACATGTTATTAAGAAATGTTAACTTCAAATTATGTTTGAAAATATTATTTATTTCATTATTTTGAAAAAAAAAAAAATATTTATATAAAATATTAATAAAGATATAATTTCATTTCAATTTGTAATTATTTATTATATAACTATTTTTGTTTAAGTTGGCTTTAAAATTAATAAAAAATACCTACAATTTAAGGTATATAATAAGGTAAATAAAATTACCTATAACAGTGGCTGTACTAATCCCATTATTTTAGAACACCTTTTTTGTTTTAATTTTATAAGTGAACCCCATAAGAAGTTCAATATTTAAAAAAAACAGTTGATACTGGGGACTGGCTTGCCACTGTTGTAGGTGGGATGTTGGAAATGTAGGGTATATTAAATTATTTAATTTGTATCTGTAAGCAACGATAAACCATTGCTAATGAAAAAGGATATGAAGAAAAATTTTTTTATACATGTTTTGAAAGACTGTAATACCTATATAAGATTTTCACGAAATTTGATGTTAAAATTCTTAAATAAAAAAAAATTAAGTGTAATGTAGTTGTTATTCATTTATGTTTATTTTTACAACAAAGTACAACCTTATAATAAATCTCGTCTTAAATTTTCAAACATTTCTGTTAAGTCTAATAATTTTATTTGTGTAGCTACAAAATGAAAATATCTATAAATGTTCAAAAATAACTTAAATGTTTTTAAAATTTTACTTATACATAATGTAAACATACCCAAGTTTTAAGAATTAAAATAATAAAACAAAATTGAAAATAATTAAGTCATGTTTTTGTAAATATTCCCGTTCTTTCAACATTTTTTTCGGTTTAGATGGTAGAAAATTTTAAATACAATGAAATCAGTAACACTGCGGCATACTTTTAATATTTGCTGTTTTTAGTTATAATTTTTTTCTCGTTTTTCCCAATTATTTTGAAAACTCAACAGAAAATCATAAAAAGTCCCTTGCTATGCTCTGAATCTAACATACACATATTAACTCTTATATAGTATATAAGAAGAAAGTTTATTATTACATAGTATAAACGACACCGGATTACCCAAAGTCCAATGTTTGTATATTACCTTTTAGTTTTGAGAGATTACAGTAATATTCACTATTTACTATTTATACAAATTGATTTCAAAAGTCCAACTTTATTTTTCATACTAAATATATTTCTAAATTATTACATTTTATTTTTTAATATTAATGTTTGATTATATTTGTGTTTAGCATGGAGTATTTACTACTATTCATAAGTACTATGAACTTGATGAATGGGTAGAATTTTCCAAAAACCATAAAGATATTTTACCACACATGGCTGTTACGTGTGGTATAAATGATTTTGAATTTGAAAAACTTGAAAAAATATTGGAAGCTATTCCAGATATATCATTTATTTGTCTTGATGTAGCTAATGGTTATACCCAACAGTTTGTTGATATTGTACGGAAAACTCGTAGTGCATACCCTAATCATACAATTATTGTAAGTATATTGAAATGTACAAAACAATTATTTTGTTATATTTATGTATATATATTAGAGATTTTACATAAATCTAGATAAGGCGAAAAATATGAAAATTTCAATTTTTGAATTTAAAAATTTAAGTGTGATTTTATAAAATATACTGTATATACGACTATAATACTGTAGGTGAGAAGTTGGGAAGGCAGAATGCATAAGGTTATTTCATTTATATCTGTAAGCAACGATAAATTAATGTTTAATGAGAGACGATTCCAAGAGTACTTCGGTATTACATAATTTGAAGTGTCATAATTTTTTTTGTGATTTGTGATTTTCATTTTAATTTAATTTCAAAACGCTTATTAAAAAAAAAATAGTCGTCCAATGATTTTAGAAATTTTACCACGTCTAGGAAAGTCAAATATAAGTATTATTACCAATTTTCAAATCTCTACTTGTTTTAATAACCAAATTACAACAAAAAACTCCCAAAAATTAAAATTCCTTAAAGGCTCAAAAGTTTTGGTAATGATACTGTAAGAAAGTAAATCAAAATTGCAACAAAAAAAGTGTATAAAGTTATAAAATAATACAATTTTGAAATTGTACGTTTTTCTACGTTTTTCCCACCTAAGTGCTTCTATTTAAATAATGGTGTTGAAAATCAAATGACTTCTTAAAGTAGAATCTAGACAACTTGAGCTTTCAGAAAAGTTGCTATACGTAAAAATGTCAAGTTTATTAGGAAAAAATGTGTCCACAGACTAAAACAAAGAAAAAAAAAAAAATAAACAGCATTGTAAAACCAATATCTCCCTTGCTATGCTCGAAATCTAAAAGAAATATAAATATTTTATACCATTGTATATACAATTTACTAGGGTAAAATTTTTGCTAGTTTAATATCATTGACCTTCCGTTACTACGAGTATTATTTAGGCATTATAGTATTCAATATCCTCGCGACAACTGTTACAGCCCCTATACTTGTTTATTTTTTACTTTATCACCATATTAACCCATAAATGAATAAAAATAATTAAATTTATACACTTACCAAAAATAACAATAATTCTGTGTGAGACCCACTGAAGGCACGATAGGGTAACAAATATCCATTCAAGGAACTCTCGTCATAATCTATCTACACCAAAAACGTATCTATTCTATCGCTTTCGGAGGAGTTTTTTTTATGTCTGACATTAACTTATTATTGGTGCAACAAAATGTTGCAAAAAAAAAAAAAAAAAAAACCCAACAAGATAAAGTAGATTTTAATGTTCTTTATAGACTATGCATTTAGGAATTCATGGAATATTTAGTCACTTCTTTGGATAATTGCATTATATTTGACATCTTTTTAAATGATTTTTATTGAAAGATAGATACAAAAATAAAATTCAGTATTATTTTTGTGTGCACATAAGCAACTAATAAAAGTATAACTATTTTTCACATTTTATTATTTGATAAGATTTAATAATTATTAAATCACAATTTACAGTAATAGAAATGTAGGTGTAGGATATAGGTGGATGAAATTAAAAGTCCACAGCCTCTAAAAATAAATCGTTTTCCAGTTATTTATTTGGTATAGCTTTCAAAATAACAACAGCTTTGAACAAAGACTACTTTTTTAACCTTTGATTTCAATGCTTTAAAATTGATTTTGAAAACAAAAATCGAAAAAACGAGCATTTGGTCTTAACTATTATTGTTCCGTTGTAATAGGAATCATTGTGATAAGATGTATACCCAGAGAATCTATTTTGTCTTAAATGTTTACTGTTCCTCTGTGTTCGCCTATAACTCAAATAAAATCATTTTTCATGTGTTGTATACAATTTATTTTATTTAGATTTACAGTCAATTACATAAAATGATTTTTTTCATTAATGTATATGTTTAATAATTATATTTAGGCTGGTAACGTGGTAACTGGTGAAATGGTTGAAGAGCTCATTTTGTCCGGTGCTGATATCATTAAAGTTGGTATTGGTCCTGGATCAGTATGTACTACCCGTATTAAGACTGGTGTGGGCTATCCTCAGTTAAGTACAGTCATTGAATGTGCTGATGCTGCTCATGGTCTACAAGGTCATATTATTTCTGTAAGTGTATATTTTTCAATATTTTTATTATTTTGCTGGATTTATAATGTATTGTAATTCCAATAAATCAGGATGGTGGATGTGTTTGCCCCGGAGATGTGGCTAAGGCATTTGGCGCTGGTGCAGACTTTGTTATGCTTGGTGGCATGTTAGCAGGCCATGACCAAAATGGCGGAGAGTTAACTATTAAACCTAATGGTGTTAAGTGTAAATTATTTTACGGTATGAGTTCACTAACCGCAATGAAAAAACATGCCGGCGGTAAAGCAGAGTATAGGTATGTTATTATTATACTGTCTTTGAGCTAAATTAATATTCGAGGTTAATGTTTATAGAGCCGCTGAAGGTAAAGCTGTTGAAGTACCGTATAAAGGAGATGTGAATGATACTATACTTGATATACTTGGTGGTCTACGTTCAGCTTGCACATACACTGGAGCACATAAATTAAAAGAATTGCCCAAGCGAGCAACATTTATTAGATGTACACAACAAGTTAATGCTGTATATTCTGATATTACTACCCGGGAATAATATTATTAATACTATTGTATAATGTAAACTATAAATATACATAATCACATTAGATACGTCTTGTATGTTATGTCTACTGTATGATATGAAATTATTGGTTCTATAGAACTATTATTCAAATAACTAGAATATAAGACTGTTTTAACTGGTTTTATAATAATTTTTATTTTTACAAATATAATTGTATTTTTGTGATAGAAAGGACAGGGAGGGTTAATTCATTTTTATAATTATAATATAAAGGTTTTGATGTTGGTTATTTGCTTTAAATAAATTATAACTTAAATTTTGCACAATTTTAATAATAAAATAAACTTGTTTTTTATTTTAGTGTTTTAGAAAATGTTTATTATTGTATATTTAGGTAAATAATAAATTATTTATACATTCTAAATATCTTTAAAAAGATCTGATAGAAAATAAATTATTTTATTTTGTAACAACTAATGTTGCAATTAATTGACTCGTCACATATCTCATACACCGTTTTACATTTACACATTTTTTCTAAGCTGGGGTCCAGTATTATACTGTAGTGTAGAAAACAATCATATGTGTAATACAGCAGATAGTTGAGTCTTAATAACAGATGGATTATTTGGACAAATTGGAATATTTTTTTTTAGATCATCTTTTTATATTGTATGCAATTAATTAAAATAAAATTAGGAGGCCATTGGGTACAATTTTATGGCAGTTTTATTATTTTTACTTGTAATGGGTTGTGATTAAATTAAAGCTAATAACAAAACCATTTCAGAAATTTATATATCATTATGGTGTATCAAAGTAATAATGGTGAAAATAAAACTGATGTTGCCGGTGGGTGACACATAGTGGTAGACATTTTAAAAAAGACAAAAAGTCATGAGAAGTTACAACAATAATATTGTAACAAAGTAAAGTATAATATGTATATTATTATCTAGAAAATAGGATTCAGGGATTAAACTAAAAAAGTCACTTTTTTTTCATTCTGAAAAAAACATGTTTTTAATTTTAAAATGTAATTATTAACCACCGTTTTTTCCTGTAGACCTAAATTTCTGGAGCTCATTACTTTTGACTAATTTGGTTTTTTCACATAAAAGATACAGTAGGTACATTAACACAAATTATTTGTTTGATACCAATATGGCCATTTTGGAAATAAAGTGACTTGTGGTTTTTTCCCTGTACCCTTCTTATGTAGGCATCTAATTTATATACCTTAAGTATAATTTATATATAAATAGTACATAATAATAGCACATATTTTATAATCTCAATGAAAAAATCCGTTTTAAAATAAATTTTATTTATTAAAAAAAAACACTATCGTTTAGTTTAAACCAATAAAAACATTTAAAATAAAATAGCTGTTAAATCTTGTGTATAGGACATAGGTATCTTACAAAACTCGATTGTGACGCCTATTTTACTGTTAACTTACAACAATCCGCAATATGATATGAAACTAATAATAATACGAAAATGCTATTCAACGAAAACAATATTGTATAAAATACCTAAGAGTAAAATATTTTGTTATCACAGTCATTATATAGTAACAAAATTAAAATTATGATAAATCTAAGCAGAGTGGTTTTTTGAACGCAACCGTTTTACATTTTTCAAACATTCAAATTTATCTTTGAATATTTTTGTTTAATTTCCTGTAAAAATAGACTATTACAATGAATTATGTTTGTAATAATATAAATAATACAATATCATTATAGATACTATATTTTCACGCAAGGTACTATAATTTCAGCTAATGAACTCAAACTCGGAAATTAGAATCATTTTGTTGGTATATTGTTGAAGTGATAGAAGTTATAAATTGAAGTCAGGTTGAATTAAAATATGCATTTCACTGTGTTGTTGCGAAAAGATAGTAGTGATTTTTTTTTGGAAATATTTCTTTTAGTTATGTTTTTATACAATTTGTATAGTTCTACAGTATTGTATTATTATACTATTTGGTTGTTTGTTATTTTCCTAAGCATACTTCTGTAAAAAGCTCACTGTAAAATTTATTTTACTATAAACTATTATATTTTTACATTTTTGTAATATGGAAACTACAAAATGTTTTTTGAAAGTACCTATAACCAAACTGTATTAAAAATTTTGAAACAATAATAATCGAATTATTAAATAGCTGAATTGAATGTGTGATAAAGAAATATTGTATTTTCCGTGTACATTTTCACCAGACCATGTTAATTTTTAAATTATAAATAATGGACTTCTTTTTCAATAATGGATATTAACAGAGTATTATTTATTAACATGGTAAAGATAATAAATAAAATTATCAAGTGAGTTATGATGAATGGGTAGGAATGTTATTTGCATTAAGATTCAAGTTAAAATTATAAGATCTTAGAAAGACATCTTGAAATTTAGAATGTAAACACCTTATGTGTATTTAAGATTGGTTCAAATTTTGAAACATCGCGCTGTAGCAAATAAACTATCACAGGCGTTAAAAAAACCACTCTGTATAACAAACATATTTTATAAATAAAAATAAAAATTCAGTCATTTAAAGAATGTTCAATGTCAAAACCACAATACAATATACGATGGTGGTGAACATGGCATTGACCCGGAAGGTGATGGCACTGTTAGTGACCAGCTCGTGTACGGGGCTGGCCGAGATCAACGTGCTGAGACTGAGGTCGGACATGGCCCGAGGACTAGACGTCTCCACTAACGTAGACAGTTTTTCTGACTCTCTCAGACAAGCTTCAAGCTGGAGCTTAGAAGGGTTTTTGACCGTGGACTCGACGAGCACCAATATGTCCTGGTATATTGTCAGGTGTCCACGGACAACGCATTCGGCCACCTGCACGTGTCTGTCCAAAGCTCTGAGCACTGATTTCATGCTAAGTGCGTTCGCCGCCGGCCTTTTTAGCATGTATATTACCCGGTCCACTTGTTTCTGACTGCAAACCCAAAAACGGTTTAATTATAGGGGTCATATAGTAATATTTTTTGACGCAGCTCTGGGTAGTTGACGCATGCGAATATAACTAGGAACTATTTGGTACGGATTCCGGAGCTTATGGTTTATATTACACGGGGCCAGTGTTACCAAAGGGTTCAGCAGATAGACATGTCATATTATATGCACATTCAAAATGAACCACTGTACGAGTGACCTTGTTTGAACGGAACACTCAAGTAAAATTACCCCGTGCAGGCAGACCCAGAAAAATATAGACAGACGGCGTACCGGCTCGACCTGGGTACACTTACTACTACGGTATAACCTACTCACCTGAAAAGAATACGCAGAGCACCGGCACACTTGGGGCAACACGCACCCGGTGGAGTAATGCCCAGACATTCTTGCTGCGGCAAACTAGGACACTCTACTACGCCCTTTGCACAATACGGCTGCCCGTTGTAGCCGATGAGCCCGGACGACGCACACGGACCCGCATAGTCGACACTCACCGACTCTGCAAAGGCGGCACACTCCGACGGGTAAGTGTTACCGTCCACACCACACACCTGTCCCGTAAAATTGCACCCCACCTGCCAACAGGACGTAATAAAAATACGGAATAAATGCCAACGTCGTAATTTTCAACGTTCGTTATTATATAATTGTATAGTGCGCGTTACTACCAAGCAGGGGCCGTTGTACGACAGCAATTTGTTTGATCGTATGAGATGGCACAGATTCGGGTGTTCTTCGCCGTCCGTGTCGCACACTTGACTCTTGGGCGCATCTTCGCACGATTCTTTTTCTGAAACTGCACCACATAATATGACGTGTCCATTAGTGTATGACGCGTACGGGTGTAGCATACCAGCACAATAAAATTACATCAGCCATCAAGTAAGTATTCGTTTAGAAACGATTACCGCGACAAATATACTACTGCAGTTATACAAATGCATATTTCAAATTGGTACACGGATAATCGTGTTACACTTGAAATATCGTAAAATGGTATCCATCGAGGAAACCGGCATTTTTCATCCGACATAATATTAACCATATCAATTTGTTCTGTGCAAAGCACGAATATTTGAAAAAAAAAAAAAAAAACCGTGAAATGGCGCCGCAGCGGCCGTAACGATACTCACCGCACTTATATTGAACGCAAGATTTTTTCAACATGGACAAACACACTTGACGGGTGGCCACGCACCTCTCGCCCGATCGACACACGTGGTTGTCAGCACAGGGATCGACGTTCCAACACGGCCCGAACTTGAGGTCCATGTCCGACAGTCCAGCGCACCTGCAAAAAAATAAAACATTAATGCCGGTACCCAATTAAAAATCCGGACAACCGTCGATTGAATGTTAAAACGTACTTCGCCAAACACGAATTTGGATAGGTGTTACCGTTGGTGCCACAAACCGGAACGTGGTGTGGAGCGCAGTTACACGGTAGACCCGTGTGCCTGTAACGGGACAAAGCGTTGGTAGCCATCGATTCGCAATGTTTTTTCGTACACGTGATCTCGCCTGCGAAACAGTTGCATGTATTGCAATCCATTGCGAAAGTAGAGCCATGATCTAGAATGATAAGAGAAACACTATTGTCGTAAATATACAATATGCTGAAATCGACGGCGAATGAGGTAAAAACAAATTCCATATTTCAATGTTCAAATGCAATCCCTCTGCAGCCGCAGTTACAGTAAACGACCAATCTTACCGATTTGTTTGCCGGCCAACCAACAAGATTGTATCTGCGAGCACATTGTTTGCTGACACTTTTCGATGCCCTTCTTTGTGCACAGGCATATTTTCACGCAACCCTTTTGTCCGTTGAACGTGGGTATGCGGGCGTAAGAGTCTTCGGGCACGAGGTAGTGCGACACTTCGCCCACCTTGCAGCCCGGCACGCATCGGTACGGCTTGCACGCATTCCCTATCCGACACCCGCGGTTCACTAAGCAAATTGTGCCGGGCCCACACGTGTTCCGTTTGCATGGCGTGGTCACCTGAGCCACGGCCGTCTGCTGTTGAGGTGCCACGTGTTCTGTGAACGCATCGAGCGACACGCACGGCCCGGAATCGGGCGATAGCCTGGCGCACAATGCGTTCGCCGACAGCCCCGGCACCATGTTCGTCCAGTCCAAACATGTACTCAACAGTTCCAGACAGTCGTCTCTGTAATCGTAGAACATGTTAAGTTAAGTTTTAGAACAGTGGAATTATTTGGACCACGGCGGCACGGTCCACGATTATTTGTAAATTAATAGATAAATAACAGATACGAGGAAGCTTTTATTATATAAGATGCTCAGAAAAATGTTCAAATATGTTCACGGTTATACCTCCAAAGATGCACCTGTGGTACTTTATTTGACATTTTTTTTTTTATATATTTTCAAATAGTATAGGCTCAGAGATAATTTTGGAGCTGCTAGAGCTCTCATCAACAGTTTTTATTTGGTTCGATTCATTAATGTTTCAAGTACCCAGTGTGGAATCCAGATATTGAATAATAAAACAATTTTGACTAAGAGTGTAGATAGATAAGCAAAAAAGGTAATTACTATAATTTTACTTTTTAGTAATGCCCCCACCTCCCCCAGACAAATTGTCTGGATTCAACACTGTAAGAACCATCAATTAAATTGTCCCAAATATCCTTCCTCTACCATCGTAAATTTCTTACATTTTATTTTTTACGAAATTAGTTTTAGTTACCAAGGTATATTTGTATTAAATTATTCTCGTAAATTTTTTTTCCGGGAAATTAATCTCCAGTAAATTATTCAATATCATTGTTGTAAAAACTCGTATGCGTCTTATCGGTTATTGGTATAGATCAGTATTTCTCAACTTTTTTACTGTCGCAACCCTCTAAATAAATATTTGATTTTTTTAGCTACCCTTAAATTTATATTTTATATATAGCGACCCCGTATTTATATATTTTTAGCGAACCCAGGTTGAGAAACACTGGTATAGGCTACATAGATAATAGGATACTTGCCGACAAATTTTATCAACGTGCGATTCCCTGGTGCACGGTCGTATCTGTAGGACACAAGCGACGGCTTTCCATCTGTCCGGCATACACCTGGTGATGTTTTTCAGCGGCAAATCGTAGTTGAACAAGTTTATGGTGCCGCGTTGACGCCACAGTGTGACGTCGTAGTGCGCGGCGTCGTCGGTCTGCGGCGAACAGCTCCGGAACAATTCCGTGGGCCGGTTGTTGAACGCCGTACAATAGTTCAAGCCCTCGCAGCCCAAATCGCACGGCTCTTCCACTATAACGGACATTATACAGACGGATGTCATTGTGATTGTTTAAAGATCGCGACGGATTGACGAGAGTTCTCGACTTCGACGTATCTGATTTGACCGTTAGTTAAGTTTAATTAACTGTTAGATTTGACACTAACAAATTATTATCAACTATAGTTAATCTATTTTTTTTAAAACGTATTTCAGTGTGTTGTGAAAGTAATCGCGGTATATTTTTTCGGTATAATTATAATAAACTTATAGATGAACACCGTAGACTATAAGTGAACATTATTTCGTATTTTTTGATAAATAAAATAGAAATAAATTATAATATATAACGCAATATTACGGTGGTACTTACCGTCGTCTATACACTTGAGTAATTGATCTTTGTTGGGATTCAAAAGGCATTCGGAATTAAAATAGTTCCAAGACGAAGACCATTCATTTGTATACGTCTTCAGACAAAGTTTCCGGCATCCTGGTGTCGAGGCCTTATCGCAACAATGAAGTTTTACACTGTCCATTCCGAGTTTCTCTATTTGGGACATAGGCGCTGGCGCCGATGTATCCTTTTGCTCGGTTCGTTCGCTTTGTAAGAAACATTGCCAAAACCGGTCCTGAAACGTATATTGACCGATTAAATCTGACAAACTAAAACACTATGTGTGTCCACACTATACATATGTAATCAAAGTCAATGATTTTTAATTTGTATGAGGTACGAAATAGTGACAAATTAGATATTTATCGCATTTTATTGTGAAACTTACATCCAACGAAGGCGGCCCACATCCTCCACCTTCTAAACTTTCGACGGCCTCGACGTCGGAGTCAAACTTTCTGCGCAGGCTATCCTGGCAGGCGGCTTCACACGCAGCGTCCGTGGCCAATTTGCAACAGTGCAAGTCTAACAGGCGAAATGAAATGATATTAATTTCTCCGTGAAAAAAATAAACCTCGGAAAATACATCGAAGACCACTGTATAAGATAGACAGCGGTGCTGCAGGGGAGTCTACAAATTTACCTATATGACCAGTGGCGGCTTGTGCCATGGTGCACTTGAGTATGTGCACCACTTATAATTTTCAAGAATATTAAATTGTTTAAGACCAATATTATTACGTTATAATATTTTTGAAAGGCATTAATTTAATCCACAAAATTAAAAATTATTTTGTGTACTTATTGTTAATTTATTTATCATTAAACATTGTACAGATATTAGGGAAGCGCCGTAGATCGTAGGCGTAGAAGAAATGGTCTACGTTCTATGGCTGTACGAGTTACAACGACGCATACCAATTTTTAGATAAATATAAATTAAAAACTGAGCTACAAGTTATCTATAAACGAACTGATTTTAAAAACATGTCGACTACAGTAAATTTACTTAAATTTATTATAGAAAATCAATTACTTGATACGTTTTCTAAAGCATCCAAATTTTTAAAAGTTATTATAACTATATCCATTACTACTGTTGAAGCGGAACGTTCATTTTCTACACTGAAGAGGATAAAAACTTTTTTGCGTAGCACTATGTCAGAAGATCGGCTATCAGCATTATCCATGTTATCAATTGAAAAAAGTATGATGAATAATATTTCTAATTTTAATGAAAAAGATATTAATGTGTTTGCCGATAAAAAAGAAAGAAGAATAGAATTGATTTACAAAAATGTTTCGGACTAATACTGGTACGAACTCCAAGCGTATAGCCTTCTATTGATGAAATCAATATATTCTTTAGCTAAAATATATATATATGATGATATAATATTATGATGGAAATAAAATGACGTGAAATATAATTTACAACTATACCTATTATTTATCATTTGTTTAGAAATCAGAATCAAAACTGTAATAATTTGACAATTGTATATAATTTATGAATAATTATAAATATTCAACGGACAGTCCAACTTAAATTATAATTCCAACTGGCAAAAATTATGATAGCGGGTGGAAATAGCACGAAAAAGGTGTTGAGCGAAAACGCACGGGCGAAAAGAGCACGGCGCCGAATTTAGACACCCGTCAACTTATTATTGACTCATTATCGGTACAATATCAGTATATCAGTGGCATACACCGCAAAGTCAAAATGTTGACTGACGTCTGACGCCCATTGGCACCGTCCCGTTTAATCAATACGAGCTTGGACCCCGGTAACTGGACCAGACCTAACCTAACGACACGGTACACGCGGGCCCCACTTACACTCGTGTCCGTCAGACGGTCGCGCGGCGGTTGCGTTGCGCGGACAGCCGCGATGCGGGAGCACCGTGAAGGTAGCAGAACGCGCGCCACGCCGGTCACCCGGGCACAGGTCGAGGATCTCCTGGTTGGCCGCGTGTCGGTTAATGGACGGCGTGTTGGCCAGGAATTTCTCGCACGCAATCCGGCACTGCGCCGCGTCCGTTTCGTCGCCGCAACACGTGTCTCTGACCTGAAAAATGCCGTCGACCCGATCCGTTATGACGTTATAATGAGTAATCTTTTTAAGATTATTTCAGATTCTGAACGGAGCGAAGGAGCTTATGGTTTTACAACGATAATTATTATTATTAATTTTTTTTTCAACTTTTCTACCGGAAATTTTGGTTTTCCCAATAAATTGGGTGATCCGAAATTTAATAATTCTGAATATTGATTTAACCGATTTTTAATCGGGCCGTTTATAGTGTTAAACAAACTACATTAGAAAAATCACAACCGAAATTATTGTGTTAAACAATTAAATACGACTGTTGAAAAATTAACTTTTTTTAATTATAGAATGCATATAGAGTACTGAGATAATTTCATGGTGTTTCTGAATGAGTTTACATTATGTATAACAAAAAGAGTAGAAATACACCGACAGTGTTGGGAATGCACACAGACACGTCATTATAAAGTACAACATACTTGTTACTTACATAAAAAGACATATAATGTTGTTTTGGTTATCTAACTAGTGCCCCTTAATGGGGGCGGAAAGCGAAAAGGTTTCCTCCAAAAACGGAGTTGGGTAGGTTTTGAGGAGGATATTTTTTATTTTTCTCGTCGTTTCTTAATAACAGGGATAAAATGGATCACGTAATATAATGATTTTGAATTCTGAAATTTAAATCACTTATACTACGGTACAAGGTAATTGTACAGCTTATGTGTTGGTTATGGATTCATGATATGGGTGGATCATTTAGATTATTATACTCTACAAATTACTCTATTAACAAACATGTGTCTAAGGCTATGATTGGATCTAATCCGGCCCTGTCCATTAGGTATATACGCGCGCACAGTGTATAGACTACAGGAATTATTCGTCAACGACGCGCAGTGCGTAAACACAATGATTATAACAATATTATTAATTACGATATTATTGATTTGAACGGTCATACCTGTTGGTGTTGTAAACAAGTGAAGAAATCCATTTCGTCTTGACAGTCTCTTTGCACCGACTTGTACCCGGCACTCATGTCCAAACAAGACAGTTGGCAACCATCCGACCTGGCCACGTCGCAGCATTTCCTCGCCGCGTCCAGCCACTTTACCTCGGTATCTGCGCACACGATTACAAACGTATTCACTTGTTATATTATAAGCGACCAATATAATATTCGATTTTTATTATTTTATTTTACGCGCACCACGTCATCCGCGTGTCGGCAGTGTCGTGGGTACCGTGTGTTTAGTTAACGAAACTCGACATTTTATATGCTTTTAAAATGATTACACACGGCCGATGATTTAATTAAACACATTGTACAATAATAATAATAATACACCGTGCGTATTATCGGGTGTCGCTTATAAATACGTATGTTTTATACTGCAGACACATGGAGCCGAATACCTATATCCGCATAAAATCCACCGTCATACTATAATAGTATATGTATAGTTTACGTAGGTATATGTTGGACTTACCTTGAGCCGAAGACGACATACACCATTCCACGTGACGGACCTGAGAACAAAAATGATTGAACAGAAATTAACATAGCGACCTTACTCGTTGAAAACTTTGTGCATTTGTTTTTACCTAAGGAAAAAATCACGACTACAACAAGCACCTACTAGAAGACTAGAAAAAACGATCTGGACAAAATAAGCTCAAACTCGGGTATTAGAGTTAGTTGTTATTTTATTGATGAAATGATAATAGTCGGGTTTAATTTCAATATGTTGTTGCGGAAAGAAGGTGGTTTTTTTTAGCTTTGAACATCCCTTAATATTTTTCTAAAATAATAATAAGTCCTCCTGTATTTTAGAATCATAAACTAATGAATTAGTATTGTAATATAGTTTTAAGTCATCTTCATAAATGTTAAAATTAGCATATTTAAAAACTAAGCCAACAACATTCATGTATAGAATAAAAAGTAGTGGTGGATTTTATTTCATTAAATTATAAAATAATAGCAAATGGTAATAACGAGTAAAATAGTAAAAATTAAAAAAAAATTATATTTCATGTCAAACCGTCTTAATTTACTTGCTACGTGCTTTTTTAAATTTATTGATCGTAAACACCATACCTAATTGGTACCTACCTAGTACTTTTTATTTTATTCATTCTCGTATAAAATATCTTACAGTTATATATACATATACGATGCCATGCCTATATACACCAGTAATATAGTATCTTATTTTATAATAAACATGTCAGAACATTATATCGTTATTTTCGTTGCGTATGTAATATACGAATTTGAATGATTCACATATTATTATGAGACAGGTATGTAATTTTTAATGTCAGATTTCTATCGGGGTTGTAATAATTATGTAAAAATTTTATTAAAATACTTCTTCAGAAAACAGCATTAATAAATAACGTATATAACATTAGAAAATCCGTCAAGATTTGACAGCCACGTTCTTAAATTGTACCCGATTGGATTAGCATAATACGACTGATTGCGAAGTAGATAGATAGAAAACTCACGACTCTATGAGACTGTTTTCAGAATAACTATTAAATAGCTTAGTTCTTAATAGTTACTGCATTGTGCTTTTATTTAAAACAAAAATATCACTGATTTTAATAGAGAAAATAAAATAAAAAATAATTTGAGTACCAAAAATAAAAAATAAGAAAACTTTAACAATCTTAATTTTTGTTAGTCACACCCCAGGGTAAGAGTACACCGTAGTCGAATTCAATTGGACGTTTTATTCGCTCCTATTTATGTCCTCTATTTGAATGTCTGTATTCTTTCATCTTATTTCATCCAAATTTCTTTAGATATCTTGTTTCCACACAACATTAGAAGAGGGACTCCGACCTTCTATAGTTCCACTAGTTTGGATCGTTTGACACGAATGATCCTCGAGACGAACCCAGAATCTATTTGAAAACGTTTTTCGAACAATCGACAGTCGAGTTTTGTAAACGTTTAATAGCCAATAGAATTGTTTATTAATTATTATAATATTCTCGACGACGCGTGAAATACGTTTGAACGGAAAATCCAGAAAGGAAAAAAATAAACACCACAATTATAAAATGGATATCAAACCGCGATAAAAATGTTAGTATAATGTTGTTTGTTTTGGTGCGTATACCTATAATATAATACTCGACAATGTTTCCGCTCGAGCAGATAATATATTTAATGGTATATACCTCGGCAATAGCCATGGGTACATACTATATATAGGTATTAGATACCTACCGTTAATAAATCAAACACAATATTTATCGCCATTGGTCTTCAAGACGGTATTTTTTTTATTATTATTATTATTTTTTTTTTTTTTGTAATATATATTACTTAGGTATATTTATTTATTATTATCATTATATATATATTTATTTTGCAGGCTGAAGGGCCTAAAGATTATTATCGCGGACAAAACTCTTTTTGAGGTAGATTAATGAATTACGATGTAGACATATTTTTATATTACGTTGAAGGTATACCTACGTAATACGACGGACCCCGCCCCTTCCCCATATTGCAGCCCGTGCAAACGTCATGGTGCTCGTCTGCGGCGGCGGCCGGTCTTAAACACCGAATGTCCCGCTGAGAGTTGTTATTTTACGGCGCGGTATTTCATTTTATTACACGTATCCCGCGACGTTTATGCCCACCCGTTTAAAATGACCCGACCGCGAAACAAAATATTATTATTATGGGAATTATTGTCATTTTACATTTTTTTTTTTCTTTCCAGATGTTAAGTACACCGAACTTTGAAAGTTTTGGATTATCGCATTTGTATTTCTATCTGTATACGCGTCGTGTAAGAATTATAATATTATTGCGCGACTATTTTATCGTCTACCGCACGTGGTAGTTTAGCGCGATACAAAGACGTTCCATACGCTCGTAAATGGTCGAGGAGAGTGTCCAGTTAATATTATCATTTATACGAGTAGCGTTATCGGCGCAGAACTACCGAAGAAAACGTAATGAAATAAAAGCGTCGTGTTGTACGGGCTGCAGAAATAACGAGGCCCAGAGCATTATTTTGGTTTACTTACCATACGTATATTGAATAGATCGAAAAAGGAAAAATCCGGACAAGACATTAAATTCGCATTTTGGGTAGGCCATTGTTGCAGGAGGGAGATTAGAATGGTTTTATGCCGTATGGAAGGCTCAGTGTAACAAACAGTCAAGTCAAAAATAACTTTTTAATAGTTTCGAGTAAAACAATAAACGCTACATATCAGTTTGATGCAATAACTACTAGATGCGGAAAATAATTTGGTTCAACCAAATTCTGGACAAAAAGAAGACGACTTCTATAAATTTGTCTGTTAACTATTAGATCGATTACAGTAAATCGTATATAACATAAATGGTTTAACTTAGTTTTTTGATTTTGATACGTGTTACAAGGAAACCCAAAATCACAAAAAAATAAAGAGCTGATACTGGGGATAGGGGCGGCTACTGTTGTAGGTGAGAAGTTTTTTATGGTAAGATACATAAGGTTCTGTACTGTAAGGTTCGTACTGTAAGCAACGATAAACCATTGTTAACGGAAGATGATTCCGAGCGCAGTTTGGTAATATATAATTGAAGTGCCGTAAGTTTTTTTTTGCGATTTTTGTTTAAATTTGATTTCAAAACGCTTATAAAAAAAATCAACAAAATTATGATCTCTTGTCGTTTTTAAATTGGAGCCATATTTGTAATAGAAAATGTGGTGGGTATTCTTATTTAAAATAACGAAATCGTGAAATATCGTATTTTTTCCCAGTTAATCGTTTTTATTTTAAATACCATTTTGAAAATCAAAAAATAACCTATGTATTTACCAAGAAGATAAAATTGACTTTCAGAAAAAGTGCTACACCAGAGCATGTTTTCTAGGATAAAAGTGGTCTATAGTATACATATAAAAAAAAAAAAAATAAAAAATACTATTGTAAAAAAAATCAAAAAAAGGAAAAAAGTCGTTCGATGATTTTGAACATTTTACCACGTCTAGGTAAGTCAAATATATGTATTATGACTAATTTTCAAGTCTCTACGTGTATTTATAACCGAATTACAGAAAACAATTCCCAAAAATGTCTTATAAGTTCTAAAGTGGCTCAAAAGTTTTGGTGATATTACCGTAAGAAATTAAATCAAAAAGGTATTTTGTGATTTTTCGATTAGATCATTTTTTCCAGTATAAAACGTCGACCCTGTTTTTATAAAATTATGAAATCGTGAAATTGTACGTTTTCCTACGTTTTTTTTTCCCAAATAAGTGCTATTATTTAAAAAAATGGCAACGAAAATCGAAAAATGACCTGTTTAAAGTGCAATTTAGACAACTTGAGCTTTCTTAAGAGTTGCTACGCGTAAAAATCGGAGCAAGTTAACCAGGAAAAAACGTGTCCACAGACCAGAACAAAGAAAAAGGAGAAATAAACAGCACTGTAAAACCAACTCGCTACGATCGTAGTCTAAAATAAAATAATTAATCACAAGTACGGAATGCATGAACGAGCCGTAGCGATTGAAGAAATCTGCGCAAAACTGGTGGCGTACCGTTATTTTCAGTTTACGAAAACAATTTTCAGAAAACCGTTGGGGATCTATAGAAAAACGTTTCGAACGAATTATTTAGTAACCGCAAAAGAGGTTACGAATTCGCAGTACGGACAGCGGACACCTCCCCCCCCCATACGTTATACTCGTTCCGCCCAGAACGTAAAAGTCACGGACCGATTTAAACGATAAAATGTTCGATCGACAAGCACTCTTATAGGACGGGCACACTATTGATTTGTCGATGCGACATGCAGACGGTTATTCCCGCGCGTTTGATAGATTATTCGTACCTATTAAAGTGGCGATGGCGGCGGAGGAGTGATGTGCCCGTATCACAAAAAACAGGCGAACTCCCGTCGTGTTTGTTTTTTTTTTTTTTAATTTTTATGATAGTCGATCGTCGTTTTTCGTGTTGCAGGTATTATACACACAGATATCACACTCGTGCCGGACAGCAACACGAACATAAAATGTATATTATAATATACGATATACACGAATATAGTATTATGTGTACAATAATATATAACACGCATACACGCACACACACACACACACACACACACACACACACACACACACATATATATATATATTGTACGCCTGTTTTTACTTTAAATACCTGTATGTATAGGCAGGTAGCCTAGTGTGTTATTTTAAATCACGACACCGGTGACAAGGATAAGTGGTCATCGAGATTATAAGGGCACCCGTCGTATGTGTTTGTGTGTGTGTGTGTGTGTGGCAGAAATCGATTTATCACGTTGCGTTACTTATAATACTGTATAATATATTAGATATATGTATGTACACACACTGTATACGGTCAGCGCGGGGGGTTTCAGAATAAGAAAGGAAAAAAAAATGTTTATACCTTCTTTTCGTTTCTCAGCCCAGAAGACGTATATATGTATATCGTTAATAATTATATATTCACTTTATATGTGTGTGTGTGTGTGTGTGTGTGTGTTTGTGTACGTGTGCACATTACACGCGTGAGAGACGCGAAGGGGAAAAAGACACATTTTGGAAAACGAGTCGGATCCCCGCGAGATAACGCGAGAGCGTACCGGTGTCGGATTAAACGGACCATATTGTGTACAATATGTGTCGGGTCGTGTTACTCACACGTGCAAGACAGGCATATGCCATGGCCCAGCGTGACCGGGACGCGATAATTAATCCTCGAAAATGACTCTAATATATTTATATTTGTATTTACGACACAGCATTTTAGTATTATTATCATGGACACCGCGATAAAGTGAGTTTCATGTAAATATATATAACATACGTGTATTATGGTAATATGAGCGGATTTCGCATATACCTACCTGCAGTGTACACGTACAGTGATAAATAAAATCCTGAGTCGAAATGTCATTATTGTTTATTTATTTTTTTGTAATTTTTTTTAAATAACCTGTTTTGGTTTTTTTTTTTTTTTAAGCCACTTGATTTGTTTAAGGGGAAATAAAATATCGTGTAGGTACATGTTTTTTTCCTATTCGAACACGACAACTGGTTTAAATCTAAGCGAGGACATAATTTCGTGGCTCTAACGACCGAAATATTATATATAAAAAAAAAAAAAAATACACGATATCATCGTAGTTTTCACTTTATTACCGTACTTAATAAATTATAATAAAGTAAGTATTTGCATAATAAATTTAATTTAAAAGGATATTATTATTATTGTTAACTCGTTTGATAATATATATATATATATATAAACTAGGGTTTGTATTCAAATGTTTGCATTTAAAAACTTTCTAAATCATTACTTTGAATCAAATTTAAATTGTCTCAATTCGAAATTCAAAATTAATTTGAATGAAAGGCTCAACTGCCAATACGTAAGTGAGTCGCGTTTACGACTTTTTGAAAAATTAAAAATGGTTGAAATATATGAATTTAAAATTAGTCCCGATTCTTAACACACGTACCTAATATTAAAATGTAATCATGAAATTTGTTCAAATACATTTTTACGCGTAAATCAGAAAAAAATAAGATTTAAATAATTTTTTAAGCGATTTTAGAATTTGTATTCATTATGGAAGTCACAACATAATCTAAGATATGACTTATTTATTTTCAATTTACTTATGTAAGACAATTGATATTCAACCTTTTTACAATATTAAAAAAAAAAAGGAGAAATCATTTTTTATACCAATAGTAATTCGAATGGATATGTATTATCTAGATAAAACAGTGTTCATTAATTTTCATCGTCGGCAGTTTCACGGTAAATCATACTCATTCGGGGTAAGAAAAATGTTTTTAAAAACAATGTTTTTATGTTCAAAAATGCTCAATTAACCATCATCTTAATAACAATAAAAAAAAAAAAACCATCTATAAACAATGAAATACGTTCTGTATATATTTGCAATCCATCGTCGGGATGATCTTTGTAAAATTGTGAAATAAAAAAAAATACTTACATTTTTAGAAGAACAGTGATGATAAAAATCTGTTATTCGACCAGCTATTTTATCTTTTGGGTATTCTTGTAAAACAGCTAACTGAAAACAAAACAAAATAAAAATGTAGTATACCGTTTGATCGCAACCTTCACCAGCCGTGGGTACATGAATATTATTTGTCAATTTTCAAACACTTGGTATCATAAAATATTGACAACTTTATACACAATATGGGAATGGATATCATGTAGAATTTATCATGAACCTATAAGGATAAAAAGTAAAAATGAACTAATACTGCTAATGGTTATACACTTGTACCACTTTGTAGGTGGAAAGTTGGGAAATTAGGATACATAGTTATATTTAATTTATATGTGCATGCAACAATAAATCATTATTGCTATTGAAGAAAGATTTTGAAGTTGGTGCAATTTGTTTAGAAATAACACGGTTTTCACGAAATTTAAACTAAATGCTTATATATATATATATAAAAATCCCACATTACGTTTTTTTGACTACTAAGTAAAACTTCTTATTAAATTTTCAGGCATTTCTGTTAAGCCCAACAATTGAATTCAAATAAAATATTAAAAATACTGAAAAATGTTAAATGATGGCTGCACACAGCTCAAGAAACATTATAATGTTTTGAGCACGTCTATAAAAAGCTAATAAAAGTATTCTGTAAACATCACTTCATGTTATATTTGTATCTAATATATAGCAGTACATCAGAATACCTTGTACATATTATTATTTCTAACGTTTGAAAATCAGGATTCATAATTATGATCGATGGTTATCACACACATTTACGTAATAATAAAATGATTGTAATATATTATATTGAATGTAATGCGTTAGATTATCATCAGAAAATATTACGAGGTTTGGTGTATAATGTAATTCTAGATTTTTTTTTTTTTGTATTTCAAGACGACCGATGTATAGTTCAGATTAAAAGCTTTTACCGTGTGGAGGTGAATACATTATTATGTCACTACCAGTCACAGAGTTATGTTTTCGCAGGAAACGTAAAGATATAAAACCAATTTTGATGATACCTTCGAAAGTCAAGCGGCTATTTATACAAATTTGTTTTGTGTAAAGAAATCAGAATCACTTGGAATTTTGGATAATACCTACATATAATAATAGTATAAAAATAGAAATATTAATATTATAATGTTGGATGTTATTTATATTTCTTGAAATAACCATAAATCTTAAAATATAATATAATATCGAAACGCTACTTATGAAACGTAAAAAAATAATAACAATAATTTATACAAATATTTGACCATATTGTCTTAATGTCTTGTTGTGATACTCTTGATGGTTTTACGGTGGGATTCACTATAATTTCTCACATCGCATCACCACATGGATTTTTATTCTGATAAAGAGCTGGCAGAAAATATTGGACGTTATTAATGATTAATGAATATCTGTACAGTCTATTTTTTCAAACAGTAGTAATATATTACTAAATTAATGTCATGAAAACTATAATGTATGTCACATCTGGCTGGTCGTCTATTTGTGAGCAAAGGTCTCTTGAGTATTTCAAGAATAATAATTATGAAATATTATCTTCCAAGAATATAAAAACCATTATTCATTTTTATTCGAGTATACTAAATTTACACGCGGAGATTTTAATATGTTCGGATTTATTTACGCGATAATAACTACAAAAAAAAACGTTTACAAACTAATACTACATTATTATAAGTAAAGACCGGATTTAATTGATATTGTAACTTTTTTTGCAATAAAGATAAATCAGATCTGATAAAATATATAGCCGATATATACTAAAAATATTCTGCTATTTAATTTTATAATGCAATTTTTCGCAATTATACCAAGTTTTTTAAATCATAGGCGTTTAACCAGTGAGCGATAAGCGTCTATATATAGTAGTAATTAAATTCAACGTAGTAGTACAGCGATACGTGTGCATTTACCTGTTGGTACCTTAGTACATATTTTTTGATCAGTTTGACCGCACAGTGAATGTATTCGACGTAATGCCTAAAATAAAATCAACTTTAAAAAGTAAAATTTTGAATTGGATTGCTCCTCACAATTAAAATAAAGAAGTATTTTCATCAGATGAAAAGGTTATATACTGTCTTGTATGTAATAAATCTGTGTCTACTAAAAAAAAATATCTATTAGATCATCATTCCAAAACAAGTAAGTTTTATAGTTTATGCTTATACTACACGTAATATAATACATATTATTTTAAAAAAAACCGTTTTTGATTACTTTTCAAAATTCGAATAGTAAAAATGTATTTTTTGAAGATTATGTAATGCATTTTTTGCTGCAAATATTCCTTTGCATAAGCTGGGCAATCATTTCTTAAACCATTTTTAGAAAAACATACTGACAAATCAATTTCTAACGAAAGCACTTTAAGAAAAAATTACATACCAAATATTTATAAAAGCGTTATGGACCAAATAATTAGTGATATTGGAAATAATTACGTTTACATAATTGTTGACGAAACAACCGATCCAAGAGGTTTAAATGTATATAAATATTTTTTTCAATTTCTTATATAATAAAATATACTATTTTCGTTTAGGTTTGACTATTGCAAAATTTATAAATTGGTAAATTAGATGGGACGCCTAGTAAATCATATTTAATTGAATGTAAAGAACTAGAATCCACCAATTAAGAAACTATTTGTCAGTTTATTAATTCCTCGTTAAAAATATTTCTTGGTATTGAACAAAAAGTATTACTTTTTATTAGTGATGCTGGTACTTGTATGATCAAAGCAGCAAACATATTAAAAATATTTTTCCCGAAATTAATTCATATTACATTTATGGCACATGCAGTTAATAGAGTTCTAGAGAAAATTCGAGTGAGAAAAAAGTGTCTATTTAAAATTTAAATTTATGTGTAACTTATTTCGTTAAAAAAAGGTTATTTAGGAAAAAAAGCTTTCCTAAAAGCACAATCGAGAATAAATAAAATACAGAAAAGAAATGCCGGGTACAACTTTATCACCTGAACCTAATATTACAAGATGGGGAACATGGTTAAATGCTGTAATTTTTTATACAAATAATTGTGAAGAATTTAAAAACGTGATTGCACTTATGTAACGTAATCGTACCTTTTAATTGCGTTTAATATTCCGAGAGGAAATACCTCATAATAATTATAAACAAAAAATAATGTATAAATTATATAGTATTTATTAATTGGTCATATTTTTCGATCTAATCTTTTCGTTTTTGATGGCGACGGCTGGTTTGATTGTATTATTAAATTTTTTGCAGTACGGAGAAAATGTCATATTATTAATATTTTACCGATTAAAATTGCTTCATTATACTAAAATGTTCGTTCAAAGACATTCAATATGAAGTAGAAATAAAAATACAAATACGGCCTGGCAAACAGAAATAATATTAATGTAGTATATTATGCGGCACCTTCATTATATATAAATATTAAATAATTATTAAAAAGTCCGAAGATTTAGGATCAAAATAACGATACCGTATAGTAGTGGTTTTAAACCTAGGGGAAGAAAGGAGTCACGAGTAATATTTTAGGGGTCACTAAAAACTATGAGTATCATGTATAATCGTAGTATTTAAGCTAAATTAAACAGTTTTTGAACGAATCGTCTTAGACGAGAAAAAAATATTGTGGGGACGTAATTCGAAAAAGGTCGGAATTCACTACCGTATATTTAGTATGAGATTAAGAGTGAACGAGACTAGTATTATAGTTGGACGATTAAGGAAAGCACACGTAGTTATGAGTCACGTGAAGATGAAATACATTTCGAAAACATCTCCGACAAACCCCACTCGGACTATTTAGATATTGTTAGACAACTCTCTGTTATAATTTATTGGAAATAAATGTAAAAAATATTTAGTTTTAAGTTTATCCTCATACGTAATATTTTCAAATATGCCCGCAAATATAGTCCTATGCACTAAGCAGTCTGCACTACTTTTTGAAAAATATTCGGATCGAAAAACAAATATGAAAAAACTTCTGGCTAGTATTTGAAAACACGTTGGTATATAAAAATGTATATCAATATATAACAAAATCCAACAGTTTTCTAACAATATCTATTTATAGTTAGTATTATATTTACTATTGTTACAGCGTTCAATGACGTTATTTTAGGAAATAACTAGGCAAGTCCCTATTTATAGTTTATGAATTATCTATAAATGCCAGCTAAACTGTTTAGAAATATTGTACACTTACCTAGTGGAAGAAAACTATTTATTTCACTTTAATTAAGTAGTTATTTCGTAACACTGAATACATTAATGAATACATACAATATATATTATTAAAATACACATTGGGTTCAACATTTTTGTTAATTGATTAATTTGTGTATTTATTTATTTATTTGCGACGTTTTAAATTACCCACCTATACAAAACTTGATTTTTCCTACAAAAGCATTTTTTTTTAAATATAATTTGTACCTACTGTTAAAAAATACTGATTTAATAATTATATTTTAATCACAAAATTGTACGTACTACTTCTACTCGAACTCGTATGTTTATTTGTCATTTATGTGAATTCAACTTTTTCGGCTGTTTACAAGTATTCAAAAATTTGATACGTTGTATTTAGTGCATAGGAGGGGAGAGTAAAAAGTCTTGCATAATTTCTTGATTAATTTGTATAATCTTCTCAAGTTCAAATTTATGATACCTACATTTCTTTGAAAAACAAACATAATTCGTTTTAAAGTTACAAATATTAAATTGTTCGAGACATTTTGTACCAGACTCCGTTCGGAATCGTTTATATTATCGTGCCATGATATACTGCGGTATAATAATAATATAAACTAAATAATTACCCTACGCTATAATAAAGGTACCTAGAGTACCTTCTCATAACTTTCCACTAACAACGGTGGCTACCTATTAATAAGTATAGGTCTACTCGTATAGGTATGGCAGTATAGTATTTAGGTATCGTTTTCGGACGGACGGCAGTCGCGTGGATACCGTCGTGTAAACAACGTATTATTGTATTATATTGGGCGGTGTTCGGCTTACACTTTTTTTTTTTTTTATACTCATAGACGCGTATTACACGGCCTGTGGGCTCCATTTATATTGTGTTTGGACGTTTCAATTAACCCGTCACACCGGAACAAGGCGGACGGACGGTTAGAGTAATATTATATAGGTACGTATAAATACCCCGTTTGTTACTTTGCACTCGCTCACACACACAAACACACACACACACACACACACACACACGCGCGCGCGCGCCTACTAGAATATTATTGACATGCATTATTCAACGGACCTCTGATGTCGAATAGTGAATATATTTCCGTGACGTTGCCCGTGTTACGAGTGTGTTGAATATTAAAAAAAAAAAACAACCACGAATGACAAATGCGTTCGAACGACATCAATAAAAATAAAAAAACAATCGATAAGGCGGCATATTTTATTATGATTTATATATCATTATTTTTGTCTCTTTTAAATTACGTATTCGGAGGACGATATCGGCCGGTGTGCGTGTGTGAGATACACGCGTGTCCGTCAAACGAGGAATTTCCTATTATACTATATTAAATATATATTATATTATTACCCAAGTCCCGTCATAGTAACCCCGCGGTACACAAATCCTACGATCTCAACGATGTCTATATTTTACACTCGGTTACGTATCAGTGATGAGTCAGCTCATTTAAGGGGGTACGAGCTGACATCATAACTACACTACTTACAGAAAATATTTGTGATAACTTACAGAACAGTATAAATAACTGCAAACAAATTTCGGGGAGAGGGTCCACAATTCACTAAACATATATGGCTAAAAAGCTACACACTCATATTTTGTATTTTCTACGTCACCCACGGTAAATTCGTTTTTACTGCTCGTATATATGGTAAATTATATACAAATGTACGCAACAGATATATACGTGTTACTGTAAAACTGGGCAAAAAAATATATTTCACAAAATGAACTAAAACTTTGAAGACGAACAATTAACGAACGTGTGGACAAAAAAAAAAAAATACAAATTTTAATACTAAAATTCATAAATAAAAATAAAAATAATAGTTATATTGGTATTTGTTCTTGAAAGTATATGATGAAATTTGAAAATCAAAACATGATATTGGTTTCACCCCAATCATAAGGTTGAGGCGAACATAAGGGCAATGGAACATTTGATACTTATTATCGAGCGCCTTGTTTCTTAAATTGTCCATTAAGAAAATTCCGAACAAGAGGAAAAATAATTTCCGAGATAATGCAGTGTCATACGTTAAACACTCATTATTGACTATAATATACAAGTCATTAAAATGTCTAATCAATTTAACGGTTTTTCGCACCTATATAATATATGTAGAGACCACACGTAGTTCGACGAGGCCAATTATAAATTAAACCCCAATTAAAAAACTATAAATTATTTTTCAAATTTATTTTTGTAAATTAATAATACAGTAAAAAAATGTCTAATAATATTATACCGTAAATGTAAGAGTAATACACGAAACGAAAATTATATAATTTTGTTTCATATACAAGTGACAATAATTTTTAACGAATCCATTTTAAAATTTCACATTTTTGTAAAATATTTGTGTATGATGGTTTTAAAAAAAAAAATCTGTTTGTAAACAAATTCTCTACCAGCAATCCTAATTTAAATCAAGTGTAGCATTTTTTCTGCAAGCAAATTATAACTTAAATATAAATTTTTCATACAGTTTGAATAATAATTAGGAAAATCCAATAGAAAAAAACCAAGAAAGTTTATGGAAATAACTTCATTATCTTCTATTTGATTTTTTTGTTGTAGTTCTGTTAAAAATAATTGTAAGACTATTAAATTATAAAATATTTATACTGATATTTTCTAGGTGCACTGGAATTTTTATAATATTCTGATAATTTTTTAATTATTTATTGGTATTTGACATTTTCGTGTTTTTTTAGGTTTTGTTTGATTTTTATGTAGATACAAATGTTTTGGATGATCAGAAATGCTTGAAGATTTTACTCGAGGTTCTTTATAAGTATGAATTTAGTGGTAAAAAAAAGAAGCGTAATGTAGAAGTTAATTTGTATACAATTTTTTAAGTTCAAGTTATTCAATCTATGAAACATGAGTATCCGAAATAATATATTGTTATTAATATATATATATATATATATATATATAATATTGTTATTTGAAAATTATTAAAATCAAAATTAAACACTTTCTGGAATTAGAAAATAACGAATTGGCATGTGTGCGCGTAGTGTTTGCCAAAGTTACATTCTAACACTCTAAATATGTTTTGAGCCATATGGTTTGCAGAGCGTTAATGTAAATTATTTTGATAACATAAACACGTTTAAAACGAATATTATATATTAATATTGTATCATATGGTAATCTATATTGACTGTTTATAATAAAAGGTTCATTCAAAATTGAAATCACTGTAGGTACTATACGGGTAAGAATTCAAGAATCCGATATGAGATACATGAGTTTTACGATTTTCATAAAAACCAAAAATTCAAACGAATATAAAAAAAAAAGACACAATTTATTAACAAAAAAACAAATCATATTATTGATGATTGAAACACATCAAAATTGTTCATAGACAGAAAATATACTTGCAAAAAAATTTATACATCCTAGTAAAACCAATTTATTTCTCGCTTTGTTCAGAATCTTTTATAGATAAATATTTTAGGAAGAATCAAATTAATTATTTTAATTTTTTGTGTGAAATATAATTTGAATCCAGTTGCGGGTAAAGGCAAACTTTTTTTTTTTTAATATATATATATATATATATAGCGTTTAATGCATTGAATATTGGGTACGCGTTAGACTTTCGATTTTATAACAATGGTTAGTAATAGTGACACAAATTTCAGTTAACTTCCCAATATTCTATTAGTTTTCGCAATAGGTAGACAATCTCGGTCTCTCTATTGTATTGCAATGCATTATATTATTATAACAACTAAATAAGTTCAGTTTACTTCCATTCAAAATTTCACCGCACCGAACGCATATTGATCGAAAATCGAAATACTCGTTATGAATCTATTGCGTTCTTTACGTGTTTATAATTCAGATTATTCGAAAAGATTTCTGTAGGAACCCCTCGTGATTCGTGAGCGTATTTATTACATTTGTCACGTGATTCAAAAACAAAAAAAATCCCCTTAATTGGTGTATTAAAGGAAAGCGCGTTGGTGCATCGGATCGTTAATTTAAGAAAAATTCGGTTCGGATTTGACTTTAAAAATCAGAATTTACAACATTATAACTAAATCATTAATAGGCGATTTCAAAATTCAAGACGTTTCGATTAGGTATTTCACTTTAAATGTTCGAAAAATCCTTTCAAACACACGTACTCATAAAATATATTGTGCAATAATATCGTAAATCATCTGTAGTAGTTTTTAAGATTAACAAATCCAGTCGATAAATTATTATTTTTTAAATTTTGAACAACACTACAAACCTTTGAATAAAAGAGGGGGTATTTTGTAATTTTGTATACGAATTTAAATGATGTCCAGTTTGTGCTTTTTGGGGTTTAGATTTGTCAGTCTTAACTCCGTTAGTTTTATGTTTTTTCACGATTTTCATCCTTTTTTTATATTGCTTTTTCCCAAAAAAACTATTGCACTATTTTATGTCTGTTAAATACTCGTATATGTTTTTTTCCTAGAATAAATCTTTTGCGTTTGCATGGCGTTAGAATTAAAAATGTGACTTTTGGTGTTATCCACTTTCAACTCTTACCTTTATCAATTTATGATAAAATATCATTATTATTGTTATTGATAAAATGTATTGTGTACATAAAAAAAATAAAATAAAATTCAATTTCGAACACCTAACAAATTATAAACTGCCTACGAAGAGAAAATTCGATTTTAGTGAAAGAGCTCTGCGTATCTGTTCACGAATGTTTTTTTTCTTGTATATAAATTTACATGTAGCCCGTTATCGGTTTTGTTACTATATTAATTTCGTGGCCGAGACGATAAACTTGTGTTTTCCATTTTTCCGACCGAAATGATAAACAAAATTAAACACCGGCGGCTTCCGCACAGCGTGTAATGTTTCATGTCCGCGTGATTTATTTACAAACTCGAGCATAAAATATTTTAAAAAGGAATAAACTTTTTTTTTTTCTTCGGCAATCGCGGGTAAAATATAAAACATGCTCCCGTCTCAACCTCAAAATCTTCAACCCCACACCCGGACAGACATAAAACCGCGCAGACACACAAAACAAATAACATTATACGACCGTGAAAATATAATATAAAATATTTCATGCGGCGGACGAGTCTACACGCCATCGCCATATGCACCCCGTGACGACGACGGCAGTGGCGGCGTGCCGGCACAAACCCGTTTTTTGAATTTTGTGGCACATAATTCTATAATATAATAATAATATTAGGTAGGTATGGCGTAGGTCGCTTGTACACGGGCGGACGAGAGAGGAGGTCGCCAAAAACGACGTAATAAAGATTGGGAAAAAAATGCATTTTATTTTATACAATAAGCGTATAACTACGGTAATCAAGCGATTAGTAGTCTCGGACATCGCGCGAATTCGAAAAAAAAAAAACCACACAAAATAAAACAAAAATGTGAGAAAACGAAAAAACTATACGTGCGTGCATTGTATACGTATTTTATATTATTGTGGATAAAGAGTGTGCGTGCAATAATACACACGCGTGTGTGTGTCCGTATACAGTGTGTTTTTTTTCCGGTGCGCACATGTTTTTTTTTTTCCAGATGGGCGTAAAATACATTTCAATTTAGCATTTAGGCCGGCATCACACTTGCGTAAATTATTATAATTTCGATGATTACGATCGTTATTATTATTTATAGCCGTGTTATGGCGATTGATCCGGGTCTATTCGTTACCGGACATGGTTATATGATTTTGATTAATGGGTTATATAGATTCGTGAAAACGAAATTTGTATGGTTATTGAAAACGATATTAATTGATAATAATATTAATTTTAATTTTAAAGCATTTAGTTATTAGGCCTTAGTGTTTATTTATTCTGTATGTTATATAACTGTATGTCATTAATTTCAAACGTATATGTATACGTAATAATAAATTTGTAGGCACATCATAAGTACGAAATTTAAAAATGTGATTTGCCACTTGATTTGCCATTATTATGATTTTATGAAGTAAACTCAAAAAACCAATTAGATGTTAAATTAAGAATGTTAATCGTAAAAAAAAAATTATGAAAAAAAAAGTATTGTTTATAAATATCTATACAATTATTACTTTATAAATAACTAAACAAAATACAATTTTTTTTTCTGTTTGATTATAGTATTTCAGTAACTTCAACCAAAGTAATAACCAAAATTGCTAAAACGACTAACTGTAACTAAAGTCTACTATAACTGTTTATAAAATACAGTAACCCGGGTTTTTTATTTGGTTATTTACCAAAATACGCCTATTATTATGATGGTATGATAATAATAACCATCATGGTTGTTATATAGTATTATTTTGATGTTTTTGTTAATCGTAATAAACCTGCAAAGAACATTTCTATCAGAAATCGTGCTCCAATGATAAAATAATAGAGACCTTATATTTATTGAATTTTGGATCTAGTTAATGTGGTAGTTTCTTTTATAATTGTATCAAATTTTAACGAAAATCGTAAATATTTCGGCATTTCAAACCATGGATGGATAATCGAAATTCGCTCAGAATCATATTTCGTAAGCAATTACCACAACAGTAGTGCATCAGCTATATTAGCTCTTTTTTTTTTATGCATAACCCATGTACATGGGTACCCGGGAGCTTGAGTACCCGTCGTAATCTTTAAAGGGGGGCAAAGTACCCATTATACATATTTAACTGGATGATTTAGAACGCGAATCGTAAATATAAATAAACTAAATGTTCAATTTCTAAATCGTTGAAAATATTTGACGCGGGTAAAAACGATCTCAGATATTCGCACATCGATCCGCAGACGAATTTCGCAAGAAATGTGATTTGATTATATTAATTTTGTACATTCAAGATACGGGATGGAAAAAAAAATCCCCGAAAATGTCGTCATTCGAACGTCATTCCGGAAGTATGTACGCGCGTTCACTTCGAACAAAGCGTTTCCTCATTCGTTTCGGAAACCCCCTGTATAATAACATAATATTATTATGGTGATATCGTATAATTGAAACGTTGACTTCGGATCGCGCGTTTGGACGTCGGCCAGCTACACGGGCCGCCGTCGTCGTCGTCGTCGGCGTCGTCGTCCGTTGTTTGTTTGCCTTTTAACTCTACCAAGACCATTGCGGTTGCGCTCCGGTTGATTTAAGACATCCGATAGACCGCCGCCGTCTCGTCGTTCGCGCGCACACCTCGTCGTCATCGGCCGTGCATAAATACGCGTATTTTTCTCGCGGTAACGAGCAAACGGGCTCTCGCGGCTGTGATTTATACTACGCCCGTCGCCGTGTTGTTATTTACACACACACACGCGCGCGCGCGCGCGACAAAATCAAGAAGCACGCACGTGTGTACCAATAGTAAATACTGCGGTAGGAGTATTGCATAATAAGGTGTGCTGCTATTTTTTTCGACGCCGCGCGCATACTTCTGGAACACGGTGTACATGGTACCTACACGTCCTACCCACTACATTACCGGAACGTTCCGGGGGTGACGACGGCGCGCGGTTTCGCGAGGAAACCCCAAAGAGGACGCTGTACACGCACGTGCTGTCTCAGTCCAACCAACGGGTTCTATAGGCAAAATCCACCTTGCGCAGACCGCATAGAAACCGCTTGATTTCGGTTTTAGACTTCAAGCGCCTTCAACAAAACGAAAAGAGGTACTCTTTTAATTTTATAATGGGTGATTTTAAGGGGTGTGTGTTTTTCCAAAACGCATCAAAACAATGTTTAGACAGACTTATTGGACGTCGTTAGAATTTGTTGGAACCTCTTTTTTAATTAGCTCACCTTTTATTTTGTAACGCTAATTTAACACTTAGCATTCCACGTATACTGTATAGTACACCAAAACCGTTCAAAAACCTTCCAACTATATTCAAATACACCTGCAGTTGGACATTGTTGGAGTCCCCTTTTTCATTTATTTCAAAACCTTACAACATTTCTCAGAATGTATATACAATTATTTATTGTGGTGTTATTATATTATATTACAACTAACTTTTCATTTTTTTTTTATACCGATTAGTTATAATATAATGTAATATGCATTAACATTATTGCGTAACTAAAATATTTTGTCAATATTTTAATAATAATATGATCCGAATAAATGCATACATAATTCTGTGACCTTTATAATAACTGAATTGACACGTGAATTTTAGGTTTTCACGCGCTCCGGGTGGCAAAATTTGGATATTAGATGTGACAATAATTATATAAATACGTTCTAAACGAGACGGAAAATACTGGACGGGTCAATCATTGTTATACGGCGATCATAATACGCGCAATTTCAATGTCTAAAATTATTTGCTCGGATTAATTTACAACGTTACGCACGTTTGATAATAATGTATAGTTAGTTATATGGCATAATCGTGTTTCGATAACGATAATATTATGTGAAATATAGTGACGGTACACCACACCTTAAACGGTTTAAATACTATTATAACAATAAACTCGTCGTTATAAAAGTCATGGAAATTAAATGCTATATGTTCGGTCGGTCAATATTTACAACAATAGCAAATTAGGAAGTAGATAGGAATTCATATTTTTTTGAATACCTTACGATTACAATGAAATAAAAAATATAATAACGACAACACCAACACCTATATATATAATATCATTACACCCTTTCGACCGTGTTTGAAACGGAATATAATTTTTAACGTATACAATATCAAGTTGTATAATAATACTTAGAATGTTTATAATTATAATCTACAAGTCCTGTGGGTCCACGTGAAACACGTTAATTACGTATTGCGTTGACGTTTATTAGGGTGAAAATAAAATAAATGTTCCCCTTCCAATTTAAATATACGAAAATCTATTTTAAAAATAAATCTCGTGTACGGAACTAATTATGCTATTTAATTTAATTTAATAGGATTTAATTGATATCGTTAAAAAAAATGTTTAATTCAAATGAGATAATTATAATATAATTTCGTCGATTTAGTACGTATACCTTACGTTTTGTTAGGGTAGCGAATAATCTCCGGTTCGAAAAACCATAATCATCGTACAACTTTAGTGCGAGTCATGCAGTTTACACGAATCAAATGGTAATAATTAATTATTTACATGGTAAACTATTATGATTTGTTTTATCGCAGTTCATATATTATATAATATGATGGATTAAAATACGAAATGAAAAACAACGCATTATTATTATTTAATAACATTTGACATGATACGGATTTCCATAATATTACAAGAGTATACGCAAATATTAGAGCATAATAACCAAGGAGTACAAAAAAAAAAAAAAAATAAAATAAAAGTAAGATACCGTACTCACGGGGAAGGCGTACATTATTTTTCGGTTGCCTGTAGAAGTGTTGACTGTATATACCTACACGTGAAAAACGTGTTGCATATAATATTTTATGTTTTTTCAGTCGCTGCACATTTCACATTCCCACGTGCAGAACCGGACATGTGTGCCGAATATTACACTGCGCGTATGCCTCGAACACAGTGTACACTGTACACTGTAGCACACTGACTTTAACTAGGCGGGGAAAAAAAATTGAAACATCTCTGTGAAGTTGAACTGTATTATACAGTACGTTTCACTCGAATGATAATACGAAATATTTCAACCGGGTGACTTTGTATCGAAATTGGGTTTTTTTTTTTTTTTAAGAATATCGAGGTTTAAAAAAAATAAACATTTTGAATCGACAATGTTTGAGAAAAAGTAAGTTTTGCATCACGAGAACTAAATTGCGAAAATTTTATCAGAATGTGTATTTCGGTATACTCTTAATTTGAAACCTCGTTTCAATCTAAATCCATCAGACTAAAATACCATTCGTATTACTATTTGAGTGAAATACACTGTGTACAAAAAGGAGGATACATCAGAGGTTGCCAAACGGTCGATCGGGATCACGGACAGTTTAAATATCGTCATGTCGATCTCCTTTTGTTAGAACTTATTTTTATATAATTAGTAGATAAATTACAATTGCTAATCATTTTTATCTATCTTTTATATCATGATTTTGTAATTAAGTAATACAATTCAATAGAGTTTACACTGAAAAATGTATTTACCATATTATATATCAGTATTAATAAAAGTTTGATGAAAAACTTAGGTATTTCACTGTACATTTTAATTTTATTATTATTTATTAGCTCTACACGTACGTTTATTATTCATGTATATTAAGTAATTTATATTTATACATTTACGTTAGGAAGTCGATCCTCAAAGGAAAAATATATTCTTAGTAGATCCCTAACAAAAAAGTTTGGCCAAATCGGGGATACATAAATAGTATAATATGCTTATTATATTATTACATAAAGTATCCAATGATATGGCGAAGAGATTACCATATAGGAAACGAAAAAAAATATTCAAAAATTTACATAACAATATGGCGTGTAGAATAAAATATTTAGTATATATATATACGATTACGTGCGTGCGCATTCAATTTGACCATCTATCGGATGCGTGTAAGAAAAAAAAAATGTTTAAAAACCTCGATAAAAATTATAATTCACGGCGTATAATAATACAATATTTTTACCATTTTGTATAAAGAAAATTAAAAAATCGTTTTTAACGACGTGATACTTGTTTACTGGTTTATAAGAATGAAGAATAAAAACGCCGCGTTGTGTGCATATAAATACTTATTAAAAATGCACGAAATGTAAGTAAAACGGTCATTTTTTTTTTTTTTAAATTTAAAATATAATATTCGATTGTTTGAGAATATCACTGCAGTCATATTATTATAATATGACTGTATAGGTAGACGCTTTTATATGTTTTCCGAAACTCGGTGGCAATGTAAATGATTGCGATGAATATTAATACGGGCGCGCGTGTGTGTATGTGTGTATGAGTGTGTTTTTTAATGGATTTTTCAATTTTGATGTGAGATAATAGTAATTGTCACCTTACATTATAATATAATATTATTACGCGGTATATTAATATGTTAATTTTATACTACTTGTTGCGTTTGACAGCTGTTTAGAATCAGAGATGATAATCTACCGCGTTCGATCGGTTTTCTACGCCGATTTATGATAGTTTAATATTTTGTATCTACTCGATTATATTATAATGCATACATTATTTCTCGATAGAACCAGTGCCGGATTAAGACATTTTCTGTGCCTTGAGGCATATACAGGGTGATTTTTTTTATCATGAACCAGCAATTATCTCAGAGGATTTTAAGTGAATTTGATTTCTGTTTTTTCTAATCTTTATGGAATCATTTATAAGCTTTATTTTAAAATACTTTTGATTTTCAAATAGGAACTTCCCTTTTTGAACACAGATTTGAATAGAGAATATTTTTCCAAAAATGTCGATATGCATAACACTAATATCAGATTTACTGTTTATGAGATATAAAAGTTTAAAATTTAGACTGGAGGACTAGAGAAGGGTAATACCTACCTACGAAAATCAAAAGTATGCATTTATTTAAGATATATTGAATAGGGGTATAACATTAAAAAACATTAAAAATGGTTTTAAAATAAAGCTTAAACGATTCTATAAAGATTAGAAAAAACAGAAATCAAATTCACTTAAAAACCTCAGATATTTGCTGGTTCATGATAAAAAAAATAACCCTAATAAATTGTATAAAATACAGGGGCATTTTATACAATGGCCGAAATACTAAAAAGCAAAAAAAAAAAAATGTTTATTTTTATATATGTTATTTCGTGTTTATTTTTCCTATTCTGCTGTTTCCGCTTTATTTATCAAATCATATAATTCAACAGCACTCATATTGGCAATTGTATTTAAAATATTATATCAGTCTTAATAAAAGTATGATCAAAAACATTAATTAATTATATATTTTAGTTTTATTATTTGTACATATATATTTGTTATGAATACCTATTAGGTATTTATAATTATACATTTTTGTTGGGAAGTCGTTTCTCAAAGGAAAAATATATTCTTAGTGTAAATCTCTACCACAAAAAGTTTGCCCCCCACTCAGCATACTGTACCTACGTATTATTTTACTATACGACATAATATTTTATAACGATCGATCAATCGTATTATGATTAATTCTCAGTGAGAATTTCTCACCACCGATTTTCTCAAACCGTTTATTAGCAATACATCACTTCGTTATTATTACAATATTCACATATAGGTTGTGTAGGAACTTCGTAGGAACTGCCGTCACTATTAATATCGTTAACTTCTATACTATACTCGGGTCGACAACGTTTCACTGTCCCATCGGCCATCGTCCTAAGAATTGATTGGTAAATAATTTCCTATACAATTTTACAAATTAATAACTGATAATAGAAAGATTTGTATACGCCGGATGTTTTATTTACAATAAAATGCGCTAAGGAATACAATTAGCCTGATCGATGTAATGAAGCGATAAGAATTCTTAAATTCAGAGTTGTGAATAAGTTGATGTTACATTGTTAACCGAACTTTATAAAATACATCCAAAAATGTTTAAATAAACTTAGTGGGAACTATTGGCATTATTTAAGGTCCACTTTTTAACAATTCTGCGTTAATATTTTTAACGTCGATGGGGAATAACATAACTTACCCTTAAGACTTGATATCTCCATCAATTAAATACTATAAGTGTTCATAATCAATATTATGAAATACTTAAGCCCTTTCTCAAAATATTTGGGCTGTTTCCACCTATACTTTTTGGGTTTTGCCCAAAAATTTGACACGTTCATTAATCTTTGCACTGAAAATATCTATACACACGTGCACGTATCGAAACAATTTATATAACAATATACAAATTTATTTATTTATTTATTTATTAACTATATACGAGAGCTTGACGATCCGAATTAAAATCAGTAATTTAGCATGCGAACAAACATAATATAATATTATACTTATACCTATCTAATTGGTCAGTGACAAACGTTTAAGGTGCATTGAAAGTAGGTTGCATACACGCATACAGTAAGAAAAAAAAAATGGGAGCGAATAATGGCTATTATAAACATTTTTAATGCGGTAGATATCTATAAAATTCTTGATAGTTTTATGTTCCAGCGCTATAAAATGCAGCACGGAAAGGGTTGTAAAACTTCTGGCCGGCTTGTATGCAATATGTACACTGGGTGTACGATCGTTTATGCAAGGTGCATAGTATTATAATAGTCTTTTATATAATATAATTCAGTTGTTTAGACAAACGTCTTTTAAAGACTATTTTTTAACGTCATAATATCGTTGTTTGAATACAAAAGTAAGTATACAAATAGGAAGTCTCAGCGCACGAATAATATAATCGGAATGAAAATAATTATATTATAGAAAATAATGATATAGTATTTTTATTGTTAATAATCACGAGTACTATTGAGGATAATATGGTGCGACGGGCCTACTAAAAAAATCAATACTTTTTTAAGATTTCTCTTTGTTTTTAAATAAAACGGTTTTATTTTATATTTTCGTATTCAATTCGTATGAACACACAATAATACGACGGATATTCGGCGTATATAAAATATTGTCAGTATTATTGACTTATATGACTTACGTTACGCAATTGCGAGTAGGTATACATTTTATTCAAAATTGTATAGCAGAAAGTGGAATATTATGTAATGTATTTTATTTTATGACTCCTATTTCAGAACGCAATATCACCGAACGTATTTCTTTAGCTGTTCATCGGTTGTAGGGTCTCAGGTATATTGACGTATAAGGGGAATACAGTACACCAAATGCCCCCCCTCCCACCGAAATTACTTTCTCGACCGAAAATGTTTAAGTACTATACCAACTAAAATTTCATAAAACCATCACATATCTACTCCGTTGCCCGTAATAATGCGAATAAAATTATATTTATGCAATTAAATATTTGTTATGGTTTTATTTTGGATTTAACTTATTTATTTGACTCGTAAGTTTATATAACTAAAATAAACTTCGTTTTGCCCACCAAACTAAAATTAATTACGAGGATAATAAAAACATTGTAAATCGGAATATGACATTATAACCTATGAAATTAAAATTAAATACAGTACTGCGTTGCACCGTAATTTAACTATAAGTTTGTTCATTATTTTTCGAATTATTTTTTAGGTTTTCATGTTTTTATTTCTTATCTTCAAATAATTTACTGTAAAAAATAAAGATGTACCCGTACAATATTCGTTTCTTAATTATATTAAAAAAGGGCGTATCAATTTTTTGATGTTCATACAAATAATTAACATCATGACAATGACAATTCTAAAACGCACTATTTTCCTATAAATTTGCATGATAAATATTATTGGCGTATATTGCTATTTAAAATTGAAATTAAAAATATTTTTTTTAGTTAAGTAAATTATTTTATGGTAATAACTTGGAAAATCCTAAGTCGATACAATTATTATGCATTCCATTGAAAAGTTAATGAAAAAACTACGAAATAAGTGAAACTATATGTTGTGCAGCAAAATTTCAAAAATAAATTCGAAAAAAATAAACGGATAAACAAATCCGAGAAGTGTCGAAAATCACGTTAAAATCATAATGGAAAAGAAAAAAAAATTTTTTTTTAATAACGCGAGCATGTACTTGTTTTGTTTGTCAGCAGTCATTCAAATAAGGCGTTAAAACGCGCAATTCATTGAATGACAACAATCGTGCGAAAAATGTGTATTTCATAAACATAATATTTCATGAATACGAACTCTCTTGTACGCACACCTGTCGTCTGGACATGTTTTATTGTTTTTCTAGTGTTTTCTTTACACGCTGATGAGAAAAACAACGAATGGATTAGAGGGTACGACAATGCCATTATAATACAACATTGTGGGTTCGGGACTTCTAGCATTTATTATACACCTATATTAGATATATTTTATTTTTTTGGCTTGATATAAAATCTAGCAGATTGCTACAGAAATGTGTTATGTTTGTTTATTCGGTAATTTAAAAAAAAAAAAAAAAAACCGTTACAACTATGAACAATTTAACTTACTTTTCTCAGTTGTATCTATGTGTGCATTATAATTGAAATTAAAAATCGTTTTACTTATTTATTATCCTATGCCTATATAATATGGTCATAGAGTAGGAATTTTAATACCTATGACGCTATGATGACATTATGGAAAAACTCAGCTGTCAGTGAGATTTGTATCATCCGATTTCTATGTTAGGTTCGGAAATTGATAAAATCACTACCATATGACACATTCTGCAGCGCATCAGAAAGTCGCCAACACACCTCTAGTTGTTTAACCACAGTAAAACCTAATTGATCTTTGTTTTTTTTTATGCATCTTTAACTTGTGAGACGCTTTCGGATTGATGAGATATCCTGTTTTTGTTTATTAATTAGAGAGATTACAGTTTATCACGATATCGTTTTACATTCTTAGTGGAGCGAAGCTTATGGTTTTATAAAGACGTCTATAATTTTTTTCTATGGATAACTTTTTTACTAGAAAACTTGCTTCGATTTTTACGTGTAGCACCTTTTTTGAAAAAAAAAATGTGTGAGTAGGTACTACGGGGAGGTCATTTTTCGATTTTTTCAAGAATTTTCTCATCATGCGAAAAACTGAAAAAAAAACCCGGAAAATGTACGAAATATATTTGTATAATATTACGATTTTTTTATTCTGCGAACAACTATTCTCCCAGCAATTTTGTTCCAAATTTTAATGAAAGCAACATTTCTAAATGAAAATTTCACCGAGGAGATACTTTAGAGATGTCGTTTGTTGATTTTGTCCGGAGTTTTCTCAACAAATGTGAAAAACCGGGAAAAACGTAAGAAAACCGGTACAAAATTAAACGAATATTATTAAAGAAGATATATAAAGGCTTTTTTATTATCTTACTATAATATGGCGTATATATTGTTGACAAAGCATCACTATCATCTGAACTCCGCTCAGAATCGTTTTTTCGTAAGTAATGGTTTGTCGTTGCTTACAGGTACACATTGAATTACCTATAACAGTGGCTGCACCCGTTCCCATTATCCAATGACGCGTTTTTGATAATTTGAATTTCAGCGTTATTGGTCCCGAACCCCGGACTTTAAATTTAATAATATTATATACTCGCTGTGTACCGGGGTGTTTTGACGTTGTGCAGTGCGTGAACGGGAGTGAGAAATATTTACCGCGCTCGCGGCGAACCGTATTCGGGAAAGTACTGGCAAACATATGCGGTACGCAACGGACGAAATACATTTTACGAAATCGGACGTGTCTTGGCAAAACGTTACTATATATTCCCAGTCGTCGTCGTTGTCAATGTTGTCGCCGCGAACAATAATTCATGGCGCACGAAACTTGGTCGGTTGTCAAAACAAGTGCGCCGGTATAGCGGGCGATTCCAATACGACAACGGCCGCGGCCCACTGGTCACCATCTACCGCTCCTTGTCTGCTCCCCCGTATTTTTTTATAATCTTACTTCGTCTAAGTACACGGATATGAATGTGTACGCCCTGTTGTGTGCGTGCGTGCGTATATTTGCAAAAAAACTCAAAACTGTTAAATACCGCTGTTCCCCTCGTTATCCGTCGTGTGACGTGTTATCGCGTTACTATTCCGAGCATACTATTATTCAAGTTACGTTCAAAAAATAATATCATTATCATGATGTACTCACTTGTTCGCAGGCTCTCTTGCAGTTACCGCTCACGCGTCCACAACACTTGGCTGTCACATGCAAAAAAAAAAAACAACATATTTCAATATTTCGCATAACATAATATTCATATAGATAACGTGTAGGTACGTTCGCGGTGTCAATTCGTGTACCTATGCGGAGGATCCTATGCGATGGGAACGTTCAAGAAACCGACGACGACGGCGCAACGTACGTGGTCCTACGACGTGATTTATTACCGCCCGGTCGTGTGCAGTACGACAATATAGTATATAAAAAATGCACTTCCTGTCCAAAATAACCGTTTTTGTATTAAAATACAACGTTCGTCGCCAGAATATTATTTGCGCTCGTATTATTTTAATATAAAACAGTACCGGGAGACCGATGAACTTTGCACGGGCTCTACAGTACACGTACGGCTATCTACATAGAGCAGCGTTTCGTAAATAGTCAATTTTAAAATTATATTTTTTTTTTAACGATTTATTGTTGAAATTGTTCATTGGTATAATAGCTGAAACAAGAATTTTTTAAATACGGTTTTTTTTTCTTTGAGTAAACAATGCAAGTAATATAATAATTTGTTTTTTATCCGTGTAACCAATGAGAGAATCCAGAATTTTTTTTTTTTTCAAATTTAGTTTTCATATTATGAGGAAAATCGAGGACACTGTCTAAGTACGAGTACCCCTTAACAGAAACTATTCTTGATTACTGACTTTTGAGATAAAAGTACATAATATTATATACACAAACAAAAATATTGCTCGTATATTAGACAGGTATACTTTAAAATATCCCACAATGTAAAAAATTTGCATTTATCACTCTTGATTTTTTTCGATTAAAAACGTCTTGGTCTGATGCTCATAGTCATACGAATGTGTCTCGTTAGTGATATTTTGTCTCGGATTTCGTTTGCTATATAGCAGCCTGCTGCAGTCCTCCTCCTATCTACTGTACCTATACACATATAGTTTTTATGTCGGAAATAACCTTACGGTGTCTGTCGCTCGCGTCCCATTATTTAGCTGTTTAAACAACACGCGCGTTCAGGAAATCTCCATAATCGCCTTTTGCTGTTTCAGCTGATGGTGGTGTGTGTATCACAACAAATATTATATGATACCTACGATAATATCCAATGTGTTTGTACTTCAGAAACTATATTATCGGCATTTATGGTCCACGGTTATTATTATATATTGCGGGAAGAGTAAAGAAGAGAGAGAGAGAGGAAAAAAAACTATAACACTACCCTAATATATTATTATAATATACGACTTATACTTATTATAGGCACTCTATACACTAACACGTGTTTTTTTTTTCTTTTCGGATCGGCGCGGCGTCTGTTTTTCGTTACACATAAGCCACCGGATAGTGGGTTCTAGAAACGTGTTCAAATGGTATTTACGAAATTCGATACAGAAATATTCTTTGACACCGCGTCAATACGGTTGCTTTCTGCCGTTTCTGGCCAACATCATATCCTCACAAAATGACGGCGGTCAAATATATTATAATATAATATCGTTTCAAAAATAAACTCTGTATATAGCGTATAGAAAAGGCACTCAAATTTCTAAAAAAAAAAAGGCAGGATTTCGATAACGTAAATAGTATAAATTATACAGGGTTGTTTTTTTGATAAATGCTATTTTTTTTTTTTTTGGGGGGGGGGTCTGTTGAGGATTGCATTGATATGATTATGAGTTTTTTTTTGTGTGTGTTTATAAACAACTTTTTCACGAAAACTTTATACGAACTTTCTTGGAGAATTCTTGTCTAAAAAACAAATTTAAGGGCCATATATCCACGTTGTTTCCGTCCGTCTGTATAGTTGCTATAGTGCATAGTTATGGTTGTTGATGTGTGTAGTTCGTAACATTATTAGTATTATTTAAATACAAAAATTCGTCACAATGTTCTTCTTCACCTTCGTCTTTATCTCAACTATTTGGGATCGGCTACACTCTCCCTAAGCTTCTACTTAACCCGATCCCCACATCATCCTCACATAAACCAGCTGTCCTCATAACATATACTATCATATTATCATTATTAATTTAAACATGAATATTTTAAAGATACATTCATGCTAGCCAATATTAAAAAATAGATACCTAACTACTAAAATATGTAAATAGTACTAAAATAATTTAAAAAATGTCCTGTCAACTATTTACAAATTAAGATTTTTTAATTTATTTAGATTTATGCACAAAAATATATAAACATAATATCATAAGTTACTAAATTCGTTCAAAATTTTATATGGAATTATAGTTTATTGTTTAAGACGTGTTTAAAAACCAGGAAACTTTGCATGCTTACAGATTAGGTTTTCCTAACTTGTTTTTAATAAATGGGAAAATCTGGTCAATTTTTGTTGATTACTGGGTTACCTTAGCAACAAGGGAATGAACGACTATAAATTATAATAATGTCCTACTAATACTCTGCTTTGATCTAATACTTAAATACTTATAATCTATTTAGTTGTAATAATATTTTGCTCAGAATCGTTTTTTGTTAGCAATGGTTTATCATCACATACAGATACATATTAAATTATTTTTCAGTCTATAATGTATCCTCCCTTCTATCTTCCTTCATAAAACAGTTGCACAACCATCAAAAGTATAATTTTTTGAAATATATATTTACTTTTTTTTATGAAATCATGACTATATTCACACTTAAAACATTATAACTATTCAGTTTGAATATTGTGTATTTATTAAGGAGATAGGGCGGAACATTTTTCGAATAAACACCGTTCCGACATCCCAAAACACGCCCTAATTTTATTTAAAAATGCTGTTCCCAAGAAATGTCGATGGTTGTAGCCTTCCCTCCCGCATAAATACACCCCCGCATTATATAATACCTTGTATACGATTGTCCGGTTACGATGACGATTCGAACAAAATGTAGGCATGTACCTACTATTTATATGATTAAGGCGTCGATCGTAACCAATTAAAATCATGACGTAATTATGAAACTAAGAGCCTACGTCAACAATGAAATGTAAAATGTCACTACGTTAATTAATATTATTATGGTCCATGTTGTATACGCAGTGTTGGAATACTATGTTTTGTCTCTCAAGTTAATATTTTCGTTGTAGCACATCGCATACGTGCGCAATTTGCACACGATAGGCACTTTATTTCTAGTAAAATAGCGTTATTATTTTTTTTTTTTTTGGAAATACTGAAATAATAAAATAAAATAACTTTTGTCAAAATCACCAGCATTTAAAACGATTTTATTTGTATGGGTATATTGCTTTTCTTTTTAAGTGAGTTTTGCGGTGGAGTAAATAGAGTTGTTTATTTTTTTTTTTTTTTTTTTTATTGACATAACATATTTTATTGCAAATCTACCGTAATTTCCTATTTATAATCAAGATTTAAAAAAGAGCTGATAATAGATGTGCCACTGTTGTATAGTTGAGAGGTTGGGAAGGTAAAACACATAAAGTTGTTTAATTTATATTCATACACAACGATAAATCAAACGAAATACGGTTCTGAGCAAAGTAGTACGGTTAAACGCCTTTAAAAATGCCGTTATTTTTACAATTTTAATTACAATTTGAACTTAAAATGTTTGTAAAAAAAAAAAATATTACATTACGCACGACTTCCTTTCAGAACCAAATAAAACTTATGATAAATATCGTGTGGAATTTTCAAACATTTCTGCACGTTCATACAAATCTTATTCATATAAAACAAAATAAAAACCAAAAAACTCAAAAATGACAAATGTCTATAAATAAATAAAAAATCACTGAAATGGTTTCAAAATTCGACTACGTCTAGAAAATTCGAATATAAATATAATATGATAAAAATCGAAAATAATGAAACCCATATTGCAGTAAGTTTGTTCGTTTTTCCTCATTTTTCCAAACTATTATGAAAACTGCTTGGAGAATTAAAGAGTGAACGTCTCAAATGAGGCGAATTTACTGGGTTTGAAATGCTATAAAACAAATTGCCTTGTCGTTTTTTGATAAAAAAAAAAAAAAGTTGTTCCCAGGCACACATCAATTTAAAACTATTTGACATGGCCAAATGCTTCTAATGAAACTTACCAACCATCGTTGTCCATAAATTTAATCGAAAAATCTCAAAATTTTCAATCTTGGAATAACCAGAAAAAACATATTATAATTGTGCAGAAATCAATACATTACTTATTCCATAAATTAATCCGTACAGAAAATAACTTTTAAATGTAAAAATCGATAAACCTTTATAATATTGAATGTTCATGATTTTCGTGACGAACTCATAAAATACAAAATTTAAACTCAATCTATAGAAACGTTACTTCAAATATTTTATTCTCTATTGGTACGTTGAAAGGATTTATATCGTTTGACGCGTATATACAATATGTAATATTTCGCGAAGATGCTTTGTGTAGAATTTTTGATTTCTCATCAAATTCTTCGGATCCGCGGCGGCGGAAAAACGAAAATAAATTCGGTAAGTGGAATACGAATATATTAGCATTTTATCCGCGCAACTCGGACTCGATAAAGCGAAACAATAGACGATAACGATAAATCGTTGGAAAATATTATCCGAGTATAGAACGTAATATTATAGGCAGACTTACCCTTGTCGGCGATGACGAGATGATGACGGCCGAAACAAAATATTATTGTCAGAAGCAAAAACCGAACGCTCAGCATTTTGTCGACCGAATCATTTATCGCGTAACATAATAGTATCGTACGAACAACGCGCTGTAAATTTGAATTTATAAAACAATACACAACGATAATGCGAGAATATTTTGGCGTTTTTCAAAATTTGAACTGTTACACGAACTGCGTCAACACGCGATGAGCACACACGTTATACTGACCGTTCGCGTAGGAGCATGTGCGCGGTGACGTCCCGATCGTGCCGGCGTTCTCGCGGTAGGTACCTACTCGACCGGTCGACCAGTGACGCCATCTATGCACCGAAGTCTGCCGTAAAATAAGTGGGAAGAGAAAAACGGTTTAAAAATACACGGGCCAGCCGTTGAACGATCCGTCAAGCGTCATTTATTTTTAAACACGGGCGTGTAATCCATAATGACGATAATATGGTATACCTAATCGTGAACGAGAAGTCCGTTTTATTCAGATTCGGTCGAATCAATTAACGATCGCCGTTCGATTGGTCGTGTTTGAAACAATATGATCGCCGAGACCTGGGATTTTCACCAAACACACTGATTAGCATTATCTGGACGTAGTATAATTTCAGAAATATCCCGGCGTTTTTAGGGTTCTGCGCATACGTTTAGAACAACACCTCTAATGTATCCCGGCTGTTATTGTATCCGACCGTCCGTCAAGATGGCCGAGTGGTAATATAATTACTAGAGCACGGATATTGTAGTAGTAAAAAACTGTTGAAATTGATTGCAGTATTGCACCAAAAAATATTGAATATTGCCCTAAAAATATAAAATATCGCACTAAAAACGAAAATTTTTTTTACAAAAATAGAAATAGTTGGCTTAATTTTCGGCATATTTACAAAACAATAACAGAACACGATCACTCAAAATTCACGGAGTGACTGAAGAACAGATTATAACAGTCAAACAGTCGCATTTCACAAATTATTTTTGTATTGTATTGAACACCTAACAACTTGGAATTATCGAAATAAAAATACGATATCATTATTAGATCTTATGGCTGGCAATATTATAGTATAATCATTGATTATAGAATACATAAAATTCGGTTGGAGTTGGAGGTTGACCAGTACAAAATAGGTCAAATCGAACTACTAAAAATAAAATATAAAAAAGGAAGACAACTTTTCGAAATGTATATCCTTAAATTTAATTTGCATTGTTTAGTCAAGTAGAATAATATATATTTGTTTTATTTTTATTTTAATTATTATGCGATAATTACATTAATTTTTATTTATTCTTAATAAATTGTAATTATATAGGTATTATATTTTTTACCACTGGGCATTTTAACCTGCAAACATCTTGGTAGAACCCTGTTTTTCCCGATTATTAGGTAAACTTCTGTGAAAATCAAAAAATGACCTCCCTAAAGTACAACACCCGTCAGATTTCCTTTCGGAAAAATGCTATCATTGTAAATCGGAGCAAATAGCTAGTAGAAAAATTGTTCACAATAAATCGAGATTTATTTGTCGATAAAAATGGTCGAATGAGCTATAGCTGGTGCTCTAGGTAGTAGATACACCCGAAATGCATTTGTTTTTTTCCTGTTTAGGTAACACGGAAAAAACACATACAAAACATTTTTTTTTGAATACGGGTTTGAACTCGCGATCTTTAGGGTGGCAACAGGTATGTAGCACCACTCGAGTACGAGTAAGATTTTTGGTAGAAATTTTGTACACAGTATAAAAAAAAAAAAAAATAATAATTAAAATATACCTAAACATCATAGTAAAATTAATACATTCCTCGCTCCGCTCAGATTCTAAAAGAACAGTAATTAGAGGTATTAGTAAGTTTGGTTTTCACGGAAAAGAAAGACCCTTTTAGAAAAAAAAATAAAGAAATAAACGGACAATGCCTAACCGAGTTGAAAACAGAGAGTCAGGAGAAACGCGGGAATTTTTTTAAAAATTATAATTAATAAAACACTGCCGTGAAAGCGCAATATTTGAGGAGTTGTATATAGGCAATTTTAAAGATATTTTTGAACAATTTTCCCGATTCAAAATTATTATTCAAATTCACTAATATATTATAAGTTTAAAAACGGTCCAAGATTCATGTAAAAAGTAATTTTTTTTTGTATAATCATGATTGATTTTTTTTTTTCCAAAAATGTTCACGTAAAGTGTAAAGTAGAAAAGAATGTAAGGCTACAAAGTGATTAAAAAATTTTTCCTCATTACATATATGAATATTAAATAAGGCAACGTTATGTAGAGTATGATGAGTGGTATAGTGTATTGATTTTCATTTTGCTTAAATACGACGATAAATGTTAAAAATAAACAGTTGCCGTTTTTACAATAAAATATGTCATTTTCCAGATAATGTTGTTCATTCGTTTTCAATACAGTTCGAAATGAAACGATTTTTCGACAAAAGGATTTTTTTTTTTTTTAAACGCTCACGATGACATTATATGTTTTCGCCGGTAAGACATTTCGTGATCTTCACGTGGACTCGAGTAACCCCCGATCGCCTTTTAAATCGGCGGTGGCGAACGGTAGCCATAATGTTCTTTTCTCTCTGCGTCTCGAGGAAACCGACGGTGTACCGATTTCATGATCAGATCGTCTTTCAACTATCGTCTTACCGCCGTACAATACAACTCTGTATTGTTATTATTAATTGTAAAGGAACTCGTTAAACGCGCTCCGACGGTCCGACACCTGTCCCGTTGGGCACACATGACTCCGTACATCATAATGCGGTTCCCGTAGCCCGTGTTACGTACCGGGTATTCCGTTGTGGGCTAAATTTGACGACAACGGAGAAAAAAAAAAAACCGTTTTATAGTACAATAATTATTAAATCGATCCGCCGTCGTCGACGTTCCGCACAATGCGGCGGATCATCGTTGACGAGCGGTTCGGCTCGTCTTTGTAATCCGAGAGCGCGCCCGTAACACGATCTTCCGAAATACCGCAAACGGCTATATCGCTATTATTGCACGTAGAACAATCACAACAATATGGTATAATTATAATACCTACGTGATATTCCGTAGGTACCCGTGTACGCGTATACGATAACCCGAGAACGGTTGCACACGGCAATGCGATAGCGGCGACAACGAATTCGGCCGAAAAACCCCGGCACTCTTATTGGATTCCCCCTCGCGTTTTCCCGCGACGACGGCCGCGTATCGGGCTCGTTACGGTTTCCCATTATTAACGTTCGCGGTATACGGACCGCGTAATCGTGTACGCTATTTATAGGTGACCGACGAACTTTCGTTTGTCCCGTTATCGACCGCGTGTACGCGCGACTTCGACAGCGGCGCGGCGCAACAATAGTGGACCGTCGGATCGTCGTGCGCCGCGCGGTCGTTGGATGTCGGTGACAGTCTGTTTTGTTCGGTTTTTGTTTCGTTCGGCGCGATGGCGTCACGTTCGTTTAAACAGTTCTACCAGCAGCGGCGGCGGCCAAAAACAGGCGAAATCACATCTAAATAGCGAGCGAAGATTTAAAAAGAAGTACGCGGCGCGTACGGGTGGTGGGGGGGGGGTTATATGACGTTTATACGTAAAAAAGAGCCGATACCGGGGCCACTGTTTTTGGTGGGAATTTTGGAGGTAGGCTATGCATAAAGTTATTTATTATATACATTTTGCCGTATTTCCCGGTAAAACGTAAACGTAAACGATTCGACGGACTAGTTCCATTTTTATACAAAATATGTATTTAAGGCTTGTCTTCCCACGTCGACGACTCCAATTTGGCCGACATCCCATTTTTCCGGTAGATAAACCGGTTTTATAAGGTATTAAAAGTCTTCCCATTTTGCCGACACGTAAATCAGTTTTATTACTGTTTTGAATTGAAATATTACTGTCGCAAAGAAATTATTATTGCTAAAGAAATTCCAGCGCCGCAATCTCGGCATGAGCGTAAGTAAATATGTACATTTGGTATTATCGAAAATTCAAAAACTATTGACAATAACAATAGGTAATTAACGATTAGGTATATGTTTAAAATAATTTTCATTATTATTTACGTAATTTAAATTCAGTACGGTGACGATTTAATGAAACTAGTGTAATCCCTACAAAAACGACAACGACAACGAAAACGGGTTGTTTTAACATAACTCATGAGCTATAGTAGGATGGAGTCATGAGTACTTCAAGCAACGTACGTCATAGGTAAATATTAACAAAATAAAATGGTGTCGGCAAAATGGGAGTCGGCGACATGGAAATTAATCATTCAAAGTATAGGTAAATACAAATCTAGTAGGTATACTGATAGAGATATAACAGTTGTTACATAGCCTTGTATAGGATACTTTTATTTTGAATTCGGAATACCCATTTCAATAAATGAGTAAATAAATATTCAGAATGCGTGTTTGAGTAATTAAAAATTTAGAACATATTTTTAAAAGGTATTGAATACTTTTCGAACATTTCGTTTTTTCAGCCAATTCATCACAGTTTCAGTACAACAATTCTGAAATTAATATTTTATGAACCAATATTTTATTAAATAAACTGATTAGTATAATTAACCAAATATTATGTTATTAATACGCTAATTCTGAAATTTTGATTAAAAATAAAAACTAAATACCTAGGTTATAATTTATTATGTGGATGTAAACATTTATGATTTAAGATTTAGATTACAAATTTCAAATTTTTATTGGTTTTAAAAGGGAAGTATTTTCCAGTGAATAAGAACTATAAAAGAAATGTATTCAGAATACGTATTCGAATATTTGTTTTGGGAAGCATTCGAATACTTTACAATACTGCGCAGTAATTGTGTTAATATAAAATTTAATAATTGAAAACTTTTGTTTATAATATGATAATAATTATGAATCATTTTTATATGATATGACGTAGTTCGCTACTCTATAGATTCACCTCAATCGAAAAAAAAAAATTGATTATATTTACTATTTACTAACGTTGAGATTACAGATTTAGATAAAATAATTTTTGTTTTTTATTGTTAACCCCATGTGGCATA